CCCTGCGCTTTTGTCATCCCTGCAATTATTATGTAGCTCAACCGAATCATAAAAATTGAACAAGAAAAAAAAAAAGATTGTATCGGAACCCACCGATGACGGTCCACGCATGGCCAATATGGCAAAAACAAGCTGAAGAAACATGAAGAAGAAATCAGACGGGTCTGACTAACATCAATCTATCGCCGAATATACAGCTATCCTTGCAGCAATCTTTTTCCACCGTCTGTTCCCTTCGATACGGCCGAAAACAAGGGACCTCCTAGACCTTACATTGGTAAATACCAACCAAAACCTCAGCTTGACGATTACCACACAAAAATTTGCAAAAGAATCGTATTAATCAAATTTCTCAATATTCTCTTTACAGCCGTCGGTCGATGACTCCGAACTCGATGCCCTGATAGAAAACCGCACCTCTTCCATGATCCGCTCCGTTGAATCCACTCCGGGCGCTTCCTCTGCGAAAACTCAGATAGCAGTCCAATTCTTCGAAAAGAAGCAAAAGCGAAAAGCATGGTTCAGCACTAAAGATGAGGAAGTATGCTGGGAACAGTGGTTGCTGGACATCACCTTACTATACCCCAGAACCGAGTCTCGTATGCCCTCCTCTTTTTCCTTCTAAAAACGAACATAGCTAATAGAGATGACCTTAGAACGCACCGAAGCTCGAAAGGACATGGAATCCGCCCTCCAACTCGCCATCCTAAAAATCATCGATATAGTAAACAATAATAAAGACCATATCCCTCCGATAACAACCAGCGATTATAATCCGTTTCCTTACAAGATTTTTGTCCCCCAGAAAGGAGATAACTGGGGTGGCAGATTCTTTTCGACATAGACCGAATACTATCATAAAGAGTCATACATACCCAAAACCTTTTGGACTAAAAGGTCAGGGAGTAGACGGATTCTTCACAATTTTGTTTTCCCTTTTGCAAAACCTGGATACCCTTCTTTAAATCGCCAGTATATATACCTTTTTTCTCTTCTCCTTCTTTACCCAAGAGAAGAGTTCACGACAATAGAGCGAGTGGAATCGGGGGGGCTAAAAGCGTGGTCTTTTTTCTTTTCTTTTCTGTTTGGTGGGAGTTCTTTTATTTTTATTTTTTTGGATTGAAGTGACAGATTTCCTTTCTCCTTCTTTTCTACTGTTCTTTCTTTTCTCTGTTCGCAAAAAATATTCTATTCGTTTTCTGCGATAAGAAAAGAAAGAAAAAAAGAACGGTCTTCGATCTATAAAAACGGAAGGGGGTAGTGCTACATTCACATTATTTTTTTTTTCTCTTCTCAGTTTCTTTTGCTTTGCTAACTTGTGATACCCAATCATGTACCCCTTTGCCCTATACCATCCTACGAAAAAGGGAAGGAATTTAAACCCTTCTCATCCTTAATGAGCGTCTTACGAGTTTTCTTGAATCAGTTTAACAAAAACCAAAAAATAGGGGAGGTAGCTATAGAGATGGGGTTCAATATCAGACGCTGTCCTTTTCTAACAGATAAAAGATAAATTAACTCCGACAGAAGGGAAGAAGGGGAGGAATAAAGTATCGAAAACATCGAATCTCAGCAGATGAAATTAAGAAGGCCGGATAGGATGAGATGGAAGAAACAGGAGCATATGCATCATGCAAAAAAACAAAAGGCAGCACCTGACAAAAAAAACAGGCACCGTACTCATGGCAAAGCGCCGACAAGCACGGCGAGACCCACAAGGCTAAGTACCTAATGTTGGGTCGGACGCTACAAGAGGGGTCTAGACGAGCGAGGCGGCTACAGTCCCTCCGGGGATGGTATAGTGCCCGTTTCCAACCCTTGCTTTGCTTCCCAGATATGCTTGCAGGTCTGCTTTTTTGAAATAATTGATTTGGGCAATTTTTTCTTTCAGCTATCCTATTTAGCTATGGAAGACTAGCTAGCTAGCTAGATATTAATTGATATATCAGCTATATACCTATATGGAGCTGAGAGAAAAAGAAGGAAGGGCTGAGACATCGGAGAACTTCGATATGATTATTTTTAGAATTTATTTAAAAAGAAAGAAGAATTATTATACAGATATACTATATAGACTAATAATCGAAAGAAAAGAAGAAAAAATACAAAGCCTGCCTTCGATGGTTGGGGGGAAATCAACAATTAACTTTCAAGAAATGGATAGCTCAGAAGCTCTTTTTGATAGATACTATCTGTAGCTATAGGTATGCGTGAAGCGAATGATATTAGAGATAATGTTAATATCAATATCAGTATTGATAATTATAAGAAACTTCAAATTTAGCGACACAGCTTGATATCGACCTACCCGCTAGGGTCACTTGATCATACGATATGCGTATTCCCTCCTCTCCATTATCGATATCTCGGGAAGAAAGAGAGGGAAAAAAGTTCCCGCTTTCCCTCCTTAAGGCCTTGTCGTCCATTACCCAAACGTAGGAAGCTAGCTACCTAGGTACTTAAGTAGTTAGTATATATAACAACCCACCGGATCGATCACAGCACTGGTATACAAAAATCCCTCCAAGCTGCCGGGTTTGTCGTCGTGCATAAAAAACAAAAAGTAACTAACTAGCTCACCGCTGCGTGTATGTAGCGGGGTAAGTTCCAAATCAAATCAAAACCTGCACTTTCACAAACAGAAAAAAAAATGGATTTAATTAAGTAGCTAGCCCACATAGAAATCAATCAAGAGCATATCCTCCGAAGTATATGCATATAATGCACGAGACTGCATGGTATCTATATATCGATAAGAAATTAGCAAATGTGTGTTTGAGGAAAAAATAATAATGCCAGCTTGGCCTTTTTGATTGCCCCTCTTCTTCCTCCTCCTCCTCCTCCTTCTACATATATCACCAAGATCATGCAGGTTGACATGTCTTACATTTTTCTTTCGACTCTTCTAAGTTATGCATGCATTAGACTGCTCGATATAAAGATCTTAAAATGTGACCAATGGACGGATCGGAAAGTGAGGGATATATCTTTAATAGCTTTACGTCTTTTTTTGAATTTTACGAATGATGAATTCATGAATGGCACTAAGTCAAAAAAAAAAGAGATAGAATCGATTCGAGCCATACGAGAAGGTTACCACCAAAATCTTAGAGCTACAGAATTAGAAAAAAAAATGAGGAAGAGAGAACGTCGAGAATTTTTGTCCATACGGTTACACAAAAGGCCAGATAAAAAAAAACAGAACGTAGATAAACGACAATGGGTATGTGTTTCAAAAAAAAAAAGAAAGAAAAGTAATAAAAAAGAGAATAGGCCAAAAAGAGTAGTAAGGGAAAAAAAAGCCAAGAGAGTTTTTGTACCGTTCAGTGTTTATCACATGTAGTAAGCTTTCGATTTGACAAGAGAGGGGAAAAAAGGCCAGGAAGAAGAAACTCTTCGTCGGGGTAATGAAGCCTCAGAAAGAAAAACGAGTCGTTTATACAAGTACAGTGTTGGCTTTTGTGTACTTATAACCTGCCTTCCATCAACCATTCATATTCATTATCATCCCTCTCCTTCCCTATCAGATCGCCATATACTTTGCCCGTTTTCGAAGATATTATAATTTACTGGACGTGTGGCTTCTCAGCAGCATCGGCCTTAGCACGGAAGCTGGCGGATCCAGCGTTCTGGCCCTTGAAGTAGCGGGCGAAGAGTGGGTAAAGAGCGTTGCGGAAGAGGATCTGGGCACCGCTGAATTGTGGAAGGGCGAGCCAGAGGATGAAGGCGAACTTGAAGAGGTAGTAGAATGGGAACCAGTAGGTGAGGTCAAGACCGGCTTCAAGGACACTAAAAACAAGAAAGAAAGGTGGTTAGTATCTCGGTTTTTTTTGGTTGCAGGAGCTTCTAGCTTCCCAGTTTGGAGGTCATGTGACGTAGAGGGATATTCGCTCTTTCGCCTAAATGTCTCGGTAGAGGAGGGGCTGCATACCTGAGGAAGGAGAAGCAAACCCAGTAGGTCAACCATTGGGTGTCATCGGCTTGCTGGGTGGTGAATAGAGCCTAATAGAGGAAAGCTCCATGTTAGTGTTCGAGTACTTCATCGATAACCTTATCTTGTTCTCCCTAGTCCGAAAATTTTCGGTGGACCGAAATTTTCCGGGCATCTCGAGATGCAGGAGTGATAACACACACACACACACCCACAAATACACCAAATATATTGTATATATCTTTGTGGTTATGTAAGAAAAAGGGAGGGGAAATTACCTGAAGAGAATAGTAGGCAGGGATAACGAAGCCAGCGAGGTTGACAAGGAGTTGGCCTCCCAAGTTAAAGAAGATCAAGACGAAGTACAAAAAGCTGCAAGATAAAGAAAATTAGCAGGGGTGTTTTGGGAGGGGTTACGAAACGAGGATTTGCTCACCCGACGCCTCCAATGACGTATGTCTTTGGAACATCTGTCATTTACAAAAAAAAGCATAGGTTAGGATACGAACTGATTCGATGAATCATAGAATAAAATAGTAAGGTATAAGGGAACGGACTTGTTTGCTTCTCGAGGTTAACGAGATAGGGGTATTTGGAGAGCTAAACGTGGGAGTTAGCAGTGCATGAGATGTATGCAACTCGGTTATGAACCGAGCAAGAGAAGGGAGAGAGAGAGACGAACCTCCTTGTCAAATTGAGTGACACCGTTCTGGAATTGAGCCTACGAATTGTTAGATAATCCATATTGAAAAAGCAGAAGTAGGTGTAGGTGTAATGTAGAAGAAGGTTTGTGTCAGGTATGCACGAGACATCACCAGAACAGTCTTCAATCTACCGAGTTTTCGACACTAGAATAGCGGGGTTGATGGGAGCAAAGGAATACCTGTAGCTTTTCCTGGAATGCCATTATGAATGAATTTCGATAAGGTAGAAATAAAAGGGTCTCTGGAGTATTGGCTAGTTGTATGAAAGGTTTATGATGATGATGATGGTGATGATAAGTTGATAGTTGATAGTGGAGGAGAGAAAGAGGGAGAGGAAGAGAGAGGGAAAGTGGTCAAACGAGGGTTTAAGTTAATATTTGCTGGTGGGGACCAGCAGAACAGCAAAACAGCAGAACAGCGTACTATCACATGTAACTTGGAACATGTAACATTATTCATTCATCTAAACAATCACAGTCAAGTAAGTACCTAAACTCCTCCTCATTGCGGACACAGTCTGATGCAGAGATTTCTCGACCGACCAGTTGTCCTGCAGGTATCAACTAGGTATAAACCTCGAATCGAATGGATCTTAGCTTGCATTCTTGACAGGGTCCCCTTCAACCTTGTTCTCCAATTCGTTTGGTCGATTACCATTCGCTTCCCTGCTTTTTTTTTTTTTTTTTTTTTTTTTCTTCCCTTCCCTTCGTTTCCCTACGCATACCAATTCGTGGCGAATAGGTAATGACCCACGCAAACGTCATTCTCCAGACTCAAAGTCCGGACCAACTCTGATGTCAATTTGATGCTGTTTTTTTTCTTTCGATTCCAACTTGATGCCCAAGATTTAAACAGATTTCGTTTAGATTCTGTCATTCCGTGAACGAAGATGGACCAAGTCGCCCATTAGGAGTATGCAGAGCATCGCGTGCGTCAACGGATGACATGATGAGCGTTTGCATGCATTCGATTCCAAACCGGCTATGCGATATCGATAAGTTCGGTTTCAACAGGGCAGTTGCTGGCGGGGTTAATAAGTTTCTTCCAACACAAAAAAACAATTTAATTAAAGTATCCAACCTTCTGAGGATTGAAGTGGACAGGGTTCTGGAGAGATGAATCGTAAGATGTTTTAGAAAGTGTTTAAGGTGTGAAGCCATTTGGTCGCAGTGCCCTGCTATCCATCGAGTTTCTATAGGTCGGTTCCGGCCCATATGTTACTTAGGTAATATAATACTAGAATTTGTTAAAATATTACGTCTTTGCATCTGTTTGAATCCGCTTGATCTTAATCCATCCAATTCTCACGAATACATAAATTTATAATTCTTCAAAATGTTTCGTATACTAATATATTAAGAAGTGAACAATACATACTAAAGCGGCTAAACTTGGTACCATATGAGAGTATAGTAGCGTAGTAACATTAACATGCTCTGAAATGCCAACGATATCTATAGCTAAGTAAGTACCTAGGTAAGCACTAAGTACTTAATAGATCTATCGATCCAAATAGCTACCCGATACATACACCCGAGTCCAGAATCTAGAGGGGTCGATGCTTATTCTGCACAGATCTCACGTAACAATACTGCGAGTTTTTCTTCCCTTTTCTTTGCTCTTTCAGCGCGTACTCTCGCTATCGTATCCGGATCTTGGAATCGGGCTTGAAGTTTCAATTGCCGTCGTCTTTGTTTCCGAACGAATGCAACATAATGAGGGTAGGGCTTCAGTGCTGGAAGAGGGGCATACGCTATATCCTTGATTATTTTGGCCTTTTCTTTAAATTCTTGAATGCAATGCGGGGATACATCCTTTGAAGAATAGGTCACAAGGAGTAAAAGAAGACGTAAGGTAAAATTCGCATCGTTCCCCGCACAGTGAAGCCTATCAAAAGGGCAGTTGAAATATGTTAGAAGATTGCGAAGGCTTTCGTTAGCCTTTCTGTTCTCATCGATTATCGGAAGAACATTGCGAGCAATAATCTGAGTATCAAAAAAGGGATATTTCAAGAATTTAGCATTTAAACTGGAAAACGCTTTTAAATCCTATCGTCCGCCGTGTCCGATAAGAATGACATCGCGAGAATCCGGAATTATACTGTTGATTTTCTCGGCCAGGTCTTTCTTTTGCGTGCACAGGTTGTATGATTCTCCAAAAATAAACCTTGTCGACACTCTTTTGCGATAATTCGGAGTTCCAGTGGCGAAGTTGTAGGTTGAAATATTTACTTGAGACGAAGTCGACTTCGCAAGATCTTTGGGGTCGAGAATTGCGAGTCCCAGTTGCGAATTAACTTTCTCGAACGAATCTTGCTTAGTGAACTCGAAGCCATTTTCACAGTCTATGGCGATAAGCAAATCGTCTCTCGTATTTTCATACAAGGTAGAATGGGAAGCTTTGGTAAGCCCTAATATTTCTCGTAGGGTTTTAGTATTATCGTCGGCCATGGTAGACTAATGGCTGATATAATACTTTTGTGCTCACACGAGCTCGATTGAGGCGTGATGATGCCTGGAATGCTATACTTCGACCTATTGTAAGGGGCAAACGATCACTTCATAGTTTGAAATAAAAAAAACTCATTGCGAGTGAAGTAAATATATCTCATTTGAAGTCTTAAGTTATAAATGGCAAGCAATAAAATGGAGATAGTTCTGCACGCATGGGAGCCACAATGGTGTGGTTTTGTGTTGGTAGTGGCGGTTTAAGCGTTAATATGCTCCAAATGGCTGGTACAAAGCTTGCAAAGCTCGGACGAATTATTCAGATAGTTAAAGCCTCTTCTTATTTCTGCCCTTTCTCCCTCTATTTTCGTACTCATGTTCATCCTCTTCTTCTATTATTGGGAATATCCGCTGTCTCCCGGCCGTTCCAACATCGCCTCTAAACATTGGTGATATTAAATCAGGTGATAAAGTCGTCGGGCTGAGTGTGAATGTTTCCACCTCCGTCTGCCCTACGTTGAACTTGCTTCGGGCCCCTTTTGACCTAAAAGACGGGTCTTTGAGCTGAAAAGCCTCCCCTGTTTTGTCTGACGGTGCGGGAGAGTGTTTTAGACTAGTTTCAACTTCAAGACGACTGTGGTCGAGGCTGAGGGTGGAGAAGATGAACGAGGAGAAGAAGGAGAAGACAAGGCCAAGGGATAAACCGGCCAGGGCTGCTATTCCCAAGTAGATGTATAATACCTGGGATGATTATCCATGACGTATTCAATTAGCCAATCACTGCAATATGATATATATTTATACTTAAGCAGCAGTTACAATTTCTATAATAGATCGGACATATTATAATTGAATGAGTATGCATACCTCTACTTTCTGCACCAGCCACAGTGGCAGCTGGAGAATATTGACGGTCAAATCGAAAAAATAGACCAGCAGCGACGTTAGAGGTGATATCAGAAACAAAAGGACTGCCAGCCCGAGGTGCAGCGGGACAAGCAAGATGTCGCCAACCGTCATTTGCAGCTAGGTTCTCCTTTGCAGGCTTTGCAAGCTTTGTAATTGGTTGAAGTTATGTAAGAACGTTAACGGGCTCGGACGGGTCTCGGAGACGGTAACATCCATCCGGACTCCCGTACTTCTTTCCTGGCTTGTGGTGGTGTGGTGAGGTTATATACGATTTACGATCCAAGCAAAAGGCTGGAATGCAAATGGATCAAGTGTCTCCCTTTGGGCTGCGTGCATGTCGTATCATATCATACGCTCAGGCGGGACAACCCCGAAGTCCGTTCTGGTCTCAAAGGGGAGTTAGTATAACATGCATTTGGAATCAAATTAAAAGGGTAACCACGAATTGGAATTTAAACCGAGATGTTCTTTTTTATTTTATTTATTTTATCTCAATAAGCGTCTATCCTTTCGTGGATAGACCTCGTTAGCTGCAGCTTTTATATCGAATTCAGGCGTTACTGTGTGCTGGCCTGCATACTACTTGTGCCAGACCGGCACTAGCCATTGCGATTGCATATAAACCGTCTACTGCTGCATTTGCCCCTCCTTTCTCCCCCCAAAGCACCGGGATAGTGACTTGCAGATGAAGTATCTTTCGATGAATGCTACAGCCACTATCTCCAGAATTGAATGCCATTCCGATGTCGTGAAAACATTCGGGTTCGTTGTGCATTTGAAGTCGAATTGAACATAACATTAGTAACGTAACTTGACTGCGCTGAGGCATGCCAAGCCCAACCAACCACTGCACAATCCAATCCAATCCAACCCAATCCAACCCAACCAAACCTCGTCAACGTTAAACCTCCCACCAGCTCAACAGCTCGCCAGCTAACCAGCTCACAAACAGACTACCTCCCCTCTGCAGTCTCCACTTGGGTTCTACAAGACAGGGACAAGGTCAAGATAGGTCAAGATGGGAAACGCTCAATCTCAGGAGGGCCAGTCCGGCTTGACTGGCTCGCAGCCGGGTAGTTCCAGCTCCTCAAGGTCTGATCGGTCCCACCATCACCACTTCCCCCACTCCTCAGGAACACACCATACCCGCCGCCCGCCACAGAGGAAGAACAGTCTCTCAGCTGCTCCTCTTAAGGCTGCTCCTACAACATCTACTACTCAAGAGCACGGGGTCTTACTCAGTGCCGATATACCGTCTGCCAGGGGATTGACGACTCCTTCCTCTGCCGCCGAAAAGCTACTTGATATAAGTATCTCGGCCACACCGTCCGTGGATCCTTCCCCTTTACGAACAATGGATATTACCGGTGCTTCTATTCCCAAAATGTCCATCCAGGACCCCAGTGTCCCGGACAAAATAGACACTCTTATTAGCGTCGATGTGCCCGCTCCGTCCCGTCGAAGGAACAGCTTTGGCAGCGCTACAACAGTAGACACCGTCGAACTCGACGAGATGAACATTGACGACACAAAAGCGATCCCCACGACCATTGAATGGACCGAAGGAGGCAAGAAGGTTTATGTTACGGGTTCATTCTCGGGCTGGAAGAAAAAGTTTAGACTCATTAGGAGCGAAGGCCATCTATCCACCGTCGTACCATTGCCGCCTGGTACCCATCATCTCAAATTCTTGGTTGACGGCCAGATGAGGATTTCGGATTCATATCCAACTGCCGTTGATTCTGCTGGTATCTTGGTAAACTACATTGAAGTAATAGCAGATGATATGCCACCTCTCGAGCGCCAATTATCCACCGTTTCCGCTGAGAAGGCTCCGGAACCACCCCAGAACATGCTGAATAGCACCAACAATTCCTTCATCCAGGCTCATGTCCAACCTGCCAGACGATATACCTCAGAAATTCCAGCATTTTTGGAAGATCTGGAAGAAAAACAGGAGCAGTATGGTAGAAACTTTGATTCGCAGTTACCGCCGCCGCCATCGTTACCCATGATTCTTAGCAAGGTCATCTTAAACGGTGCAAATACGATACGCGATGATAGTAGTGTTTTGCCCATTCCGAATCATGTTGTTTTGAATCATTTGGCGACGAGTTCAATTAGGAACCAAGTTCTAGCGATCAGCGCGACTACGAGGTATAAGAAAAAGGTTAGTTGCTCCTCATCATTCACCCGTGGAATTGTATCCGCTGACAATAGCTATGTAGTACGTCAGCACAATTCTTTACAAGGCTACCTCCACCTCGGACGATTGAGCGTCTACTTTCACTACGGCCTAATAGTTCCCTTCCTTCCTTCCACTTTCGCCTTTTTTTTACCTCTGTCGTTAATGATATACACTTTGTAAATGCCTCATCATGGGGTTTTGTTACTAACGTTTTAGACGAACCTGTTTCCTTTCCTCTTTCTTTTTGTTTAGGCTTAACTCCTGAGTCCTCATTAATGATGGCGACAGAAACATGCAGCGTGAGCGACTTGGATTTTGTAAATACTGGGTAACTCTTGTTTTTTGATTCCTTTTTTCCTTTCCCTCTTTTCATTTGTCTTTTTTTTGATTATGGTAAAATGGCGTCGCTGGGAGGGATTATTTGTTTCTGAACGACACGGTATACCTTGGAGGATATGAAATGATATGGAACTTTTTTTAAAAAAGAAAAGACAAAGAATATTAAAAGTACATACTTTGGGGGAAGGATTGAGTGATATTGCTTTTAATATTTCTCCCGGTGTATGGTAGTTTGGATATTCGAATCTTCAGTTCAGTTTTAAATTTATTGTCTTTGGGACGTAAATCTATCTAGCTAGGTATGTGTGAGCAAGACCAATATAAACCTCTCTATGGTTTAGTATACTAGTATACTAGTAGGGAGCTATGCGAATAGAAGCGAAAGCCGTAGCAGTATATGTTATATAATACAACTAAAGTAATTCTAACGGATTTACAATAGTTAACAAGTGGTACATTACTCGCAAATTGTTTAAATATTTTCACAACTTTTACAACTTTATGCGGTTTGCTGGCTCTGTCGTAGATTACGATAATAATGGTACTGTATAGACCTAGAATGTGAACAAGCATCTATGAAATTAATGGAGGGGCCCTGCAGACGCCAAGTATAGGGATTGGTTATGTGTGTGCGTGAAAGGTCTCTTCACTTTAAGCGTATGAAAACTGGGGCGTATTATATATCGTGAAGCAATGAGGCCCTACATATTCCTAATCTTGAATAGATATGCAGATACACTTGCATCTATAGCATTAAGGTGAGACATATACTGGTACCTTTGATTGCCCTAGCCTTATCGTTTTGAAGACTTCGGGCCAAGATACTTGTTTGCTTAATGTGCTGTCGCAAAGTTATTTAAACGGATCTGCATGTAATAATACCAGGCGAGGTGGTGAGGCTTCGTTGTACCAATTTATATTGTTTAGAGTTCGCGTACTGATGTTTTGAGAATACTTGTAGCGGGTCCTCCCGGTTTTGAATCCTTTGGGATTTTTTAATTTTTTTATTAGCATCTGCGGCCGAGGGGGTGTTTTGGGTGAAATATATCATTTTGATCATTGACGAAGCTTAAGCCTCGCAGCTGCGATAGCCTCGGACGGGACACGAGTATATTCGAATATCTGTGTTGGTTGGCCAAAATCCAACGTATTATCGTCGATAAAAGCACCGGAACTTAGGTATTATTATCGAGGATGGTACTATATTGTAGTATCGTCAGTTCTGGATGTATGTATACTGGGTTACCTAATTGCCAAAAAAAAAAAAAAAGGGAAAATCAGAATAGCCATGTGATGAATCAAATTCCAGATCTCCGATTTTATAATTGACTTTAGTTGACTTCGTCGTCAGCTTCGCCGCCTCGGTGGGACTGCGCCTCGCCGCACCGCGGAGGGGTTGTGTATAAATGTAGTGGCTAAGCCAAGCAATGGTCTTGCAGGGGCCAACGTCATGCCTTTGTTAGCCCCCATGTCCTGTCCTCACTTTGAAGATTGCTTGCTTGTTACTAAGTACTCAACTTGCTTCCGTATTCCGAGAAACCCAACCAAACCACATTGGCTAAAATAAAACAAAGCTGACCCGCTTTTGCCCTTTTTTCTCTCCCATTCTTACTTTTACCTGGGCTTCCTCAATCTCCGACATTTCGAACCTTCAAATCTCGACATTTCAGCATCTTCGGAACTCAAGCGAGCCGATTGTTTTAATTGCTTCCATAGTGATCCGGTCCACCCCGCGCTGCCCGCAACACTTCTGTAGCTAGCTCGTGGCATTTGCATTTAACGTTATTGAGAAGCCAACATCGCCAGCCTCATCTCATACCCTCTCAAAGCATCGCACATCCACTCTCAACATTAACATCGCACTCTTCTATACGTCTACATATCGTCCATTCTCTCCTTCCACGTTCTACCGATCTACTAGAGAGAAGAGCCTCATCTCGTTAAAATACCGTCAAGATGAGTTGGGCAGGTATGTCATCTTACACCGTTACCACCTTATGCTTATTTTCAACGTTATTCCTCCGATAATAACGATAATAATGTCAACAGGCTTCAAGAAAACCGTCAACAGGGCGACCACCCAGGTCATGATGAAGGCCGGTCAAATAGAACGCACCAACGACCGAGAATACGAAGTCGAAGAGCGTCGTTTCCGAGTCATGGAAGCTGCGGCAAATAACCTCCAAAAGGAAGCAAAGGGTTATCTGGACTCCCTGCGTGCCATGACTGCCTCGCAAATGCGTATTGCGGAAACTATCGATTCATTTTATGGGGATAGCGGAGCTAAAGATGGAGTTAGTCGGAGTTATAGACAGGCGGTTGAGGAGTTGGATCTTGAGACTATTAAGGCTTTGGACGGACCTTATAGGACGACAGTTTTGGAACCGATTTCCAGGTTTTGTGCTTATTTCCCGGATATTAATGAGTGTGAGTGTTTTTTTATCTCAATTTGCTTTTATGTAGTTTTTGCAATAGGGAGGATTATGCTGACATAGTGGATTAGGTGTCAAGAAGCGTAATAACAAGCTACTTGATTACGATGCTCTACGGAATAAGGTGAAGAAGCTTGTCGAGAAGCCAGATCAGGACCCAACAAAATTGCCAAGGGTGCGTTATATCAAACCTATTAAGCCTCAAACGGTGTATTTACTAACTAGTTGGATATTCAAAACAGGCGGAAAAAGAAGCTCAGATGGCCAAGGAAATCTACGAAGCGCTAAACGACCAACTCCAGACGGAACTTCCGAAGCTTATTGAGCTGAGAGTACCATATCTCGACCCGTCGTTCGAAGCACTAGTCAAGATCCAGTTAAGATTCTGTGCAGAGGCATATTCGCGGATGGCACAGGTACAGCAGTATTTAGATGCCAATACACGGGAGGAATATGCACAGGGACAATTGGACTCCAGAGTTGAGCAGGTATTGCAAGAGATTCGGGATTTGAGTATTGCAGGTGGTGCATAAAGTGGAATCCTTTGTTTTGGCGCTTGGTATCTATATACTTGTGTGGGCAGCGTGTCGTTCGTTCTTATTCCTTGGTTTTGTTTTTAGTATGCTCTATTTTGATAAGTTGGCGGAATGATGGTATTGATTCATGGCGTATTATTATTACCTCAATGGAAGCAACTTGCATATTAGGCTATCGCCTGGGAATTCGTGTCGCAGTTGTATTTCTTATTTGAATTGCTTTGATCTGAGGAGTTTCTTAGGGTCTCTCCGCTGTCGAGTTCGGGTGGTGACATTTGCAGTATATATCCTATATATTCCCGTAGTCTCGTTCCCATCCCTGGTGTTTTGGAAATTGTTCGCTGGAAAAGCCGTCTTGAATTTCTTTATACAACTTCCAAGAATGTGTTAAATGTACAATAATATCCCACTTCGGATTTGAGTTCCTGCTGATGATGACATCCCGACTGCCCCGTTGATCTCTTCAAGCTCCCTCCATTCTCTCATCGTTGGCTGTATCCTCGAAAGAATCACAGGCGTATAGCTCTATACATTCCAACCACTCACTAATTTCGGAGTAAGTGATGGGTCTAATGGTCGAACGGGTGCCTCCATCCGAGTAATACTGGGCCGTCCTTCTTCGCTCTGTACATCAACTGTTCCGCTCCAACAAAACCTTATTAGCCCCCATCGGCATCGGGTAATCGGATAAACGATGGATAACGTACGAAGAACCACATGCTAGCACCTAATCCTGTTGCGAATAATCGGTACACAGGTCGGGCAGGGTGGATGTGGATTGGGTGTCCGCCATGAGGCCGAGCGCCGTGTCCGCCGGCCATTGTAGTTTCTAACACGAACAGTTTTGGTTAGAAATTGAAATTGAACATAAGGATATTTGAAATACGTACCTTGTGTATGAAAAAAATGGCCCAGATCGTGAACGGTGGTTGAAGAGAAGGTTTTGAAGATGTTTGATTCGGAAGTTCAATGGCGACGTCGGGTGTTATTGAATCGGAGATATTTGGATTGGACGGTGCGGCAAATAGCTCAAAACGGCAAGCGTGGATTTAAGCGCGCGTGTGAAATATGGTGCTGAGTCAGTCAAAGGGAAAGTGTGAGTAAATGCCCCTCCATTTTATTTAGTGGGGAAAGCTCGCCCCTCTGCTCAGTTCCTCTTCTTCCCCTTGCTTTTACTATTATCAACAATCACCATCGCTTCGAATTCGCAGAAATTGCCAACTGTTCGAGTCGCAAAAAAATCACTAATTGGAACAGTTACTGGTTTAATTGTTTCTACCTCGATATAAACTCTTTCTTTTGATGTAGGTTATCTTATCCGCAGTTTGCGCGACTTTTTCATGCAGCTGCATTGCTGATTAGTCGTTTTTCTGTGCATACTAATGACTCTTCAATAGACAGAAAAGCTATACCCACTAGCTCAAATCAATATGCTTGACGTCAATTCCTTTATCACTGTACGATCCTTTCTATCACCTCCAGCGATAAATTTACAGTTTCCCGGATTATACTTATTCGTTATCGCAGGAACGTGGTGGAGATCCAGAGGCGATCCGTGAGTCGCAGAGGAGGAGACATAAGCCAGTTGAGGATGTTGATGCTATTATCGCACTCTTCAAGGCTTCCCGAGAAGGTAGATCCGCCTAGTACCTTAGTCTGTGGGAATCGAATGCTGATTTACTTGTGGAATAGCTACCTACGCCGTTACTCAGACTGGTGCAAAGATCAACGATGCTCAAAAGCAAATTGGACTTCGCAAGAAGGTGGTTTATTATTCTTCCCCTAGAATCTTTATGGTCACTAGCGAAGGTTATCGGTTGCTAATGCGAAAACGGCGGGATGTCATCTAGGCCAAGGAAGATGCGACTGAATTCCTCGAACTAAAGATTTCCCTGGAAAAGGAGAAGAAGGAACTGGAAGTTATCGCCAAACAAGCCGAGGCCGAGCTAAACCGAAAGCTCTCCACCATTGGAAACTTTGTTCACGACAGCGTCCCCATTAGCGATAACGAGGATAACAACGCTTTAATACGAGAATGGAAACCCGAGGGCACCACTGTCGAGGCGAAGGAGGGAATTCTCTCTCACCATGAAGTCCTAACAAGACTTGACGGCTACGACCCAGAGCGTGGAGCAAAGATCGTTGGCCACAGAGGATATTTCTTGAAGATGTGGGGTCTCCTTCTCAACCAAGCGCTTATCAACTACGGTCTCGAATTCTTGATGAACAAGGGTTACACTCCGATTTCCACTCCTCAGTTCATGAACAAGGAATACATGGCCAAGACCGCACAGCTCGAGCAATTCGACGAGGAGCTGTACAAGGTTGTTGATGGCGACGATGAGAAATATCTAATTGCTACCTCCGAGCAGCCTATCTCTGCCCTCCACGCCGATGAATGGTTCACCACTGCCGATGTTCCAAAACGCTATGCCGGTTTCTCCAGCTGTTACCGTCGTGAAGCTGGTTCTCACGGCAAAGACGCCTGGGGTATCTTCCGTGTCCACCAGTTCGAAAAGGTTGAACAATTCGTTCTCTGTGATCCCGAAAAGTCTTGGGAGGAATTCGACAAGATGATCAGCTACTCCGAGGAATTCTACCGATCCCTCGGCCTGCCGTACCGTGTTGTTGCGATTGTCAGCGGGGCGTTAAATAATGCCGCCTCTAAGAAATATGATCTTGAAGCTTGGTTCCCGTTCCAAGGTGAATACAAGGAACTAGTTTCTTGCAGCAACTGTACAGATTATCAGAGCAGAAGCTTGGAGATTCGATACGGAGCCAAGACACAGACCGACACCGTGAAGAAGTACGTTCATGCTTTGAACTCGACTTTGACGGCTACGGAGAGAGCTATGTGCTGTATCTTGGAGAACTATCAAACACCAGAGGTAGGTTTTCTGTTTGGTTAGAATGAGGGACACTTCGTGGGAACCCCGAGTACTAATATAGTTTGTGTTTGATAGGGATTTAACGTTCCAGAGGTTCTACGAAAATACTTGCCAGGAAATCCGGAGTTTTTGCCGTTTACAAAGGAGTTGCCAAAAGATACTACCAGTGAGAAGAAGAAGAACCAGCAGCTTAAGGTTGTTGGTAAGAAGCAAGCTTAGACGGGTAGTCATTTATTGACTTTCCCTTTTCTCTCTCTCTTTCCCTTTTACATTTTCTTATAGTTGTAACTCTATACCATTTTCACTTTTTTTGGCATAACCGAGGGTGTTTGGACGTGGAACCGAAAAAGCGAGATGGCTTTGAAAGAAAATTCACCTTGATTTTAGTGAATCTCCTGTCTTGGTCCGAATCGTCAGTCGCTCTCTTCTAAGAATAGGGCTACCTATCTAGAGATGCCGTAAAGCAGTAGTAGTTCATAATGAATGCAAGCTGTCCTCGAGGCTAGAATACACGCTCGGATGTATCATCTCACCTACAGAGTAATCTGTTTGCAGAATTTTGCGTCCATTCTCTCGAATCCAGACCCAATCGTAGACATAACTATAATCCATTTTCTTAACGAATCAATCTTGATCTTTTTTCCTACTAATCGCCAGAGAGTTCCCTGGTCTGGATATCTAGAAAGCACTAGTACTAGTTATACAAGGGCATAGGCTATCATGATGAAGAGCACACATGAAAACGCATGCGTAGCTTAGACGCATATATATTCTAGTTCTTTTTACAGTTATCTGCTAGCATAAAGAGGTGATTAAATCCTCGGGGTCATTTACCTAGGAGTATAAATATTCACTCTCAATTCACATATTCCATCAAGCACATTTACGCCTCATCGCCGTGGTGCTGCCTCAACCCTCACGATTGAAAAGTACTACGCTTCGACGGTTCATTTTAACCATATTCAGCTATTATAGTAAAGACGGTTGTATGATTCTCTTGTGCCCCCGGTAGAAAAAATATAATACATTCTCTTTGAGGTGTTCCTTAGCTTTGGGGTTTAATCAAGCCGATTCTTTCTCTATACACTATATATATATAAAGTTCGCAACGACGTTTTCCGAGACCTGAATCTCCAAAATATGGCTAGGTATATACACACACCTTCTATCGTATCATTGCATGCACGATGCTCAAATTTGGTGTATAACGCCAGGGCTGTGTGGAGAGTATACACACACATAGCTATGCCGTTTGCTACACTCTAGCTAGCTAGCAAGCAATCAAGCAATATGTTCAATCTACAAATTGATGGACAAAATTATATATCTCAATAGCGAGATCCATAGCATGGAGCTAGTCTAGTTTTACATGGAGCAATAGCCGGAGTAGCGCTTCTTGGTCAGTTGGAATGCTGCTAGACAATTACAATAACTTTTTAGAGCCCAAATGGTGATATTACCCATGAATATGTTCTTTGGTATATAATTACATTATATATTTATCATTTCCGACGGTAAGCTCTCCCAAACCAGCTATGAGTTCTATCTCAAAAGGTTCTGCACAGATATGGGTCTGGAAATTGATGCGAATATGATGGCAATATCAATCTACAATGGGGTACGTAAGAGAACATCGAGATCGATTGGTAGTTGAAAAAAGCGAGTTATTTCTGCAGTATACTTAATTTATTTATCACATCTCAAGCTCGGGGACCTGTTAATTACTAGAAGAAAGATCAATGAGAATCCGAAACGATGAAAGTTCGAGCAGCTGTCGTCTTCATTACTCACCCGTCAATGCAATCACGTAATGGTCTGATTGAGGTCAACAATCTTGATATTCATCCGAAGTACATTGCGAGTATTAGAGCTTTTCTGAATTGTCACCAGTAAGTCTCAGGGCAATAAAACACAGTACTGAACTTGCACTCTCACATATAGGAATACCGATAGCAAGTTCTTATTACCATACTATGCCTAACGACTGAACTAGATATTATATTCCGCAAAGCCCCCAATTTAACCAGATGAACAAGATCGATCTCTCCACCTCGTCACGATGCTTGGCTACATTTGTTGTGGATGAAGGTTAAAAACGCATATGCTCGCATCTAGCCCCCGGGGCAGAAGCTAGCAGAACCAGATTTTTTATATATGATATGCCCGGCTGAAAGAGGTCATCTTCCTTCAATTAATGGCGCATATTGACCAATATATGACAAAGCGGAGGAGACTAAACGGCAGCGCTAGGGGCTAAAGGGTTCACCACTACAGTAAACTGATCAGATGTGATTCCTAAAAGATACCGGAGCCGCTGTCACGACTGGCGCCATATAATGTATGAGACAACCGGGCCTGTTTCAAAGACATGAATTAGAGAGAAAGAGTATATGCAATCCTACAAGCCCCGAAGTATGCTATATATAGGCTACTTTCGACGAACGATCGATACGATTCATGATACCTCATGTATCTATTATCCGCTCTCGATAAATCGGTGACGGGAGCTGTAAACGTTGCTGGTGAGAATTCAAGTGCGAAAGGCCTCTGCAGTGGTATTTCTCTAGAGGTAAATATATCTATTTTCACCGAACTGATATGTCCAAGTTAACTTTGGGTAGAACTGCCTAAGTAGTATATATATACACAAGTACATAAGAACAGGTCTAAGTATTGAGAGGAAGAGTGAAGCTTATAATTTCATAAATTAGCTAGCCAGTTTTCTAAACTTAAAAATATGTTTCGAATTTATCGATATCTCTGTTGTGTTCATTTAATGCATTTCGTACCTATTAAATACAATCCGCAAAAGAATTATACCAATCGTATATTATCAGCCGTCGACGAAAGATTAGCCAATTACAAGGACTATTGCTGGTTGGACGTCAACGTGCAAGGCATCTGTTGTCGTGTCAAATGCTATTTGATGGATGTCGGTATTGAAATAACAAAAACAAGAAACTTTAAGAAACTCTCAAAGATATAGCAAATCGCTACCACGAAATCCATAGTTATATATGTATGCTCCAGATTCCATTACACAGAAGTAATCTCCGCTAGCAAATCTAATGAAGCATGAAGTTACAATGCATAGCGCGTTGAAATAAGCTTCGGAAATGTCGTAAACAACACCAAAAAACCCCAACTAAGCGAAGTCCCAATCGCGACTTGACTTCATAAACTGTGCAATTACTGGAAACGAGTACCTAGATACAGAAATATTGGTGAGCTCTGTAAGCCATGATGCTACAAATTGGCTCGAAGTTAACGATGCATCGCGTTGAGAAATGCTTGTATAGCTTAGTGGTAGAGCGTTGCACTTGTAATGCAAAGGTCACCTGTTCAATCCAGGTTATGAGCATATGAACACACCTTCTTTTTTGGTCCAGGAGGCTAAGGATCTTTTTTTTTATATCTTTTTTTGGTCATATACTTCAAAACTAAGGATATGGAAGCACAAGCCATTGTGAATTTTGTCGTAGTTTTAATATCGCATAAGCTTGCGCCGGATTTCATTTATGCCGGGCATTGTAATTCGAGATGTGATGAGGGGATAGTGTATCTTCTGAGGTATCCTATCATTTTATAATTAACTTCGTGAACTTGCATTTACAGTTACGACTGCCACTACTGACTTTAGCGCCTTGGCCTTAAAATCATATCATACCATGGCCATGTAATTAGTTAACTAAGCAGTTATATTTAATTCACGATTTTAAGATGCATCGGATTCAATAGTTATGTATGCATATTCCAAAGACCAACTCGCTACTATAGAATAGTTCCAAAATTTAAAAAACAAAATTGTACATTACATATACATTTCGAACTCCAACCAAATGCTGCAAAACTTATACTATATTAGATCTATATATAACCTCACTCAAACCGTGTCTTCAACAGCTAACAGCCTAAAGCGCTCCATCAAATCCAAGACATGGCCCGACGATATTGGATTTGTAAATCTCATAAGTACCAACACGGGGTCCAGTATACTCTCCACTAGGACGACCCTTTGGACACTGTTCAGAGGCACCAGAAGGAGCAGTATCATAAGAGTAGTATCTTCTACAAGTCCATACACCATCCCTTTCGCTAAGTACACTATAGAGAGAGACAAAATTAATTCTGGTTCTAAGCACCAATAATAGTATTTGGAGGTGAAACTTACGCAGTATACAGAACGTCTTTGATTTCATATGCCATCTCACAGCAGAGGCTGTGAGTATATTCGGAAGCACCATCACCGGGAAGTATAGGCTCGTTAATTGGCGAATAGGCTGCCCTCCTGCCTGGTGTGACGACGTATTGGACCAATCTTGACTTTGCTAGAAGACTAGTGCATTGCGGTCTAAAAGCCAATGTCTTGGTACTCGTGATAGTTGGTTCTGGAAGCACTGATGTTTTGGTGACTACATTGGTGCTGGTGATTGTCGCCGTGGTAGGGCTATAAGTGGTAGCCTTGGCAGTCTCTGTCGTACTGACGGTGACTGTGATATATTTGGTATTTGTTTTAGTCTCAGTGGTTTGAGTTTGGACGGTGTTAGAGTTGACTGAAGTAGCGGTGACGGTGACGGTGGGAGTTGGGAGTTCCAGGCAAGAGCAGGCCTTAGAGATAACGCTAGGGGCAAAGCCACCGATAAAAGGGGGTACTTTAATATTTCGCTTCTCGGCCTCGACGTCCCGCTTAGCAGCAGCAGCCGTGGTGTACGTAGTGGTGGTAACAGTCTTAGCGGCCGGGGTGGAAAAGACTGTAGTTGTAGAGTCCACAATGAGTGTGTCTGTAGCTACAATGGTGGGTAGTGTAGCAATTACTTCTGTCTCTGCGAATGTGAGGACACTGATTGTCTAGTTAGTATAACATATCAACCGTAATTGGGCTCTTTTATGAACTTATAGCTTACTCTGTAGCAGCTGTGACAATTGCCGTGATCGTCTCCTCAACCGTAGCTGTAGTTGTAGTATAAGTTTGAACTACTTGCGTGGCTGGAATAGAAACTGTCCCAATTTTTAAATAAGAACTACAGAACGCAGTTGCCTGTTGTACTTTGAGAAGTTCAACGATCTTCTTGATCGGTTGGCAAAACGATAGACCTCGCTCTTCAAGAGGCGATGAAAGGGAATTTGAAACTGGCGAACGGCGGTCAATCATCGCGCCTTTGATGACGATAGCAGAGGCTAGAGGGCTGATGCCCGCGAAGAGCACGGCGCCTGAAAGGAATTTCGAATGCATTATTAATTAATAGTTATTGATTATATATAGAGTAGTATATGAAAAAAGAAGTAGTATGCCGGGATGGCTATTGATTGCTTTGCTTCCCTGAAACTGATTTGAAAAGAGTATTTAAACCTGCGAAATGCTAGGGTATTTAAAGATCTAATGGAGTCTCGAAATCACGATAATCGATAAACTATAAACCTCATAGTTATTAGCGAGAAACGGTAGAGCCAAGGATATTGCGAGTGTTGTTCTGTTGCATTGCAGTGAGGCGCTCAAAAACTAACCTTTTTCCGGAAGTGCGAGTTTAAGCCCCCTTGTATCGCTTAAAAGGAAAAGTCTGGGGGTACCGGGTGGATATATTTAGAGCTCGCAGAATGCATATCGAAATGGAGATTTTCTGTAGTGTGACGTCTGTAAAAATCTCTTCCTTCACGGTAGGGAGAATTCTTGGCCAAGCCTAGCCAGGCTGCAGGGAAGGTTTGATGGAAGGTTTGCTAAATTGAACGCAGCTGCGCAGTACCTGTGCGACGAATCATGACAACAGATCGATCAGAGCTCTGTGCGGCATATGCACGATATGAACCAATTACCTTTGCAATCTCTTGAGAAGCCCTTGCTACTCCTCATTTATTGCCTGTGGGGCCTGTACCTTTTAGGGCCGGCATACGACTATTCACGTCGACAAGTTAAAAATGTGTATGGCATGTATTCGGATGTCGCCTTTCTTAATGCTACGTAATATGGCTCAAGTCGTGTGTTGACACTGTTGGAGCTTCGCAAAATGAACCTAATCCGGACTAGCTCATAACCATCCCTGCCAGAATTTCCAATCCAAAAGCTCCAACCGACCGTGACACTATTATCAAACCTGCATCATCTCTTCAACATACAACTTCTCCACGGCTGCCTTCCCTTGCATCTCTAATCTATCATCCGATATCTACTAGCCCATTTACATTGAGCGGCTGAAAAGCATACACACCTCGCTTACAATATGGCCGACGCCGATACAGCCCTTGCGACACTGGCTCCAGAGTCCGACGCGCAGGGAGAAGTAGTCGATGCCTCAACAGACACGACAGTCGCCCTCAAATCCAACGACACAGCTGTAGCGCCAACCAAGAAACGTCGGCGACCTGCGAGACCCCAAGTCGACATCGCTACATTCAAACCTGGCGAGATACCCCAGCAGACCGGTACTGTTTGGAACATCTGGTACAACAAGTGGTCCGGTGGCGATCGAGAGGACAAGTACATCTCGAAACACCACGCCGAGGGCCGTTGCAACGTCGCTAAAGATTCTGGCTATACGAAAGCTGATCGGGTGCCTGGATCTTACTTTTGTCTCTTCTTTGCACGTGGATTATGTCCCCATGGCCATCAGTGCGAATACCTCCACCGATTACCGACGATTCACGACCTATTCAACCCTAACATTGATTCCTTCGGTCGAGACAAACATTCGGATTATCGTGATGATATGGGTGGTGTCGGTAGTTTTATGAGGCAGAATAGGACGTTGTATATTGGAAGAATACACGTGAGCGACGATATCGAAGAAATCGTTGCTCGGCATTTCGCCGAATGGGGCCAAGTTGAGAGAAGTACGTGTTAAATTCATACTTTCAAATTGTGATTACATGCACTAACGCAAAAATATTTAATAGTAAGAGTTTTAAACTCCCGTGGTGTCGCGTTCGTTACATACACCAACGAAGCCAATGCTCAATTCGCTAAGGAAGCGATGGCGCATCAGTCGCTCGACCATAACGAAATTCTGAACGTCAGATGGGCTACGGTAGATCCTAATCCGCTAGCACAGGCCCGTGATAAGAGGAGGATAGAAGAGCAGGCTGCAGAGGCAATTAGGCGGGCTCTACCAGCGGAATATGTGGCAGAGTTAGAAGGCAAGGACCCTGAGGCGAGGAAAAGAAGAAAGATGGAGAGCGGGTTCGGTCTCCAGGGTTTTGAAGCTCCCGAGGAGATCTGGTATAACAGAGGCGCTGATGCTGTAAATCCTGTTGGCAGACAGGGTTACGAAGAGTTAGAAGGCATGGAGAGAGCAGGATTTATCGAGGCTCCGCCACCAGAAGAGAAAGGCGGGATCTTGTCAGGAAGTACTCTCGCAGCGCTGAAAAACTATGCACAGCAGACACAAAGTAGCAGTAGCGTAAAAGTAGCAGAGAAGGTAACAGGTGGAGGACCCTTAGTCGCTTATGGCAGCGATGATGATAGCGACTAAATTGTCATGTTGCGCATAAATTGTGGTTTCCAACGCTTAATGTATAATAGAAATCATAGATATGAATTGATGATACCCAATTTCCGACATAATCTGAGCTCCTTGACGCCATGTATGAACAAATTAGAAATAAAATATGTACGCCACCCAACCCGTAATTGCTCTTAACTATACCACTACACACTACACGAGTATCTTGGACATGTATGGTCCATCGAGGAAATACCCAAGGCTAGCATAGTACTTTCGTACACCCACACCACTGATACTATTCGAAAGTTAGCATTAATCCCTACAATCAAATCTGATGCACTTACACGCTTATCTTTTCGCTACCATGCTCATCTCTCGCTATTCTCTCTGCTTCCTCCATCAACAAGGTTCCGAAGCCTTGGTGCTGGAATTTCTTCGGATTTCTTCCGTGGACTGGTACTGCGCTTCCGTAAACATGGAGCTCTCGTACCAAACTTGTGGGCTGACCAGTAAGCTCAGGCCTGAAGGTTCTATCGGAACATTTTCTCAGTCTTAACAACCCAATCAAGATATCCTGCTTAGGGTCCTCATATGAAAGGAACGTCTCCCAGCCTCCATTCGCGGTATAGTCCCTTCGAATCAACTCGACTTGGTCTGGTCGAACTTTGTGTTTAATTTCCTGGATACCAACTTCTCGTGTTCTGACGTCACGACAAGTTGTTCCAAAATCCTTCATTCTCGCCAGCGCTAACTCTCTCAGATTACCATTCTCAACACCGGATGTCACCAGTGGCATGGGGATATCCCGCTGCACACGGTAGATTCTCGTCCATGGGGGCACCAGAGCCATGATCCTAGCCACTAAGTCAATCAAGGCGTTTGGTGTATAATTCTTGTACCTCCCCGTTCGCCAAAGCTCGTACAACCCCGTTCCTCTGATCACTAAGGTAGGGTAGATTTTCAAGCCGTCCGTTCTGAACTCAGGATTCTCAAAGTACTCTCTAAATTGGTCCAAATCTCTTTCCATACCACAGTTCGGTAGATCCGGCATCATGTGCGAAACAACTTTGTATCCCGTATCCTTCGCTAGCTTAAATGTTTCGCACACAGCTTTAACGGTATGACCTCGGTTCGTATCTCGTGCAACGTCTTCATACAAACTCTGGACACCGATTTCGAGACGTGTGCAGCCGTACCGAAGCATAGACGAAAGATGGGTATCGAGACAGTAATCAGGCCGTGTTTCAATTGTAATTCCAACACACTTCGTCTGTGATTGTTCGGCAAACTGGACCGCTTCATCAACGTTTTCCGTCGTATGCCCAGAGAGGGCATTGTGGAGGCTGCTGATAAACCAATCCCTATAAGATTCCGGAAGGGACATGAATGTACCTCCCATGATGATGTATTCGACTTTATCGACGCTATGACCAAGTTGTCGAAGCTGTTCAACTCTACCACGGGCCTGTTCGAAGGGGTCATAACGGGCTCGGATCGCTCGCATGCTTGTAGGCTCGTAACCGGTGTACGATTGTGTGCTGTATTCAAAGTCGGAATCCGGCCCACCAGGGCAGTAGACACAAATATTCCCAGTCTAGAAAGTTATTAGAAATTTACCAAAGATTTGTGGGAGTAGGTGCGACATACGAATGCGATGTGGGGGCATCTGTGCGGCTTGCACATAACAGCTACCACAGCAATACCAGAGCTTGTTCCTGAAATAAAATATCTTTAGCTCCGACTTCCTCATGAAATTGAAGACTTTTGTTACATACTAACTGGCTTCGCCACCAGTTTAGGCACTATATACTTCTTATAATGCTCTGGAACAGCTGCAATAATGTCGGTCAATGGTGGCGTCCTTGTGAGCTTGAACTTTTTTGCAATAGTTCCCCGTAAAGAGTTCAAGTTAACATCTTTTCCTTTCCCGCCCGACTCTTCATGAAGCTGGATAAGGTGGTTGGCGACGGCGGCGCATGCTTGGGCATATCTTTCGGATTCAGACGTAGTGGGGCCTTTCTCTTTGGCCTTAAGGCCGGTATGGTGGGCGACCATGACGAAGGTTTTAACGATTACTGGAGATGACAATCCAGTGGTATCAGCTCTATCGAGTTCTGTGGTACTGATATGTGGGGATATCTCGAACTGGGGATTTGATGCTGTGATATCGATGAATGATGATTGGAGAACAGGCTTGTGGGACCAAAAAATTAAGAAAAATGACTGGGAGAGCTTGCTTGCCTCCCCCAGGGATCTCGGGAGCATTGGATCTATTCCGGGAAGAATGACAACAAAAACAACACAGGAATATCAACAGGAAAAAATATTGTATTTGCTTGGATAAGGAACACAATCATAGACTAGACATCAATGACAAGGTCTCATCGAAGCGGCAAGCATCTTAGTATCAATAAAATAAGGGGAAGCTTGAATGATGGCAATACGGCCAAGACCTCTGTTAAATCAATCAATCAAAGGGAATTGGGGCAAGTATGCTTGGAAGGCAGTACAGTGGCGAGAATAGAAGCAACCATAAGTTCTGGCAGATGCTGTTGGGTGCAAATCTGTACCTATGCGCAATATTGTTAGAAAATCATGAAATGGTTCGCGAAGTACTAGTACATACTTTCAAAGTCAATACATTAAAAGAGGTTGTTGAAGGAGTTGGAACTGATTATCTGGAAGTTGATTTGTTGCGAAGGGCCTCGAGGCAGCGAGCCGCTTTGCAAGTTTTCATCATGCAGCACCTAAGGTGCTTTTGAATGGGTGCGGGTTTTTCCAACAGCATGTCTGTCGGGTGTGATTCAGTGTCGAGGAATAATTGCTTCTGGACACTCCCGTGTCCTGATTCATTAGCGGCTTTGTTCTTGGCCTTAAGAACCCAATAATACTTGGTCGTTTCATTTTGGATCCTCTTTTCAACCTCCAGGTTGGTCTGATAAACAACCAGACGAACTGATGGAAATTTTGTTCTCTTTGACACCTTCTTCGTCTGTGGACCTAGAACTAGAGGCCCGGTGGCTAGTTAGACTAACGCATAACTCTTCCGTTTAATTACTTCCTTAGTCTACACTTCTTAGGCTCGGGTAATACTAACGGTGTTTCGAAAAATCTAGTATCTTTCTAGAAGGTTTCTCCAAGGAAACTCTCCTCAAAATAGTCCCGTCACTTCGACGAATGATTTTGGCAACGTGCTGCTGTTGTTGCTTGTTGTAAACCATTTTCTAAAACGACAAAGTATTTCTTAGTCTTAGATCTTAGAGGATTCCTCACAAAAAAAAAACGCTCGGAATGAAAGTTAGTCGAGTTACATACCAATAGTTGAGCAATGGATACAATTAGAAGGGGTTTATTTCTAATTGGACGAAGCTTTGGGAGAAAACACGCTCAATCGCAAGGGTTTGAACGAAATGAAGACAGAACCGGAGAAGTATTCAATTGAACGTATCTGTGAATATTCGATGGGGAGCAAAGGGCAGAACTTGGTTGATGAAAATTGTGAGATGATAGATCTCAAAATATCGATGTCGGTTCGGGAGCAAACACTAGAGTTAAGTTTCGTGTTAGAATTGCGAGCGCTTGCGATTGATGATTGCCTTCACGCGCACGATGAGATCATAATCATATCATACTTACGGTGGATATTTTGAAGTGTCTCCTATTAGTACACTATGTAGAGTGCTAGATGTCTATGCTCTTCTAGAATTGCAGTGATTAGGAGGATGGAGTGAGAGTGAAATAGAAGAGATGCATTTCTTGTGAGCTTGGGGAAGATGGCAATATCGGGGTGATAGTATCTCTACCATAGAGACGTCGAGAGGGGCCCTCAAGGAAAGTTTTAAGGGCTTGACCAATCCTCCGTGAAGGACGTAAAATAGATTGCGTCTGAACTTCTTCAATCTTTATTGTGGAGAGCTTCCAATAAGGCTATGGTAGGCTCGTATTGTAGTCGGCATTGGGAATACTATTGATCCTTACATGAACATATATCAGTTTCAATATATCGATTTATAGCCGGTACCGAGGCTAGTCTAGATCTGAGTCGTCATATGCCGACTTCAAGCCACATATAAACTTGTCTACAATGCATCCAAGCGTTTGGTACATAGTCCCCAAAAGAAGGTCAAATTCGGTTGCGGGAAGCGTGTACAGAGTCTCGAGTCGCGGTCTTGGGGGTCGGGCACTGGGATTGCATTGTAACGTAACTAGGGACTAGAGACAAAGTTTAGAGAGTATAGTGCTCGAGTGTACTGATCATGAGCGCATGTTTATTGATCCGAAAAGCCATCATGGGATATAGTTTAAGTTTGCCTCAAGGCCAAGTGTAAATAGATGGTTGATCTTAGGACCAAAAGTCTAGGCGGCCATGAATTAAATGTACCCAAATTATTTGGCTCGCATGTTAACGTTATCGAGGAATATTGTAAGGAACTTTCAGAGAAGTAGCAGTCTGGCTACATAAGGGAGCATGATGCATGATCATCGATAGCATTGATTTAATATAGATCTATCTCTTTGCTCCTTAGTGGCTGGATTCTTCAAGTGGGTTCCGCGGGATCGAGCGAATTCGCTCTTCTAGCATCATCTGTAATCATACATTATTAGAGTTCCAAACAATTGTTCATGAATCACCTATGCTAACTAGCCCGAATTATTGATTCATATTATGAACCGGCCCCCGATAATTACTTGTATAATGTTAAATAGCTCTAGGTAAGCTCTAAAACTGGTTAATGTTTCGAAGATTTCGGGATGAGAGTTGCTTCTTCTTGTTGAAGGTTTTCGGAGCCATTATGTTTATAATATTTAACTAGTATGATTGTATGCCAGTCTTGTGCCGCTCTATTACATTCCCGTTGGGTTAAGAGGAGGTATTCACTCGATGTTGGTACGTCTAGGGAAGTCTGAAGACATATCAAATAATTGAAAGATTAGCAAGAACATTTATATTTTACTTTGGGAAGGTCACCTGGCATCGCAAAGCCCTCTTGGTGTAGTTGGTTATCACGTCAGTCTCATATCTTGATATGAAGGCCTTAAACAGGCAGAAATCTGAAGGTCAGCAGTTCGATCCTGCTAGAAGGCACTTCTTTTTGCTTCTAAGGACTTTTTTGGATCTCTTTCTATCGCCATCTCAAAGGCATTAGATTATATTGCATATGTCAAGTTTTTTTGAACCGGCAATCTTATTTCATTAGGGCAAACTTACTTTGATGGTTTCCTATTTCTTTTCTCTACTCCATCTACAATTTTGACCTTTTACTTCCCTTTCACTGGCATCGATTTCAAGCTTCGGTCGAGGCCAAATGGTGCGTTGTTTTCCACTGTTACACACAATAAAACAACACACCGTTACTATCTTTTAATATGCTCATAGACGTCGATTCAGTGTCGTGACCCATAATCGAGATACTCATAGCGGGATATCGAGTTTTTTTTCTTTCTTTGAGTCGAAAATTATTTAAAGAATATATCCAAGTGGTCTTTAGGCTAGCACACAAGAGGGTCACCATGCCCCTATCGCATGTGCATAGGACCTGTTTCGAACATGTCGCTGTTAGAATTCGAATGTTGTTAGTATACGTACTGATGCACATGCACTAACCTCAACTAGACCCAATCGAATTATAATATTGGGAATAAATCTTAGGCTTCTCTTTAGTTCAAAGTCAAACCCATTATAAAATATCTATATCGATTGGTTGGCGCATGATTCCCTGGCAATCTGTCCACATTCCAAGGTTCGGACTTACGGCATCCTGCTTTTGCATTTGGTTGAGTGGTATGGAGAGATTTGGTGCAGGAATAAAGCTCAGACATGATTACTACCTAAAGGCTCATTGCGCGATTGAGTAGATCTAGAAACTAACGGCGTGTATAATAATAAAGTAACATATATAATATATGGCTATAGAACCCTCAGAATACATTATCTCTAAGCTGGATGGATAACGACCCGAGAATCGAAGTGTTGGATGTTGCATTTTGAAGTGGGTCTCCGCCGCATCTTCCCTAGTACAGCGGCTTGAAATGCGGCTGGCTGAAACTTGCTTGGCGATGATGCACTTAAGTCCTTCGACTTTCCTGTTTCTCGGGTTTAGTATGCGGACACATAATGATGCCTAATAAAACCTTTCCCAGCCGCTGTTTTCTCTTCTCCAACACTCCATATCCAGAGTTTAGCATCTACTCCAACTAGGGCGAGATCGAGAGTTTCACCCGCCGGCGCCGTTTATCCTTTATGTGAAGCATCCCGCCACGCGACCCACAATGGCGTCCTCGTCGCCGTCGCCGCGGCCCACCCCCCGGCCACGTGCGGAATCGAATGTCTCCGATGCAAGCTTCTACTCCCATGCCGATGGCGTTGAGATGTCACACGAAGATGTTTTTAGCGGCCCGATACCAGAGAGTGTTCCATCGAGTGTTTCGGCGTTTGTGCATAGACGGAGATCCCGTACCGAATCCGAGGCTAGTTTCACATTTTTTCAACAGGACGAGGTCGACAATTGGGACAACGAGGAAGCGATTATAGACGATGATGATGATGAAGAATTTCAATTCAATGCATGGGAAGGGGATATTGATATGGACCTGGAGTCTGGATCTCGACGGCAGTCGCTGGCTCGCTCACCCCGTAATTCGAGGGACGATCAAGAACTTCCGTTACTCGACCGCCAGGACACCAATGCTACCGATACGAGTCGTATATTTATGAGAGGCCCGCTAAGATCAAATCAAAAGATCTATATCGTTACGGAGGATTTGACCATTATTGTTGGAGGGTTCAGAACAAGCAAAATGGGCTCGACAATTTTGACTGTATTATCGGTCCTTACGCTCGGCTTGTTTTACTTGCTGCTACGTTGGATGCCCCGCTGGAGAGTCCGACTGATAGGAAAGCCATGTCCGTTGAGAGATTGTGAATGGGTCGTAATCGAGGTTAGTAGTATCATCCCGGGAGCATTGTCGGGCTTTGCTAAATTTTCGATTATAGAACGAGTGGAATGAGTTCAGCATACACCCTATTAAGAAACGGTCGTATGGAATGACTCTATCTACTGTATTCGGCCCTCCATCCGAGAAAGCAGTCGCAGCGGCTGAAGCGGCGGAGGAAGACGATGATCCTTTGATTAACCACCTGCGATACCTCGATTACCGATATATTCGATTCTGTTACAACCCGGTGGAGGATAGATTTATGCTCACTAGCAACTGGAAAGACCCGGAATGGGATAGTGTATTATCCGCTCGCCAGGGCGTTGATAGTGACACTCAAGATCAACGCTCGACTGTCTTTGGACCCAATGTCATAGATATTGAGGAAAAAAGCACGATGAACCTTTTCTTAGACGAGGTCTTCCATCCTTTCTACGTTTTCCAGATCGCTAGTATCATCCTATGGTCAATGGATGAGTACTACTACTACGCTTCCTGCATTTTTCTTATATCCATTGTTAGCATCACCAGCACCCTGATCGAAACGAAGTCGACTATGAAGCGACTTCGAGAAATCTCGAAATTTGTTTGCGATGTAAGAGTAATGCGCAACGGCTATTGGGAATACGTTTCTTCTGCAGATCTGGTTCCCGGGGACGTTTACGAAGTTACAGACCCTCACTTAACATTATTCCCTTGTGATAGTTTGCTCCTGTCCGGCGACTGTATCGTCAATGAGAGTATGCTCACAGGAGAATCTGTTCCGGTATCAAAGGTTCCGTGCACCGACGAGGCCCTACAAGAGCTAGATCTTGACGCATCATCCGTGAAGCCTGCACTTTCTAAATACTTCTTGTTTTGCGGTACGAAAATCATCAGGGCCCGCAAACCACAGGATGGACAGGACGATGAGGCTGCCGCACTAGCACTTGTTGTTCGTACCGGATTTAATACTACCAAAGGTGCATTGGTACGCAGCATGCTGTTCCCGAAGCCTACAGGTTTCAAATTTTATCGTGACAGCTTCTACTACATTAGTGTAATGGCTGTGATTGCGCTGCTCGGATTCATCGCCACCTTGATTAGATTCATCGAACTTGGGGTAAGTTTCACCACTATTACACACAGTACTAAAATAGCTACATAGTTACTAACATGAAAACAGCTTGCCGTACACTTGATTGTCGTTAGAGCTTTAGACTTAATCACGATTGTCGTCCCACCCGCCCTTCCTGCAACACTGACGATTGGTACAAACTTCGCCCTCTCGAGATTGAAGAAGAAACAGATCTTTTGCATTAGTCCTATGAGGGTCAATGTTGCTGGAAAGCTAGACGTAATTTGCTTCGACAAAACTGGTACTCTGACGGAAGATGGGCTTGACGTTCTTGGAGTTCGGGCTGTTCATCGCGACTCTAAGAAGTTTTCTGAGCTATACAACGACTCACTAGACCTTCTCCCGCCAAACACCTTTGAACGAGATCCCTCTGTCGACTTTTCTACCAATAAGGCAATACTACATACCATGGCTACTTGTCATTCCCTCCGGATGGTTGACGGCGAGCTTATTGGCGACCCTCTGGACCAGAAGATGTTCGGGTTTACCGGTTGGTCATATGAGGAAACAGGATCCCAAATAAGACGAAACAGCGAAGAAGTATTGACCGCTCAACCCAACGCAATATCGCCTCCAGTTGTCAGACCACCCGCTGGAAAGAAGTATGGAGATAACGAAAATGAGGGCGAGATTCCGCTTGAACTTGGAGTTTTCAAATCTTTCGAGTTTGTATCCCAACTTCGGCGAGCTAGCGTCATCGTCAAGCAATTTGGTGAGACTGGATGTGACATTTATGTAAAGGGAGCTCCTGAGTGTATGGCAGAGATTTGTAACCCTGAGAGCTGTAGGTCGCCACCAACCCCGTTGAACTGATGGCTTACTAACTTAAGTTCCTAGTTCCTGAGGACTATGACGATTTGCTGGCCTACTATACACACCGTGGATTCCGTGTCATCGCTTGCGCAGCCAAGAACATTAAGAAATTGTCTTGGGTTAAGGCTCAAAAGATGAAGCGCGATGAAGCTGAAAAGGACCTCGACTTTTGTGGCTTTATTATCTTCGAAAACAAGTTGAAACCAAGCACGGCTGGCGTTATGAGGGAGTTGGAGCAAGCAAATCTCCGACGTGTCATGTGTACTGGTGACAACATCCTCACTGCTATCAGTGTCGCTAGGGAATGCCACCTGATCGATAAGTCAGCTCATGTGTTTGTTCCTCATTTCGTAGAGGGAGACTCCCAATCGTCCACGGCCAAAATCCAGTGGGAGAGCGTCGACAACAAGATCTATAAGCTGGACGAGGACACACTGTTGCCGCTCCCCGCCCCGCCTGAAGGTGATCTGTCTCTCCCATATGATATCAACAATATGCGAAACTATTCTATCGCCGTCAGCGGCGAGGTTTTCAGATGGATGATCGATTTTGCCCCAAGGGAGGTCATGCAGCGCATGTTGGTGATTGGTCAGGTTTTTGCTCGGATGTCCCCCGACGAAAAGCACGAACTGGTCGAGAAGCTACAAAGTTTGGATTATACTGTCTGCTTCTGCGGTGATGGTGCTAACGACTGCGGAGCCCTGAAAGCCGCGGATGTCGGTATCTCTCTATCTGAAGCTGAAGCATCTGTTGCTGCGCCATTTACGAGCCGTGTATTTGAAATTTCCTGCGTCCCACAAGTTATTAGGTATGTCTTCCCTCTCGAAGGTTATTCAAATATCAATACTAATCATACAAATAGAGAGGGTCGAGCTTCGCTCGTTACTAGTTTTAGCTGCTTCAAGTACATGAGTTTGTATTCTGCTATACAATTCATCAGCGTCAGTATCCTTTACAAGTCCGGGTCCAATCTAGGAGACTTCCAGGTATGTTAAACATGATAAACCGCCCAAATTCATGAAAAAGTCTAACTGTTTCATTAGTATCTGTTCATTGATCTTCTCCTCATCTTACCGATTGCCATCTTCAGTAAGTTACCAAAGCAGCTTTTGCCCTTCTAGCAGTGTTAACATGGTGCAGTGAGTTGGAGCGATCCTTCCGACAGGCTTTCAGTAAAACGCCCAACAGCGAGCCTAGTATCCCGAAAAGTTTTGACACCACTTCTCGGCCAGATGTTCATCTGCTTGCTAATTCAATTAACGGTTTATGAATTGGTCCAGCAGCAGCCATGGTACATCCCGCCAGTTGTCGACCCAGAAAAGTCCAACATTCTCAACTCCCAGAATACAAGCTTGTTCCTATCATCAGGTTATCAATACATTCTTGCTAGCATAATATTGAGTGTTGGACCGCCTTTTAGGAAACCAATGACGCAGAACTGTGAGTGCTTCATATTACATGGCCAATTAACAGTATAGTTGCTAATACCACCTCTAGTTCCTTATGTTGCCTCATTGTTTGTCGCTCTTGCGATAGTTACCTATCTTCTCCTTGACCCTTCAAAGGCTGTCATGGATTTCATTGAATTGACAGAAATGTCGATGTCGTTTAAACTGCTAATTGTGTTCATCGCAGCGGTTGGCTTTATTGTAAGTTGGTATGGCGAGAAAAGAGTCTTTGTAGAATTAGCTAGATGGATTGGGAAGACTCAAGCTACATTGCGACCGAGCTTTCAAAAGAAGAGAAAGGAGTATAAGCTCCTTGAAGAAGAGATGAGATTTTGATGTATGATTAGAAAGGTGCGGGTAGAAGACTAGAGTATGTACGATACTTGCTAAATAACTCCAGCAATACATGTAGCATTATTGTTAGCGAGAATTTGGGAGCGACTTAATTAATTAGATTAAGATATCATATAACACCTTGGCAATCCTTGTAGTTTCTAGAAAGACTTTTGTTCTCCTGGACTCATGATCAGATAACGGAATTCCCACCACCGTCAGATTACCTCTTCTGCCTCTTCGCACTCCTACTCTGGTTCTCTGTGGTGTCAGCCCACGACCTGACTACTTCCTCCATCTTTCTCAAAATTTCCTTTTCCCCTAATCGAACCTCAACAGCCATCCTATTCCTTCTCCCAAGAGCCTCTCCTGAATTTCCCAAAATCGCTATATCTTCTTCTCTCGATGTTGCAAAACCCTCCCTCCTTTTTTGAATAACTTCGAGGATAACGTCCCTGGTCCTAGCATCCTTCTTCGCCTTTGGGAACTTCTCTTCAGTCGCATAAGACCGGAAAGTCTCATCATCAACTGAAAATGCCTGGATCACAATGAGTATCTCAGAAGATATCCCGCCATCTGCCTCGATATCGTATGAATCCTCAAGTAGTTCTTCTTCGACTAGCCTTTCTATCCTGGAGTCACGTGTACTATCCGAAAGGTTCTTTCCGGCAACAGATATGAGTAGTGTAGAATCTATTTCGATCACATCGTGCTGTGTTGACGATTGAGGGTACCTGCCAACCCGGCGGAGTAGATCAGATCGAGGAACCGGACCGGGGTCGCTGTAGAGAGCTGTCCCCGTTGATATATCCCTCGTAGAAACTAGAGATACCGAACCCTCCGATGGCAAGAATTCGCACTTTTGACCCCCAAGAATACCTTAGTATGGGACACCAATCTCGGAGATAAAAAACAAATAAGATACTCACATTCGCCAAATTGCAATCAATTTGAATCAGATTTCCGAAGGGAACCAAAACTTTGTCCGTATCCAAGGAGTCATATTCGTCGTCATCGTCATCATCCATGGCGTCTTCATCTCGAGTATGCCCTGGCTTCTCGAAATCCGACGAAAATGCCATGATCCATGATCCAGCTTTATGAAATGCCTCCAATGAAACATCAACTCCTCCGAATACGTCTCCGTTAGCATCAACAAATGTCTTGATCTCCTCCAAATACATTGCCTCCGCCTCTTCCTTGCCAATTTTGTTCAATACGGCTGACCCTTCGAGTTCTTTCAATTCGTCTTGAGACCAATACATTAGAGTATCAAACTCTGTTGGCATGCTATCAAAATAGCTCCGCCATTGTGAATCTGGCTTTGAAGCTTCGTACATTATTATGAGGATTAGAATAGTCCATTGTGACTTTTCTGCCAAGGATGGAATACGCTCGAGAAGAGAGCTGTTTGTCGCAGTTATAATAGCAGAAGCAGGGATGTTTAGCAAAGTTGTTGAGGCGGGTATGTTATCTATAGAATCTATTTCTTATTCAGTAATTACTCAATAGAAATGATGCATACATGCAAAAGATTTTTGGTCAGAGTTATCGATTATTGATAACTTGGAAATTTTACAAATTCCAGAATTATGGAAACATACTAATGATTTGTTCGCCAGAAGGAGACCGGGATATTTGTATTGAAGGATGGACTTCTACTCCATTGTGCGAAAGCCAGTGGATGATTGCTGTTTCAGACATTTTAAAAGGAGTTTTTCTGATGATTTTTTTTAAAAAAATTCTGGGGCGAATAAATGTAGATGGATGAATTTCAAATGAAGATTTCTATCATGCATAAAACCCGGCGAGCTCTGAGCTAAGCCGAGAGAAGGATTTTGTTGTAGAGCGCCACGACTAGACGCCACGGCTGATATTTCATAGAACTCCGAAGGCACTTCCGGGCACTCCCGGTACAATTAGATAGGTGATTCGTCGAGAATATGTTTTGCTATTTGTGACATGTCAACATTTAAGTTACGATGCATCTGTTGGACTAGAATTTATGTTTTGCAATGCCTTCAGAGGAATTGATGTCGCCATGCACCGCCACAGTTAGGAATGGAACTTGCAACATCCCGTAAATGCAAATGGTGAATCAAGATTAATCATAGCTATAGCTTAACATGATATTGTAAGATGCGAATATTTCGATAGGTCAATATTAGTGTCCTTCACTAATACAATATTTTTTAAAATGCAATATCGCTGGGATTGCTATGGTAGTATGTTTTGCTACGACCATAAATGATATAGACTATGATAGTAAACTTCTCTAGAATAACCAAGTCAATACAAGGCTTTCAAATTCGAATACAAAATGATGCTGACAATGATGCTGAATGCTAAATCTAGAATTATGAAATGATCTGGCTAACAGGACCGATTACGCTCCCTTTTACTCCTTCTTCTGGTGCTCTTCAACCTTCTTCCCAGAAGCCCCAAAGAAGCTACTTAAGATAGTTCCAAACACCCAGAAGAACCCGATGACAATGACACCCATAGTTCCCCATTCGATTAATTGGGAGTCCACCGAATTCAAAATCGGTACTTCCAAACTAGATCTCGAAAGGGTGGAATTGATGAGTTTTGGAGTCAGATGGTAGAAATAAGTTTCCTCCGGGAAATATTCGTCATAACCTAGCATTCTCCTGTCAAATGGATTGGTGGACATCTTGTTCCCTATAATGAAGATCATAATTAGTGGTCGACCGTAAAATGAAGAATGGGTCAGCATGCTAAATTTAAACTGACATTGCTCCGATGGACAAGCCCAAAACACCATCGGCCAAGGTAGCGTAGCCGTCTCACTGTGCTTCTCGGGGTGCGTCGGCATGTACCGTAGATGTAATGGAAGAGTGAACTCCATTGGCGAACGCTTTTTCTCCCATGTACTCAAATACTCCGCAACATCCAATTCCGCGAGAACTAAAGCGCCCCACTTTGACATTGCCCATTCCGGAGCTTCCAAATCAGTTTCTCCCTCTACTACTTTTATTTTGTTTATACCGTAGGATTTCATAAGTTTGTCGTCCTCTAGCTGGTATGGATCCACAAAAAACGGCTGGGGTATCGTGAAATATGCATTCAGGGTGCACCCAGCTGCGGGAGAGTTCCCACCAAGGGCCAGCGTGACCTCAAGTTTTGGATGCAAGCCAGTTGGTCGGTTGAAATCCGCCATGTAGATGCTTTGTCGTGCATGGTGCCTTGACGGGAATGAAACGAGAGCAGGTTCTATTAAACCCATTAGTATTCCATTAGTATCCGTTAAGAGGCTAGAGATTTCCCATTTGGATTCATACTAAGCTCATCATCTTGCCCCACCATGGCAAGCTTCCCTCGAAGGGATATCTCCTCTTCAGGAGACTTTCCTCCGCTTGTTAGAACCCCAACTTCTACTTTATCAGCCGATGTATCAGGCTTAACCTGTACATCCCACGATCCATCTTTTGAATTCCCATCCGAAGTCGCCCAGATTGCGCTGATGTCTAAGGTTTGTGATGCAGCATCGTATTTCAGATCTAATGAAGTGGCAGTGCTTAATGCTAAAACTTTGTCCTTGCAGGCCTTTTTCGAGGGACCGCATATCTTATTCCCAAGTGGTTTGAGAATATTCGGTAGAACATTCACATTGGGGACATAAAGTTGCTTTAACCGCCCTCGGCTGATGAAAGATGTCTACTCGATAACGTTAGCGGCCTATCAAACGACCTCAGGAGTGACCGTATCTCACCTCTATCGAACCGCAGGGGATATCCGCATATTTCAGAATGAAAGAGCAAAGGTTCGTCCTAGTCTCTTCCATACATAAGCATATGTTGTCTAATCCCTCCAATCTTTCTTTGGGTCCGCCAAAAAGATCAAAGCATACATTTTAGATTCCCTTAATGGCATGGCAAGAATATGCAGCCCAAGCGGTAGTCTGGACGCGAATGGTCCCTTCCACTTTTCGTCATAGTTCCTTCCGTTATCGAAACGGAGATGTAATTCTTGCGTCTGTCTGACTACATCTTTCACCTATCAACACGATATTTATCTATTAGCAGGAAATATGGCGATTCGCGGACGACACGCGACATACGAACTGGGGTAACTCGTCAAACGTGAAGGTAAATCGGTCTTCGCGTATAGCCTTGAGTCCCTTTATTTCGAGTTTGTCTTCGGCAAGACGGAGAGCATCTTCCGACGCTTCATTCTCTTGCGGGGACACTAGGAACGTTATGCGACGCTTCATTGTTCTGGATGTTGTTACATGTTGGTTGTGGAGCGTCGGGAGTCAAGCTGTCACTTAGCTCTGAACTCGTGTCGGTTTGAGGCCCGGGACCGGGGATCCGGGAGCCATCCCCAGGACCGACCGGGAGGTTGGCCCCAGCCACAGGGGCTGAGAATCCCCCGAACATTAGCCATGTGTGAGCCATGCGATGCGGCGAGAGAGCGGGGAACCTCCCTGCAGAACCTCACTCCCAACTAGCTTTAGCTGATGCACTCAGTTCAGCCCTGACATCGACACAACCTTGTCTGCTGTTAAATCCGACGTAGTTGGGATTCCATTCCTTAAACCCCTTTACTTGGCTGAAGACCATCCTTCCTTTTGGCCAGAGTACATGCATATATTCAGCCACAGCTCCTATTGTGACTTTCGATTCACCCAGTCCTAGTCCATCCATCCCACAGCCAAGACGATCAAGTGCGACGTGCCGACATCCGAAGTATCTACTAGCAGCTAGAAGGACCCCTCCATAGCTGCACAGTAGCCCTAGTTATCATTGGCCATTCATACCACTATCCTTCAATCTTTCAGTCAATTATTTATCCAGTCGTTCGTTCATCATGGCTTCCAGTTTCAGTCTTAAGCATGCAGACACTGCTCCCGCTCCGATCGATTCATCACTTGGTAAAGATATCATGTCAGGCCCTGAGGAAACAGGTCCCGATGGTACCATTCATTCTGGTCAATCCACGCCGACGGGGCGGCCATATGTAGCTCGTCACATGTCTTCACCGGCCACTCTGTTTCGTTCACCCACTCGGCACCACAGGCGAACACATTCCACCCCCCGTCGAGAAGTCAAGGTAGTTTTTCAGGGATCTCATGGTTTAGCGACCCCGCGCTGATCATTTCTTCGGTGAATCTAGGAGACGTTGGATGCCAGTATGCAATATAATGAGAATGACGACCGACGGATCAACCAGTATATAATAAAACAGGAGATTGGCAGAGGGTCGTTCGGTTCGGTGCATCTGGCCACAGATCAAGATGGCATTGACTACGTATGGGATACATGGATCCAAGATATAGCCACAAGAAATTAATGTGTCTAACTTGCTGTTGTTTATAGGCAATGAAAGAGTTCTCGAAATCCCGGTTACGAAAACAGATCAAGTCAAACTTAATGCGGCATGGCCCTCATACAATTGCTCCTCGTGGTGGCAGACTTAATGTTCCCATGCACCGTCGCAAAGGCTCAGATCTCGCCACAGAAGGAGAGGCCGCCAATCCACTATTTCTTATCCGTGGAGAAATAGCGGCCATGAAGAAATTGAATCACGAAAACCTTGTCAACTTAATCGAGGTTTTAGACGACCCCGACGGTGATTCGATATATATGGTGTTAGAAATGTGTGCGAAAGGTGTTATCATGAGAGTCGGTATCGGCGAAAATGCGACACCGTTCGCAGAGAATGACTGCAGATACTGGTTCAGAGATTTGATGCTGGGGATTGAATACCGTATGGATCATGAAACAGTCTTCCCATACACATGTTTGCCTAAATACTGACCTTAAATCAGTTCACGCTCAGGGCATCATACATCGCGACATCAAGCCGGATAATCTTCTTTTGAATCACAACAATTGTCTTAAAATTGTGGACTTTGGAGTTTCTGAAATATTCAATAAGGATGCTGCTATGAAAACATCGAAATCGGCAGGAAGCCCTGCATTCCTCCCACCAGAAATGTGCACTCTCGGGCAGACGGAGTATGATGGGCGGGCTGCTGATATATGGTCGATGGGTGTGTGTCTGTATTGTTTCTTCTACGGACGTTTACCATTCGATCACGACAGCATTATGGAGCTCTATGAAAGCATTCGTGAAGAAGAGTATGTTTCTTGTTATGATATTATCAGCTTCTAATATTGACATGATGGCCTAGGATACAATACACAGATGATACTCCACCAGAATTGTTGGATCTATTTCATAAAATTCTTGAAAGGGACCCGACAAAACGGATTACTATGGATGAGTTAAGGGTAAGGCTGATTTATAAACTTGATTGCATTTGAATACCAATAACTAAGTTTTTATTTATTTAGGTACATCCTTGGATCACTAATAATGGCAAGGATACTCTCTTATCGAAAGAAGAAAACGTTTCAGACATAGTTGAGCCACCTACAGACGATGAGATTAGAAATGCCATAACAAAGAGCATACGGAATGTCGTCGCTGCTGTCAAGGCGGTCAGCATGTTTAAGAGGCTTGTTATAAGACGGCGACATGAACGGATGCTTGCCGAAGCCGCCAGGGAGAACAGATACACTGACTCCACAGAAGCACTATCGAGCTCACCAACAGCATTGACTCCTCCCTTGCTGCCATGGTCTCAAAGGCCCAGAAGTACGGAGGCAGATAATAGGACTAATGTCCAAGGTAAACTTGCTGGTTTAGGTATTCAAACCGACCCTCAGGCTTTCGATCTCAGGTCTATGGTCCAAGCCCTCCCAAAACGAGAAGATAGCGGAATCTCGGTGAACTCGGCTGCCTCGTTACCAGGCCCGGCATTCCAATTCTCCGAATCAGCGTCAACCCCAATTGCCGACAAGGAGGCAATGGGTATCTGGCACGAACTACTTAGAAATGCGGTTATGCCACAGCGTAAAGACAGCTATGAGGATAAGACTCAGCGGCCGTACTTAAACGTTGGCAACAGCGATAGTCCCGCTGGGAACTTCATTACTCGGTCTCCAGCCCCAACAGATCATCCAATCTACGAAACAGCATATCAAGACGATGTTCAACGTATACAAAGGGAGCAGGGTACCAGTGCAACCGTGTACTCTAATCGTCGGGTGGACGAAGCAAAAGAAGGGAGTAGTAAATGGGGTAAACTTAGGTCAACCACAACATAGGCATGACCCCAAGTGAAGGTACCTCTACACTGTATATTCTAGGATAGCAGTTTGGTTTCTTGTTAGCGCGTCATCAATCTTTCATAAAGCGGAGTAAGTCTTTTTTTTTCCAAAAAAAACACATGGGGCCTTTTGTCTATTCGCTCGTTTTGTTTTTTGCAATCCTTCCCCCTTAAATCCATACACAAGGGTTGGTTCTTTGCTTTTCAAATTTCAATGGTCCCACAACATGCCCATCTAGCGCTGTAATCTTCTCTGAATCATATTGATTCATGTATTTTGTGTGTCGGTACTTTTTTAAAGCCAAGTTGTATGAGCTGGCAGTAGCATATTGTCATCAACACTCTGTTCCTAAAGGATACAGCTTCCAATATCATCAATCGAATATCATACAAGCAATCTGGTCAGTTTTCGGCATGGTGGTCAATCGGCATTTGCATTCAATCCCAGACCTTGACACGGGTACCGGGTACTGCCGACTACCTCCTGCGACACTCCACAGGCTCCACCATTCAATATTTGCGAGCGGGCTTCCCATGACAAATAATTTAAGCATATCGGATTGAGTAACAGTGTCTTATCCGTATACATATGCTGAGGAACCGCCCGATGCGGAAAGTTATCGTCATAACCTCGGTCGGGTCATGATCAAGATAATAGGATACCTTTCTGAACAACGAAATATTCGAAAGGCTAGCATATAGTAGCTCGGAACTAGCTCACGCTGTAACAGAATGTACTTGCATGAGGCATTTTTTATAATACCCTCCCTACCTTACCACAGTACGATCATCGATGTGATTTTCGATACATGCTGTGGTGGAGCTGTTGTCAGGCAATATTATGGCGCTTATCACAAGTAATTTATGACAGCAGTTATGCAGGATGCAGCACAAAGTATCAGTATCAAAAAAGACCTCTTGAATGAAATTGCTAAGCTAAGAAGCCAAGCGAAAAATTTTGATACTCGTACCTGCAAAAGAATAGGAGGTTTAAATCGATTTCGGTATTTTGTGACAGAATATAAAAGCTTGCTTACTGCGGAGTCTGCATGCCCAGAGACTTGAGTACAGGTTGGCTACATGGTTAATTCTAGCTGTGCCTGGATAATTGCGACCTGGAACGTTAACTTCGTTACACGCAGTTCGCCGCCAGCCAACAAAGCTCCCGTTATGCGGTTATAGCTTATGCATCCGGATATAATCACAGATCAGAACGTCTTCCTTGACCTTGTTTGCTTGCTAGCTTGCCCCCCATAAAACCCTTTTTTGGATAGATACGGATAATCCGAAAACCGTCCAATCGCAGTTGGAGATAACAGCAACGTGCTATAAATATATTACGTCGAGATTCGAAGATATAAAGTATTTTAATTACTATGCTGACTTAGATGTGACGGAATTGACAGGAACCAGCTTTTTTTTCATGTAAGGGGACATAGCAGGTTTGGTCTCGTTTAGGATGTCCCAGCCTATGCCTGGTAACGAGACCGGCCGTGGCTTGCAGGCCTGGGCCGCGACCGGTTCGTTGAGCTGTCAACTTTTAAAGCCTTTTGAGAGGTCGGAATAACACAGACAACGCAGGTGTCGAGGAATAAATTGAATGTGCAAGAGTTTATTGGAGGGGGGATAGATGGAATTCGACATAGGTTTCTAGTCTGTTCAAGTTAAATATAGTAATTTACTTGTTTAAGTGATATGATGCTAAACCATTCGATTGTAATTGATTTAGTACTTGGGGATCGATTGTATGCGCTGTAGCTCCATGGCGAACTGAGAAGCTGGACTGTCCCCTTTGACGGCTTCTAGAATATCAAATTCTAGGTAGGACCGAGTGCCTACTAAGAACGCGGATTAAGTATTATGAATAAAAGTGCGCCCAGTGATATAAATATTTGACAGAATTAACAAAGGACGATACGACATGGCTTCAAATCCGCTGAATGTGCGAGGCCGAAAGCCTGCCAATATGGTATATATCATATCCTATAAATCCTGGCACATGATTCAATTTATTAAGCCATATACAACTGCTATAGCTACTTATAAAAAAATATATTCGATTATTAACACTGCAAAATATTAAATCATCGTTAGAGCCAGTCGCTGTGGGAAGATGTAGTGTTCGGATGCACAAAATAAGAGCTTAAGAGGAACAATGTATTGGTGATTATATAATATCATCCGCGAAACCTCGCAACAAGCGACATGGGAATACTAAAAACGAAGCCGATCGACTGAAACCGCTGTTAGACTTTTGGTATGCAGAAATTTGGTCAATAGGCCTCCTCAAAGCAATGCAAATCTCTCATATTTCTATCATTAAACACTTATATCCGTTACATATGTTGAAGGCGGACTATTCTGTAATGGGGAACTAAGTCGCGAATCAACCGCGCCTGAGCGGATCTTAAAATCCTTGGTCAGGAGAAACAGAACCGCGATTGGATAATCCAACATCACAGGTGAGGATCGTCGTTAAAATAATTGGATTCAGATATGGCTTTCTCCACTGTTTTTCGGTAGCATCGATATCCCAGGATAGCAATTATAGTGAGAATATTGCGCAGTTAGAATATATAAAGAGTGCTCAATTTCCATGCATGATCTTCGAAAAGTATGTATTGATAACGTTCATAGTTCCGCTTAACATTCAGTCTGGAACCCAGCGAAAACGTAAATAAATTCCTCTACATATATATCTTTCGAAAATAAGGCGTAGACATATCACTATAAAAATGTTTTCCTCGGCGCCCAGGGCAATCGGTAGCCTACTACTGTTGTTTCAGCTCGTATCGAGTGTGCCTACCCCTCAGAATACTGCGCCGCCCGTCTGTGATACCGCGAACGTAAGTCTGTAGTTTTTATACGTAGGCTATATATAATTTCAATTGGATTGACGCGACTAACAAGTATTTTCACCAACTAACAGTTCGACAGCTTTCCCACCTCACTCCTAAATGTCAACTACATCGGCAACTACAAAAATATATACTGGCGGGCTATGACAGTGGGTAGTAGCACACTACAAGTCACCGGTGTTCAAGCCCACTCCGGCAACAATGTAGCCGCATGGAGCTTCAACAGTATTCTATCACAGGGAATTCCAGCGATGCTAGCGGACTACCAAGATAGCGAAACAGAAAGTTTTGATCTCTGCGGCTTCGCATATGGATGTGCTTTACCGACAGGTCAAGGTACTATTGCTATTCCAAGCAAATGCACACTTACTGTCACGGGACACTTTGCCGACGGTCAGACGATCAATAAGGTCTTTAAGTATACCCCGAAGGGTTTGCGAGAGAAAATGGTGAAGACGCCAGATGGATTCTTCTCCGAGTTTAAGGGATTGAAGAAAGTTACGTTTGAGACTAGGGGATTGCTAGGAATTCCAGCGACTGCGGTGGGGTTGATTGATGATGTTAGTTATTCCGTGAAACTGAAGGCTTAAGCTCAGGATTATTAGTATATCGCTCGGGCTAGGTCATATTTCACATTGTCATTCATGTATAGCATTTAACTTCTAAATCTATCAATATGTCTATCGATCAAGATGGAATTTAATTGCCCTTCAAAGGTTGTTGCTCGAGTTAGTTCCTCACAAGTTATAAGTCTAGATTTGCATTCGTGAATTCATATGATCATATGCACCACCGGGTCTTGTGTACTTGTCAAATCGCCGTTAGCATCACATCTTGGTATTACCAATTCAACTGTCCCAAACACTCCCTTTCATGACATGTCGACGGTCCATACATTAATGCATTAACGTAACTCAGTTTTCTAGCCTGCAACACTTCTACCATGTTGGATTTCGGCTTACACAGCGCCGAAGCCCTTGACTGACCATAGCACCGGTTCCACAGGGACCAAGATGCTCAAACTGGGCTCGGTTGGTGGATTTCGAGATCATGAGCGGGCAGGGTCATCCTCTGGGCGTCTACTCCGGGTCGGAGTCATAGAGCATGTTGTGATTATCTAAAAGATTGCTTGTGAGAAACTCTGCTAGTTTCCATTGAGTCAACCGGTTCAAATTTTCAAAATATTACGTACAGCTTATTTACAGTTTTCCCCAACTCGCTTCCACAAGTTTAAACTTCTAGGGTATCGAAAATATTAGATACACTACGCGCTCCCTCGAACTATTATCAAGGCCCCTGTTTCGTTCGAAAGTCAGGCAGATGTAAAGCAACGTAAGCTCATACGTATATACATCTACATTTAAGTTGGAATTAGGGTCACGAGGAAGGGGGCTGAAAAATGGCGTCGACGTCGAGCCTATCAGTTGATGTTTAGACGATTGACGCCTCTTAGAAAACTCCCTTATATGGGATAGTCCTATATCAATGACAAGCATGCCGGGAAGTGTATTATCCGTCCCTGTCCTTGTCTAGCTATTAGTTAGCATCATAGGGCTACTCAATCGTTGTTATTTTTATAGAAGTCGCATTAGCGCGACCAGGGTCTCTGGGTTTATATCGATGGGGTTTGGCCGTCGGAGAACTAGGATGACTATGAATGATGCATAATGATAAAATAGCGGGGGTCTCGAGCCTCGAGGGCCTTCGAAGGCCTAGCGGCCCGGTTCCATCTATCTCGAGACTAGGCATTGTGGGACGAGGGCTTAGGCTACGGGAGCTATACAGGGACAATGTAGTTCTTGAATACCCTCAATTAATTGCAAATTTGAATCGATTTGGTCTCACACTAGACGTCACAAAGAATTGATCTGACTGTATCAAATCAGATAGCTTTAGGTAACCACCTAGCTAGCATTGTTAGTAATTCTAAACTCCAAGAATGGTCACTTATCTAATTCTTCGAGTCCCTTTCTCCTCAATTCCATCGGAATAGATATCCTTTCCAAATTCTTAACGTCTATTGTTTCACCAACAAATCAAAATGTGCATATTTCGGTTTGAACAACTGACATCGGAGTCCCCGAATTGACACTAGATTGGACAATCGGTTTAGTCTCCCGGAATATTATCTCATGCACCGACAATCCGGCCAGCAAGGAATGTGCTATTCTGTGCCAAGATTCGTGAAAACTACGGCCACGAAGGCTGGCACTTGGGACGATGAAAGCGCCTTTCATGCAATATAACTGATATCCACGATGAGAGACATTAGTATATCAAACAATACCTTAGCCTAAAGAAGTCCAAGACAAGCATGAAAAAACCAAATAAAATATTACAAATGTGTGTTGACCGAAGACTAGTCAAAAGAATTGACGTTGTATGCATGGATTCGTTGACCGTCGGAAGGCCAAATCATCACAAGACAAGTCCATTGACAACGGATCAATTGCAATTGCAGCTGGGCATTTTAGGATGCACACATGTGGTTCCCCGACGAGTCGCCTGGCAATCTGCCTTTCTGCAGCCCCATTTCTCGCTAAGGCTTTTGCTTGGGGTTCCGAACTTTACTTGATTCTGCATTAGCTGGGCATGCATGGATTTAGGGATGGTAAGTTTCTCGGAATTCGGCAGGCAGAGCTAGAGATATAGACGGTTAGGCCGTGATGATGGTTTGCGTCACATCGATGAGCACCTGAGATACGGAGATGTGAAGCTTGAAGCTATTTGGTCAGCTAAGCCCTTGGTATATTACTTGGCTCTATTGCTGGGGAGGTTGATTAATCCGCATGTCCGTCTTGTGTGAATGGTTTTTTTATACAGAGAAAATTCGCACGATTGCAATTGGAACCGGTCCTTTCAAGATGGTGGGGACAAGGTTCCGCTAATGTCAGGGATCTTTGTCTCTCCTGTCCTTTGCCATGCTCGATGATATGCATGCGATGTATGGAAACATTCCTGCACCCATTGACGCACAACCACCAAGTGAAGTTTGGGGGTGCCATTAGCTGGCATGTTGGTTGATTTTTTCCAATACAAAGCTTCTTTTCCTGACGTAGTGGTCCGTAAGCAAGTCAGAAGCCAGACTCAGCAAGAAAAACTCTCGCCCGGATCCGCTTTAGCTTTAGAGACACCCACCAGCCTGTTCGAATTTCCGCTCCGGCACAGCTCACAGTGGCACGAGAAAGCGAACATGATCACACAAACATGTTTCAACTGTTCCCAGCAGCGCCCAGAAAAATGCCGCGCGTCGTTGAAAGGAGGTTGGTTTGGGATATTCCTTCTATTTGGGTATTAGGGTTTGAAGTTGGCCTTCGAATGCTTAATGTTCCGAGCCATCGTGACCAGTTTAACCCTGTCTGCCATGCTTTTTGATACATAAGGATTGTCGTTCTGTCCCGGTGTTCTAGTCTGGATAGGGCATCCTAACGGCCCTATCATCGAGCCACAGCCGCAAAATTTGTCAGCCTGCCGGTAGACACCATGCTGTAGTAAATACATACGTCAAGTACACTTCCCGCGAGGAGGGGTGCGGTTGTGGTTGTTATGGTGGTGCGACAGTCAGGTTTCGATGGTTATCCCATGTATCCTTTAGAATCCAAAGGTGTCTGGACCGCGAATGTCTGCGCGCCTGCAGCGTGTTGTGCAACCTCACTAAATCGAATCACGGACCTCCCAATATCTCCATGCTGCACGCTGGAACTATAGCCAAGTGTAGGCAAGTACTTCCTTATATCAAAGAACTTAAGTATCAGATATGATACAAAAATGACGAAGTCTATTTATATGCCCCTCGGATATTCCTGCAGGGCCAGAAGCTGCAGCACGCAATTGTGTTCATTTTCGCGAGGGGAGAAATCTGACAGGATGCAGTCGCCCAATGGCCCGTGCATAATCAGTAGAGCTCGCGCTCGACGGGCACCATCGTCAAGTTAATTAATGCAATGGGACACTGCGAACGGGCAGCCAGCAAGCAAGCAAGCCGGCCGGCTAGCTATGTAGAGCTCGAGGTCCGAGTACTATCAACTTGCTTCTCCCGCAATCAACGGAACTCCCTCCCAGTATGCGATTAGTTTTACGGTAATACGGCATGGAAAGCTGACGGTTATCTTTGCCAACGTTAATCAAACTCATATACTCACGACCTTGGCAAGTTCGATCCGTGATCTTCGAAGCAAGCTGTCATGAAGCATACCAAGCAACCCTGGCGGGTCTGATCTAGCTTAAGCTGCTTAGCTACCCCTCTTGCTTGGAGCTTCTCGTTTGATACATTTCTTCCATGCAGGTTGGACCCACCCCATTTACCCGATGTTTGGAACCGAAAGAACGGTTCAATTTCGTGGGCGGGCGTATAGCAAAATTCCCTCGGGTTTCTCGGGTCCTCATGTGCTTTTGAGCTTTAACTGATGTTACGCTGGTTTAGCTCGAAACTACTTAGCTCCTCGAAGTTGAATGCTGCATGGTTCTTGTGGAGCTATAGGTTCCAGTTTTGCATGGTGGGAAGGTTGGAATTCTATAACTAGCGGGCTGAGCTTGGGCAAAGCTACTGCAGAACTAGTGGATCCTGTATCGTTTAGAGCCCTTGTTAGCTGCATGTGCGATTATCTCATAATTTGCTGATCTGGTTTCGAGAATAGCTGCACGCATGCTACATAGTAGCGTAAGGACCTGGCATGGGGGGGTTCTGGGGCGGTTGAAGGGGTTCTTTGGGTATTATATGCCCAATTGCAAGCTTAAATTTGGCTGTTTGATATATGTTATGTTATGTTATACGGTGCTTGAACACCACCCCCTCTGAAGGTCCCTTGTCTTGAGCTGTACCCCGTTCCACAGCCGACGGCTGGCTACAGATACTCCTGTCTTCTTTGCGAATTGATCCCATGCCATTGCAATTGGGAGGTGCAGCTTATTTTTCTGGGCTCTGCATGCAACCTGCAGTCGGTACTTACATTCTAGACGGAAGACTATGAAGCATGTGCCCCATCTATTTGGGAGGCGGTGTGTGAATCGTCGGCTCCAAAGGCTTGTCTTTTTTTTCGTGGTCAGCCTCGAAAAATCACAAGTAGAGAGTTTTCAAGAGAAAAAAATGATAGGATCTTTGGGCCGTGGTTCCCGCGGGTTCGTGGTGGGTTTTCTTACAGACGATTGAACTTCGGGATATGGGGGTATACGGATATACAGTCCCAGCTTTGCCAGCCCGAGTTAGTTCTGTTCTGAACCCTATATTCGGTGGCGCAGAGCTGTGAGCCCTAGAGCTAGCCAGGATGCCATCGTCGACCATGCTATGCTGTGTCAATCAGTTTATGAGCTAGGAAAAGTATTTCGCGCACGGAAAACAACAGCTAAGAAGCATCCAAGTTCACCCAAGTTCATGCGTGGAACATGCGAGTTTATCTTGATCAAATCCCTTTTCTGAAAAAAAATATGGAAGAATGTAGCAGGTATGGGATTTTTCTTAGGTATGCTAATATGTTAGCATCCCTTTGCAGGAGATAAGAAATCCAAAAACCTTGACCTTGACCTTGACCTGTTACCTATGTTATTTACGGCGCTCGTTTATCTAAATACCAAGCTCGATATCGATATTTTAGATCTGGCCGGAACATTTAGCTAGGTCAAGTACCTGAACCAGACCCTGTTTGGCAGCCCGCTGCAATTTTTTCTCGAAATAAAATTAGATGCACATATTAAAGCTTTTTTTTCCTGCCGGGCTGTCAAACTGTATGGATTAGCAATCACAGTCAAAAAAAAATACGACCTCGTCTGCACAAAAATTTGCTAGAGGCGAAAAAGCTTGTTTGTATTCTGCTTACTCGATGGGAACGTAATTGTAACTTTGGCTAGAGCTCATCGACAAGGTGAAAATTTTCTCTCTATCCAGCTCCCAACCGGAAAGCAACCGCGAGGGCATAATTTTTACGTCTGCTTGTTGAAAATCTTCACCAATATATGACACCCACCACCGGTTTTTCCGTCATTTTGAGAAGTGCTGTCCAATCGAACGGCTCCCATTAGAACTCTTTTAGTCACAATCGACAGGGACCAACCAGTGCAAGTAGCTGGTCGCATCCTGTTGTTTGGAAACGACCGCAAGGCAAGTCGCCTAAGCTCTCGTGGCAAAACAACTGGTGCCCTGAAACGAAAGAAAGCAGGAAGAACAAAAGGAACCACGTAAGGCTCAAGTTGCACCTCCCTTTCATTCGGTTTTCAACTGGGGCGTTAACAAAAAAAAAAAAAAAAAGGCGACAGATACGTTTTGTACCACCGCGGCCGCGGATTTTCCGGCGGGATCCTCTCTTGTTCACCGTTTCTCGACGCAGGTGCCGGATTCATTGGAAATCTACGAAGTGGGTAAGTGATCAGTTAGTATGGTTTACACAGTAAGACGTTTCCCGTAACGTATGTAGGGTTTCCCGTGCGAATTCAATCATCAGTCCGCAGCACGCCGCGGGTGCCCGATTGGTTTTTTTCTTCTGCCCTTCTTTCCTTCTTCCTTTTCGGTTTGCTTTGGCGGTAAATGGACAGATGCACAGGGTTTTCCGGGCGAGTGGCAGGCCCAACGTGCCTGTCTGGCTGCATCAGCGAGGCCTGCCCTGCGTGCGCGCGGGGATACCTGGATGAACCATGACCAGATGCATTTATTTTGCATTCGAGCGAACTGTGGGCACAGTTTATAGTTAGAAAAGACGGGGCGCCGTCATAAACTGACTTCTTCGCCTCCTGCAGCGTCTTTTCCGACCTCGAATTTTGGTTTACCGCCCTTTCCTAGTGGTATATTAATCTTTTATCCTGCTGCATGTCGACTTGGATTTCCTGTTTTTCCTTTGCATTCAAACATTCATTCCATTCGATCAATCGATTTGATTCAAGTCCCAACTTGATCCGGGCAGAGAAGCTGGTTAGGTACTTAGTTAGCTAACAAAGCATCGAATTTCGCACAGCCACCAGCGTCCAATCAATCATAGTTGAGATTGACGTACCTGTACAATATTAAATATCACCTTCCCTGATCCCAGATCGAAGCCAATAACTGGGAAAGCTGCCCGTTGGAAAGTATCGGACGAATCGCTTGTACTTTGGGTGGCAGTTGCGCTTTTTCTCGTAAGTTTACCAAATCCATTCCGTAAAATGCGGGTCAGCTGGGCTGCTTCCGAGCAGTTGGAAGAAGCAGAGGAAGCATAATAACAGTCCGAGTGCCCCCCTCTTCCTCTGCCCCCTTCTGCTCCCCCCCTTCGAATCTGCTTCCTCGAGCTAGTTAGTGAGCAAGTCGCACTTACTTGGCTAGTAGAATAACTGAGGCCAAGGATCTTTAATTAACAGAGGAGCACGGAGAAGTAGTTGGAGATATTAATTAACTTACTTTTTTTTGAACATCCAGCTTGATCGATTTATAATCGTCTCTTCCCACTTCTTTTTCTTTCCTCCTACTATCATCATCACCATCATCATTATTATAATCATCGCCAAATTCCCATCTCATCAACACTACTCTTTATTCGTTACCCTTTCTCTTTCTTTCTTTCTTTCTTTCTTTCTTCCCTTCTTTCTCTCCAAGTCGCGAACAATTTTATAAAAGGAAGAACTACCAGTCTTTTCAGCCCGGAGAGTACGAGCTCAGCTCAGCCAGCCAGTGTCCCATCCACCAACACAAAGCTTGTCTAACCCAGCTGCTCTCCCACCGCATTCTCAATTCAACCATCTCCGCAACGACATCTCCAGCGTCAGTGATTCCGTCCTCAGCACCAACCAAAATCCAATCCAACTTTAGAATTACACCATCAATATTCCCAACCATGGCGACAAGTGCTGAGACCGAAAGCAAATCCGAGGGCCCTTCCTCATCGAAACCGCCTAATTCGCGGACATCTACATCGAGTAGTCGCCTCGTCGAAAAGCTTAGTCGCATTACCCCATCCTCTTCTCCAAAACTAAATGGTATCGTTGCTCCAACGGCAGACTCGGCTTCCGAGCGTAGCCCTGGTGCTTCTACCAAGCAGTCCCCTGTCCTTGGGGCACAATTGTCCAAGCAGTCTTCACCTGTCGAGCTCCCAGCTCCCGTTATCCAAGCCCCTGTTCCACAGAAGCCGAAGAACTCGTTGCAACGAATGTTCTCAAGGACCGGAAAGAAAGAATCACTTGAGGTGACACCAATTCACACCAACGCTTCTACACCCGTTAACGGCGAGAGGCCGTCCACGGATCGTCAGACCAATGGAGCCGACAAGAAATCTGATCTAAGAGGTCCTCTGAAGAAGAATAGCATCTCTGAAGAGTCAACAAAAGCTGTTACCAACAGCAAAACAAAAGATGCCCTAAAACGCTTTGAGGGCCTACCTGATGGCGGTCATATACATCAGCTAAAAAGTGCCAAGAGACAAGAGAGGCTTTCCGATATGCTTCGTGATCTTATCCTTGGGAAGAGAAAGGACGACCTTCCCGAGAGTGACAACCTCAACTTAGTATCCTCATGGGTAGAACAAATCAAGAACGATAAAGACAAGTTGGCAACCGACAAAAAAGGTGGTCCAAGTAGTACATCAACTTTGGTCGAAAAGTACGGTAAATGTCAAGAGGTTGTCGGTCGCGGCGCGTTTGGTATCGTCAGGATATCCCACAAAGCGGACCCAAACCACGAAGGCAAAGAACAACTGTATGCCGTCAAAGAGTTCAGACGCCGACCACAAGAGTCTGCGAAGAGATATAATAAACGTTTAACTTCTGAGTTCTGCATCTCCTCCAGTCTCCGACATCCAAATGTTATTCACACCTTGGATCTCCTTCAGGACGCCAAGGGTGATTACTGTGAAGTCATGGAGTACTGTGCTGGAGGAGACCTGTACACTCTAATCCTATCTGCTGGTAAACTCGACTGTGCCGAAGCAGACTGCTACTTCAAGCAGCTTATGCGTGGAGTTGAGTACATGCACGAGATGGGTGTTGCTCATCGTGATTTAAAACCAGAAAACTTGTTGCTCACAAGTCGTGGCGCCCTCAAGATCACCGATTTCGGAAACGGTGAGTGTTTCCGCATGGCTTGGGAGAAAGAGGCTCACAAGACGTGCGGTCTTTGCGGCTCTGCCCCATATATTTCACCAGAAGAGTATATAGAGAAGGAATTTGACCCAAGAGCGGTTGATGTCTGGGCTACCGGTGTCATCTACATGGCAATGAGAACTGGCCGACACTTATGGCGTGTCGCTAAGAGAGATGAGGACGAGTTTTTCCAAAAGTACCTGGAAGGTCGCAAAGACGAGGCCGGGTATGGGCCCATCGAAAGTCTTCATCGGGTAAGTTTAATTTTCTATCCTTTGAACTGCTGAACAATTTACTGATAATTGGAGCTAGGCTCGTTGCCGTAACGTCATCTACTCAATACTTGACCCCAATCCAACCCGCCGTATCACTGCTTCCCAGGTGTTGAAATCCGAATGGGGCAGAGAGATCAAAGTTTGCCAGGCTGGTGAAGAAGGCGACAACCCAAGTGTGCGAAACCATCAACCTCATTCTTCTTCGACAACTGCCCCTACGGACGACGCATTGAGCACCAAGCAAGTCAAAGCCTAAAGGGTTTTGCCTCGCAGCCTCTCCTACCTTTTTCTTTACTTTCTCATTCTCTCATTGGATGCTTCTAGTCATCCTCGAAATGTCCTCGAAGGATCAATCCTCCCCTTCTTCAATTCACCGCGTTTTAATCAAGCGCCAGGCTTGCCTCGTTTCTTAGATGCCAAGTTAGGCATTTGGCATATTACTTTCATTTAATCACGAGGCCTTTTCGGCCCTCTCCTTCCCGCGGACAGGCTCCCACTAGATCTCGAGGCTCAGTCCTTGGCTAATTGGAACTAATGCTTCTCTGGTAGTAGAACCCCTTTCTGGTCCCTTTCTTAATATGTATTATACACTCTCGTTGTTTCCTTGCACCCTTTCAATCTATGATGTTACGAAAAGCGGTGGTCAGAACAAAAAAAAAATACTTACAATCGGAAGGCGGAAACAAAAGTATTTTATGGTGAGGAATGGTTTAAATATTTGATCATAGACTTTTCAAATATGTATCTCGAAATACAGCATGTTCTTTGTTTTAGTTTATTGGGAGGGAACGTTTTCATTCGATTTTTGTAAAGCTGTCACGAGGAGTTCTGCTTTGGTTGTGATCTTTTTGTTTTTTATTTCTTCTTCTCCATTTTACCCTTCTTCTTCCCGACCCTCACTGACGACGGATTACGACCACGAAGGCGTTTTTTTGATTATTCTCTTCCCTTATGTTATTTTGTTTTTTGCTCCTTGGACCTCTTCTTACGCATTCTGGCGGGATACTTTTTCTATTGCTCAGAACCAGTACAGTACGGAGTCAGGATACGCACACCTATGTTTTACGATTTCGAAATTTCCCTTGTATAAAGATATCTACTTTTACTAGTTAATTTTCTTCCTATTCTTTATCATTCTATTATCTCTTTATCATTTTATGCATCTTTTTAGTATACCTCTCCGTTTTTGCCGCGAAGCTATAACAGTTGTTCGAATGCATACTTGGAGAGGCAAGATTGTGGATGGGTGGACGGACGGATCTCGATGCGGGGGGACCAAGCAGCCAGCCGCTACGAATTTCCTTATAACGAATTGTGTCTTCTGTACTGAACATTACGATATGCGATTTCGCTATTTTACGGTTTCCCCATTTCTTCTTGGTCACTGAGTCAAAGGAACCCCCTTCGACATGTTTCCTCGGTCTGGTTTGGATCGATTTTCTGCTTACGGATTACGCAAGCAGATGTGGCGGGCTTTTTCATACTTCTCGTCTATTCTAGTTTTTTTTTTTTTTGGCCTATCGAATCGAATCAATTGAATTGCAATCATGATGATGATAAATGATGACTACTCCACCACCATTTAGTTAAATTGTACTAAGGGAAAAATGAAATTCCGACGGAGAACTCCTAAGCCCCCTCAAATCTGCCAAAACTTCCCTCAATGCCCTCTCCGATAACCGTGCATTGTTCAACATAAGAAATAGCTATTCCAGCCGAATGCAACGATGATATCACGACAGTGATGCAAGGGAAAAGGGCTTAGAAATGTCTTTCTTCCCCACGTCTCCGTCTCTTGCCATTGCCGTCGCCTTCCACGGGGCGATTGAAAGTTGACCAATCGTTTCGAACGTTTCGGTTCTGAGAATGCTTGTTTTTGTCTTTTTCTCGACACCCAATTGCCTTCTATACCACCATAGGTTTAGATCGCGATCTACCATTGGTATTTCCCACTTGATTAGGGCTGTGGCTTGCGCTTAACCTCATTGTTTTCAATTTTGCTAGTCTTTATTTTATTTTTATTTTTATTTTTTAATTTTCCAAAGTGGCGGTGGGGATGTGACGTAGTGTTTGCGAAGGTGAATGTGGGGACCCTATCTGCGTGATATGGGTTTGTGACTTCTGACATGACAGGGGCGGGGTGAAAACGTGAATGATCGATAGCCACGATTCCGTATCCTTACAGACCAATAGTCCTGTATTCGAGATTCGATAGGTATAACCGTCATGTGTCGACTGACCCCGCGGCTTCGGGAACGGATTTGCAAAAAGAAGAGCTTTCTTTCTATACTTGCCCTTGGGAATATATTCCAAGTAATTGCTCATGTGTTCCTGGAGTAATTTTGCATGTGCACGCACACGCGACTATCCAGACGGTCTCGTCAACATCTCTCGTAGCCAGTATAGTAGTCCTCTGAGGCGGAGGAGACCGTAAAGGCTAACCGACGGCTTTGAATTGGAGAATACCGTGGCACGGTCGAAATGTCGTACACTTACGAAACGACATGGGGTTACACATGCGACGCCTTATCGATTATCTCGAACCCTTTCAGCCCATCGGAATTCGCTGAATTCCATGGATTCAATCATCCAGCGCTTCTTGAGAATCCGGAAAATTTGAAAGTCTGGCGGTACTGAACCCAGTTATGATATCCCATTCCGGGTTGAAAAAGCATATGAAAGGTTGAGGTTCGTAACAGCATCACGAGAGCATGGACCAGCCCGAACAAGGAAGCTGGTATCGGCAAACGATACAGGCTAGCTGCATATGCTTCACATAGTTGTCAAGTACTGGCGTGGACCCGCCGTACTGGAAAGCCTCTGCTGCACTTTTCGGTCTGTGGAAGAAGCACTCGCGACTTTGTCTTTATAACGGTTTTCCCTGTGTATTATAGGTTGTAGAAGTTAGTGAAGTATACTACCCTAAGGAATGCCAGTACTTAGCTCTTACATGTTGGACTGGGGGTTGAAGTTGTATACGTGAAACCGCAAACTGCCAGATCACATTCCTTAAGTTCCGTCCTTCCTCCTTCCTTGTCGGTCGTACACGATCTGGGCTGGCGGTGTGCTGATTCCCATTTGGAATCTAAATTTGGACTGTGGACCATCTCCCGTTCTCTGTTCTTTTTCTTCCCTTCCAAATCTCGGTTTCGGACTGCACAAGTCTTCCTCAGACATCATTTCTCGACGTCACAACATCGCATAGATCTCCCCATAGCAGCTAAACAGTGCCCCTCTACATCATCACATCACCACCATCGTTATCGTCAACCATCCATTCGAAAAGGGTTAAACGAAAATAAGAAACAACCATGCGATCCCGAAAACGTATCTTCCAAAAACCCGCTTCCGTCCTACTGCTCTCCGTCCTACTCTCCACAACAGCTTTTGCCGCTACCTCCGATGTCTCCGCCTCCACCGCCACCACAACGGCCAAAACAAAAGCCAAGAGCGATAAGATTCTCTTATCTCGAATACGCAGCTTGACGTTACGACATGGACAGATGACAACCAGTCGGAGGGTTTCGCCGATTCCTCAGTTGAAGTGTGTTGGTGGGGATGCGAAGAGTTTACATGTTCGTAATTTTTCCTTCTGAAAATCGACTTTTTATTTGCTTCGACATCTAGGTCTATACGCTGGCGTTTGGATAGTTTTAATGGGACGAATGTTGACTCAGTATGTTTTTTGGGGGGAGGTTAGGATGTAGATGTTATGAAATGTACGAATATGGATGCAGATTATGGTAGGTCTCTTTCCCTCGTGATAGCGGCTTTAATAATATTGAAGTACAGACTGACTGACCAATTTTTGTTATCGAAATAACAGACGACGACGAGTAAGTCCAATTATTCATTCTACGAAAATTGCGACCATGCTCTCTTCTATTAAGGTCTCATTGCTAACGATACGCGTTTTGGGGTTGGAGTAGTGTATCATGGAGCTGCGAAGCTACCTTACCGCATTTCTTCAAGTAAGATTTTAGCTATCCCATTTATAAATATAGAAGGATATATCTAACAAAGAGAAAACAGACTTGGAGCTACAGATGTCATCTGTGAAGGATATGCAAGTTCAGACGACCCATTTGTATTAAAAGGTAGCTGTGGGGTGGAATATATCCTTATGGTTAGAAGCAACCGACACCGACCTAACTTGAAAAATTCCTAAATACTTACCAACTCTCGAATATACAGTTAACGGAAGCCGGTCATAAGCAATATCCTAAAGTAGTTGAGGAACAACTAAAAGAGGAAGAAAAGAAGAAAGAAGAGGAGGAAAAAGAAAAAGAGAAGGAAGAGGTGAAGCCCGGTACTAGTAAGCCTCCCCCTTCTTTCGATCTACTTTGATCAGTCGGTGTTCCTCTAACGTCGATGATTGAAAAAAATTATAGGCTGGTCTGGTATGATTGAGTTTATATTATGGCTGGCAGCGATAGTCGGCTTCTTCGCATTTATCGCCTACTCAGCATACAAAGCACCAGAACAACGACCGCAACCACAACCTGGTGCATGGCAAGGCGATGGTGGATGGGGCCCTGGTGGTGATGGAGGCGGTGGAGGAGGTGGAGGTCCAGGGGACGGGTGGGGAGGATATAGAGACGATGCCCCGCCGCCATACACGAAACCCCGACCTCCGACATCGAGAAGAGGCACCAGCAGTTCATATAATGGAAGACAACAGCAGCAACAGCAACAACAGCAACAACAACCGATGCAAGAGCAATGGAGACCTGGTTTCTGGACTGGAGCGGCCACTGGGGCCGCTGCAACTTATTTGGCGAATAATACTGGTGCAACAAGGGGCCAGAGCAGTAGGTCAAGGGAAAGTTACGACCGAGAAAGAGAGGCAGAAAGAGTAGCCCAGGAGAGAGAACGTGCTGCACAGGGAAGAGAGAGAGCTGCACAAGAGAGGGAACGGGCAGCACAGGAAAGAGCACAAGAGAGAGCTGCAGAGAGAGCCGCGGAGAGAGCTGCGAGATATGGTGCCGCGCCTGCAGGATGGCGGACCAGTAGCTATGGAGGAAGTTCTTACGAAGGGGAGTCGGGCAGTTCAGCATATGAGCATACTAGCACTGGATTCGGGCAGTCACGAAGACGATAGTGTCACGAATTTCCTTTCTTCATTTCTTCATCTTCTTCTGATGCTTATGATGCTATGAAACGACCTTTGCATTCTCATCTAATCTTGCTTTTAGCATGGCGCCGGAGGTATAAATTGCTCTTTTTCCCAGTCCTTTCTTCTTTTCTTCATCCTTTTGCCATGGGAATAATAGCATGAACGTGTAATTGCTCTATATTCAACCCGCTCGAATAAACAAATAGAAAAGACCCAATTCTAGTATCTTCCACTGCCTTGTAAGGAATACCTAGGTATCTTCAGACTAAAGCGCTTCAAAGATAATAACGCCAAAGAGAACCGAACACATATCTTTCCATGGAAGTTTATAAAAAGACCCTCTACATAAGCCCCCCTTCAGCAAGGAGAACAAAGACGTCCACAAAGACGCCGGGGACAGGGATATGGACTTCTATTCCGTTCAATTGATTCTCTATCCCCGTGATTATCTGCCACAAGCGCGTGTTATTAACACCCTAGTTTGCAAACCAGGCGCTGATGGCGAAAGTGGAGGCAAATGAATATTTAAAAGCTGCGTTTTCTGTGAGCAATGGTTTTATGTCGGTTTCTTCGAGGAACTTTCTTATTCTATATTGACGCGGAAGAACGTGATAACCATGACGTTCCATGTACTATTATTCATGATACTGATTGTTAATCAAATACTAATATTTTGAGCGATTTGGGGTATTGTAGAGTAGTACTGACCTGAACCATCAGAATGACCAATAAGGATACGAATGCAATCATCTTCGATAGTCTTCCAATTACATAACCAACCATAACACCACTAAACGAACCCAATGACAATTGACGGTACTGTGCAGCATCAAAGATCGGAGTTCCACGTTTTTCAGTCCCATCTTCTTCAATATGTCGTCTTTTAAACTTGAACCTTTGATCATCCTGACTAGCTTCGATGATTCTGTCTGTCAAGTAAGGTGCATTTTGACATTGTAGGATATAACTACGCCTGGGGAATAAGATTTGGTGGGAGACGTAGAGAGTGGGTACTGTTAGACCGATTGTGAGGCGGAGACCGAGGGGGCGGAGGAAAGCCATCTTCCCTTTTTTGATGTGTGTATAGATGATTTGTAGTAGGTAGGTACCTAGGTAGGTTTGAATTGGGTATAGTATTCGTGATGATGGATTTGGGAAGATTGTAGGCTTTGGAAGTCGAGCAATTGATAGAGGTTAATAGAAGAGAAGAAGAAGCTCAGCCCAAGGAACAAAGGATTCGAGAGAGCTTCCCCAGATTAATGTGGATTGCGCGTTGGGATATGACGTCGATCCCGGCCCGATACGGGGTCTTGGCGTCGCGGGGTGGTTCCCTGGTTTCCCGGGACGCGGGCCTCTCATTTAACCACATTTTCAACACGTCCTTTTATTTCGGTTTCCGGTAAATTTATAAATGAATGCGATGAGTGGTCAACTGGAAGCAACTTAAGGCAATTACCGCCTGATGTTGATAATTTACTTTGTATACAAATCGCAAGAAATTGAAAACTGTTTGCAGAATTCAGAAACATCTTTTTGATTTGGTGGGTATTCTGGAAACTATAGTACATTTTTATTGATAGATAGAAATTTCGAAATTTCGAAAGACAACCGAAGAAAATTATGCAAACAGTATCGAATCCCCCTCCATCTCTAGATCCCATTTGATAGCACTATGTGATAAGCGCGGGGCTCCTTTCCGGAAGAGAATCTCTGGATTAAATCCTCTACCTCTTGTTGCATGGGCGGCAAGTATAATAGCAGCAGTTGTAGCAAGCATCGGTAGCATAGCCGTTCCTCTTGCACTCACCCCAGCAGGAGTTGATGACGGATGGGGATGGGCAGTGCTCGGCTGTTGATAAGATTGTGATATTAGCATTCAATTATTTTATCCTATTTTACTTATTTTAGGGCCTCTTCAGTTAAACTTCTTGGATGGTTTGCATACCAACAGCAGTGACAGCGAACATGGCTGGGATGGCCATGAGGATAACGGCGAAGGACTTCATTTTGATTGAATGGAAGTATTGAAATAACTCGAGAGGATTGTGTAGTTTGTTTGTGTAGGTAATTGGTTGCTTGACCTTGCTTGATGACTTGGAAGATTATAGGATTGATAATTCGAACTTCAACTGGCAGAGTCCTACTGTATTTATACACTCTCCTCGAGGCTGAAAACTCCTGGAGATCACTAAGTTCTGAACCCATATCTTTGAAAGCTCAATTACAAATGCAGCGGCCCGGCGGCACGATAAACCGCATCGAAGATATCTAGATGTAGCAAAAGATACCCCTCGATGCGATCTTCGCTTCATGAAAGAACCATGGAACGCAGTTCCAGCAGACGGAGTTGTGCGAAGATCGAAGGTAACCTACACCAGGACCTGGTCAATGAAGATCTATTCCCAATTGGCCAAATAACCATGCCCATATAGCCTAAGATTGAGCCTCAGAAGCAGAGCCTAGTCTTCTGATTGCTCTAGAGAGGCAAGGAGGGAAAAACCTTAACCCCGAACGATAATACGCATTCCCAGGTTCACTTGGTTTCAGGATCGATATGGCTATAGGGAAACTCGTCAATTTAACATTACAATTGGTCGCCGTATCAGGGTAACATTTCTCGATTACATGTAGTCTCGTTATTACATGAGCATGTATGTAGCAGCGCATGTCGGATATTATGTGTAATAGCTAGAGGGGGGGCTGTTCAGTCCCTGTAGTCGGAGGCTTTCGCCTAATATCTCACTACGGTATGGCTCCATGCAGTTTCGCTTCCCCCGGTCGGAAGCCCTCGATATGCTTGGCTAGGGTAAAATCGATCCGCCTATATGCAAGCCATTGCATAGTTACCCACGGCGGCATCGAATTTGTTTCTCTGTTATAATTTCCAGTTTTTTTCCCCTTCTTCGAACAATGGTCTTTGATTGTTGTTTGTTTATACTGAACTCGCATCCGTCTTGCCTCCAGACCACGTCTATACCGTGTAAATGCCGAAAATTTTATTCTTCCATAAACCCTGGTTCGGCGAATTTCTACCGTCTTGGCTGGGTAATCTTCATGTTACAGGAAACGATATTTGATTGAGTTTTTCCTTTCAGTACATTAGGTAATATAGTGCTACAATACCATCAACTCGTCCGAGCGCCCGTAAGGTAAGGCGTGGAATGGATCGGTGGCAAAAGATCGAATCTTTAGATTTCGATAGTTAGTTGTTCTTTTTGCCTCAGTATTTTGAAACTCTAAAAGCGGAGTAAGTCCTCACAGTTCCGATTGGATACCACGATAATAATTGTTCTAGAAGTTTAGAAGACGGTCTTGTATATACATCCTAGAGAACATAGAATGAGGAGCGCTAGCAGCATGTGTATATGTACCTCAGCTTATAAGTTTATGTAAATGTTGTTCAAATCGACATCATGTGCGGTTTCCATTAACTGTAATGACAGTGAAACCTTTCGAAACTTCTCCCTCTAATTATTAATATTACTTACGATAGATAACGACCTCGAGATTTCAAGCTTAAGGGAGAATACCGGGACTGTTGCTCAAAACTCCTCGAAAGCTGAGCTCACGGGGGGTGTAACGAACTATCGAGGCAATACTTGTAATTTTTATTTGATTTCCACGAATTTTGTCTGGCCTAGTTCACGAAGTGTTAATGACATTGCATTGTCACCGTATGCACCTAGCTAGACGCCAGTTGGCCAGTTAAACAATGATGTATGCCTAGTATATACACGAGGTTTCGAAATACGATCTATATGTTCAGAAGATGTGGAATGGAAAAATATTTGTTTTGTGATTAGCCCTGGAGGAGTGGCTATTGGGATTGAACATAACTTTGGTTCTGGCGGCGCGGTGATCGATCGAATGGTTTATAATTTATCCGAAAAGAGTATCGCAACCAAGAATACATTGATGATATCGATAGCCTCGGCACCAGCATTGATGAACGGATTGATTTGAGGAAGCTCACCTTACATGTGCAAGATCGAGAACTTCATATGTAGTACATGTGTAATTAGAGATTCGGGGCCGTCATTACGTACCATATGCATAACGCATAAAAACACACATTATATATATGTTATCCAACTTATATATAATTAAGTACCATGCTTAGGGTTTTAAGGTTAGTATTAGTATTAATTGTGATCACGAGACAGCACAACATACAAAATTTGGCTTACCTACTAACTTGCTTAAGCGCTTGTTAAAACAGATATAAAAATAAAAAATTTTATAATTAAGACTAACATGTTAACAAGGCCGAAGGAACTTTTGCTACAGTACAAAAATTTAAGAACTTTCCCTAAAGAACTCAAGCGGGATGATCGATATATATATATATCAATATAACATAATCAATTCATAGCTTTAACCGTCCTTTTTGGACAATCTACACAGTTCTTTTCTCATCTAACATCCTATCTGAGGATTTGCTCCCAATGTCCCTTTTCCAGACTCCTGAGCTAGAACCAAAATCTTGACCATATTTAAAATCGACAAATTTAGAAAACCCATCTCCAATCCCCGAACCAAGATCAGTCGAATCGTCGGGGTAATCAAGATCAGGGCCCTCTAGCCGGTATGGCTCCTTCGTATCGGGAGCTAGCTGAAATGTTCTATATGGGTCATTTGGAAGGGGTGGCGAGGGCCAAAAGACGCGGGTTTCCTTGCTATTGGGTGGCCAAAACCAGTTTGGGTTGCCAAATTTCTCCGTAAGGCCAAGTTTCCCGATAGCTTTTCCATGGTCGGAAAGAGAAACTCCTTCTTTAGGCTCTGGGGCCCCGAGTTCGTGGTAGCAATAACAACCTTTCGAATTTGACCAGGCGATTAATTTGTCAGTTAATGTAGAATACATGGACGGCAGGAAATCGGCATATAACAGTCCTCGCGGCTTAGTAGGGTGTTAGATTACTTACCCATTTGAAAGGTACATAGTAAAGCTATTTTGTCCGACTTACAACGGTAATATCTACGCTTCCGGCCGGCTTTGATGGGAGAGGATGATTTAATAATCAACCCATCAGCGGAGCAATCGCATTTTAGGCACTCCGTTTGTCGGCTAGCTACCACACGTTCCTTGCCATCGGTTTTCCAAAAACTCGAAGCGGGTATGCCTCGTGATGCTGCGGCTGCGAAGTTTGGGGGAAGCGTCCCGTCCAGTATATACTGTCTGTGGAAGCACTTAATGAACATTCTGCCCGTAAAAAAGTATGAGGGCCCGATAGGGTCTCCTCTGGTTGAATGGCCTACTGAGGTCCCGTGGCCACTGTCTTTTCCTAGCATCTCTTTGTTATCTTTACTCTGTAGCATATCGGCGGCAGCCTCTGCCATGGCGGGAGGGTGGTCTAGTTTTACAGTATTGTTCTGGGCCAGGCCCAGCGTTTTGGGAGCCATAGCAGATCTAGAATCAATTATCGCGAGTGTAGAAGAGTTTGTACCCGGGATGGTAGTATTCAAAAGCGGTGAGGTTGGCGGTTGGTCTAGAATAGGCACGGCCGTCGACAGCCATGAAAGGATAAGAAGGCCTAGTATATGCATTTTTTTTATGTCTCGCATATAGCGAAGACTACAAGCTTGATTTTTTGAAGTTGAAGTGATACAAGGTATAGGCCTGGAGCTGTGATGGATAGAAATGCGTCTGATGGAGGAGCTAGAGGGGGCCTATAATAGTCCACGCACATGTGATGCTTGTTAGCATTTCATTCCTTTTATACACTCATACTGATCTATGTTTCGGGATTAGGGTAGGAAAGTAGATGTCTGGAAAGGGATATTATAATACAATATAGATATGGGATCCCAAAAGGTAAAAGGAAAGGTCTAATCAGTTTTCGAGTCGTGTCGGTTAACAGTATCTGCCGGACGGTTGCAGGCGTATAAAATACGTATGCACAGCAAGCTTGCAAGTCGAGCCTAGCAAAGTACTTACTTACTTAGTACTAGTTATATATAAAGCAACTTACTTGTACAGTGTCTGTCCTAAATTTACTGAGTTATGCCGACGCCAGCACAATTTAATTACGTAGCCGGGCATGCCGGCAGTTAAATATGATTATGTAGAATTGATACCCAAATCCAATAATTACGTGAATCAGGTTTGTGTATAGATCTATGAGAGTAGAGAAGTAGGGGCATCCGTTGCCTATGACGATTATGCGGCAGAAGAATAGTGCTGCGTCTACGTCCACGGTGGCCTATTGACACCTTATACATATCGGTCCTGGACAACATATTTGGTACTTATATATACCGTTGAAAGTGAGAACTGTTGGTGTTTATCTCGTAAACCAGAATTAATTGCTGCTGCGGCGTTGGTGTCAATGCAATGTCGATGTAAATGCTAATATGTGTTGTAGTGTTGCATTTTGAGGGATGTCGGTTTCGCAACTGCAGTTATTATATTAGTCTTGATCTCGTAACCAAACTTAAGCTGTGTGCAGTTTGATCCAGCCTGGCTTTAAATTTGCTCGGCTGTTCTCTTGCTCGTTAGTTTCAAGACTGACTGCAGTTTGTATATATACTATACTATATATACTAGTACATATGTACATACTTTAATGCTAATTGTATTAGAATCAGAATTCTAGAACCGAATTAGCCTCGAATCCTTAAGCCGACTGGAGTGGTTGGTGTTGTGTTGTGTGGCTGAGGCCGACTTTGTATGTGGCCTCAGCTTCAAGCTCCAAAGCTCCAAAGCTCCAAACGTAACACAGCCGCCACAAGATAACCGGCCTCATATCAGACCCATCTACCTACCCTTCCCCCCACCAGAAGCCCGTAGTAGAATAAACATGGTTGTCTATAGTTTCTTCATATTCGACAGGCATTGTAAGTCGTTCAATAGTCCATAATCGACCTTTGATGTGATTCCGCGACTGACGGTGTACCGTACACGTTCTAGGTGAATGCATCTACATCAGGCAATGGCTCAATAACGTCTCCTCCGCGACACAACCACTCTCCCGTCCTGTAACCGCTTCGTCGGCGGCTACTGTTGCTACATCTGTCGCCGAAAAGCCAAGTTCGGGTAACAGGCTGAGTATGGCTGAGCAGGCAAAATTGGTATTTGGTGTTATATTCTCGTTACGGAATATGGTAAAGAAGCTCTGCGGACCGTAAGGATACCTTCCTCTTCTTTGAAATAGTCTTATGTCCGAAATTTGAAACGGTTTGGGAGCTAAAAAGGGGTTTATTATATTATGGATTGTTCTTATAGCGAAGACTCATTTCTCTGCTATCGGACCGGGCATTATAAGCTGCACTATTACGAGACTCTATCGTCGTTACGGTTCGTCATGTTGACGGACATTCGGACGGAAAGTCTAAAGTCGTCGTTACATCAGATATATGTGAATTTATATGTCGAATATGGTAAGACTGGCATAGCCGAATCTATCCCCACGAAACACGTGCAAATGAGACTCACTGACGCGATGCCTATAGTTGTGAAGAACCCTTTATCGCGTATGTGAAATCCCCGGAAGAGCCTTGATGATGTACATGGCATTTATAATTGACATTGGCGGGAAATCTAGCGGTTGAACACGCGGGTGGAGAAGGGGTAAATAATGAACTATTCGAACTGGGGATTGATAGCTTTGTGGTATTTCCTTGGCCCCCTAACCTCCAAACTCATAAAAACGAGTGTACTAACTTTTTCTAAATAGCGAACGATTGATTAGACAATAATATAGCGGAAGGAGGAGAGGTTTTCAAGGGTCTTTCCGACCCTTTTAGCATCTGGAATCGAGTAGTTCTAGCTCGTAATCGGGTTGAACAATCGTGCGATATATGTTTTTTTCGCTCTTAGCATGGTATTTTAGAGCCTTTTTGTTATAGCATTACGAATGATACCCCCTACGAATGACCTTCCTTCCCATGGTATCCTATACAACTAGCTTCTCGAGACGTGATTTCATTGGTTATCGAGATCACTTCAGTCGTCGATATTGCATATATTGATCCTACCGGTACCAATATTACCTCTTAGCTCCGAGGCTGCAGGGGAAGCTCTACCCACAGCTTCTACCGGGACAAACTCTCCGCGGGCGCAAACCTTTTTCCAACAAACAACAAATTCTTCCACTTATCCATCACTACATCTGATAGATCCAAAATGGCGAAGCTACCCACCATAATAATCACCGGTACACCAGGAACAGGTATAATACCCATCAAAAGAAAAGAAAAAATGGTTTCCGCATCTATAGCGGTATACTTAAATGTTACATACCCCCTAACACATGAAACCTAAAACCCACCAGGAAAGTCAACACACTGCGAGTTACTCGCTGAAGCCACCGGTTTAAAACATCTATCCATCAACCAAGTTGCAAAGGATAACAACTGCTATGAAACCTTTGACGAGGAATTAAAGTCTTGGGAGGTGGATGAAGACAAGGTAAGTTTATTATCGATTTAGAGTTGTAAAACTACCATGCTATGCCAGGAATGTACTGATGTTAACATACAAATTTTTTCTTTTTCTTCTTCTTTGTAGCTGTTAGATGCAATTGAGGATGATGTCAAGAAAGGAGGATACATAATAGACTGGCATGTCTGTGACATCTTTCCAAAAAGCTGGATCGACCTTGTGGTCGTTTTGAGGACGGATAATACAGTGCTATTTGATCGGTTGAAAGCCCGGTAGGTGATCGTAAATATTGAATATTTTGGAGTATATCAGCAGAATTAGTGTGCTAACAAGATTTCCCCTATTAGAGACTACTCTGGTATTTCTTTTTCCCACTTCCATTTCATTATGCTTTTATAGGTTTATTGACATACTAATTTATCATGACCAACAGACAAAAAGCTTGATGAGAACATTGATGCGGAGATCATGCAGGTTATCTTGGAGGAGGCAAGAGAGGCATATGACGAGGATATCGTCATCGAGCTGCAGAGTAACGAAACCGATGAGATTGAGAGCAATGTGGAAAGAATCACAGCCTGGGTGGAGCAATGGAAGGCGAATAACAACGAATCGGAGGATTAGATTTATTACCAATAATTCTAAAAAATTCGAAGAGATATCTAATTTCTCTTTTTCAAGCTTGACTCCATCTATTTCTCTGGTCTAGACTATTGCTCTATCATAAACATTCAGTAGTAAGGAGATATAACGAGGGCTAGACTTTAGTCTGTGAGACAGTAATCGGCTTCTAAATTTTTATGCAGATGTCTCCTCCCTCTTCTCATAAGTCTCTAAGAACTCCTTGAACTTCTGCAAGGCCTTACCCCTATGCGAAACACTATTCTTCTTCTCCTTATCCATTTCCGCATACCTAACCCCCCAAAAAATCAGCACTCAGATCATAACGTCAATACCAGCCTCTCCTCCCTAAACTGAATACTCACGTTTGTCCTTCATACTCAAAAATCGGATCCCATCCAAACTTCGGCGGTCCTCTGGGACACACAATCTTCCCTTGTGTCCTCCCCTGGAAGATCAATGGCTCACTGCCAGGTCCTTCCGAAAACGCGAACGTACAGACTGCTTCTGCGGATTTATCTTCAAACCCCGCCAGAAGTTTGTTGAGACCGCTGTGGCCGACGCCTTGCATAAACCATTTTCTGGGTTGATTCGCATTAGTTAGTTAGTCAGTTAGTTAGGTCGACTAGGTTGTTGTTAGAGTGCTAATTAGGCCGGGAGTTGGATGTTGAGTAGTTACATGTATGGACCAGGAAGGCCCTATGTTATATTGTTAGTTGGTAATACATGCTTATAGTGACGATTAAGTGATGTTAATATAAGTACTTACGTTTAGAGCATTGAAACAGAGACAAGTATCTTCTGTAAGCACTGGCCCTTGGAGCTAATCATCGAATTAGTCCACCTGACGAATTCGAGATTTGCCATTTTGGCATGTGAAACTCAACAGGAGTCACAGGAATTTATGAAAAAAGACTCACAGCCTCAGCAGCCTTCTTGCATTTCGCCGAAGAAACCTCCTCGATCGTGCCTTGAATCTCTTCAAGATCGAGTCCGTGATTATCGATCTTGATGTATTGTCCAAGGATGGCTTGGACTTCAGCTAGTTTCCCGGCGTTACCCGTTACAAAAGTGATGCGGTCGAGTGGCATATTGTTTTTCTGTGTTGGAAGATCAAATCTGAAGGCGCAGTGAGTTAGGATTGATCTCGTTGGAGAAAGAGATGATATCGTTACGACCTTAATATATCGGACAGAGTTATAAATCCAATCGCTGGAGAGGGTTTGATGTTTAGTTTTTGTTGTATTTTGTAAAGTCCCAAGCTTTTTCTTTGATTGCAGAATCAAGGTTCGATAGATAGACGCTGAAGCTAGAAAGAGGCTAATCCATGCTATGGAAGGGGAAAAAAAAATCTTGGCTAAAGAACAAACGCCATCTGCTCCAGAAATAAGAGTTCGAAAACCATCGAGCATTTGCTGGAAAGACACACAAAAGCGTCGGAAGAAAAATATAAAAGCAAAACTTATGTCCACCGCAATTCGCCTTCCTGAATTGAGAAGAAATACCCATTATTTGTTCGATTATTGCCAAAGTTTCTTCTGGCACAAAACGCAAAGAGATTGTTAAAGTCAAGCAAGAATTAGAATATCGTGGGTGGTGGGAGCCACCGGAGCCTAGATTGCCCAAGTTATCCCGTTTACTCGTAAAGAGTAGAATCGGGTTCAAATGTTGGAGCAAGTCTATAATGATTTATTAGCCAATAATGAAGCATGCAGGGGGGAGATAATAGGTTATGAACCACTTACTCAACCATCTCAAAGATATCATACCGTTTGAGATACGGTCCCCCTCTTCTAAACGACTTCAAAAGCTTCCCATGAGCGATGTTCGAGCGGATCCTCTTCTCTCCGATGAGTTTGCGAATGTTTTGGGAGGGGCTAAACATTGGATCGAAGCAAAGCAAGCAAAGGGTTCCACATTTGTACTGTTCAACCCCAACGATTGTCATCGAATGTCCTTGATGTTGGAAATATATCGGTGCCTTGTCTGTTTGGACTACCCTGTCGGTTTCGTGGTCAAACCCCCTTGAGAAATAATTCCATACATGTCGAAGAGCGTTGATCTGTTGGTTTGGCTCTGAGAACTGGCGAGGAATCGTAGATGTTCCGAAGGATGTGAACATAGCTTCGACTTCAGACGACCCGATGTACTTCCTAGTGTATAGGATCCCACCAGTTTCTTCTCGAGCGTGTGCATTGATACCCCTATCCCACGCCTGCTCGATCCATTTCTGGATATCGATGATAGTCGGAATCCGCTCACCATATAGTCGTTCACACCCAGGAACAAAGTTTTTCTGACAGAAGGAAGCCATCATCTGGATATTGCGATAGCCGCAGAACCCATTTGCCGCAGGGTGTTCTTTGTAGACATGCTTTACGGATGGGTGGCAGACGTATGCTTTTTTGACACTCGGGTCCGCCGCACAGAGCTGTCGTATAACGGGGATAAGGCCTGATGTTTCATTTTCGTAGCTCTTCTTGATGTATATGGTGCCGTCGGAACCGATGTTTTTGGTAACTATTTGCCTTCCTCCCTCCTTGAGGGCGTCTTTGAGCCATTCGGGCATTCGCTTTTCGTTCGCATAAGGTCCAAGCTCAGACTTCTTCTATACTGAAGTTAGTAGACCGTATAACAGTCAGCTTGACAGGCGTGTACGAGATCATACAAGTTTGGCTTTAAAACGTGCAGCGACCTCGGCTGGCTTGCTCGTCCCACTGGACCCGTTGGTATGCTTCTTATGGGGTCGCCTTGGATCTGAGAACTCGTAGCCTCCGTATCCGTTGATGGGTTGACCCGGATTATGTTTGTGTAGCCTTTTGCCGTGACGACTCCCATACTGACGGCTTTCGTCGCCCTTAAGCTTTTCCTCATCATCTTCTTCGGTAAATTCATCTCTGTTGATAAAATCGTAGTCCTTGCACTCAATGTCTATTTGGGTCTTGGGTTCCGGGGCGACTATTAACTTCTCCACTTTGATCGTGTCGTTGTCGTCTTCATCTAGAGTCATTACTAAGACCTCGTTCGCTATAGCTTCACTCTCTAACCTCCTCTCCATCTGGCCCATTTTTTTCGGATGACGGTTGCTTGGCCCTTCCTTCTTCGGGGTGTATCGTTTTTTGCTAGCAGCGTCCATCAAAGCATCGCCTTTCCTCTCCCTCTGGCCGACAATAGAATCTCCGACTTGAAGGCCCCCATCACTCTCATTTTTGTAGTCGTCGTCGTCGTCGTCCATGATCTCCAGCTCGGTTTCATGCATTGCAAAGTGTTCTTCCAACTCTAAGAAGCTAACGGGCTCCCCGCAACCCTTCCATTCGCATATTACATACTCCACCTCTGCATTAGGTGCGTCTCTTTGTACGGCCGGGACGACAGCCGGTTTATCTGTTTTGTTGGCTGCATCGACCCTCCAGACCGGTGCACCGACGATTTCCTGGCTGTTGTTATTCGGAACTTGGTACCTGAAGGGATCATAGGCATCGTCTTCATAACCTGCAACGGGAGTTTGAGGTTGAGGTTGAGATACCAGCTTCTGTTTGGTGAGAGGTGGCCATCGAGGTGAATCCGGTTTCGGAGGGACTGGTGGGGGCGCGGGGTTGTCGTTATCATGAATAGCTTCGAAATGCAACTGTATGATGGATTCGTCATCTGCAGTATAGCTACACAAGGGACAGGATATTTCGGGAACAATCGGACGACGGGATGATGAGGATGAGGATGCCATGGCCGGCAGAGCTCCCTATCGGTTCCTCTTTTTTTTTATCTTAAAAAAAAGAAAGAAAAGAGATTGTTCTAGTTGGTGGGTTATTTGATCTCCTACAAACGGTAACAGTTCCCACTGCTCGGGTAGTGTAAATACAACGATCGAAGTAGTTTCCGCGCTCCGATGATGTCTCTTTGTTAGAATCGCGGATATCGAATATAATACTGGCAGAAGATTTGAAGGTTGATTCACGTTCACGTCGGAGCGTGGCAGAAGGCTGAGAAGGTTTGGTTGCGGAAGGATGGAGATGGCAGGGAGCACATGGCAAAAGCGTAAGGCTTTAAAGGCGGGACGGAGGGGCTGCGAATAGGAAGGATGCGTGCGGGCTGGGTAGCTGGGCTGGTACTTGCTTGTACGGGCTTATGACTCGATGGGTACATTGCATCGACTAACTTAACGGGCATTGCATGATGGTTCACTATGACGCGCGGAGGTCAACGACATCACAACACAGTAGTTACAGGGATCATCTAATTTCGTTTAAGACCATTCGATTCGATCCATGTAAATTTCAGAGGTTTATCCTTGAAGTCTGAGACAATATAGAAAATGTATTAGACTTGATGGATTGATGTCAAGTTAACTGGGTTTTCGTGTTTATAATAGAAACCCTCGAAACCCGAAACCCTGGCTTATTTATTTTCATATGCATGTGCATGCAAACCCTCTGGTCTACATCCGGCTCGCTCAGAATATTAAGATTAGTTCTAGAATTTTGTCTCTTTAAACTCTCGTACACAGCTAGTAATGGCCTAGTCGTGCATGTAACATGGTCGTGTAACCAACAGCAGTCAATGTTATTTTTAATCGCGGAAACATTTCTGCTGATATATCAATATACCTCAGTACCTTACACTCGCTACTTAGCGAAGAACCGCTGACTACATTTGAGCAGGTTTTGCAAGCATACATACGTTAATAAGCCTTCGTTTAAATAATAAATGAAATAAATATATATATATTCTACATGTTGAAACAATATCGGTATCGGAGTCGTTTATCATGAGTATAGCATGTAAGTCTGTAGTCTTGCAGCCATAGCTACTGCATACATAGTATAATAATACCTTCCCAATACGTGATTTATCTAGCTTAGGCCATTCGCCACCGTATCCTAGAGCAGAACTCGATACTTGGAGAATGATCTTAATTGATTATAAATCCCAGAAGTTGGCTAAAGATGTATCTTTACAGAGGGAGACGATTCCGGCACTCACAGCTAGCAAGCTGGTGAAAGGAATGTGAAAAAATTAGTCAGGTATATTCATTTAGTAATAACATTTTCAAGGAATGTAAAGAATTTGGCGAATTATGCCCCAGAACTCTACAGACCTTACCAAACTCTCACTAAGGGATTATATCAATAGAAAATTGGATTCGATAAATTATTTAGTTATTATAATTAACTCTCATGCAATTGAAGTTTCGGTTTAACGAAAAGTTGGACAGCAAAAAAACGTGTTGATCGCGTGTGATTTTCAGCCCGCCGCTAAGTGATCAAATTACACCATACTAACTACCTAGGTAGCAGGAGTAGTAGTAATAGTAGTAGCAGGAGTAGTAGGAGTACTGGTGGTAAGAAGAGTATGGCGGGCGCGCTATGGGTTTAGGCTGTCCAGCATTACGATATCTATTATCCAAACCGGCGGGGTTATTCGTAATATGACCGGCCTCGTTGACAAGACTTGTGACAAATATCCAAAATTCGGTGCTTGCTGCACCGTTTGCATGGGATGGGATCAATTCAAAGTGCAAATGACTTACTTTTTTCGTTGCAGCGCAGGGTGGGGCGAACCAACCAGGTCATCTTGCTGGGACACACGAGCTCTCCAAGGTCTCACGCTTAGCTTAGCTCAGCTCAGGAGATGTATCATATCGACCTTAACAGTTCCCGACTATAGTTTATTATCGTCGGTCGAATGTCCGTTCCCGCTGTATCTGTATCCGTATCCGTATCTAGTATATCAGTGCAGTGCTGGTGTCGTGCCCTCATGTTCACGGTCATAACCAAATATCTCTCTTTGGGAGCGATATAACGGAATCAACCTCACCAACCATCATCACCATCCTCTCCACATTCCCACTCTTCCATCATCATCACCACTTTACCCCCACTACCAACTGTAACAAACTACTAGGTATTTATATATACTAGAAATTTAGGATCCTTTGGTGTCGACAAACATCGGACTTCGTCAGTCTTCTACAAGCAAGCTAGGACAGGACCGTGGTGGTGCGGGAAGTGCAGGGTTCAGGACTCGCTTAGACTCACTTTGGACTCTCATTGATGTGATCCCTCACCCAATCCCCGAACCTCTCTGCAACTTCCCACTCCTCTCTTCCTCTCTTCCTCTCTGCTTCTCTTTCTTTCTTTCTTCCTCTCTCCCTTCTTTCTTTACATTCACCCTTTCGTCTAGCATCTTCGAATTTACCGCCTTGCCACCTATCACCATCCGAGCCTACTTTTTGGACACAGAGATATCCACAACCTCGACCTTCCTATCCTGGCATTCATTGTCGTTCCTACCAGTCGGCCTATCAATAAACGTCGTGGCCATCGACCACGTAGTAGAGTCATAAACTACCCCGCGAAGCCTGATTCACCGAATCAATCCTGCAACTTTTATCAAAAGGAAATACCTTATCTGCACGAGACCGGTCGAAAATGGCGGAACGAATCTTGATGAACGAGTTTAAGCAGCTCTCCAAGCCCGGCGAGAATCCTTGGTTGAATGTCCAGGTACGGCGAGGGTCCGAACAGTTGGTACTGGTGGTTGTTACAGGCGCTGATTTGGGTTTCTGTTTTTTCCAATGTAGCTGGGCAAAGGTGACAACCTCTTCTTGTGGGACGTAGCCATTATTGTCTCCAACCCCACTTCCGTCTACCACGGTGGGTATTTTAAGGTCAGCATGGATCCTCCCAACCTCGCTTGGTCCGCCTCGAACCACTAATATGTACCAACCACACATTTTGTTTTTCCCGTATAGGCCGAATTGAAATTCCCTTCAAACTACCCGTATTCTCCTCCGGAATTCCGCTTCCTACGACCTCTCTGGCATCCGAATATCTATCCCGATGGGAAGCTCTGCATCTCCATCCTTCACCCGCCAGGTGAAGATGAGATGTCTGGCGAGCTTGCAAGCGTATGGGAATAGAATCATGGCTATATTTAGAAATAAAAGACTAAAGCTTTTATTAGGAACGATGGTCGCCAGCCCAACGCGTCGAATCCGTTCTCATCTCAATTCTGAGCTTATTGGATGACGCTGAAGTATCTTCGGCCGCCAATGTTGATGCCGGTGTCATGTTGAGAAACGACCCAGAAGCGTACAATGCTAGAGTTCGCGGTATGCATTCAAACAATAACCGGGTCATAAAAAGTAGTCTTAAGTTCTAACGTTGGATACAGAGAATATTGAAACTTCTAAGAAAGATATACCAGAAGGTTTCATCATGCCATCAAGCGCTGAAATCAAGCCCCCACCTAAGGATGATGCTTCTGATGATTTCTGGTATGATTCCGGAGCGGAGTCATTTGGAGGAAGTGACGAAGGTTCATTCGGAGGAAGTGATGCCGAGATGACTTATGGTAAGAAGATCATTGCAAACCAGACTTAGCAGTTGAGTTGAAACTTACAAACTTTGCTAGATGAGGACGACGGCGCCGAGGATGATACTGAAGATGACGATGTTGAAGAGGACCCAGCCGAAGATGAAGCTAAGAGACTTGCTGTTACTCCCAACAAGCAAGTCCTTGGTATCAATCTCGAGGATAGTTCCCGAACTGCGACTCCACGCCCGACATGAGCGTCTTCAAAGTTTACTGTTACTTCAGTCCGAAGCTCTTTCACAAGCACATTATTCGTCGTTCACAAACACTAACACTTCTTTGAGCCTTCCCTATTTATTGCTCCCCTCTATTTGCAATACCTTCGCTCAGATCTTTATCCACTCGGTTTTATTAGCGTGCATGCGTCCTGGGGTTTACGCTTTGCTGTTTCTCTCTACATTCTGATGATTTTTCACACCCCTCTCCGCGTTTTATCCGTGCTTACTACCACAGACCCTATTATGGCTGTGGATCTTGGTTTTACTCCCCGAGACCTGCTGGTGGTTTGCTTCTTGGATTTGTAATGCTGTTGTACAGGCGCTTTTGGAGGCTAATCCAATTTAAAAAATATTATTACAAATTCACGAGCCCAATCATTTTTTAAAGGAGTTCTAAAAAAACTTACTATATATAAGTTAACAAATTAAAACATCCCGATTAGTCTTACAAACACCATCAGCCCTACTGAATTAATTCGGTATCATAGTTCCGTTATTAACGCAATTGCAATTCTTATATTGTAGTATTCTAATCTTTATGTACGGCCTGGCTTGTTCGACGCTCGCGAAGATATTTGCGTATCTAACTGGCAGGATTAGGTCTTTATTGTTAGGGAAGTGAGTTCTATCGATATTGTTCATGTCTAAACCTAAGATAGTTTTTACGGTTGGGTATTTAATTGTAATTTTGTCTTTATAGAACCATTGGGGGCTTATTATGTCGCCGTAGCGTTTGTCGGTTTTAGTGGGAGTTTCGTCAGTTGAGCCTGTGGTGGAATTAATTTTGTAGGAGGGGATATCTCTGGCGGGGTTTTCTGATTTTGGGGAGGGTATTGTGCTGGTGGAGCTGATGGTTTTGGTCGATAATGATGATTCATTGGAGAATACTTTAACGCGGGTGGTTGGTTTCGGTTCGAGTTTTGTTTGTGTATTGGTAATGGAAGTTCTAATACCAGTATTATATTAAATATTGTAGAGATAGATGAGAACGATACTAAAGACGTTTTACTCGGGTTGTCTGTGCTTAAAGGTGCGGCTTGGACGAGGTCATAAAATGGTATATTCGGGGAAACCAGAATCAGAATTAATAACTATTTGGGGAAGGGGCTAGCTTCTGAGTCCAGCCTTCCGAAACGATGCTGGTAGGGTATTCTAAGATATCCAAAAATCAATCCAGGTGTAATATAAAGCCCAAGGCTTTAGTAAAAAGTAGAGAGAAAGTATGATGTCTCAAGGTGTTTGTATCGCAGAAAGTTGATCTCGTAGGCCCAATTTCCAGAACCATATATACCTATTAATATATTCCGAGGAAAATTAAACTAGGTGAACTCATTACTATAATTAGAGATGGTCTAGAGGACCTCCCGGCATTATTCCACCAGCTCGGGGGTAATATATATCAAGCGTCGAACCGCGGTACCGCCGTAGTGGACTACCTTGGACGTGCACGTGGTTCACTCTTTGCGGTATCGTATACCAGGTCGACGGCCCAGGCCATAGGACTCCAGCTTCTGTTCCACACCATTTGTTTCAAATTATATTAATCTCGTCGATGCTTGGCCGACTGGTAGCATAGTCGTAGCACGTCACCTGATAACAACATATTGATCTCCTCTGACAGCTCATATTCTACTGAACAGGTGCAAAGCGCGCTGGCGTATTGTTGGCGGTAATCAACAAAGGATCTATGTATTTCAAAGAGAGTGTGATCCAAGACATAACCGATATAAGGGGGTCCAATGAGGCGCGAGAGGCGCAGATCGATATTTAGTGTAGACTCTGGATAGGAATGTGACTTCTAGAATTGTATCGTTTTAAATTTTGCATAATTGGCTCCGCTGGATTACTGGTTCTTCTTTGATCCGATCGAAAGAACTACCTATTAGGTTCTGTGTTAACATTATAACATGTTCAGCTAATCATGTTCCTCAAAGAAGCCAAAAGATTTCCTAAATATATTTAGTTTGAAGTTGTGCAAAATAAATACCAGTATATATATCAACTTATTATCATGATTCCAACTTTTGTACATAGATCTAGAAGATAGAAGAGCTATCGATTTCAGTTCTAGATTTCTAATCATATATCACAAAATATAAGCATTGGCCCAGTTAAGCACAAACTCAGTTTCGAATTTCACAGCCTTTGATTACAATCACCAGGATCCAAATACTAAATCGATGGGTTGCGTACCCCAGGGGTGCTTGCAGTTAGCACGTGCACAGCCGTGGAAGTGTCGAACCTGGGTTATATTAAGCTTGAGAGACTATGTCTAAGCATCCGATACCTGAGCTTGTCTCGTCGCCAGACTCCTCAACTGTGACCTGAGCCTTCCAAACCTATTTTGGAATAGATTCTGTTAGTGCTGAGCCTCTACTCGTCACCAAGGGTACTAGTATTTCCAATAAGTTGGGTTGGGGATTCGCACCATGGTTCGATTCTCATCGAACTCTCGTCTAATTTATATTGTTAGAGGAAGCCTTAAAACCAGTAACCCGGAAGCTAGGTAGCCTGGATTATTTTTCTATTTAGAAGTGTTTGCTCATATAAAAATGTTCCCAACGGGGATTTCCTCGTTCAAGGGGTGCGGCGGGACAATTTGCCCTCTCGATTGTCTAAGTACCTGTAGAAACAACATTATTTTGCAAATCTAGATTCACGAAGACCATAACCTTTTTAGTCATTATTGTTTCATGAACTAGGTTAAATTACTATCTCCGGAGCCTTTTCGCTAGGTGGGCTGTTTGTTATTATGTAATGGTCCTATTTATGTTTTAGTGGTAGACGGGACGTCTAAGTTGTCAAATGTGATAATATTGATCGGACTTCTAGAATCTGGCGAGTGAGCATGCATGCGGTGATATCATGATCTAATGCGTGCCATCCCACCAACGAGAGCCGCGGGGCACGGAACAACCATGCACCAGGACATCGGGATATTGAATAGCTTTGTAGTATTCGGAACGCTCCAACTGTATATATAGATCCACTTTATGAAACCATGCAGTTCTAAGTTATGTTTTAAAGTGCGTAGTGCTGGAGGTGTGTTGTGCTTGTTGCATCTGTGCCCGATCTTCGCCGGGGAACTAGGATACCCGGGGGTGGCAACCCAGTTCAGACCCTGGCTCAGGTGGCGCGAAGATCTGAGCTTTGCTCTGCTCGTGTGGGCTTTTATCGTTACACCCCCTCCACGTCCCATAAACAACACCAACCCACAGCTTCTTCGTGATACCATACTCTTTACCGCAGTATCCCCGATCCCTCACTTATCTTTCTATTGGATTCAATACCTCCGCCACTTCCGTACTACAAACCTGCTATTAGTAGTTGAAGAGCCACCAAAACGAACGAACAGCCCCACCAACCGATATCGGTATTACGGACACATCCCGAGCTAATCCTACAAAAAGTTTCCACATAGTCGCAAAAGGGAGAAAACGTTAGCTCCGGCTCACTTTTGTTGACAGTCATGGCTTCCGCAAAGGAAGAAGCAGTAGCTCTGAAGGATAAGGGTAATGCAGCCTTTGCTAAAAAGGATTGGAACGAGGCCATCGATCTGTATTCCAAGGCTATCGAGCTGGATGCTACTGTTCCAGCATATTTTTCCAACAGGGCTCAGGTAGATTTATTTCTTCTTCTCTCGATAAGTTATAGTTTGTGAGATGTTATATGATATTTTTCTAACACTTCGATCGGGATCTTTAGGCATACATTAAAACCGAAGCATACGGATATGCTATCTCCGATGCGACAAAGGCTATCGAGTTGGATCCTGGTTTTGTCAAGGTATGTTATATCCTTCAATTTGCACTCACCCAACAAAAATGATATTGGGGAACGATACTAAGGATTATCATCGGAGATAGGCATATTACAGACGAGCCTTGGCAAATACTGCGATATTGAAACCGAAAGAAGCATTGAAGGATTTCAGGGCCGTAACAAAGAAAGGTTCGTCCGAAACATTGTGGTGATTGATACAATGATTTTGGGATCAGCCAGTTAACTGTTTGGATATAGCGCCCGGAAATCAAGATGCCAGACTCAAGCTATTGGAATGTGAGAAGATGGTCCAGAAGGCCGAGTTTCTAAAGGCTATCGAAGTCGGAGATCCCCCATCTGCTGCTGAAGGACTAGATCTCGACGGCATAAGTACGCTTTTGTGAATTTCCAACCATATAGTAATCTATACTGATCGTGTTCCTGCAACAGAGGTCGAAGACACCTACGAAGGACTTGAGCTTGGCGAAGAAATGACTCTCGATTTCATAAAAGACATGACCCAGCGTTTCAAGGAAGGCAAGAAGATACACAAGAAATACGTCTTCCGTATCATCCTCAAATGCAAGGAAATCTTCTACGCCGAACCCACAATGCCTGAAGTTACCGTCGAAAAGGGTAAAAAACTCACAATATGCGGCGATACCCACGGACAGTACTTCGATTTGCTCGAAATCTTCGGCAAGAACGGATACCCGAGCGAGTCGCATGCTTATCTATTCAACGGAGACTTTGTGGATAGAGGCAGCTGGTCGACAGAAATCGCTTTACTCCTTTTCGCATACAAATGGTTGTGGCCAAAGGGATTCTTCATCAACAGAGGAAACCACGAAGCCGACCAAATGAACAAGGTCTATGGATTCGAAGGTAAAAGAGAAAAACACCCTAACCCCACCGCATATCGCTCTATTATAACCGCTAACACCCAAACCAGGCGAATGCAAAGCCAAATATACTGAGCGAGTTTACAAGCTCTTCTCCGAAACCTTTTCCGCCCTCCCTCTCGCCCACCTTATCGGCTCCAAATACCTTGTCCTCCACGGCGGTCTCTTCTCCGACGACAAATACACCCTGGACGATATCCGCAAACTCGACCGCCATGCTCAACGCCAACCAGGTAACGAAGGTTTAATGATGGAAATGCTCTGGACCGACCCACAAACCGAACCAGGCCGTGGACCTTCGAAACGTGGTGTAGGTCTGCAATTCGGTCCAGATGTTACCAAACGTTTCTGTGACAGGAACGGATTGACAGCCGTCATTCGAAGTCACGAGGTCAGAATGGGAGGATACGAACAAGAACACGACGGCAGGTGTATTACCGTCTTCAGCGCACCGAATTACTGTGATTCGACAGGTAACAAGGGAGCTTACATCAATGTCAATGAGGACTATAAGTTGGACTTTGTCACCTTTGACGCGGTTCCACATCCTAACATTAAGCCGATGGCTTATGCGCAAAACTCTTTGATGCAGATGATGTGATCAATTTCTTTTTCTTTTTTTACACTGCTTATTTTATTGAGACTGAGAAAGCATTTCTTTTCTTTTCTTTTCTTTTTTTTATTAGGATGGGAGAATGTTTCAATAGAAACTGGGGCCTTTTTTTTTTCTGTGTAATATAATATGACGATCATGCGTGACGATGCATTAATGATGTTAGTAACCCTCTAGACAACGGCATGTCTGTACATTGCCTTACCTTGCACTGTCGGTTCCCTAGCTTTAGCTTTAGCTCAGAATGAGCGGTCCGGATGGGGAGCCAGCAGAACCCGACTATTCGATGTACTTATTGTTATCCGGGGAACAGAAATCAATTTGTCGATTATCAAGGGGCTAATAAGCACCCTCCATTGTTACTGCTAGGTGGTCGGTCTGGCAGAAGATACTTTTAGAAATTTACGCGGGAGTATGCACATGATAGAAGTATTTCATTCATTCAATCAGTCATGTCTTATGTACTTGGATCACAAAACAAAGACAGAAAAAAAAAGTATTAAAATCAACTAGACAGAAAAGCAATGGGGGAATCATTTCACGGTCGATAAAAGGAAAGCACGAGGTATAGAAAACCAAAGAAATCGGGTAACTATGAACAATGGGTAGAGGGGAAAGCTAAGAGGGTTCCAATCATTAAACAATCCATATAAGCTGCAAAAAAAAAAAAAAGAAAAAAAAATAAGGGGGGGGGGGATTAGTCCAACGGGTACCAGGTGGAAATCCACTACTCCATAAACGCCTGCCAGCCGCCAATGTCAAAAGAAAATATAAAGAAAAAAATTGAGAAAAGGACAAGGAAGAAAGAAAGAAAGAAGGATATGTAGAGGTACTAGCTCTCATACAAAAGAAGACGTGCCGTGACCCATGGAATTTTCTGACGGTTCCAAAATGTGGTGCAGCAAGTAAAGGAAAAAAGGACACTAAGTTGGTGTGGGAAGCAAGAGTTGTCAAGAACTCAGTTCTTAGCTGCCTTGCTCTCTGCTTTCATCCTTGCCTTCATTTCTGCCATTTTTGCGGCAGCCAGCTTTCGCTTTGCGTCTGCGTCGGATCCAGCACTGGTCTTAGCAGTGACGCCAACGCCGGTAACCTCAACAGGAGCCGCAACAGCCGCCGTAGTCTTGAGAGATATACCATCGCACAGCTCTAACGGACTCTTCTTAGAAAGCTTTGTATTAGCAAAGCTCCGTAGGCTGGCAAAGCTTCCTCTCCTTGGATTTGGCGATTTTTCGAAGTTGAAATATTTGGGCATAGGGCTCGTAGCTTGTCGTCGCATGATAGCCTTTTCGTCATCGGTTTCGTATTTCGGCGGTAAAACACCGATTTCAGGCATTGGACTAGAAGGTGGAGCGTCATCAATCCCACGAGCCTTCATGGGGCTGACGGGTTTGGGTGCTGCGGGATCGTATTTAAGGTCCTCCCGGCTTCTCCTTGGAAGGGGCTTTGCAATGCTCCTCAATTTATCAAGATCGGTGTCAGACATCGAGGCCATTGTTGGAGATATTGGGGGAAGAGACAAGTCGCTATGGTCAAGTTGTCGTAAAATCTCCTTTTCGGTCATAATTGGGGTTGAGATGACGGATCTGCGAGGCTTAGGCGTAGACTTGTAGTTCGGGTCGTTTTTTGTAGTAGCAGATCGAAGGTTTGCGACAGCGGTGGACTTCTTGGGGGTAAGGTTAGAATCCTCCTGCTTGAGATATTCGTCAATCGTGGGGATAGTGTCCTTTGGTTTTGTGACCGGTGCAGGTGTGGGTTTGGAGAATATTCCACCGAGCTCAGGTTTCCTATCAACGACGCTAACGTTGGGGAAAGCCGAGTGCTCAGTGATTTTGGGACTGCCACGGCTACGGGGTTTGTCTTTAGGAGCATTGAGGCCAGAAAGTGATTGCCAGATGTCTTGTTCGGGAGCAGGTTGGGAAGCGGGAATAGATGTTTTGGCGGGGTTGACAGGAATATCGTCAAGAGGGTTGTCAGATTTCTGTTGGACCTTGAGGCGGTGGTTTTCTTCCTTGACAAGTGATAGCTGTTGCTTGAGCCTTTCCACCTCACGTTGGGAATTCTCGAATTTTGCGGTGAGAACATCTTTTCCAGCGGCGGCGGCTTCTGCCTTACGAAGTTCACGTTTGAGGTTCCTAACTTCAGACTCGGCATTGGCATTAAATAGGGAGACTTCATCTGCCGCTTCTTTTTTAGCCTGGAGGGAAGCCTCGAGATCCTTGATGCGGCGAGCCTGGCGGTCGATTTCACTTCTCTGTCGGTCCAGCTGGTATTCGTGGTCGGTCATTTCAACTTCCTTCTGTCGAATTAGCTCTCGGTATTCGGATGTTTCACGGCGGAGGCGTTCGATAGTCTTTTGTTGGTATGTTTCGGTAAGAGGAGCGTTTACAGTTGGATTTGGTTCAGTTCGGGTTTCCATTGCCATCTTTTGCCATTTGTCGATCTCGGCTTGCATCTTTTTTCGAAGTTCGATTTCTTCCTTGAGCCTGGTGGCTAGATTGGCGGCTTGCTCATCTTTTTTAGAAGCAAACTCGACGGAGGTATCCTTGCGAGCCTTGTAGAATTCGACTTTCTTCTCCGCCTGGTTGATGTCATTTGAGTATCTATCCTTCCAATAAACTCCAGAACGGGAACGAGGCTCATCAAGGTTAACTGTAATATCGACATCGGTGGCTTGTTGAACGCTGGCCTCCTCAATCATATCATTAATTCGGGCAGTGTTTTCACGAAGAGCTTGAATTTGATCGTCTACAGATTTAGCGTCATCCTTTGTCTTTGAGACTGTCGAGGTTTTTGTCTTGGGCTTTGGCGTTCCCTTATATGGTTTGTTCTGGTCCTCGAAGATTTCGATCTCCTCAACACGGGCAAGTTCTCGAGACGTCCTTCTCTTTGGGAGTTCGTTGGTGATCTTTGGAGTCCACGGGCTAGGGAATTTTCCAGGGTAGTCCGCAGGGAGACCAGATCGAACACGTCCTGTACGAGATTCATAACAGAATGTGTCCTCATGGACTTGATCGGGGCCAAAAGAAACTGTCTTCTTTTTGGAGATCGTATTGCCAGGTGTCACCAAGATACTCTGAGGATTCCTCCTTGGTGGAGTCATAGCATCCTCGAAGGTCTTGAAACGGCTAGGGCTGCGACTTTCGAGGGGTATTCGTCGCTTCGAACTCGTAAACACATCCTCATCACTCATAACGTCCCGGCCGAACTTTGGACGATGATCCCGTTCACGGCGTGGGTTATGGTGCGGGCGGATATCCTGAACTTCGAGGTCTGGTTTTGGAGTCCCAAATAGTCCGTTTCTGAACGCATTGAATGCAAAGGTGGCTGGGCCTGGAGTTTCTGTTTCATTTCCCACAATTTAGAAGTTAATTGATATAATCATTGAATTATTATTTTTTTGGGGCAATAATAGCAATCCGTTGGAAAGAAGGATATGCAAATACGTACCAGGGTCATCAGGGAGATCTTGATCTGGTATTATCAAATCTTGGTCGACCTCCTCCTCTTCGCCCTGTTGGTCTCCTCGTAGCCAGGCCAGCATATTGAGAAACGCGTCTCGCTTTCGAATTACGTTTTGTGCTTCAGGATATTGTTGGTGGATATATTCGACAGACTCAGACGATGTTGTAGTTGAAAGTGAAGGAGAGATTGGTCGGGAAGAAGAAAAAGAAGAAGAAGGCGATTGGTTATCAGGAGGGAGAAGGGACAGAGTTATCGAATGAGAAGGGTGGGGTATGGCAAGAAGGGATGGAGTTAGACTAGGCGTCTTCCGGAGGGATTGTTTTGGTTTCGGGTCCGCCTGCAGGGAGACGGGGGGTGGGCGTTGTTGTGGTGTGAGCGGTTGTTGTGGTTTTGCAGGTCGTGGTGGTGCAGGCGGTTGTTGTTGTTTTGGTTGCAGAAGTTGCACCCTTGAACTTGAACTCGGTTGCCGTGGACTGGCCATCAAGTCGGGCAATGCAGCCTCAAATAAGGCGTGGAGGTCAACCTGAATCTTGACTCCTGTCCCCGTCCTGGGCCTGCCATGATTACGAGTATTGTTAGCATCCTCGGCCTCCTTGCTTCTGCCCCCTTCCAGCCCCTCTCCTGTATTTTGGGCATCTTCACTTGTGACAAAATTTCCAAAGTAGCGCCCGCCGCTGTTTTTGTTCTGCGGCATCCGGCCTTAAACTTGCAAGGCTTGCATCCAATCACCAATCCTGGTCACTCAGCTGCATCTCTTCACGCTAGTAGGCTGAGGATGTTCCAGATGCCCTGCCGAAATCCCCAACTTATTTACTGCCGGAAATCCTGAAGTATATTGTCGATTGAGGGAAAAAGAGATTTTCTGGTAAAACGGGCGACAGATGGTATACTGGTAGGTTTTAATCATTCCGACACTAGCAAAAACCTCCACCTTGATTCTATTGTCCTTTTTTTTTTTGACAATTCAATAATCGTATCCGCTTCATTTCACGTGGCAGGTTTCCAACGTTTGAAATCGTATCATAGCCATCTTTATCCGACCCAAACTCCAAACAGCCAATGGCCACCCTCTAAAAGATCCTTGCCAAGACGGTGATTAGGCCTGTCCGTCAATACCTCACCCGTTTTTCAGCTGGTACATCATATTTCTCGATGAAAAATCAACAACTTGCAGGATCGTTAGTGGCTTTTTGGCACCGTCTTTCCCGGCAGCCTCGGGAACATTGGACACACACTTCTTGCACCTAACCCTTTCGGCAACAGTTTGGTGTATTTCAAGTTACAAAACATTCAATGTTGGCAGATTGTGTGTCTGTACCCCACATTCCCACCACGCATAATATGAGCTCGCCCAGCCGGGGAATGGCAGAATTTTTAACAATTCTGTGAGTGTTTCGGCTCTAAGAATCTGGAAGCATTCCGAATGCTGCCCTTGCTTGATATATTGCATCAATACCATCTGGAGAAATCAATTCGATCGAATTCCTTCGAATCAAAAGCGTTTCAAAGGTCCTCGATTTACAAGTGTGAATTAGCGGCGGTTTGAATATTGTATTCCTGTATTTTGTTATATCATATTAAGCTAAACTTGCATTTAAAAAAATTTCAGATTTGCTGATGTGGGCTACCTACGACGTACATACTTATGTACCTTCCTGAGATATAAATGACGGCTTTTGCCTTGATGCACGCGGAGCTACTTTAGCTCGGTCATGGATCAGAGATGGCGATTCGTCTCTAGCGATCGAGGTGGTACCGACTTAACCCTTTTGTAGCAACTGATCATTCGTACAATTGCATACGTATATAACTTTTATTCGATCCATGGAGCTGCAGCGCTGCACCACCAAAGCACATATTACCAATTATAGAAGCCTCGCCAAGTATATCATGTTGTAATTTCGACACCATCAATATTAATTGTCAAAGCTTTAAAGCGGGGATAGAACAGTACTTTCAAATCGAATATCCAAGTCCACGATACTGGTCCCATGCCACTACTTAAAGTTTTATTTTCAATACATACTTAAGTAATTACATTATAGAGAAATGCGAGTACAAAACCACCAGAGGTGCCGTGTAGACCTTCAGGACATCAAAAAGTTGCGGAGATTATGTAATACAATGTTGGATTATGAACATCAAACTGTGTTGGGCGCGAGACCACCTTGACTCAGTCTTCTGATTTGTCGGTTGATCCAAACCCACCCTCAAACCACGAAGCTTATACACTGCAGTACGTAACTGCAGGTCCATATCCACGAATAACAACAACCTCCCTTTCGAAAACACCAATAGTAATCATGTATTCCAGATCCGAACCCTAAATCTGCAGCGTCAGCTGCAGAATAGGAACGGTGGCACTCGCGTCTAACGTCTTGCTCCTGATCTGAGCGAACCCGAGTACATACAAGAAACAACGATTAACTACCACTTTTGCAACAAGAGCTCATATTATACTTGAATTCACACGACACTACCAAAATGCCGCCTAAAAACCAGAAAAAGAATACCGTGAAAAGTCATGCTGCGAGTGCCCCTTCTGTACAGACAGGAGGGGTCACAAATTACGATGATATCCAAAGCAATGAAGTTTTGGTCATGGAATCGATGTACCCAGATGAGTTCCAGCTTGTCGAAAAAGGAGCAGGAGCATGGAACGTAAGTTGGGGTTTATATAGTCTTTTTTTCAAGCAATTTCTAATACACTTTTGCAGGCGAAAGTGGCCCATTGCTTCAAGCTAAATCTCAAAGCTGAAACAGATTCCGAAATTGGGATAACTCTAAATGTCGAGTTTCCATCCGTCTACCCTAAAGTAGCGCCTGTTATTCGGCTGTCTGATCCAGTGGGGTTAAGGGGGGAGCACCAGAAGTCCCTCGAAAATCTCATCAGGAAGCAAGTCGCAGATTGCATGGGCGATGAAATGATGTCCGTCATTGCTGAAGAAGTAAGGCAGTACCTCAATGACAGAGCCAATGCAAAGGACGCAGATGCCCATAAACCGGCATTATTCGAAGAGAGAGCTTTAAAAGAAGAGGCCGAAAAGAAAAGACAGGCTGAGGAAGCTGTCCAAGCAGAGAGGGAGCGAAAAGCAGATACAGAACGCCGAGCTGAGGCGGAGAGGCAACGTACTAAGAAGGCGTTCAATCAAGCCCAACAAAAGCGACGAGTTCGGCTAGAAGCACAAAACTCACAAACTCTTGACGATGATGCTGCAGATACTGGAGATGGAATTTGCCGCTTGTTCCCTGAAAGGCTGGTTGTAAAAGATACAATCGGTAATCACGGGAGATTCAGAAAGGTATTTTCTAGTTAACTCAAAACCATTGCACTATCACTGATTCGCCGCGGTACCTTGTTAGGTTGGGGGCATGGTCCTTTTGCAGAAGCATGGAAGAACAAGTGTATACGTCGTCCGTCCAATATTTGAAGTTCCACAGGACTTTGAAGTTGCACTAGTTCTAAAAGAAATGGAATGGACAAACTTAAATCCGAGCTCTTCAGAGGGAACACAGCTTCTTACAAAGCTTGAGACCGACTTAGAAAAACTGATACCATCAGAAGACAACCAACGTCACAGCAGTGTTGTGGAGGTTCTCGCGACTAATATCACAGAAATTCCAATGGACTATATGGGTGATGACCATGGAGACGCTCGAAAATTCAGAATTGATATTCTAATGGAATACGCCAACAAAGGCTCACTTGCAGATCTCCTCGAAACCGTTGGTAAACTCGACGTTTCAATGGTTCGATCTTACATACTACAGTTAATTGATGGTCTCCGAGATCTTCACCAAGCTGGTATCATTCATCGCAGGATACACCCAAGAAATGTTCTCTTGTTTCAATCTGTTGGCGGTAAAACAATTGTGAAATTCGCAGATCCGGGTATATCCTACCGCCTTCAAGCACTAGAGAACTATCAGGACGGTACCGAGGAGCCTTATGATAGCAAAGACCCTTGGGTGGCCCCAGAATTGGCGACTTCTAAGGCACCCACCAAGAAAACCGACATTTGGGATTTTGCTGTCCTTATTCTGCAAATGCTGCTGGGGCTTGACCTACGAACGAAACATGTTTCTCCCCAAGCTGCCTTAAAAGAGAGACTTCCTTTATCATTGAAAGCTTTCCTTGGGAAAATGTTCCTTCGGGAGCATAATAAGCGGCTGGGTGTTTTTGATCTTCTACCGATGGAATTTTTACGGCAAGGTGACGATGCTTATGATGATGACCCGACGGACAATGAAACAATCCCGACGGCAATGTCACCAGTCAAGAGGCGCGGCTCTTTTAGTGGCAAGGTTGGGCGATATGCCCAAGAATGGGATGAAATCCAACGTCTCGGTCGTGGAGGTTTCGGCGAAGTCGTCAAAGCAAGAAACAAGTTCGATGGTAGCTTCTACGCCATCAAGAAGGTCATAGAAACATCTTCCAATACCCTTACTGACGTTTTGAAAGAAGTTTTATTGCTTTCGCAACTGAACCACCCGAACGTCGTTCGATACTATTCCACTTGGATGGAATCAAGCGATAGGAGCACATTTCTAGGTGTTGATAGTACGAGTGGGGAGGAAGGATATAGTCTTACGGATAACGGGACCGATTCTGTATCTCTGGATGAAGGGCGCAGATCACATCTTGATTATATCAGCTTGAAAAACGATGGTATTGAGTTCGGGTATTCTTCAGACGATAGCGAGAACGCAGTCTTTGAATCAGACAGTGACGATGATGACACTAGTGATGATGACACGGCGTCGGAAGGTGCGACTGGTGGCGTTGAGAATGATGAGAATGATGATGAGCAATCGCATCTTCAGATCCGCGAAACCAATCGCATGCAAACTGGAAACAAACCCGACGAGATCTACTCTGAAGATGAGGATAGCAGTGGTGGAACGAAGAAGAGTGCTCCAGAGCGTTCACAAACACCGATGATTCTTTATATCCAAATGGAATTCTGCGATAAACAGACCCTCAGAGACGCTATTAATAAAGACCTCTATTTGCGGCCCGAAGATTACTGGCAATTCCTCCGTCAAATCCTCAATGGTCTAGACTACATTCACAAAGAAGGAATTATCCATAGAGACTTGAAACCGGAAAATATCTTTTTGAGCCAGACCAATATGCCACGGATCGGAGATTTTGGTTTGGCAGCCAGTGTTGGAAATCACCGCCCGAAGTCTTCTCATACACACGCCACGCCCAATAAGACGGAAGATGGCAATGAAAGCGTTATGACGACTCAAATTGGAACCCGGTTATACATGGCCCCGGAAGTTTTGGACAAGTCGAACCCACATTACACAGCAAAGGTTGATATGTATTCGCTTGGGATCATCTTTTTTGAAATGTGTAGTAGGCCAGCATCCACTAGCTTTGAGCTGCAGGAGTATATTACCGGATTGAAGAGCAAAGAAATAGTCATCCCTAGCTGTCTTAATCCGGAAGTTAAGGCTGAAGAAGTGCATATTATTCGCCAACTTCTGCGGAAGGCATCCGAACGACCAGACGCTGCGGAGTTACTCACAAACCATTCCATACCTCTCAGAATAAATGACGACAATTTCAACCAAGTCATTGAAAGTTTAGATGACCCGAATACTAGAGACACCCGGAAGGCCATCATATTCAAAAAACTTTTCTCTGACCCTTCCAAACCAGCCAATGATCCATTCTTTGACAAAAAACCTGTTCAAGGCAGTGCTGTTGATAAATTGGTTATGGACATGTATGTGAAGGAAAGGATTTTGTCAGTGTTCAAGCGGCATGGAGCAGTTGAAGTTACAAAAAACTTCCTTGTTCCGGACTCCCAGTATTACGAGGCGGAAGCTATGAGACTAATCACTGAACGAGGACAACTGGTACAACTTCGGTACGACCAAGTCTTACCATATGCAAGGCAGCTTGCAATACAAGAACAGAATTACACCAAAAGCTACTCTTTTGGAATCGTTTTCCGAGAGAACTCTCACGGTTTTGGACAGCCGAGCTCGCATGGCGAAATCGTATTTGATATCATATCAAAGGGTCGAGATACCGACCTCAAAGAAGCAGAAACGATAAAAGTTCTGGATGAAATCTTGGATAGCTTCACATTCTTCCGAGGAGCGAAAATGGAATTTAATATCGGCCATCTCGACATTCTAAAGCTAATTTTTGACTTCTGTGGGATTGCGCAATCAGAGCGACGAACTCTTCTAACGGAACTAAGCAAACTTTACATGGGCGAGAAATGGGATACCGTTCTTCGGGATCTGAAATCTAGCAAGGTCACCTCCACAGCATCCCTTGCGGAACTGAAGCGCTTTGATTGGCGAGAGCAGGATTTCGAGAAGGGTTTTAAGCGGCTTAGAAATATTACGTCGAATTGCAAAACCTTCCCTTCATGCTCAAAAGCATTCGACCATCTCAGAAATGTCTTTGACTACCTCAAGAAGTTCGGCGTCAAAAAGAAATTCTACTTTGCACCTTTGTGTATTTATGATCATCAGTACTACAACGGAGGGCTTGTCTTCACTTGTTCTAGTGATGGTACACAGATGACTCGGCAGACGCTAGCGAGCGGCGGAAGATACGATGATTTGGTCAAGGCTTCGAGACCAATATCCACCCCGGGAGACGTGGGCAAAATCCACGCCGCAGGGTTTAAGTTAAGTTTCGATGCCCTCAGCAGAGGGATTTTGAAACATCATTCGCAATCGAGCAAAACGAAAAAGAAGAAACACCTGTTGGATGAAGATCACACGATATCAACGCGTAGGGTAAGCTAACCAAACTACCATCCCTTAGATATTAACGGCGCTAACTATGGGTATAGTGCGACGTTATCGTCACTGCCTCCAGCATCGAGGACCTCAAAACATACGGCATACGCATTACCGCCTCACTTTGGGCTGGCAACATTAGAGCTGAGCTAGACGATGACATCTTAAGCGGCGCTGGCACCTCGAAATCCCACTTAGATTTGTATGGTTGGCAAATCATAATTAAAAGCAACATCGCCGTTCACCAAACTGTCAAAGTCCGAAACTTGAAAACAGGAGAAGAAACGGACCAACTACTAACCTCATTAGCCAACCACATCACCGCTGAACTTGGAGAAGGGAAGAAGGATGGAATGACAGAGATGCTTAAGGCGAGGAGATTGAGTAGTACTCAAGATCTTCTACCGAGTTTGCGTCACTTTCACCATAAATTAAACACTAGCGGAGGAGGAGGAGGGGGGTCATCTATTTCCAGTCCATTTGATGAAGGAGAAATCCTAGTCATTTGGCCGACTGAACGCAAAGGTGCGAAGAAACCAAATAGGCCGCAAGTGATGGAAAATGCACGACGAAAGATGGCAGAACTTGGGGGGAAAGCAGTACCAATTGTTGCAATCGACGTGTATAACGAAGTTCTTGAGGCCATTAGGCTGTCGCAGTTGCAGGGACCAGATGGCTGGAAGAAAGTTTTTCAAACGGCAACTAGCGGCGCAGATAAACAATATCTACAGGAGGTCCAGCAGAGGATTGCGGGGTTCACACAGAAAACTCGCAAACAACCTGGAAGCTACTGTTACATCTACAATTACCGGACTGACGCATGTATATTTTACTACCTTTCCTAATTAAGGGAGAGTTATTTTGCATTATTATTACATACTGGTTGCGAATCTATGAGAGCGAATGAAATGATACAATGAATAGCGTGTGATTCTCCCGTACATGTAAATCGACAATCTGAGTAGAAAACACCAAATGAATGCTTTGATGGATTCTACATATTGGGTGCAATAAATCCCCATCGCCTCTGTGAGACTGTTTCGGGCACCACGTTCTCATTAAGTTGGTCGGCTCTCCAAAGAGTGTTAACAGAGACCCCCCATGTGGCACCCTCATCTTCGACTATTCTTGTGAATTTGCACGACACATTGAACGGTTCGTGTGCTCCAAACATGAAGGACTCTTTTGCAGCCCCATCATATCGGTTGATCCGAGTTACAAGCTCATCGAATTCGTAGGTTAGATCAATCCCAACAGCTGGGCCTTGAACAGCTACACCAAGTATGATTGAAGGATGGGTAGGGGCATCCACGAATAGAAGCTTTCCACAATAGATGGCTTCTATCAAAGGAGTCATCAAAGCGTTTGCCGCGTCAGATAGCTTCGTAAATTTCTTTGGGAGACTAAGGGTACTATCCCGAGGACTGATTGAACGGTGTCTCTGGTTTGTTCCTGCACCTATGAGGACCCCTCGAAATTCCGGAGTGTGAGGTTTGAATATCTGAACCTTTTGCCATACTGGAGTGAATTCTTTGATAAGTTTTCTCCCGAGGCTGGCTACAGCTCTTTTCCTCCTCCCGACCTTGCCAGCCTTCAGCTTTATGAAGGAGGCTGCTCTGAGGGTTCTTGATACTGGTAGGTAGATAAAAATGGTTCCCATGATGAGAATACATTCTTGGAATTTGTTCATGGTGGAGCTACTGCTGCTCCGACGGCTCTCAGACCGTCTTTGTACATGTTGTGAGTGTGCCCCATCCCCTTGTTCTCGTCGAAAAAATGTTCTAACCGCCCATTCTCGTCGTGGTTGCTCGGGCTTGTCAACAATAATCCCATCTTTCGCCAGTCGTTTCCAAAATATGGAAAGAATGTCAATTGCAATTGGGGTTAGGAGTTGAGGGTGAGGACTCCGATCAGGGGTAGACCTGGGGCGAGCGCGGGATGGCTTGACCTTAGCCGCATCCAGATCGGTGCGTCTAAGACCAGATGTTGAATAGTATTTCAGATCGGGTGAGGTATTCTCAATAAGATCTTTCCATATTTTGCAGACGCTGCGACACCTGGTCAAGACGTCGATTGCTGGTACGTTTAAAAGGATTTTTTCTATAAGTTCAGGAATCAAGAACAGAGGAGTTGTTGGAACAGAGATGGTCTTAGTGGACTTCCTCCGCAAGAACAGGACCATTTTGGTAATTAGGAAGTCAACGTTATAACAAGTTTACGCGTTCCCGATATCGATTTTAATGGGTTTATATATATTCGTAATCAATAACTTTTAGTTTAAATTTATTATTTAAGGTCAACCAGACACCCGCCCAAAAATATGGGGTTTACATGCCGTATCATAGATTACGATGCACCCTGTCAACTTTCTGTCAATGCTACATTAGTGGCTCTGGTAGTTGTGAATCCCCATCGGGTGACGGAAAGTTCACAAAAAGATGACTTTACGAGTGGTGGTATAAGCGAATTTCGTTTGAAGTGAGCCGTCTATGCATTGCATGCCATACATGGTCGGCCGTCCTCTGCAGCAGAGTCTCCTAATGAACCCGAACATCTCCTTAGAATTGAGGCTAAAAATTATATTCATCTAATTACAAGACAAATATGGAGCTATGCATTCAATGGAGTTGAAAATGCTCTTGTGAAGAATAAAATACAAAAGCAAAGCTTCAGCTGTAACAAACGAGTTCGTAGGCACGAATACGCGAGCCCGTTTGTGAAACCAACCCGTCGACTGTATGCAGCCGACCATATCGATCCCAATGACATGTAACCACTGGAAGTTAAATTATAAATAATTTTCGTTTCCGCACGGAATATCCGCTTTAAATTTTTGAAGCGTATCCACAGGGTTGGGACGGGGTCTATATTCCCGTCCACCTCGACAAGTTCGCATATATATTCTCCAAATTTGGGAACATCTCAGCCGAGCTGCTTGTTGTGGGTTGAGTTAGAGGTTGAGATTTGTGGGGACATTGACCCATCTCGGCCGGCAATTAGTGAAGATTTGCAGCCCAATATTGCCAATATTTTGGCGAGGTTATAACGTTAGTTAGATCATATCTATGGATCCACCGCCAGTATGTCTTTAGAGCTCAAGAATAGCTAAAGATGAAAAGAAAGGAAGAAGGAAAAAGTCAAAAAATCTGCTAGAAACGCCATAGCAAGGACCTCAAAATAGAGACATCCTCATCGAGTCGCGGAAAGGTCCAAAAACATCAGGGAAAACCATTTTGACAATCTTATCTGATTCTCTTGTGCTCAATTTCATTGCTCGCTCCACAATTCGACACAGCGGCATTGTAAATGCGGGCTTCCACCTTGGTGACATCTTTTCCGCCAACAATTTAACCGCTGGGCCCCAAGTAATAGCATCCGTTCTCAGTGGAGGCTCGTTTTCAAACAGAGATGCCGACAGCGCCAATTTACGCTGAACCATCATCCAATCCATCGGATCGATACCCATGTCCTTGAGTATATCGATGAAAAGGAGATTGCATCGATACTGGAGCGGATATTTCACATAGATTTTGATATCGGATGGTCGATATACTGGAGTTTCCCTGTTTCGTCTCCAATTGGGTGGGATAGGACGATGAGGTTTGTAACCTGGCCTGTGCTGAAGATAGATTGATAGGCCGCCCCGTCCGAAGGTTTCTCGATAAAGAGCTTGATGGACTGATCCATAACTTTTCGGGGTCCTCAATGCTGTAGAGAACAATCGAGCACTGAATTCTTCAGCAATTCTGTTTTCCAATGTTCTGATCACGTATGTGACTTTGCAGATCAATTGGGTGGGGATGATTAGTGCGGGAACTTCTCGCTTGTAGATGGTGTTCAGCTCAGAGTTGTAGATTTGGATCCTTTGTGGACCTTGGCCTGTTTGCGATCTCAAGTTCGCTGAACTTTCCTGACTGCTACTCATTTTGCGGATTATAGGTTGATCTTTGATCAGTATTTAAACTGTGAGGGTTTATATTTGTTAAAGAATAAGTATATTGATAGAGATGGAATAAGAAGTTTTGGGTGGGCTTGATTCAAGCTACCTGGAAACCGTATTGTGGATATTGTATAGGAGATGGTTAACAAAGAAGAAATAGAATTATGCTAGGGGCTACGATTTAAATACTCTTCCACTATACATGTCGACTAACCTATAACCTTGAAACCGCAAATTTAAAGATTGGCATCGTGAATGATCTTCCGCAGGATATATATAAAGATCGTCAGATCTAATTATCCTTCAAGCTTTTGTATAGGAGCTGCTTGGTGCGAAGCTCTATCTTAAGTAAATTATAATATTTTCATTTCCTATTATGTGAGTAGATCATCGTTATAGCCTTATGGGCATACACTATTTAGGATCGAGGCCATATTTTCAATAGTCTAGATGTCTATATTTAGTTGGTTGGTTGAATGTCCCAATGGTGTTGAAAACGTGGTATTTTAGGTTATGGACGATGGTTTCGGTTCAGGCCGATTCTTCGCGATTTGTCCGAACTCATTGGGCTGATGTCCCCGACACACCCCACGTTTTATCAACACACAAGACTTTGCTGGTAGCCATCGCTTTGAAAAGCTTCCTCGTTTTAAATTTTAGCTTCAATCGTTATAAAAAATAAATTAAAAAATAAATTGAATAAAATAAAAAAGCAAGAAATTACACATCCGTTTCTTCAGGATCTCTTGTTTTGGGTCAAATCGAGAAAAGGTCCTCTAGAATCCCGTCACAACTACACAGTGCAGTGTCTGCACGCGATCTAAAGGCTGCCTCAGATACGAGCATATAATGTCACCTGTTACTCACGAGCCCAAAGACCCAAAGCAGACTAAATGTTTCCGCGGTGCGATTCGCTATAACGGCCTCCGTTTTCCAGGAATCTCAAAGTCTGATGAACAGGTGGTCTTGTGGGATATCGGACCGCTAAGACATCGAGTAGCGTGCCCGTTTTCTCGTGAGTCAAATGCTTATAAAAAGAAGAATCGAAATGTTGCAGATTAGCATTACGAATACCTGTTCAGCGGCGTCACCTTGCGAACTGGTTTGAGCTGGCGTGGACCCTGACGTTTTGCCATTATCGATCGTTGGGAGAATCCTGAACCCTAGTCTGGCTGCACGTCATGTGGATGTGGGGAAATGCCCCCAATGACCCTGACCGCCGCATTTACCCACTCCCTTGAAGCCTCTCAATTGCGACTGTTGAAGAGAGAAGACCTTGGTGCGGCAGCACGTAAGCGAGATATTTAGAAAGTTGGTTATTGGAAGCGACAACCAGCAAAACGGATCGAAAAGATCTCCGAGCCTCCACTCCAATAGCAGGCGGTCTTAAGATGGCTCTCGCCTTGAATCGTGACCATGACTGGTAAAATGCACTCATGGTGGGGGAGATCCGTCACACGAAGCCTCAATTGACGGTGAAAATTTTTTCGATCTTTGTCATAGAATCGCCATGAACGTTCGAATATGATGATGATGTGTAGCATGTAGGAGCCTTCGGGCGCTCACTTCGCCGACACTATCTCCTAATAGCACTCCTTTCTCCGTCAGAGGAAAGAAAAACTATTATCCCCGTTTTCTGTCGCCTGGCCTTGTTTAGGATCACAACCCGGTTCGAATTTTCGTCGGGTCTTTAGTGTTCAACTAGCTTCGGGTGAACCTGTTGGGATTGGAGTTTTTCTCCCGGCTGTCGGTAACATGGTGCCCCGAGGACGAGGTAGACGCTGGAAATTTCCAACATCTGACGAATTTTCTTCCACCAGCGGCGTCCGACGAGAACGTCTGCACAAACGAGTGGACTGGATCGAGTCCGTTGAGGACAGGGCCAGGCAGCCTGCCGACCTCGTGTTCCTCCTGCTTGGGTCCTTGTCTCATATCTGACCAGAGCATTCACGCTAAGATTGCCCTAGCCGGCCAGTAAGAACGAGTGCGTATGCAGCTACAGGGTCCTTCCCAATGCAGTGTGTCCGAATAGCTTGGGCGATCCTGAATTTGTCAGTCCGAAAGCTCATACCATCTGCGGCTTTGATACCCCTCGCTTCTGGCAGCCCGGTCGCAGGTACAGATAGCCCAAGTGCGGAGGCCACCTAAAAATAAGTATCGATAACCGTCAGAAGGCCCCCGCGGTGTATACGACACCGAAGTGGTGAAGTTGGGTTGGGTCCTTTTCTCAGCGGTGCTGCCTGTTAGAAGTTCTGCGAATGATTATTTGGTTAATTGTTATTGGGATCCCCTTTCACTCTGCATTAATCCCTTTCTTCCCTCTAACAAAGTATTTACCTATTACTTACCTATATACTCTCCCCGGGCTCGAGTTTGTAATACTTTGAAACTTGATATCGATAATATTCCAGTTGTTTGCTTCACCAAATAATCGACTCTCGGACGGTGTTTTGTACAGATAGCTCATTGCAGAGTAAGGCTTGGACTTATCGACAACAACCTCGAATCCCCTCGCTAATACTGGCTCTCAGTCCATCCACCATCTTTGGCCTTTCCCTTCAGCCCTTCGACGAGACAAAAAGGAAGCCTTCTCGAGAAAAAGAAATCTCTGAAAGGGATCTCATCAACCTCATCGTAGAATAGGCCATTGTCATCGCCATCGTCATCGCCATCGTCATCATCATCGTCAACTCTTCTCCACATCCAAAGTCCTCAAGCGGACTGTTTTCCGTCCGTAGCTAGTATCAGCATACCAGCTCAAGCTCCAATTGTTTCTTTCAGCTCATCAACAACAGGCGTTCGGCGACATCGAACACCATCCATCCCATCCATCTACCACCACCACCCGGATTTTACCCTCTCGAACTCGTTTAGCAAACGTCGACTGGTCGACAACGACAAGGACGTCTTTACCCGGTCTTAACTTAGCTCCCAGCAAGCCAGGTCAAACAATCGTCACCTGGCCTCTGCATAGGTACTCACATACACCTCTTCTTTCCGTTACCCCAGCGAATCCCTCCGAATTCCTACTGCCGTAGGACCTTTTTTTTTTTTTTTTGCCCGAATTGGCCCCGCCCTTACACTGCTTAGCTGCTGCTGCTGCTTAGCAGCGTAATAAAACGGCTGTTCTTCGTCTTGATCGGCCTGTTCGAGGGTGCCTGATCGTCTTCTTCCTATTTCCATGAAACCAACATATTATTCCTGCACCAGAAACATTTTCAGCCGTCTTGATTGAATGCCTGTGTATAAGGCTGAACACCGACACTGACCTAACTTCCATCCACCTTGAATAGACATACCTTTCCTCGTCCTCACCTCCAATTATTATCATCCTCTCTCTCCCTCGTAATGTCGCACCCAACAGAAACAGACTCGGCCGATAAGCATGTCGACAAACACGCTGCTGATGTCCACAAACCGAACCGAAATTCAAGATTCGAAAAGACTTTGTCGACATCGTTGAGTAGATTGATGAGTAAAAAGGATCCTCATAAAAGAAGTTCGTTGATTGACAAGCAAGCTGTGAGTGTTTCCTTCGTCGTTGATTTAGGAAAAAAGCGGGTGCATGTGATGGATTGTTAACAACTCTCGCAGCCTCGGTTCGTGGGAGATCTTTATTGTACAGGGCCAGACGAGAAGCTCAAGAAGCCTTCCAGAGAAGAGTCGTTTCATGTTAGTTAGCCTTCGTATCCAAGCTCTTTTGAAACTTAACCATCATCATTATACTGACCTCTGGCATTAGATCTCACATATATCGCAGAAACTGACCAATCTTGGAATACCACCAAACGAGGACCGAATATTACGCATCCTGAGAGGCGGTTACGCCAACGGTAGTGCAAATAATGCCTTGGATCTTTACCGACTATGGGAAGACGCCTCTGCCGGAATCCTCAAGGAGTGGTCGGCGGATGTCGCCTTGAAGGGAGCCGAAAACAATGGCAAAGTCACTTGCTATCTTGATTCTCTATTATTTGCTCTCTATGCCCATCTCGATTCATTTGAGGTATGATTTTACCGGCCACATTGATTATGGAGTAAATTGCTTTTGGACAAGGAATGGAATAGCTAATAAATGGCAATATAGGCGATGCTATACAATGTCTTCGATGATGACAAGCGCAAGAAACTGTCGTCGCTACTCAGACTCTTTGTCAACATGCTTAGGTCCGGGAAACTCATTACAGCCGACATAGTAAGCAATATTGTTTCTAGCATTCCCTAATAACCCCTAACACGTCGTTTTAGATACAAGAGATACAGATTTCTTTGGCTGAATGCGGCTGGAAGGAGGCCGCATTAAAGCAACAACAGGATGCATCGGAAGCTTTCACTTTCATCGCGGAAACCTTGGAGATGCCGTTACTCACTCTCAAAATGGATATCGCTCACGGAGGCCTTGATATCCCTGATGATGACCATAAGTTCATTAACGAGAGATTACTCAACGTTGCAATTCCATCCGAATCCGAAACGACTGGCCCAATCACACTCGAGAGATGTTTGGAAGAGTACTTCAATAATCGAGTCGATGTGCAGAGGAAATTGGAACAGAGAGCAGGATCAGCCACAGCAGAGCAGCCAAGCGACACAACCATCGACTCACTTCTCTTAGACGAAAAGCCACCGATAAATGGTTCTCACATCGAATATGCGGACCTGGGTTCCGCGCCACAAACGCCTAGTACTCCCTTATCCCCCAAACCCCTCGAGCGTAAAAGCTCACTTCTTCGAACTGTCGACGGGACTAGTAAACATGGTTTGCCTAAGCAGCGACGGCGGTCTCAGTCCGTTCGCAAGGAAATAACAATTCCGGCCTGGCAGTTCTTCAACTTGCTGCCTTTCTACACCGATTGCGCGTCGACAAACGACAAGGAGCGGTCGACCACAAAATCAACTTTCGCCAACCATTTTTCGTCTAAGAGACCGATTATTGGTTTGTGCTTGAAACGTTATACGTGGTCTGCTGCCGGAACGCCCATTCGAAATGGGGCGGATGTCAAAATTCCGACGGAAATCGAGCTACCGCATTTTGTAGGTGACGACGACATGGAAGACTCGGGAAATTTTAGATTGTTGCTACAAAGTGCAGTCTGCCATAGAGGAACGACTACTAACTCCGGTCATTACATTTCTTTGGTACGCACCGAGGACGATAAGTGGATGCGATTTGATGACCTTGCAAAGGAGCGAGTTGTTGAGGTGGACAGAACCAAGGCTTTCGCTGAAGAGTCACCCTACCTCCTATTCTATCAAGTTCAAGCCATGGAGGGGCCGCCACCGTACGAAGAAGTTGATAGTAGTCGATCTTCACAAGAGGAGTCCCGCGGCTTGCCCACATTCGATTATAGTGTTGCCGAAGGGCAAGACGGATACAATACTTCGGCATCATCTTCTCCCGTCCAGCAACCCCAGATCAGTGAAGAATCCCTAGCTCTCAAAGGACGATATTCGCTTGATGCACAGTCGAAAGAATCGCTTCGACCATCCTCACGGCCAGAGCGGAGAAGCGTGGATATCAAAACGAATGAGGCTAAGTCTCGCTCTTTGAGTCGTAACACCGAAAATAGACTTTCGTTCGCCGGCCTCAGCCGACTGGCTGTTAGAATCAGCAGGGACGGAAAAGATGACGGTTCGACAAACGGAAATATTAGCAGCACGAGCTCGATTGACGGCGAATCGCACAACGGCGAGAAAGACCGAGAAGCAAAGCCGAAGAAGGACAAGGGCAAAGAGACTTTGAAAAAGGATAAGCGAAAGTCTAGGAGACGCGAGACTGGTGAGGATGATAAGGAGTGTGTGGTTCAGTAGTATTGGATTGCGGTTTCTATTGTCGCCAGATTCACCAGGAGGCTTCCTACGCACCATCGAAGATGTTCATCTAATAAACTGGAGCAGCCAGGACAGCCGCCAGGTGATGATGTTCGTTGATTAGGTCCGATACTTTCTTCACGGACATTTACTTAATATTCTTTTCGTTTTCGCTATTGCGTGGGCTTGTATTCTTTTGTTTCTTCCTTTTTCTTCTTTTATGTCTTTTTCAATTTTCCCTTCGTTCATTCTACTTGGTCGGTAAGCGTTAACGTTCGGCCTCCCTTCACTTTTCCTTTCTTTATCCCTTTAAGACCTAGGTTTTCGCATTCTTCTCGAGCATATCTTATTTTTTTTTTGGCCGTTCCGTTGGAGGTCTGACTTTCACCTTTTTCTGCTTATCATAATGGGTTTCTTTCTTCATGCAAGCCGGTCCATTTTGCGCATCATATATATATACCCTTTGGTTGTTCTTCTTTTTACCTTTTCTGCTGCGCTTCTTTCTTGTCCTTTTTCTTCCCTTTTTTCTTTCTCAGAGCGGAATCTTCATGACAGACATAGCAGTTTCTATGTGTTTCCTTTTCATACGAATTTCCTACTCTTATACGACTTTGGCATCTTTTTTTTTTTTGTATCATTCCCATGGCGTTTAACTTGCCTCTTTCTTCCCTTCTTCCTTCTTCCTTCTTCTCTCTTAACCCTTCTCCCAATGCGGTTCACGCGGGCTCATACCCAAAGCTAGGAGGGTTTTTCTTTCCGCCTCCCTTTTTCTTTTATATAAAAAACCTTTTTTTTCTTTTAATTTTTCTGGGGTCGGAGAACCACGGGGTTTTAAATCATGATATCATACCAGAGGGTTCGGAACCAAATCATAGTAGACCGGAAGGAGGGTGGGAAATCAAAAGTACTCTTTTTTTTATGCGCTTCAAAGACTTCTTGCAAGTTATGCCCAAAAAAAAAACCAAAATCGAATGGGACTCATTTTTTTCTACTCTTAAGTTTTTTCTGGTTCAAGATTCCCTATTCATATTCTCTTCCTACCATCGATGCATCCTATTCTCTAAAGCTATGGGGGGGGGACTTAATATACTTGAGTATGACAAGGAAACAAAAAGTATGAACATGAAAATAAATTTGGGAAAGAAAAGTGACAATGACGTGTGTGTGCTATGTACGTGGAAACCGAAGAGGAAAAATGTACGTAGACGTGAATGCATCAATTTATGCAAACGATAAGGGAGAAAAGAAGGTAGAAAAACAACAATTTCCCTTCCCTATTTCAGGATATAAAAAAAATTTGGAAGAAAAAAAAAAGGTGTATGCAAAATCACAGCAAGGAACTTGAGAAGAAAAGAAAAAGGCGATGAGTATAAAGAGAATGATATCTGCTTATCAATTTTGTTTTAATGCTCTCACCCTTTCCCACTTCCTCTGGTAGTCACCATCCATTCGTGTCGAATAAACAACCACAACCCTTTCAAAGACCCCCCGCTAAACAACTACCATATTGCTCGTTTCTTCATCATATTTACTCATTAATACTCAAGCTCGACAATCCAGCCCTCTTAACTGGCGGAGGAGGTGGTGGCGGTTTCTTTCCAGACACGCTCCTCGATGCCGGCGGTGGAGGCGGTACGATCTTCCTTACCCCGCTGCTACCACCCAAACTCTGCGAGCTCGCGTTCCTAGACAACGGTCTCGAGAGGGGTCGCGATTCGGGGCTTGGATGTTCAACCGGTGATGGATCTTCGCTATGAGTATTATAACTAGGCGTTCTGGTGATCACGGGTCTCAAACCACCTCTACCAGCTGGTAAAGGTGGAGCAATCGGTTCGGTAACCGTTCTTAGCATTCTAGTTGGAGCGGCGGATGAAGACTCTACACTACTAGTGCGAGAGAGGGCTTCACCGCCAATTTTCCATGATGAAGCGCGGGAACGGAGTTCAGGTGTTTGACGGCCGTTGGAGTCCCAATCTGAGGCATGAGATGCTGAAACACCACGGGATTTGATGCTGGGACGTTCAGGGAGGGCGGGTTGTGGTTCTTCTTCGTATTCTTGCGGGGATTCTCTGGTGCTGAAACCGTTGGAGAAAGAGTGAGCGGTGTTAGAGCGGGATCTGGAGCGATCCTTTGTTTTCTTGGTTCTAGAAGGGAAGCGAGGTTAGCTATTATAAATTTTGGAGGGTACGATATGACGATAGGAGTTTGACATACTGAACCGGCCATTGTTCCCTCACTCTCAACAGGAGATTCCTGCATTTCTCATAATACTCAAGCTCAGCATCGAGGAAGGCGCCAAGTTCCATGAGGGTTTCTTGCTCGCCATCTCGGATATCGTTCATCCGTCGCAAGACCTCATCGCTCAATTCCTCGTATTTGATTCGCTGAGCCCGCAATTCGTCCTCTAGTCTGAAATCTTCCCTCTTTTGTTTCTGCATCTTAGATTGTGCGGTATCGTACGCTAACCGCCTAGATTCTAGCTTCCTCCTTGCAGCCTAACTCAATTACAACATTAGCCACCTGCGATTTATCACACCACCGCCAAACCACCACCACAATCACAACCACCAGGGAAACGGAAGGTACACACCTGATACTCCTTCATATGGGTCAGATCCCTCTCCAATCCGAGTAACCAATTATCATTGATGTTCTGCACATAAGATTCCTGCACGCGCGCAATGCTCTCGTGCGCCCTTCCAAAGTTCGCTAGGCATTGGCCATACAGCGAGTCCTGTTCGAACTCCTCGCCGTGAATAACCATAGATTGTCCGACAATATCGATCGGAATCATTTTCTCGCGATCGTCGCCTTCGCGACGTTTAGAGAGGGATTTGATGTAGATATTTGCGGAGGAGTGGAGTTTGTCCATGCCTATGAAGAGGAAGAAAAGGGAGCTTTGTTAGCTGATTGTGATTCCCGTAGAAAGGTGAGCGATTAAGCTGGGGAAAGGGAGAGAGAGCTGTACCCTCATGTCGCATTTGCATTTCCATTTCCATTGTTTTGAACTCATCTGTCGCAGATGTTTTGCTGTCGTTCCCCATCTTCTCCTTGCTCCATTGGAGCACTCGATCGAATTTCTTATTCATTTTGGCGGTTGTATGGTTGAGGTCAGGAGACCTTCGAAGTGAGTGACGTGTGTAGATGGGAGGTTTGTATCTTCCCGTTTTCCCCTTCCTTTTGGCGACTCAGGGATATGGCCGACTGTAAAAGATGTCAAATAACAATTGCAATTGATAGTATTATTGTATTTCCTTCTTGAAAAAGGATGGAGAACGAATGAATAACAGAACCGAATATCGAACACACAAAGCAAAGGAAAGGGGAAGCCGGTGGGAGGTTTTTAAGAAGCGTTCTAGTTGAGTTAGTAAGTTATGTAAAGGTCGCTTGTAGTTTGGGGTCAGTCGTGTCTCTCCCCTGGATCGATGAGAAGTATTTTATTTGCTTCTTCGGTCGAGACAAAAATTTAGAAAAGAAACTCCGAACGAGGGGGAATGGTTTGCGAATGGGGTTGTTTTAGGGATTTGGAGATTAGAAAAAGGGTGGTAGGAAGGCAGTGCAGTGGTCAAGATAACTGGGGTGAGTGGATCTTTTGGTAGATCGCTTGTCGGAAATTGCAGGCAAAGGGAATTCAAACAAAGCAAATGTCAACTACCAACAAGTAGAAGTTGCAAACGTAAGTGTTGATGGCGAAGCTGTTTAGCTTTCTGAAGCTTGGAGACTCGGAGACTTGGAGATGGATACTTGGAGGTAGTGTAATTGCAAAGGGGGGCAAGTCGGAAATGTAAATGGAAATGGATGGTGATTCTATGGTGATTCTGGTGATGTTGGCGGTTGTTTGTACGAGCTAGTTAATTAATGCTGCAATGTGGTGGCGGTTTTGAGGGTATGTAGCATGTATGCAAAGGCCAGGGGGGTAGATTCCGTTGGGCAGCTACTTTGCAGAGCTAAGCTTCGAGATATGTACCGTGTACGACCATGTACCCAGCAAGAACTCGGGGATTAACTAGCGGGATCCAGATCTGGTGCAGTCAATGCACGCGCGTATGTTTCTGTATGGGTCGTATGGTATGAAGCTATTTTCAGGAGATGACGATGTTATGTTAGCTACGAGATCGACTGATATCTGGCCCAGTTACCAGATTCTGGAACTGTCAGGGGAAGGAATTTTCCACGGCACGGGATAAATAAATAATCTTTTTAAAAAAGATGGAATAGCTGCGGTATATAGTGAATTCCGTAGATGTACCGAATGATGATGTTTCTGGGAAGCGACGGATCGAGGGCCGAAGGATATATCCTTGGCCGGGGTGTAATTCTTACCTAAGAAGCCAGAAAGCTGAGAAAGCCGTCGATGGAATTCAAATCAAAAAAAAATAAAAAATAAAAAATAAAAATAGCACAACCGTTTGTCTTATTTCTGCTGTATCGTTCCTTCTTTCCTTCAAGTTAGGCTGGCCAGTAATCAGGAAAAGACAAGAAGCAGGAGTATGTATCTATCGAAGATACTATGCTCGTATGTACGGCATACGACGGTGTTTCGGTCGCCGTGGATAAATATAATCGAAAGACCTTAAGAACGATCGAAAGAAGGAAAATCGCAATGACGAACAGACAAACAAGACAGAGAAGGAAATGGAGGAAGAAGAATAATAATATTGTAATTATCTGAGCATGCAGATACTCAGTATGAACGAATTCGAGGGTTTTGATCCGGACCAGGGCGGGCGACCTTTGTCATATATACCACCAAAGGCTGATAGTAGTAGTAGTATAGATTCGAAAGCATATACTTCATGCAAGAGTCTGAAACGAGATGTTTCCTTGGACTGGTACTGTGTGTCTTGTGTCTTGTGTCTGCGTCTGCAGAATGCAACTTGCTAGGTATTGCATGCACTGCACTGCACTGGATGGGTGGATGGTAAATAATTGGTACTAACCGCCGTAGGTTAATCCTTCCGTGGATCGATTCGACGATTGTGATAAATATAGCTTTCTCTATTTCCCTTTCCCTCTAAAAAGAAAGGAGTAAGAAAAAGAAAAAGAAACGGGGATGCACAATGATGCCTATGATCCGAAGCCAAGTTGGGGACAACGGTTGGTTGGTGAGTTGGTTGGCGAGGGCAGTGAGCTAGTTCGACGCTGTTACAGCTTTGGCGTCAGAGAACCGTTTGACAGGCGGTGCCTATACAATAGCTTGCAGGGCTGCCATTGGCGAACGAACCATAATCATCACTGGTCTGGTAATAACTTACTTACTGGCCAGGAACCGTCCGGATCGTTATATGTTAAAGCGCTCTTGATATGTCGATATATATCTGCTACTGAGTATAGCTGAGGGACTATACTAGTATAGTATATAAATGTCGATTATATCAAAATCCCCCGAAGCCCCCTTTGCGAAAGAATCGGAAATATTAGATATGGATGTGAAATTAAGGTCTGTATGTTCGAATCAAGTTGGAACACCGACTAAGCGGTTTTGCGGCAGACTGAGATGAATTCGAATAAGTTCGGTTTAGGGGGCCAACCAAACATATGTAAGTTGTCAGTATACCTACAGACGTATTTTAATTAATATTATACATACAATGGCCAAGGCAGTTGAAACTCCTTTCATGTCGAAGGGAAGGCCTAGAGGGTAGTTCTTATCGACTTGCCCAATTGGTATCGACTGTGGCAAAGCTGCAGGACCTGGGGGGTGGATGTATCTCACAATCTGAGAAGGTACGGCCGTACGGTACGGTACGGGACACACCAAACTACCCGAACTGCCGGGAATATCTGCTCGTCCCGTGGATCTATCTCAATTCGATTGATTCTTAAGATCTTATATACCTCGTATTATAACTATAAGTATGTTAGCACAGCCTTGGAAGAAGTTTCTCTTGGAGCAGAGTAGATTCATAAAAGTTAAGTGGTTGCCTACAGAAGTGTAACCCGCTTCATTCTAGAACATCGACGCATCGACATTGAGGCATATACCTACTTATATACTATCCGCTCGCCTAAAAGAAAGCCTATACCAAGAATACCTACCAAAAGAAAAGAGAGAGAAAACTTGCCTTTCGAGGTGTGTTTGCATTCGTTTTGGCGTAAGTACTCTGGTAATTGCAGAGTCGACTCGTGATCTTTTGTGTTGATGGGGGCATGGACGTCGTCTATCTGTCTAGCCTCGACTCCATCTATTCAATCATCAATACTATCCATTTTACTACACAATTATACTGGCGTTAATATATTATTACTCGGATACAATGTTATACGTTATCCAGACCCTACAAACCCAGCTACAACCCCCAGCCGGAGCACTCTGGATCTTTAGTGCATGTAGTTCCTTTTTTAGCTCCATAGATAGAGACCGTGTAATATAATGTGCAAACAGCGAAGATGTGAGATCTGAAATTCCATGAAACCGTCTATTGAAATTCAACACCGCCTATTTATTCCATTATACTAATAACACCCCACTTCCTCATTCCAGACGCCCGCTCTAGTTATGACATTCGGCATAAGAGATTTTATAAAGAATCAGAGCGAAAAAAAGGCCGGGTTTCAAATAACCGCATTCCCTCCGATGATTGCTTTTATGTTTGACAAAAAAAGAAAAGAAGAAGGAGAAAGTGCCGTCTCGCCTGTCGAGTCCTGTCGTATGCATATGAGAAACAGGCAAATATTTGACCCTGCACGCATACCAATAAGGTGATAATAAGAATAATAACAAGAATAAGAATAAGAATAAGAATTAAGAACCAAAGGGTTTAAAATGACCACCGCGATCTACTGTCCAATGCTTGAAGCTGGTGAAGAATTTGACCCTTTGCCGGATAGGAAATTAACCACAACATGCTCGGGAGCGGGTGTACTCTTCTTATCACCAGGGATCTTTGGTGAACTACCCCGGATAGGGCTCGTGGGGACCAAATCGACGTCTCCGTCGTCAACATCCTCAGCTGCATCGATATCCATTGCGCCATCATCCTGCTTCTCAAGATGCGGGGCCGGAGTATCGTGAGCTTCTAGCTTGGCATCGTCGTCCTTGCATGTCTTCAAAACTACCTTGCTCTCTGACTTCTCGAACTTCAGTGTAGCCCATAAACTCTTCCCGCTCTTGTCGAAGCCTTCATCTGTACCATCGGTCAAATCGTCGTCGTCCATCTCTTCTACTGGCTCATCACGGTAATCCTCTTCGTCGTCCCCTTCGTTATTCTCACTTGGGCTCTCTGCCCCTCCGAGTACATCGGCTTCATACTCCTCTCTATCTCTCTTTAAGGACAGCCTCCCAGATCGACGTGTGCTCCCACCACTGTCGCTACCAGCATAAGGGGTGCTCGTTTCTCCGGCGTTGTCATTCTGGAATCCGTACTGGTTGGTCCTTCGAGTGACCCTGCCCGACCCAGTGATATACGGCTCGTTGGCCGTCGGCGAGGCTCGTCTGCTCGCGCGGGTGGCTCGTCCAGAAGCATAGCCACCTTCTTCATCACTGTCGAAGGTGTACTTTGCCTTGTTGCCACGGGTTCGTCCCTCGTATAAAGAGACTCCTGGGTTGGAGAAAGCGGCCTTCCTGGCGCTTCGGTATTCGCGACGCTTGCGCTTCTGGTCTCCCTCTTCGAATCGAGGGATCGCGGCCAGGATCTTCCCTTGCAAGTCTTTCGCATTCTTTGACCCTTCCTGGGCCAGCCTCTCCGCCAAATCTCTGAGCTCCTCGATGGAGCCCGCAACCGAAATCCATGTCGCATTTCTGTACCCAGGGCTGATGTGTTCCTGGTAGACTCGGAAATAAGTATCATCTATCGATATTCTCGGTCGTATTAGCACTCAAATGAACTTTTGCAAATTATCACACTTAATATCACTACAACTGGTTTTGCCGTACCTCTGCCCTCGATGAGATAATACTTATTCTTCTCCCTGTCCATGCCCCAGCAATGGACGGCGAGGGAGATGTTGGAGTCGTCTGTCTTCCTGCCGGGTTTGTAGACATCCTTGAGGATGTCCCCCACCGCCTTCGAGTGCCGGAGCACCCAAAGGACCAGCGTCTGCAGCATCACCAACTATACACATACACATATTTAATTAGCACTGCACGCTTCACAACACATCCTTTCCCTTTTCTTTAGGGAGAAGTCTAGATAGCTAAGTAGATAGGGAGGGAAATCACACACACGCTCGTCCAACGTCATCTGGTTGAAGGTCTTCCCGCCTTCCAAGGGGTTCTTGCCATCCCACTCGGGAGGGGCTTCTTCAATATATGTGGCCACGGCCTCCTCAAGTGCCCGACCATAGTGCCCTTTCCTATATACGTTTTTAAGGTTATTAGCAATTCTGTAAACACCGAGTTTTCTATTGACGAAATCCCTTCGACGCCACCCCAAAGCTCCCCGAACTTGCAACAACAACAGCACCAACGACCCGTTTGATTTCGTCCAAAACAGCAAAAACACACAAAACTGGTTACAGCCCAAAAATAAAAACCCCCAAAAGAGGGAATTCCGGAAAAAAACAACAGAACGGAAGGTGGCTTTTTCTTTTTCTAGCAACAGTATTTTTTCTTTTTGAGGGAAGGGAAATTTTTAGAGAAAAAGTGAAAACTGGTGAACTTACTCAACGGGCTTCTGACGGTTCAGTGCAAGTCCGAGCAACTTGCACAGAAGTGATTCAACCTGGTCAGAGATTGGTGTCTCTGCCACCCCAGCTTCGATGTCTTGGGGCCCCAAGTTTGGGACCCCGCGAAAGACCTGGTTAAACTTTGCCTGAAAGGCAACAATGAACGCATAGCGCGGGTTATCGGCAGGCAGGGGGTCTCGGGGGTCGACGACCTTGCGCCGCTTGTTGGGTGGTGGCGATGCCTCTTGCGAGGATCGCGAGGGTTTGTCATCCAGGCTATTGGTCGTGAATGTCGACTTGCTGGGTTGACCGAACTCCAGCTCAGGATCGGAAAGATCCTGGACCGACGACAGCGGCGAGCTCGAACGCGAGCTCATAGTTGCTACTGTGGTGGGTGGTGATGGTGGAAAACACGTCACGAGCAGGAACTCTAGTTACCAGATACCCGTTTATGCGAGCTACACGGAGCACGAGAAGAGAAAAGAGAGATACGTGAATAATAAGAATTTGAATTTGGACTGTGTACAGGCCGAGAAAGCTATATTGCTGATGATGATAACGATGATGATGGAGGTGAAAATGGTGATGGTGAGGAGAAAGTTGGTGGAGGAGAAGCTAGAAGCTGGGATGTTGTAACGGGGTTTTTGCAAGAACAAAAATGGAGAATGTTGTGCGCGCAAGTGGTGAGGAGGAAGGAAAGGAAAGGAAGGGGAATGACGGCAGTGGGGTGGACCAAGGAAAATAAAGTGCAAGCAGGCAAAGGAGACAGAAAAGAAAGCATTGGACACTATAAAACACACTCTCAAAAAAACACAATTCCAAGAACAGGGCCTTAACATCTCCCTCGAAAATCACGCTCTGGCAAACCCTGCCTCGGGCCACCGCTTCCAAACACGTCCAATAGTCCAATCACATACTCGAGGGCCGGGAAAACTTTCAATGTCGATGCAGAGCCGTTTAGTCAGTGAAAACCGGTATCTGCACCGGCGTAAGGGTGGAGCACAGGAGTCACAGCAGCACTCGTGGCCCAGCATGCCAGCACAGCTATATCCGACCCGGGGATAGCATATATAAAGCCCCAATGACCAGCTTGGGCCATCTAGACATGTTTAGTCCACCAGTCAGGCCAGTCGAAACGATCATGAGGCAGACCGTGAACCCATGTGTTGAACATAAGCCGGCGCCTGCGAGGCTACCCCTATCTACCCTTCTACCCAGCACTAGACATCTGTTAGTTCCTCGAGGATATGTTCAGACCATTTCTCGAGTCATTAACCCTCGAAAACCGAGTCCGGAGGCCATAAACATCGAAATTGGGAATATTGGACGACATATCCGCACTTCACAGTAGACGATACGACCAACCAAGGGTCTCCACGGTCGGTATGGCTTTGAGAAGCATATACCCCTTGGACTACATGAAATCCGAACTGCAATCCAACTTTCGCATCATTTCAGCGAATATTTGGGCTCATACATATGGCCATAGAGTGGCTAGCCGCTGCTCCTCGGAGAACTGGTTAAGGGTCTCCCTCGAGCTTGTAACGGCCGCAAAACGCGGTCCAAAACACTGGCAGGACATCGACAAAACCCGGGAGTAGCATCTTAGATATTGCATTCCACGGTCGCCCGGAGTACTGCAGCGGCTTTCTCGGGGGTTAAGATGATTATATACCCTGGCACGCATTAGACAGACATCGAGAAGAATTACATTAAGAAGACTTACTAAGAGTTAATCTGTAGTCTTATAACCATACCCCTAGTTACTGTTGCTACGCGGAGGTCTTGGGGTATGGTTCGTGACATTTGGTGGGATGTCGATGAAGCCAATGTGGGGGCGTGGTGATGATGGTCAGGAACGTCTGTGATGTTTGTTTAGCAGAGGTTGCGCGTGTTGTGAACCCTGGTCCGCCTGAAGAAGCAAGCTTATGCGCCAAGACGGCGCCAGGGAAATGACATCACAGCTGCAACATTCTGCAACACAAACTGCTCATGATCCTCGGCGTGACGAGACTGCCATAAATCCTGTCTATGCATTTCAGAGTATATGTATGGTCTACAGTCCTGTACGACCTAGACCAGCTCATCAACTCTATTATAGACAGTCGACTCAATTTCTTTCTAACCCTTTGCCACAGTTTAAATTATTAGTCTTTTCAACATCAGTTCTTTAGTAAAATTGTTTGATTTTCACAATGGCAGATAGAAATCCTATCGAGGACCATCACTGGTATGTGTAACGATACACCTTCTCCAATATCAGAGGGTGCTGCTATTAATATCTTCCTCTGACACGGGCTTTTGAATAGGTACTCTGTGTTCTCGAAAGGATACAAAACTAAAGTTATCAGTCCGTAATCCCTCAGAAACTTATATGCTAAGCGCTGTAGAAGCTAATTGGATACTGCCTTATAGCATATTCCATACAGCGTGCGTTTCAGGAAAGTCTCGGGGTCGAAGAAGATTACACCGATCCAAAATGGCCACCATATTCTGCACCTCCTATCATTCGAACCTTCAGTTTTTCAAATTTCTTCCGACTCTGTAAGTTCCGTGGAGAAACGATACAAACGTCATCATTGGGAATACTAATCGAAGAAACCTAGATGATTTACCGTTTAAAAGAGCCGCACCCTTACTCTTCCAGCAATTAAGATCAGACAAATGGAGTATTGTAGGCATCTATATGATCCACCTTTACTATTAGTCAGGCTGCATACTGACCTTTTTTTAGAACGACAAATACTACCATAACCAATTAAAACAAGAGCTTAGCCCCGTCGGAGGTCTTGGTTTCAGTGGTTCTCTTTTCTTCTTTACTGAAGATCACTCATACATTGTTAAATCCGTTAGTAGACGGTTTGAATACACATTCCTCTATACAAAATGCATCGAGGCCTACGGACAGTACATGATTTCGAACCCGTCAAGTCTTCTATGCCGGATGACAGATGTTTTATTCTGCTTTGATAGACATCTAGGTGGCGTTTTAGGTGTTTCTCCATCACATTATGTGGTTATGGAGAATTTGCTGAGAGAGATGGATGCGGAGAAAGGGTGGGTGAAGTGGGATTTGAAACCCCAGCAGTTTTTTGAGCCGACAAGGGATTTGATTCCAGATCAAATTAAGTATGGACACTTCTCAACTCTCTAATGACGGGGCTTATCTAATGTCTCACCATAGAACGGAGCAAGCAAAATCAGGTCTTGCGGATGCAATGGAGGAAGATCGCATAATCTTAACCAAAAAACAGCGAGACGAATTATGGGAGTTACTCAAGCGAGATACTGAATTCTTGGAGGAGATCGAAACGATCGATTATTCCCTTCTTCTCGGCAGATTTCCTGTTTCGCAGAACAAAGACCTGACACCGTCAAAATTCAAGCACGAGAACTGGATTACTGGTGTTACGTCTGCTGATGGGAAGTACATCTATCGTGCTTGTATTGTGGACTTTTTGGTGAGTGAATAAATTCGGATAGTAGAAAACCTGCAAAACCTCTGGCTAAAGATCGGGATATAATAGTGGAATGTCAATCAATTGCAAGCGAAGATCACAAGAACAGCTGGAAAATTACTCCCTGAGCAGACAGTTACTACGGAGCCTGGGCGTTATCGAAGAGAGTTTCTATCGTAAGTAAATTTATCCTGATATATGGTTTGGAGAACCGTGCATGCTAACACATAGGTAGAATGATGGAGGAATATATTGTAGTTCCTGAAGAGACTGGTCCTAGTAGTAGTAGACTGACTGTCTAGCTGAAACACCGTGCAGGACTTATAGCCCATAGTGTGCACTTCAGGGGTAGGGTTCTTCAAGCGTTGGTAGTCATATTGGTATTTTCAGGTGTTCCATGGTCGGTTATTGAGCGTGCATCTTTTCCTGGGAACGAGACTACATCTTTTACTATTTAGTGCCCCTTTTCTTAGTCTTCTTGTTTGTTTTTGTCAATAGCCTCTAGTTAGAGTTTTATTTACATCCGAACTCTCTCCATATTATCCCACAATTATTTTAAGAGAACTCCACTCTCCTCAAACAAACATCTATATCCCCTGCCCGAAGGTCAGTAACGATATGCACCGCCAACCAACACCCTTTCTCAAAATCCAGTCCACACGGTATCATCTCTGGTTCATCAGAGTACACGCCCCAGTCACCCTCCAGTTCATCATGGGCCTCGTTTATGATCGTCTCCAATAGTTCTTTGACAGTTGGCGGCGCATGTAAGTTATATGTTTTCACCCACTCCGTGCAGAAAATAAACATCTTCTTTTTACTGTAAAGATTGATAGAAACGTTTTCATTGTCATGATTGATCGTTAAACACTCTGCTGGCACCTTAAAAAGGGGCTCGTCAAGGAAATTTGTAGATTTGCTGAAGAGATTCGTGAAATTCCCGTCTATAGATTCGTCGTTTTCGTTCTCTTGGTAATAAAAACCCTCGACTAATTTCTGGTTTTCGACGCGGAAAACGAGTCCGCTGGGTACTGGTCGGTCATCCATTGAAATTTGACCGTTAGGTCTGTGCGTAAATAAACCGAGAAGTTTGTGAATTTGCAAAACGAAGAATGGAGGAGGTATCTGGTATCTGGAATCTTCGAGGATCTTGGCCTCGTTCAGGAGGGTTTGCCAGAGGGTACATGTTTGGCTGGCTCGGATTTGGTCTGCGAATGTTAACAGGGAGAGGATGGTGATGTGGAGCTCTATCGGGAGGAGAGCGATTGGTGAAGCCATTTTACGACTCGCAGATTGTGAGATTGGATATTTGAGAAGTAAGTAGAAGCAGTGGTTTTGTAGAAGAAGAATGGAAGCTCGATGGTGTATGCTAACAGTTACTTGGTATTTAAGTAAGTATGCTAGGTATTCCTGAAAGATCGGGAAGATTCATTTCTGAGGTAAGTTGCCTGAATTCAAGGTATTATCGGATCTAACTAGAACTAGTCACAGATGCCATAGCGCCAGCAGGCGCCACCAACAGTTTACTAGAGTTAGTGGCAACACGGGATGGGATTTGGGCTTGTTGCATTTTAGACAGGCCGTTTTGATGAACTGAGGTGTCTAAGCTGGTTTAGTGTCGAGACGCTGAGGTATCAGATATGCAAAATTAATGATTGATAGAAATCGATCTCTTCTTTCTTAGCTTTCTCTTCTATGCATATATGCTTTCGGGCGGCTCGATGTGACCTTATAGATCTTAGGTATTTTGTTACTTTGGCACTAGAGCCTTAGGGGTTAGCGCTTCTCCTAGCTATAAATTATAAAGAAATATATCTAGATATCTATGAACTTGATATATATATTGATAAACTTAAACCTGCTAGCAATACAAAGTTCATTCCTAAATATTATCCAACCTGTAGATAGACATCTCTATCTCATATTCTCGGTGGTGACGACGGCGGAGTGTGGTCTTTGGGGCTTAGGTCCCATCTTGCGAATCCTGATGGCCTAGAGGCGCTAGAATTCTAAGGCTGAATTCATGAAATTAACAATTTAGGAAGCTAGATAGCCTATAGGCTGATTTGTTAGTACGAAGAACCTAAGTTCCAAGGACAAAGTGAAGTAGGTTGAAGGGAGAATATGAGACAATATTTTGGAGATGACAGTAACGTGACATAATTACTTATATGGTAAATTTATAACCATCATAAAATCTAGATTAATATAATGTAGGCCGCTTCGTGAGCCGGGGAATACATATATATACGAGACAAGGATGTATATAGCAAACATGTTAATATAATATTGACTTAGTCACTTGAACTATTAATATTACTGGATGATTAGTGTTCTTTTAAATTTGCATTTTGAAGTTGTATTCATAACATTTAAAATTGTACTTATCTTTCATCAACATCACAACTTAAGACTTTATATGAGCTTCAAATCTAAGTTTACAGCTATTTTTCGGGGTGGGAACCCATACTATTGGTAGGCTATCATGCCAAATTTGGTTGGACAAATCAAGGTTGCAGGGATAGAACTTGGGGCGCAGCTGGTTCAGGATCCATGGATCCACTCGCATATGCATGCAACGTGAATATGCCCTATGGTAGACATTTGAGTAGGCTTGAGGCGCACATTTAAGACGCTGACTCCTTCGCAATGTCGTTTTTACATTTATGCGTCTATGAATCAGATTTTGATAATTTCTAATTGCTGGAGACTTTAAGTGAAGAATCGAATCTTGCAAAGCTCCCGTGGATTCCGGAACCTATTAATACCTTCGCGCGGCCGATCCAACATCGACCAGTATAAAAAAAACGTCATCCATTCAATTCTACCAACGAAGTCATTAAGAAAACATAAGATGCCGAGAAGCAGGAAGAAGTCTACCTTGGAGGAGTTACCTCTAGACCTCAAAATCGATATCTTGAGATCTCTCGGCTCAATCTACGACCTTGAATCGTTGGGGCTCACATGTCGCACATTTTACAACATCTGCAAAAGCCCACAGTGTACTGCTACGGCTTACCGACAACTACTCATCCATGGAGATCACGGGGAACTTCTACGGGGTGTGGCAGTCCTCCGAGCTTATGGACGAGACGACCAGCTGAAGCTGCTTCAGGACGCCAGCGGGTTTCCGGACAACAATCCAACAGACAACACGGAGTACTTTTACAAGCTTCTTTCGTACCAAAGGACTGTTCGCTGGTTTACCAATCGATTTTTCGAGGCAATGGCAGATAAATATGGCGACGTCCCCCCAAATTCGGCGAATAGCAAGGATTCTAAATCTTCCAAGAGGTTCATACCATCCAGAAGCGAATCCCAAAGATTGGATAATGCATTCCTTATATTCTGGGTTTTGGCGGAAACAATATATTTATTCGAAAACCGGAAACCACACGGGACTATTGACGGCAGCCATATAGACGAAGAGCTTTTTGCCAACACCGATAGATATACTTTCGTATACATTCTACTATGGCAAATCTTGGGAACCTCAGACGGCCTTAAATTGCAGCTGTCGGTTGATTTTTCGGTCATATGTAGTGTTGCACGGTTTCTCTCGGGATCGACGACCCCGATGGCATTACGGTATGCAGATACGTTAAGCCACGAGAAAGTCGCTGCTATATCTTCTAAGTTAGGGTGTCCTGATATCTGTATGTGGAGTCGATAACAGTAATATCATTGCTTAGTAGCATTCTTGCTGATATTTTATTTTTTTAGATAACAGGCAGGGAATATCTAACTTACTAACCTGGAACCTTGGATTGGACGGGCTTCGAAAATTCCTCGAAGAGAAGGATGAGACTATACAAGCCTCTGTTATCGGGAAATACTACAATCGTCCTCTCGAGCCCAGATTTGAGGTCGATGATGAAGAGCCTTTCAAGTTTTTTATATCATGCTTCTACTCTCTAATAGACGGAGTCTGGATTTATATGAGAGATCACTCGGGATATTTAGGAAATATACATTGGAGACCGCTGTGGAGGGAGTCTGGGATCATAAATTTGCTTTTAGTCCCACCGTGGAATCAAGCGGACGAATTCGATATTGACGCCGCCTTTTGTGATGATGAAAGACTTCAAAGATTGGGATATTTTCGGCCGCGGATTAGCGTGGATGGCGAGGATACTGATCAAAGCAGTTTAGAGGAGAAAATGAAGACAGACCTTGTATGCCATTGTAAGGAGGACTGGGGGTGCTGGGATTAACTGCACTGTTTTCCTATGCAAAGTCAACTGTGCGCAGCTATCGTGTTATCGCGTATCGGCACAATTAAATAAAGAAGTCGGCACCGAAGTAAAATATTAGCTAGATGTAAACTAATACTCCGCTCTTTTTTTAATTTTTATTTTATAATACAGATTTTCTATAGTTATTAACACTAGTTGGCTAGGTACTTAAGTAGATTACAACTTTGGACGTTCCGGCCGTCAACGTCGGTGTCATGGTGTTGTTATACCATCCCTGCCAATAGCTGCCAAGATAATTCAGACCCAGCAAAAAGAGGGCCGTTTATTACTTCCTCTCAAACCCCATTTGACGGTCCTCAGAATCAACCCCAATTCGATATCGCTGAGTCTCCACAATGGCAGCGCGCACATCCTGCCTCCTTCTTCGCCAAGTTCGGCCAAAGGCGATAAATCCTCCCAAATTCCGAACACCATCCCGCCGAACCTTTTCATTCTCATCGAGTAATACCGCTTCGGGCGCCGGTGCTGAGTCTGGCAGTGATGGCGGTGCTTCATCCACTTTCAGCGTTCTTCGGGGCCTTGTAGATGAAATGGACAGGCTGGCGCCTAGGTTCGAGGTCGGACCGCGAGATATTACGATACTGAAGGAGCCGGAGGAGTTCTATCGCAGTTTAAAGGTGCGCGTGGCAATTACCCCGCTGGTCGTGTGCGAAAACTCTTTGAATGAAATAGTAATTGAGACGAATAGTACCCATGAATCTTGCGAAATATATAGATGAAAATACTATCTGCGAAGAAAAGAGTATTCATTGCGACTTTATATATCGGAAAGACGGAACACGAACTCGTATGCCTGACCCCGAGAATGGACCGTTTTTTTCTTGAGAACCCACGGATCACTAAGACGATATTAGATTGAAACGATCAAAACCGCTCTTCGAAATTCGCCGACCCTGAAAGTTTCAATATTGACGGATGCTCTGCGAGGGACCCGGGAGGCACCCGACGTCTGTTCTGCATCGCTATTAGTACCGTTAGTTAAGGAATTTGGTGAAGATCGAGTCGAGCTGCGAATGTTCCACACCCCAAATCTTCGAGGGTTTAGAAAAGCCTTGATACCGAAAAGATTGAATGAAGGCTGGGGTCTACAGCATATGAAGCTATATGGATTCGATGACGAAATTATATTATCTGGGTATGACAACAACTGAACGACGACAGTGGACGACAAGCTTACAAAAGATCCTATAGCGCCAATCTATCAAAGGACTACTTTACGAACAGGCAGGATCGGTATCATTTATTTTCTAGCAAATCTATTACCGATTACTACGCGAAAGTGCACGATGCTGTTTGCAGCCTCAGTTTCAAGGTTCAGCCAAATGACAAAGTCGAGAATCGATTTGAACTGGTCTGGCCCTCAAGCAACCCTGCTCCGTCTCCCTTGGAAGATAAATCGGGTTTCAAATCTGCGGCTTCCGCCCTAATATCTCCTTTGTTGAAACCAACATCAGCTCCCGGTCCGCGAAAGTCAAAAACAGTTGTCTACCCGCTAGGGCAATTCACACCATTGATGTCCGACGAAAACCACTCGACGGAACATCCTGGTATATTAAGCGTACTTCGAACTCTATCGCGTGAGGATTTCGCAAAGTCTTCTTGGACGTTTACTGCAGGTTACTTCAACATGCATAGAGAATTGAAAGAGCTACTATTGGCTTCAAAATCAGACCTTGGAACTGTGGTCACTGCTGCTCCTGAAGCTAACGGGTTTTATGGATCAGCTGGGGTCTCGGGGTACCTGCCTCCTGGATACCTAATTCTCGCAAGAAGGTTTCTAGAAGAAGTCGGAAAGGTAAGAGGTGGCGAAGGGGTGGAGCTACTTGAATGGAGGAGGGGCGTGGTAGGTCAGCCAGGAGGGTGGACGTATCACGCTAAAGGCATCTGGATCACACTCCCAGAATACACATCACCGAGCTTAACGGTCGTTGGGTCCTCAAACTACACCCGACGATCGAAAAAGCTGGATTTGGAGATGAACGCTTTGGTGATAACGGATGATAAGGAGCTGCAGAAGGAGCTCGCCGGCGAGATTGAGCATTTGAAGACATATGCGAAACCCTTGGCATTGGAGGATTTCAACAAGGAAGATAAAAAAGTACCTTGGGAGACTAAAGTACTTTTGTGGTTTCTGTCATGGGGATTGTAAATGTAGAATCCCGCTTTTTTTCTTTAGATATCCATTTGGGGCGATACCGCTATGTAATACCAGTACCATGGCCTAGCTAGGTTAGTCCGGAAGTCGCGACCTAGGTAGAGCTGCAATATCTATCTTTTGAGTAACGAGAAGATGCTCTCTTATATTACTTGATTCTGCAACAGTTAACAACGCAGGATAGCGTATGCCTAAATTATTTAACACGACAGTATAGTCTTAAAGTGCACCCGATCCACGTATCATTGCTTACAGAAGAACCAGGCCATGATTAAAAACATGCTATTTAAGTTTTTTTGTCTCGTACAGTTGACAAATCTCAAATCTCCATCACCAATTCTTCGTCGGCTCGAGTTGTTGGCCCCTTTGGGGACATCTCGCTTCAAGATGAAACGCACCCGGGCCTAATTATACATTTGAGCAATCGTCTAAACTCTCATGGTAAGTGCTTCATAAATGTATTACTGAGGTTTGGCGAATGATAAAGAATTAATAAGGGAGATTATCGTTAGTTCCTAAAGATGAGCATATGACGCTAAGATTATTATGGCTAACGGTTGTGACCAGCTCGTTTATGCAATTAGTCATGTAGCAAGATTGTAGTATACTCGGAAGCTGGGACTGTAGCAGCAGCTTCAAGGATATAAAGAATGGATTAGCAGCTTCATACCAAAATTACCATCGTTTAACGTTTTAAACAGCGATGCCCATCGATATCATCATTTTGTGCTTTTTAATTTTAACAAACATTCGTTCCTTTCTATACATTAATTTATTCCTGAAGACCTACCCTAGTAGTATACATTTAATCCATATCTAGCGCATTATAATATTAAGACCATGGTAGCCAGGCCCACATTCTTCTATATTTATATATTTATTACACGTGCTTCATCCATTCTACAAGACGCGTTCGCAACTCCTATGCCAGTTCCTACAGGTAGAGGGGTTGGTAGTATAACGTTTGGAAGTGGTCGTCTAACTTTTGGGAATGGAGGCTCAACAAGTACAAATAATGGTGCCCCTTCTAAGCCTCCAAGTCGATTTATCTATACCAAAGGCACAGAAATAAAAGGATTAGATGGGTTGAGTACGACTAGGCCGAAGGAAGAGACGTCACTCGGGATTACAAAGGAGACTTTACCTAAAGGTTTGTTATCTACAGTCTAATTCAAAAATTTATACTACTGAATGCTTAACTAAAATTCTGTACCCTACTAACTAGTCCTTGAAGCATTTGAAGAATATTTATACGAAGGCAGCCAACAGGTAATGGGACCTTACATCTTTCTCGCCGCCGATGGTGCCTTCCGTGTCCTAAACGACCTCAGCGTAACCACAACAGAGATAAATATCTGGTCAATGTCTAACTTAGACTGCCAAACCGCGAATAACGCTGGTAAAATATTCTCCCAAACCACTATGGGGAGGTCCTACAACCTCAATTTCGACTTCTTCAACAGTGCGCTAAGCTCCAACATGGCCTACTACGACGGTTTAAAACTCTTCGAAGCATACGCAAAGAACCCAGAGATCCTACCAATGTGGCAAAGTGAGAAGAAGTGGCTTACATTATACTCGTTACCGATTGAATGGCAGATTCAGACAAAACTGGTGAAAATGTCGATATGGTATAAAGCCGGGCTGACGTATGATGAGAAGTACTTGAAGGATTTGCAGCATGTTCTGAGTTTGATGTGGAAGATGTCAGATATGGGGAAAGATAAGATGGATATATCTGGGGTGGAAGGGTGGTTGTTGGAGTATCAGGTTCCTGGGAATAAATTTGGGTACACTAAAGGGCTATTGGAAACTATTAATACGAAGTTTGCAAAGTATGTGAAGAATGGAGGGAAGTATATCCCATAGGAGCGTATGGTTTTATTTTTAGATACTTAGGTCCAGACCAATACTTAGGCACCTGTGAATATTTCTAAGTACGTTGTTATATTGTATATATACAGCAAGAATACATGTAATTATCTACATATCACCCCCAATACAGCCGCTGCAGAGCACTAATACGTCTTGATCTTGCCGTAGAAGGGAACTCCAAATGCGGTCAACAACATCCTAGCATCTCTATCGCTAGTCGCCGTAGTTTTGCAAGTGATATGGCAACCAGGAATCATCTTTGCAGGATACATGTCGTAGTTAACTGGATGTAAAGTTAGCATAACTCATTCTATAATATCGGGTGTAGGGGTATAAATTCTCACCTTCGATCTCTGGAAACTGTGCGACAACTTCCGGGTCAAAACCAAAAGTCAAGTTACCTGATCTATCACCAGTGGTTCCTTTAACACCCTTATACTCCTTAATTCTTGGCATAACAACATCTATGCATGTCGCCAAAAACCTGTACATCGATGGACCAGACATTCTGCAAGTAACAGCTATCTGTTGATCTTTCTTCAACTTCCAAGCTGCAACCGTCGCCTTTGCTACATGGAGATTCGCTTTAGATCCCGTAATTGATTGAGCAGCCATAATCGCGACTCGGATAGCTAGAGGGTTCAAAGTTGATGCGTCGGAGAAACAATGGAGCACAACCTCCTCAAGACGTGGAACATTCCTGAAAGTTATCGGCCGATGAGTGAGAGGGAGATAATCCTTTCCACGAGGTCCTCGACGAGGACGGTTTTCAAAGTATGGAGAGTCACCCTCCCATTTCCTTAGACGGTCCTTTTGAGGTTTCTCAACAGCATGAGGTGCACTGTGGGTATATGCCATGGTCATCAAGTCGGCAGCAATGGTATCATTATAGTGATCCCATAATCGTTCGCTTGTGAAAGGACCGGGAACGAATTCACGAGAAGACGGGTCCGAAGGCTTAGGCGGTTGATGAGGATGGTATGGACCACGGTAGTATCTAGGATGACGGATTTGGTGACGACCTACACGGCCAAAACGACGGTGACCGGCCGGGTCCCTCTTTTGGAGGGGTGCCGTGGTTGTGAAGGAACGGTTTGAGGATGTCGGTGTCGAGGAAGAGGTAGGGAAGAGGAAGGCATTGATGGCAGCTATTGAAGGTCGCGATCGTTGAAGGAATGTAGAGTCAAGTGACTTAATATAGCGGGCGCAATTCATCGGAAGCATCTTTGGGGTAATCGATGCCATTGTGATATTGTGGTGGGGGAGGAACAACCTCTACCCAGCAGGCTCGAAAGATAATCGAATCAATTGAAGGTTCTCGAGTCGATTGAAATATCGTTTTCCACCACTGCTGTCCTATATTCCCATCCTGCGGCCGTTTAAGACCCCTGGTTCCTGCCCGATAGCAAAAGAAGTAGTTGGTAGTCGCGCTATCTTGTCGTCAAAAGTTGAGGTTGAGGCCGACGTTCAAAAGCAGAGATTTGGTGTTGGTTTGCCGAAAGTCTTGGCTGTGCGACGTCTTGGCGTTTATTCTGTCCGCTTTCGGAATACCACGTTCACAACGCATTACTCGGTCGTTGTTGTGATCTTCAAGTTCGACGGTGTATCAGACTGAGGCTGGAAAACTGTGATATATCGATCGATCGATCGATCGTGTTACGGGTTAAGTTGTAAGGCTTTCTACTAGAAGTTAATCCCATTCAATGAAGTCTTTCTTCTAGGTGTAAGAACCGAACAAACGATATCTTTAACATCCTCACTTTTAACTGCGCGAGTGCTCCACATTCGATCAATAGCTAAGCTAAGATCATTTCATCGTTAATTCTATACCGTTGTACAATTGCGTATATACGTATAACAAATCACCTCAATAGCACCTTAGATCATATCATCATTACAGCTTTTACTTGGTCTCATACCTAGACACACCTTTACCGTTCTTTTCGATACCGAAACCATCACGAGTTTCTTTCATCTCTTTTATTCTTACATCTGTGAAGGATGATTAGCAATTTAAAACCCGACCCATGCGATATCCCACCTGCGCACACAATCGAAGCGACGATATTCCATGAGTTCAAAGGCTTGCTGAAGGACATAACCCCGAGCCAAGCAAACTTCTGGAAAATTGGCCAAAGATTGGACACAGTCCCAAACACTACGGTCGAAAACATTTGCGTGCATGCTAAAATCGATAGATCCCAACTTACTCGCTACCTCATTAAGCTTTGTGAATGCGGTGCCTTTTCCAATCCTGGATTTGGAGCTACATCTCGGTTTCCAGAACTTTTTCCGGGGGGCGAGGCATCACCGAAAATATTACTCCAAGAAAAAACTACTTCTCAAGTTAATATTCAAGTCGGTGGCCCTATAGCGGATACTCCTGATACCCCTGATGGACCAGGCTGTCAACCTCGGTTGGGTGAAACTGAAAATCAGCCACACTCCGGCCGGGAAGGAGCAAAACCGCGGTCTGGGTTGGCTACCGATAGCGGTCGTATGGGATACAAAATTTTTAGAACTATAGGATGGCACAACACTCATCAACGTTCAGGTGTTTTTGATCCCTCGCCGTCAGAGCTGGCAGAACTTATCGTGGGGCCTGGGCCCGATACTGAGTCAGAAATTGAAAACGATATCGACCTTGATCTGGAGCTTGAGGGTAGCGATAGTGACTCAAGTACAGTAGTTTCCATAGGAAGCAACTTTAACATCTTAAGTACCGCCCTAATCGCACCTCCAGATACATCCTCAATCTTCCTTTCGTATCCGACTCAACATATCATCCTTACGTCAGCACAATTCCTTCTCGAACAATCTTGTCATGCTTTCATACAAAAATGGTATCCGCAAAGCCTACTCGCCGATGGGTTTTCAGAACCCGAAAACTCTGAGCTGCCAAGGTGGTTTAAACTTATCATGCTTCGGCTACCGTATTTACCAGTAGAAGCAATCAACCTCAAAGTCCTGCAAACTCCTGCCGCTCGGAGGTACTCTACGATTGATATCATTTTTAGTCATCTTAAATGGATGCGACATTCAGCCGTTCATCGAATAAAGAAGGAGTCTAAGAGCATAGTAGATATGCTCCAAAGTACGATTATTTTTGCGAAGTTTCTGAAAGACGATGAAGCAAGGATTGGGAGATTTCAAAGACTTCTAGAAAAGACACTTTCGCTCTTTGAAGAATTAAAAAATGAAAAACAAACCCTACGGGAAAACCTAGAGAAAGAGTTGCTAAAAATCAAAAAGTCTCGAGAAATTTTGACTTACAGGGAGAAGATGATGCGGGTGAGAATCTGGAGGGAGGATAGCGCTATCCGAAAAGGTATTACTTTTGATATTAATGAGATCCTGGATGGCCCAGAATCAGGGAATGGATCCATTGGGGTTGATGGAGTTGACGAACCCGAATCCGGACGACCAAATAGAGCAACGCAGATTGGGTGTACAGCCGAGCCAGGTACACTCTCGCGATTGACCCTCCGTATATTTGGAAACTATTTGTCGAGCGTTGGAGGAAGTTGGCGGAATGTAGTAGAAGAAGGGGATCAGGATGCCCGGGCAGAAAACACTGTAGGTGCCGGTTCGGTATCGGATGATAGACCTCAAGGTCAAGATTCTATGGAAACATTTTATTCGCAGTTACCGTGAAGCCTGTAGCTTTGATACCTTCTGGTGGTAGGAGGCTTGCGTGCTACGTACTTGGATGGGTGCTTGTGGAGGGGCTTATTCCTACTCAATCGTTGATTCGAACGCATGGTGGGCGCCGAGTTGCAAAGTTGATAGAGTTATAGTTTTTAGATCCTATAAAAGTTGATACCTGGTCGTTATACTCAAGCTGAATACAAGACTACATCTCATCGTATGGAACCAGCGTATAAAGAAGCGGGATTAGAACCGCTAAATTGAACTAAAATTAATTTTGATACTACTAATAGATAGTATACTATCCAGCCCCGATACAAAGACACCAGTCAAATATAATTGTAGCCCCAAAAGCACCAGCAAAAGTTTATTTAACCCATGTCCAGAATAAAATCAAGTCAATAAAACCCCAGGAGAACAAAATTTTAAAAGATAAAAACAATGTGATCCCAAAACATTATAAAGTCTAAACCTTTGAAGCAACGGGAACCTTAGAGTCGAGACCAATCTCGACAGGTGCGATCTGGTCTTCTGCTGGTGGCAGAGCCTTTTCGTTATCACCATCTTCGCTACCGGTACCGCTGATTGGCTGGTTTCCAGCCTTGCGGCGGCGGATGATGTCGTCGACGTATCTAATAGAGGCAAGTATAATGGCGACGGCAAGAATAGCAGCGCCGGTAGCGAAACCACGGCGGTACTTTGGTTTGTCGTCCGATCTGAAGATTTGTGCGCCATAGATACCGGCGATGTTGGCACCCATGATAATCCTATAGTTGAGAGCGTATTAGGATTCGGTTTTTTCGAACTTTCGATTCAGGGAGAAGCAATGGGAATAACTTACATAGCCATAGCAAGAGCTCTAACTTCAGAGTCGGGACAGGCGAGGGACAACCAAGCGATGTTGAGAGGATGGGAGAAGGTACCGAAACATTGTGTCCAGACGACACCGAAGTATCGGACGTTACGGCTGCTGAGTTCAGTGAAGACTCTGTTGAAGATGTAACCGAGCAAGTGACAGCTCAAGCCAGCAATAACAGTTTCACCACGCTTGTTGCTATATTTTGAATGTTAGCAATGGATCGGAATAATAGTTTCGAAGCGAATAGTTCTTACAAATGATCGGAAACCCAGCTGAAGGCAAAGGAAGTTGGGATCTGGAGGTAGAAACCAACGGATGCGAGGGCGTTACTGGTGAGAGCGGGGAAACCGAAGCTAGTGACAATAGATGGAGAGTAGGTATCGAAACCACGTTGAGGACCGTTGTTGCAAAGAGAGATGAAAACGTGGATCCAGATTCTCCAGTTGGTGAACTAAGGAAAACCGTTAGTCATATGAAACAGCTAATTATGATTTTGAGTGAAACTTACGGCGCGCTTGAATGCACCCCAGTCGATGTGCTTCTTCTTCTTTCCCTTCATTGGGTCATCAATACGGACACGGGTCCTGAGGATATGCAATTCCCTCTCGGTGAAGAGAGATCTTTTAGGGAGGAAGGCACTGCATGGGTTCTTGAAGGAATCGGGGAGCAAGAAACCGAGGACGAAACCGCTGGCAATAGTGAAGAGACCCATGAGAGCGAACAGCCAAAACCAACCTGGCTTGCCACCGACACCTCGCATGTGGAGGATACCGTAGGCGAGAAGCTTGGAGGAAGCTTGTCCGAATTGGTTACCGAAGTAGAAAAACATGACACGCTTAGCGGTTTCGCTCCTGGTGTACCAAGTGGAGAGGGTCCAGAGACCGCCGGGAATGAAACCTGACTCGGTGATACCGAGGAGGAAACGGGAAGCAATGAAAGAGCCATAGCTGTTCTGGAAAGCCTGGAAAGTGGAAACAGTTCCGAAAAGGAAAAGTTGGAGTGTGAGCCACTTTCCGGGGCCAACTCTGTAAAGGATCATGTTGGAGGGAATCTCGGTGAGCACGATACCCAGGGAGAGCATCTGTTGGCCGACGTTAAACTGATTCTGGGTGATTCCGACATCCTTGAAGAAGTTATCGGTAAGAGCGTTGGCGATGTTGCCTCGGTCAAGTTCTGTTACACAACGATATCAGTCAATACAATTGATCAACTCGAGCAACTTCGTTCTCCCGGAGAAAGGGAGATAGATGCATCGCATGAGCAACGCCCGGGTAACGGCGTGCCGGCATCGTCTAAAAGCATCCCAAGTGGGGCGGACAGGCGTCTACTTACGCAAGCAAAAGAATCCGAGGAAAAGCAGTGGCATAATAATAAAGTCCAACCTGGAAGATCGCGGCAAGCACGTCAGTTTCTTAGTTCACAATGAGGGGTCTACATTGCAATATTATGCAAGTAGGAAATGTATTTACGTACTTTCGTTTGGCGGCTTTCTCCTCCTCGAGTGTCCAATCGGACACGAGGTTGAGATTCTCCTCATCCTCGGAGGGAGGAGCAAAGTGGTCCGGATTCTGGACTTTGAGGTCGCTTCCCATTCTTGCGGCTGTTTATGGTCAGATATGAGAATAAAGTACTGGTATTGACTGGAGGTATCTACGCCCTGGCCTAAGGAGAGAACATCTTCAGTTGGGAGAATGGGACCTCTTATAATTCTGTCCTACCCGCAGTGATAACTGCCTTTTGTGCTATCTGATAATGCTAAGAATTTTATTGCTACCATTTCTTTCTGCATTGCTGCACCCAAGCTTTTTTTTCAGCTACGTTCGCCGAGTGTTTTTTACAGTCCATAGTACAGGACCAAGAGGACAAGACTTTGGATTTTCCACGATGTGGTGTCCGTGGCGGGCTGAATGTACCTTAATTTTTGGAGGCGAGCGAACAATTCCCAGCAATTCTAGCAAGTGGCGGGGATCCAGATTGAAAAAAAAAGATCCCACGTCTCTGGGCGGATATGGTGAAATTCACACTTTTGAGCACGCAATTGCAATGGTCGTATCAAAGTCGTTTAATCATTAATGAACAGGACGTGCCGCGTCTGCAATTGCATGCAACAGGCCGGTGCCCAGCCGCCGCCCAGATCCCGCCCAGCCGCCGCCCAGGGTTCGCCCAGGATATTGGCGGTCGCGACAGGTGGGAGTTGGCTCCGATGACGAAATTTTGCTGCGGTTTCATTCGACAAGCTTTCGGTCAACTGAGAGTTTGTCTGCAAGCCTCCTCTTGACTGCGCTGCCTATGCTTGGGGGAGGGGAAGGGCTGGAACTTAGAACCGGGTGGAGACAAGGATGTTGACCACATGCTACATGCCATTGACTTGCTGTGTTAATTGGCATGGGGTGTTACAATTGTTGCATTTTGGGGCAGAACCAGGGTCTGGCGACACAAAGCTAGTCGTTCTGGTCGTTCAAGATAAGCGAATTGCCCAAAGGAGCCAATGGGAACCTCCTGGACCAGTATCAGAGCGGGCCCATTCCGTCGGCACCTTATTCCCACTATCTGGATGGTCCTGGCTAGACATTTAAATTGTAAGTACATAAGTACATACCTGCATGGTTTGTCCTTGTATCGTGTCGTATTACTATCAGCACACCGTTCTGGTAACTGGTACCCCACGAACTCTTTTTTAGTCCATTCCGGGTCGAAGGAATTAACCCTATTAGCTATAAGACCCGATTTTATTAAGGGACAGATCAAATAGGATTCGCTCTATCCGCAGGTACATACGTAAGAATGTCAGAATGTACACCCCATACTCTACGTATGTACTTATTAAATTAAATAATGTACATCTATTGCCTACATGTGTGAAGTATATATGTACATGTACATTACATACATGTATGTATATATGTACACCTGAAGCAAACCAGGGTGTGTGTGAGCTATAGCTGCCGGAATATAGACTCGACTCCTTCTCCAACTGGTTAATATTCGGCGACGTGCGGTCTTGTCTGTCTATCACAGCGTCTCCCAAGCCCTGCAAATCAAATGTCGTGATGTTGAGACCATATGTTGCCTTCTATTTGTAACAGTTGGTGAAAGTGTCTTTGACTAGATTCTTGCAAGATTTTCTTCTCATTCTTCCTTCCTTCTCTCCTGCTTTCTTTTTTCTCCTTTTTAATCGTCTAGACTTGTGGGATTTGCCGCACCTATGCATCTTTCTTGCGCCTGCGTCGTTTAAGCTATATTTCACAACTTTAGACCCGATTGTATATTGCAGTAGCTCGATCGAGAGGCAAGATCGAGACCCATATGATCAAGGTATTTCTTTCTTCCTTCCTTCTCCTTTTCCTTTCTTTTTTTTGCCCTTCAAAACCAAGAGAAAATCTCTGCAGCGGAAAGCCCACTGTTTTGGGTTCGACGAGACAAGGTTCGACACCATCCGAACACTAATATGTCTCCATGAACCCCTCGAGGCAGTTGATCTCGTGCACACTGAGCTAGGCCTAGTCGCCACCAAACTACAAGGCTTTTAATCTCGCCAATTCAAAAGGTTCATTGGACTAACTTATTATAGAGCTGTCACCGTGCAGGGTTCGTCGGAGAACTCTATAACTCTTTGTCATAGATGAGTCTTTAGGAAATCCCATCCCACGTTCTAGGTGGTTTGTCCGTGCTTCGAGGCCGGAAGAACCCCGGTCAAAGTGCAGGAATCTGCACGAACAACGTGCCATTTGTGGCGTTCCTTTTTTTTTTTCAGCCTCGCATTAGTTTGTTTTCATAGCTGGTCTGGAACCCCCCATTTTCTTCATTATGAACGAGCTCATTGAAGAGAATTATCTTCTTCCTCATCATACAAGTTCACAGGAAAATCTCGACTCTCTCTCCGGTATCATTTTCTCGACATACTCGAATGCCCCAGGTGTATTCTTGAACGGCCAATACAGAAGATTCAAGATTTTCCTATCATCATCTTGCTTCCCTGGTGTTAGCCTTCCACGACCTTTATTATCCACTCGAGCATTATCCACAAGCGAATGCACCATATCCTCCTCAGGAATCTGTATCATCTGCTCCCAAAAGGTTCCATTCACATGGTGTCCACACCGAAAATGGTATCCCATCCGGATTTCCATCTTTTCCATCAGAGCCGTATTGTTCGCCTCCAGTAAATCCCGTTGATCTTGAATGACGTTAGTTTCCGTCATGTATGACCGTATTATAGTGTAAATGTCGAAATTCATCTTTTGGACCAACCAAATCTCCATAGATTTGATTAACTGCAAGTTTTTCAGATCTCTTAACCACCAAAAATAAAGTAACACCATAGTACCCTGGAAAAACACATCTGGGATTCCGTCAGTCGCATCCACTCCTCTTTTCAACCCATCGAAAACATCCTTTCTAAATTTCTTGGGATCCAACAATCTTTGCATTGCTTCAAAATCCGTCTTAGCCTCAGGTTCTGCCAACGGAGCCCCCCGGTCGCGTCGGCCCCATCTAGAGCAAAGATAGGTATAACAAATCTGATCTTCTTTCATATACAACAGCGTTGGAATCGTATACTCCAAAGGCGTTCCTGTAGATTGCCCAGGAAAGGAGAGTGCTAGCCGATGGAACTCTTTAACTCGTTCATACGCCCTCTGAAGTGATAGATAAGTTCCGATCTCTAAGTATGTAGAGATCAGGATTCGTAAAGCGTTTACGTAGCTTTCCTGCAACTCGATTATGCCCAGAAATGGCGGATGCAGTGGCCATACAACAAACATGATAATTATGCGTCTAGTGTTGGAACGGGCTCTATCGACGAGGTTAGGCAGAGTGTAATACCGTTCAAGGAGCCGCTCTTCGGCTATAGAGACCGAGTTAATTGCTTCTTGTATTCTTGTGCAATCTGGAAGGTGACGTTCACAATCGAGTGATTGATGTGCGGTATTGCAATACTGAGTCGTAGAGCAGGATTTGCAGGTGACAGGACATATTTCTGAACGGCAAATATAGCAGCTGGAGACCATATTGAGGGGTTCAGGAATTGATCACAAAGTTGACTTAGGCCTTATCGTTAATTCTTCTCTTAAGAAACAAGATTGATAATGATTTCGAGTTGAGATTGTGGCGTACCTTAGCTTTGCGGGTTTTCGATTGGTCTTCAGCACAATTGCACAAGTAATCACAGCTTTGCATTGTAATTCTGCCACTTGATTGGTGACCATGATACCCCGCCTTCGAGCCATATGGGGCAATGACTTAATGCAACAGCAACGCAGATCTATAAGTTCACTTTAAGTTCGACTTCATGAATTCACCGGCCCGCCAGTTTAAATTTCTCCAGCTCACTATTAAGTATTCTATGTATATGACAAGTACTTATGTTCAAGGAAGGTGGGAAAATACTTGAACTATTCACCATTGATATTACAGCGGTACCGGCTGGTGAGGTTTGTGAAACAACCTCGAGAAGTTTAGGCGTCCGTACCTACGGTACTATTGCATATTATATTGCATCTATTGGATTAACGCCTTGGTCAATGCCCTTGTAAGGGTCCACATCTTATATTAGGCTTATATCCAGCAATTTTAACTTATAATTCTAATATTCTGTAGATGTTATCTCAAAGATAGACTTCTATATTAAATATTCTTAGCTAAACTTCGTATTGCAGGTGGAGTGTTGCAAGTTGCAGCATGTTGATCTCGAAACCTCGAGCCGGTGTCGGTTGGTTCTGGAGGCCAACTCGATCACTACATAGCCAAATCATAGACGATAGTTCATCAAATCCTAACTAGTGAAGTATTAAATTAATATTAAAATAAATCGAAAAAGTATTTAACCGTTTCTAAGCAAACGTTGTCGTATTGTATACTAAGCCCTTTGACAGCTCTGCATCTCGAAACACCCCTTGATCAATACCATAGTCTGCTTAAATTATGGCGCATCATACGGTTTTATAATGCGGTGATATACGCAACTACCAACTAGTTGCAGCCGGCTCCACTAACCCGAATGTCATAACCGGTAGTATCCTTCAGGATGCCATTCACCCTCCATTTATCGTAGCTGCAGCTATTGGCGAGTTTTGCTGCGGCGCCGGCAACCCTTGCACGTTTGATTTTAAAACCGGGCTATAGGGGTAATTCCGCACAGATATGCTGTTAGTTAACCCTACTATAATATGTACAGACTGAAATGTCAGGACGCTTAGTGGGTATGTACGAAGCACTCACCTTGGCACAAACGATGATTGCAGTTTTGTGGGTTTTGTAGTTGCGACACCATGCTATTCCACAGTTGAATTTCGGTGGGACAACCAAACTGAGTTAAGAGACGCATTGGTTAGTAACTTTACTTGCCAAAAGGGGAGACGAAGAAAAGGTCAGTAAACTAATGGCTTGACCGAATTACTCTTTATTTCCATCAAAATTCAAAGCAGGGACACCATATTTGAGAACCACATCTTTATGTCCATAGCCGCTAGGAGCCTTCCGGCAGGCTGGAGCCATGAAGTGTCGTTTGACGAGAGATGACCCTGACTGCAGCTAGACCCTGAGAGTTAGTGACAATCTTACAGATAATAGACAAACCGGGATAAGGTCGGGATACATTTGAGGGAGTTGACCCTAAGCTTGATTGTTCACCAATGTGCGGTTCTTCGATGAGGTATGGAAGAAACTCATCGTTGACGGTATTGCCAATGGAGGCGATACCATTGCTGACTTCACTTGTCGCTGGGATTGCGGACCCCCAGGTGGGACAGCTGACCACACAGAGGACGAAAAGGACTGGCTGAATGAAAGTCGAGTATTGCATGTTATAAAGAGACTGATCACCGAGACCCCAGAGCAACTTTAAATATATATATAACAAAAATGAGAGACAGAATTAAAACAACGGATTGAAAGTGTTTAGGAAGCAAAAGATGAAACGGAAAAAAAGTACGACTGCACGTAGGAAGGTGGGTTTTACTGGGTCGAGAATAAGCTCAACTTAATTAAGGAGGAATGGCTTTACTATTTATATCCAAGCTACTAATTAAAGCTTGGTCCCGGATACGATATAGGGATGTGTACTTGCCGAATTCTAAGGGGCTTACCAAAATCACCATATCTATACTATCCATGGTGTTCAAAGGTGCAAACGAGAAACTCACGGATGTTATCTCGTGTCACTTCGGTAGCTGGCGCTGCAAGATTAAGATTAAGCATTGGAATTTGAATAGCTATCGGTTATCGCACCCGCGATTATTCGATGTAATTGGTTCAATTCACTTTTTGTCCAGACCTTTTTCGTAAAGAGCTAGTACTAGTTTGTCGACTGTGCCGCTTCATTGCATAGCAAAATGCTGACTATGGAAGCATGCTTCGACGAACTTGAATTTAATTCACGTCCGGAATAGTGATCTCGCGAACAGAACCAAGGCAGAGCTGAGCGTCCCCAGATTACGAACAGGACGGAAGCTCGATGCGCTAAGTCTGTTGGGTTATCTTAATCGACTGCATTTTAAAAACCCTGATGAGTTATATACTAAGTATATATATGATGTCGTATTTGAAGGTTCATAGCTGCAGCTGAAAAGATCGAATATTAATGCTAACGGTTGATAATTATATACAAAATAGTAGATTTGTTTTACAGATAATGTAAATTCGGTTTGATTTGCTGGTGCAATTGCAAAGTCTGGTTTGAGACAATGGTGCAATGCGCAGTAGCAATTAATTCTGGTTTACCAGACAAGTGTAATATAATGTGGATTTTTCGAAATTTGGAAAATGTCCAATGAGACTATCGTGTATTATTCAAAAGCATTCAGAGTATTTTTCCCCTGTGTATCTTTTCCACAATCTGTACTGCCTCTCTAAATTGACCAAGTTCGATGTAGGTCTTCCGAAGATTTCCCAACAGCCGAAGAGTAAGAGTATTTGAAAGACCGTAATTCAACTCAGAACCCGCCGCGGCTTTTCTAAAGCATTCACAAGCTTCAGCGTAATCGTTTAACTCGTTTTTGAGCAATCCAAAGTCTTCAAACATCAGGATGGCGCGTAAATCCCATTCCTTTGGTGTTTCCTGCCACAATTCTACACTCTTACCCAAATATTCTTCAGCCTTGTGAAGTTCCCCCCGGCGGAAGTATAAGTATGCGCGGTTTCTCAGGGAAGACAGATACATATTTTGAACCCAGTCTGGGCCCTCCATATTTCGAAGCCTTGCTATTAAACTTTCGAATACCTCTGCTGCTTGATCTAACTCGCCACTTTCGGAAAAGTATCCAGCTTGTAGTATCTCGCACCTAATCAAATAAAAATCATCTAGATCCGGTTGTAATACCTTGAACCTTTGTCGAATTTCATTGATTTCTCGGCCGATATATTCTACGTCGATTTCAGAATCAAAACTGTCAACTCCAAGATGCATATATACTCCGAGCAACCGCTGGCGAGCTATAAGTAAGTCAACTTCAACATTGGGATCTTCAGGTAAAGCGTTCGTGTATATCTGAATCGAAGTTTTGAGAACTTCGATGGCAATATGATCTTCTTCCCATTCGCATTTGGTTTCTCCTAGCCTGAAAAGGGCAGCAGCAAGCTTCTTATCCTTTGAATCTCGGTTTACAACTTTCTGTTTCAACAGATACTGATCCATGCATAAATTAAGGTGAGCCATATTCGCGCGTTCGTAAACACATTCGCTAAGTTTCCGATCGGTAGGTTGGCCAACAACCCCCCAACCTACTAAACGAATGGCAGCTCGTGCACCAATTGAATGAAGTTCGGCCAGCCGCTCTTTATTGTCTTCCAGGACAACGATGTTCTCTTTGCAATAATAATTCTTTGCCCAGTGTTGGACTAATGGGTGGATCCAAAATGACTGCTTTTCCTCGGAGGTGCCAAAGCTATCCGATTTGCGCGTAATCAGGGAGTATGTGACAAGCTCATCTAGAGCTTCATCTAATCGGGAGGTATCTACATCAGCCAATATATTAGTGATTTCCTTTGGGTATATAGACTCTGACCAACTGCATGGATCTATGGAAAATAAATTAAACTTCAGGCCGAATTAACCAGCCCATACGGATCCGTGACCATGGCCACAAATCGCAAAGAAGGGAATATATTTGGCAAGGAAGTCTAGGTATCGTACCATTCTGCGCCCAGTCAATAGCTCCCACGCCACGGTAGAGTAGTTCCTCAGAAACCCCATGAGGGCTTAAAAAAGAGCAAAGTCTAAGAAGTTCGATGGCGTAAGGATTGGATTCCATAATTGTATGGACTGATAACATCCAGCATGAGAAGACGCCCTCCGGGTATCCTTCAGATTTCATCCCCAGATATCGACTTAAATTCTCATTAAGTCTAGCTAAATATTTAACGAGGCTAAGCGCCGTCCTAGCAACGTACGCGGCAGCCTGCGACAGCGCAACTGGGAGGTATCCGAGTTTATTGGCCACTTCTTCCGCTGCCTGCCTGACTGATATCGTATTAGATCCTAAGTTAACCTTATCATATGATATAATGGCAAGGGAGAAATTTTACCTTCGGTAGCCACGTCGGTTTTCCTGCCCAAAAGTAACTTTACTGAAGAATTCAAGTCCAGATGTGGAATGGAGATGATTTCAGCATCGGGAACTCTTATTCTAGAAGTTATAATGACGTGGCCATAGTGGCAAGAGGGAAGCAGTTTATTTATCCCTTCAATCCCCTCTTTGGTATCTATAGAATCAAATACCAAACACCATCGGTGATTTCCTTCTTTCAACATCCAGTTACGAACGAAATGCCACGGGTTCTTTGAGGCTTCATTTGTCAACTGTCCGGAACCATCTATTTGGCCGGGAATTCCAAGCTCTTTTTCGACATCTTCAAATTTTCGTTGGTCAGTACGCACATGGCTGTTGTATTTGGTATCATAATGAGCGACTAAAGCCTTCAAAAATTGTATAGCAGTCGCATGTAAGGTTCTGGTGTCGGCAGCGTGGATCCATATGATAGCCGTATAGCTTTTTTTGTTTGTCTCGACAAATTGTCGAGCGAGCTGGGATTTCCCTATACCGCCCATGCCATGCAAATTTACCATCACACGTGGATAATAATCTTGCTGAGATCCTGTTTCTAGGTAACTTTTTATTTGATTCATTTCGTCATCGCGGCCGCAAAATTTAGTGTCGAGGGGATGGGAAGGAACAAAGGGCGGCTCGAACTCGTTAAAGGGGCGACTTGTTAACGTTGGGTCGAGACCTCTTAACCGGACTAGACGTATATCACAGCCAGTTAGCAATGATAAAACTATCTATAGAATCTGGCGTACGTACCCTTAAATTTCCGCCTAGTTAGCTCATAGAGCCATGATGTGAAAAGGTCCAACTGGCTTATATGCTTCTCGAGCTTTTGGCTATCATAAAGTGCCCAGTCGAAGCATTGTGCGATTTTCAGCGCCTCGCCATATCTGCTTGTCTTTTCTTCCACCAGCTTGATATGTAAGTCCAAACCAGTGACACAGGTATCTAAGTTGATTCCACTCGAGAGGTCGAGGAGGGTGCCTATGCTACCAACAGCAGGGGCATCTGAATACTCCGAAAGTTCAGAGGTACTACGGCTGGCTTCTTTCAATGACTGTATGTTTTGAGAAGGTACGATGAAATTGTCATCTGATGTTACCGCTCCTGTTTTTTGATGTCCAATCTTTTTGCGGCTGCGTCGGAGCCAAGATAGCCTCGTTCTCCATCGTTCCGGTCTTTTGACTTCGAGTTGCGCTCCTTCAACCCGTGGTAGCTTATCCGAGCTTGAGCCAGCGACCTGGTACTTCTTGTTTAACTGGTTCACCCCCACAAATTCTCCAGCGATTAGAGCGAGTACATCTAGAGTCGTGGCGTAACGCATCGTTGACGCCCCAAGTACCACTTCTAGATCTTCTCCCAATCGTTGCAACTGGCTAACCCATTCTTCGAGCTTGACGTATATTACTTTGAGAGCGACTTGGTGTTTTTGTAGTTCAGTGCCAGCTAGCTTCGCACTTTGAAAAATATCATATCCTTTGACAGATATATTTATTAGCTGTTGGACTACCGCCGGGATCGCGAGCGCCACGCCCACTACCTCAAGTCCCGACATTTGATACCGTTGGTGAAGCTCAGAAGGATATATCTTCTATATCTTTAGCTATACATATAGTCGGCATTGAAAACTTTTTTATTTTCTTTTATAAGCAAAGAAGGCTATGAACTAAAGCCTTCAGCCTAACCGTCGGGTTGAAATTTGCTAGATACCAAATATTTCGATATCTAACTGGATCTCTCGAAAGGAGACTGGCTGGATTAATATCGACTACCAGCGGAACGAACACGAACTGGATATAGATTATTGTGTTGTAATATGAGGGCTACTTGAATTTCAAGAGCGGGGTCTGAGCTGGTTTAGTGTCGAGACTGGAGCGGGGTAACTTAAAGGATTAAATCGAATCTAAAAGGCTAGATAATATATAATTAGCTATCTCAATGAGCATATGGGCGCAGCAGCAATTAATTCTGATTTACGAGATAACATATGGGTGGCTGCAGCAGCGCTGCGCATCCGGAATGTGTTCTTATGGTGTAATATGTATGGTCAACTCCAGCAACTGTTCTACTATGTGTAAGGTTGTCAGTGCATTGGTAGCCTGTTCGATGCAATGTATATGGCATAACCCTACTAATTCCACCAACTATCGTTGGCCGTTGGGGGAGGCTTCGGGTTTTACTGCACGAGCAGCTGCAGGATCATGCGCAAGTGACCTAACTCGACGCAAAAATGGAGGGGAATGCAAGGCTGTCTATCCAGTAGAGGACACTTTAGGATATATCTATGAGTACTTCCAGCCTCAGATACAGGATAATCCATCCTGCGTGGAATAGTGCCAAGGAACGGCTTTCAAAACTGTATGCTCCACAACGGAGTATCTTCAAGCCTATGAGGTCTCAAACTTCCAGGTCTTTAACGTTGCTTAACATAGCGTCCTCGGGCCGCTCCGAAGTAGAAGCCGGAATTAAGATTACCTAGCCGGGTCGCTAACGTATCGATGAATCAAATTTAAGTATCTAATCCAAATTTCTTTCTATGTATCTCAAACCGATGTTAGCTTACTAGTCAACATTTTAACAAACGGTACAGTCCCGCATTGAGCGCCTGGACATGGATACGAGGCTACAGGTGCAGGCCCACTTATATTTCGGCCTGACGGGCGCATACAAACTATTCTATATCCAAAATACAACAAAATGATTTCCTATTCGGCAGAAATGACATGCGCTTCGTCCTAATATTGTCGAAAGTTGTCTTAAGATACTTATATGGACATTTACATAGACTGTCTATCAATGCAAATTTAAGGTTTACTAAGTATTAATATTAGCTAAGATACTACATAAGTATTCTCCACTTCATCAAATAGTCCAGCGTTATTGCGACGCCATAGGATCCTAGCTAGGAGCCGTCACCTGCTAACCTTCACCTTATCTTCGAGCTTTGTCATATAAAATAGTAGTAAGAAGGACATTTATGTGGTACCTAAGTAAGGTTCACATCAAGATGTGCATTTTGAAACATTTTCGTCGAGTGTAGCGCTTCCATAATGAGGTGTATGGGTGTGACATAAGTAATATCGTTCACCCCCTCCCTAAAACCAGAACCACCAATAACTATCCCACTAATCCTGCCATAGGCATCGGCGACACATGCACCGGAATCGCCAGCCTCTGAAAAAAGAGGCCCGAAGGGAGACTCGCGAAGTCGACGTTTTGCGGCAATACCGATGACCCCCAATTCACGGGATAGGATTTCAACACCCTCCCATATTCGACGTGTGTAACAAGATACGCAGGAAGCCTTCCCGAAAGTGACCCCAGATTTGGGACCGTGCTTGAAAACGATGGGGCAATTTTCGCCGTTAGAATCCTTCGTAGAAGGTGTGGCAACCTCCGCCTTCGGAGTTTGACCGTGAAGCCGAACAAGTCTGTCTTCAGGAATTTTAAAAGACGTGGCGATTGTGGGATCCTTTTTAATCATTTCCCTTATCTCAGCGTTTGTGAGCCTGTCTCCAAAGTGGATAACATTTCCAAGAAAATTCTTTTCGTCAAGGATTCCGGGTCCTATTTTAATAACGGCTAGGTCCAGCGTGGTGCAACCTGGCTGAATAGAAAAACTTATAGGCGGCGCCCAAACGAGCTCTCCAAGAACTCGGCTCTCCACAGTTCCCCACTGGGTATCGATATATTTGTGAAGATCCTCGAGCTTAGCTACCTTACTTGAAGTGAGTGTTAGGCTTGCTCTATCATCGGGAGTAGCTGTCCCATTTGCTATGGCGTTTTCTATGGCGTTTTCTATCGCCAAACCCCTTTCATCGAGACTTTCGATTTTAGAGGCCATATCACCGACAATCTGTTGTAAATCGGCATTGCTTCCGATCCGAACTATCTCTTTTTTGGGCTGATTCGTATCGGTCTTCGTGTACTCGACTTGACTCTCCTCAAAGCTCTCAACTAAGGCTACGTGACGAGCGGTGACAAGGTAGATGTTATTATCCTCGCTACCACCGTCTAGGAAAAAACCAGCAGACCCCGCCGGATCCAAGGTCCCCTTAGCGGAAATAGGGAAACTCAAGGTTGCAGTGAAAGGATCCTTTTCCTCCCGTAGCAGATCCCGGACTTTGAAAAGGTCGATAAACCGAACACCACCGCCATCACCACCAGATCTTCTGACAACTGAAGAGCGTATTTCCACAAAGCAATCTGCAATTGAATTCGTATCGATAACTTCCTGGCACATTAATGCTGTTTTTGCAGCCTTCCTATAACTGAGAGTGCCCGGTTGTACTCCAATCCAGACGATTGCCGGGCCCAATGACGGGTCTGTTGCAACCGGGATATGGACTGCTTCCAGACTCGTCCATTCTATATCCATCTGCTTAAGAACACCCATGATGCCATTCGAGATGCCAGAATCCCACATGCTAACAATAGGGTTCTTCCCACTAATTGCATGGATAGTTTTAGCAACCGGATGATCGAAAAATCCGATTGGATTGATATATGGTTGAGGCTTAGTTGTTGCCAAAAGAGGTGGCTTTGACGGAAGTCCATGGTAATAGTCTATCGAAAATATGTTGCTTGGAACGACGAAGCCACCCAGTGAATCGTCGACACCGTCAGAGTTCGTGCTGTCTATGGTACTCATCGTATATGGCTGTTTTAAAGAATCCAAGTCTTTATCTGTAAGCACTAGGTCAGTTTACGAGGAAACAGTTGGTAACTTTTTTCAATGACGCGATTTGCCATATGGAAATAGATATAATTACCTATTACCAGATTCCCTGGGGTTTGTTGGATTATCGGCAAAAAGGCGTTGTCTCAAAACTCAACTCATCATGCTCATGGGATGGTAACAATATTATTTCTAGAATTGTGACAGCGGTTGTCCCCATCAAAGCATTCGAATCAGTCGCATTTAAAAGATCGATATTCTTTTCCTCTAGAAATTTCTTCTTCTCCGGTTAAATTTTGTCTGGATTGTACGAGGGATTATTACTCGCGTGAGGAGTGTTAGTTAACTTCTCGCTTTCGGAACGTAAATCTCGTGCGATAGACGGCGTGTCTGATCAGCCAGAACTCAGCTGCGCGGTATATAAGTAGTATATAATTAAGTATGTATATATAAATATAAATTCATTTATTAAATTATAAACTAGCGTAATGTGTGACACTTTAAAAGCGAATTGAAAATTTACGAAAAAGTTAGCACTAAACGGCGGTACAAAAAAAACTCAGAGAAGAATTAACAAATGTATTTTATTGAATAATCTGGGGGGAAAGATATTAGGGACACGGGATTCTCGAAAGTAACATAAAGTATACTAGGCAAGTACCTACCTACTTAAGTATTTAAATATTTCAAATATCCCTACGGATAGGAAGTCTCTCTAGCAATGTGCGAAGAAAGAATCTATACTATCATTTTGTTAAAATCTCCACGGTATAGTCCATGACAAGACTAAGATGCGAATTCTTGGTTATATACACAGTGTCGATTAGTACAAGGTCTTAAGAGAGATCGAATCCTAAATAGGTAAAAAAATACACTTACACCGTGCATATTGGCTATATATAGGTATAATCGCATGAATATACTCCGACGGCCGGTGTTCTCTCGGCTTCGGGTGTTAGGAATTCCACATATCAATTTACTACTGATCTTATTCTCAGATTTCACAAAAGGTCAATTTGAGACAAGGTTATAGCTATAGTAAAGTAAACTTATGGATATAAATTCGCATCTGCAGATCGATCCCGATAGAACGCCGGTACAAAGTCCTCAGACAATCCCTTTTTAGAATTCTGTGCTTCCAATGCTTATAAAATGTGCCACAGTATGTGCAAGACTAGTTAAGGTGCTGGCTTAAGCCTTTGACTCCGATAAAATTTCGGTAGTAATAATTAAAGTGGCCATAATTTTAAAATTTAATATATCCTTATCCCGATTTTTTTCTATATAAAAAAGGACGAACTTATAGCAATAGTTATTCCTTATTACTCTATTGGTAAGCTGTAAAGGTTTTACTCTCGGTAACCCTCTATAGCCCTATATTTATTTATAACGGTGGGTTGATCAATTGAGTCTAGGCTAATAGTAGTTACTTAAGCGGCGATACCGGCAACTGGCTTATCGACAACTGGTTGGTCAGATTGAAGCCCCATTGAGAAATGAGTTATGATATATATAGTGCCTACTACATATGTGCATGTGCAAACAGGTGTAAATCCTAGTCTACTCGTTTGCTAGTTGTAATATGCAAGAAGGATATCTTCAGGGAACAGGACCAGGTATCTCCGGTTTACAACTTCTACACTTCTAACCGGTTGAGAAGAATCCTAGTCAATATCGTCTGTATTCAGAGTCGGTCAATCTTGTATAATATATAATTAAATTCCTGCTTGAGTCTATAGTATCACAGTTCTCGATACTTCATAAAATGCCCAGCCATGGTTAGTGTTGATACTGGTATACTGAGTAGAGGCTCCCACTCACCTAATTAAATACACGAGGAAACGAGAAGCTGGAAGCCTCATCGTTGGGTTTGTAGCTATAAGTTCAAATTTCAACCTTTGCCTCCCAGGCCTATAAGTTTGTAAAATCCTAGATTACAGTCCTAAAAAGACGGTCATTTGATGCCTGTGCACCTAAAGCCCTCTGCCCTCACATCTGCGCCTGGTCGACATGGTCTCGAGGCTACCTAAAACCGTTCGGAACGCACAACAGCTTTGCATGTGGCAAAACCTAAAAAAATCTGTGACAGGCCTAAGTTCATTATAGTCGACACAACACATAATCCTAAAACACTCCGCCAAGAAACTCCAAATTCCACATTGGACCAATGAAAGACCAAGCTAAGTCTCCAGATCCCTCAGAGCACGCCTAAATGACCAAAACCTTAATTTTAGGAAAAGCATTTTTTGGCCACCTTGAGCAGCCTTAGTTAGATCACTCGTTTATATCTTGCTGTATTCGCACAAACAGCCATTCAGGCCTAGGCGTAAGTAATCCTAAGAGCCTAAACTGAGCCTAAACAGTCTTACACAGTTTTGGTTACCGGAGTTACGAAACTGAGTTAAATGCAACAACAAGGGACTTTTTTGTGTTGTATAGACACCGAGACTTGTGTTGTCCGTCCTAGGTTGGTGTTGCATGCTGTGATCCAAGATCTAGGTTAATTTGGTCTGTAGACGATATCATATGATCATATGATTTCAACTATCTGATATACCTTACATCTACCAAACTACTTGATCACTTTAGCTTCTACTCTTCATTGATAGATCAACGAATCCATTCATCTTGAAATATAAATAACCTTAGTACTGTCTCTTCATTCTTGGTCAACAATCTGCCCAGCCCTACGAAACGGGAAATTCCACATAGCACCTGCTGTCGGCGAACGAAAGAAAAGACCACACAATCAATTATTACAAAAACCGGCTGCCAGAAAATTTAAAGGTAGGCATTGAAATACTGATACGTTCGTTAGTTCTTTGTTTCTCGAGTAGATCTAGTCTTGAGGCCAGTCGAAGCATTCAATACGTATTGTATTGTCTGTTGCAAGATGCAGTTGAGGGGTGGCTCTCCATACCACCAAGAACAGACACTGGTCTGGGACCCAACCTCAAGATCGAACCTGTAAGTTGCTTCTACCGGAAGGCTCTCGAGGAGGCTTACTACGGCTCCTTCAGCGAAAAGACTTCGGGTCCGTGGTGCTTGTCTGCAAGATTCAAGGACGTACGTGCATGCGAGTCCTGCTGGGTGTGTTGCAGCTCCGTACGTCTGGGACCGAGCCCGGCGAGTGTCTGGTAGAGACCTACTTAACACCAATGCAAAGTCACAAAATAAAATATCGAGATAGAGAAGGTCTAAGGCGGCAGATGGTTTCCTTTGGCATCTATCGAACACGAAAACAAAATAAAATAATAAAGAATTAAGTAAAAAAACATATCGAAGCCCGTGATTGCTATTCGAATTCACCTTCGCCTCAGAACGTCGATGGACCGCGCAAAGCATAAACACCATTCTCGATCCGATCCCAATTGAATCATCGAATTCCGGTTTCCTCATCGCTTTCCATGTCAGCATGAGGACACCGACCCCTACTCTCGAGCACTTTTTAGGTCTCGATAAAGAGGAACCCATTGGTATGCTAGTTGACTAGAATCTACCGGCTGCTCTGAGTATATATTGGATTAAATATAATTTCAATAATACCAGTGGCTTAAATTCCTCGGTTTTGGGTTATCATTTTTAAGTTTTGTCCATTTAATACACATCTATTCTAAGAGTTACATGCCTAAGCTTTTTTTTTTTTTTTTTTTTACGTAAGTCTGGTTTGAGAAAAGATTAAGCTCAATTCAATATGCTATAAATTTATAAACCAAGCTTGCCCGTTTGCTAACTTAAGCTTAAACAAACAGTCTGGAGTAACCCGAATGAATTCCAGGATTACAACATATTTCCAGACCCAGAGCTGCAAGACGGTAAGATGTTGCCCATTAGGAGGTATGTATTGGGCGATAAGCGAAGCACACATCTAATTAGACTTAGGTTTTGGGAGTCCAGCAGGCATCGAACCACAGGGTTTAGAACTTACCCAACTACACTCGCCACCCCATCAATCACGATCAAAGCGGAGGAAGTCACGAAAGTCTCTTGATCCAACCTATATCTGCCCCACCACCAACTGCGGTCAGGGATTCAGTGATCGAAAGTCCCTTGGAAAGCACCGCAACCAGGCACACGAGGAAAAGGAGTACAAGTGTATCTGTGGCCACGGATATACTAGGCAAGACGGTCTCAAGGGCCACCACCTCCTTTGTGAAAAACACAAGCAAAGTCTTTCACTTAAGGGCTCTACAGGGATCGTGAAGCGCATGAATTCGAAGCACATATCAGGAGATCGCTTGGGTCAGATCGGAGCGTCAACGATGGTACCTAATCATAGATCTAGCCGTCATAGCTCCCGGTCATCGGCAAATGGAAGTACCGTTGTTACGCCTCCAATTACAGTAGATTACCGCCTCAGAAAAAGAGCCAGAGACCAGCAAGCAGGTGAAGACAATTGGAGGGCGAAGTGCCATAAAGCTGAGAGAGAGAAGGAGGAAAATGACAGAACATGGATGGAAAAATACCATGAACTACAGATACAGCATGCAAATGAAAAGGCGGCGTGGATGAATGCACGTCATGAATTAGAAGAAAAGCTTGCTAGAGCAGAGGGAACCGATTAAACAGCCTTTATGCTCAAGAGTATCGAGTATAAATATTAATTATCAGTTCTCTTATTGTATAAATGGTCTTTAGTTGTCTACTATACATATTATACATGCTCAAATCGATTCCCACCATATACATGTTTACAATAATGTACAAATACTGCCAGTTATAATTAGGATAGTTCCAGTCTTGTCTTGATCGGTTCCATATATTTGAATTGCTAGACACATCAGCTTCAAGTTGGGTAATACCTATTATTGCTAGCCTCGAGACCAGTATTGCATTGTTGAGCATGCGCATGCGCGGGTACCATGGATACCGGGTGCGCAGGTGCATTGATCAACCGTGGAAAAAGCAAAGCGGCGTAGGACGTCGAGGACGACCGGGTCAACACAACGCCACGGACCCGTCCGAACACATGCAACGCATCGTCCTGGACTTCGGATGTCCATAATGCATAATTAAACGGAGTGGTACTTAGGTATCCAGGCCCGGACAGACCTATTCTAAATGCCAATTTCAAGACTGCACTGCTTTAAATATCAATTTCCCTATCTTGCAACTCCAACTCCAGATTAACTTCGATGGTACTTCTCTCGTGTCGAGTTGATCACCGTCCTTTCATACTTTTTTCCATCCCGTGGGGAAACCCACATTTTTAGAATTTGAGAATGCCTTCACCTATGTTTAATCCACACCGTTTTCGAGGGCCATGTCGACGACCAATATGGATTTTAGTCCCAGATATTTTGTCGATTCCACGGACCGTAAGGACCTCCTTCCACCATTTCTAGGCTAATACCTAATTACACACCTCGTCTCTCGTGAAACTCAATTTTTTTTGGTAGACTTTCTAACCATTGCGCAGCTATCGATCCCAGCGGTAGTCCCGGCGTTAGCATACTGTGCGAAGTCAGACCAGAGCCTTGTAGGGGATTTTCAGCAAACCCGCAGTACAGTAAGGTCTAGACGCTTCGATCTTCGGAAATTTTAATTTATTTTGTTAGCCTAACAAAGAACATTCGTTCATCCAGGTCCTGACATAGCTCACGCCCTCTGTTTCTTGTTCGATCCCATTACGACCTCGAAGCCCAATTCGCCTAGTTTAGTTACAAAACTGAATTCGCCTGTGCCAACTGCTGAGAACACAAGGCTAGATACAAATGGGGGTAGCAAAAAATCAAAATCGGTAGGGCGCTCCTGGGAGGGGGTAAAAGGGAAATCTTCGACACGGGATTGCGGATATTGTTCGAAGTCCTTCTCAAACCTTCGGATGCTCGGTGATCATATGCGTCGAGTCCATGGCACGAAGGGTTTCAAATGCGAAAAGTGCGACTATCGCTGTTCGAGATACGACAACCTAGGATCGCATCGGAAAACCTGCAAGGCCCTCCCAAACAAAGGAATCGGGGCTCCCAAACGCCACCGAGTCAGCATGAAGAGCCTCACGAAATCACCCGCTACCACCAATGCAATGACGGTTTCCGAAACTACTTTTAGTCTTGGTCCCGAAAACGGTTCTAAAATTCATAAAAGAATAACCCATGAAACTACTCCCGGCCTTGGTCACAGCACTAACTCCGAATCTAGCACCACAAATCGCATAAGTACAGATATACTAAGTATATCACCTACGGATATTCAATTTAATATACGCCCTGTTGGCTCTGAAATTTCAGTTTCTAGTGTTGACAGTGATCAGTTGAGGGAGCTACAGGATGAAAACAAGAAATTATGGAAGGAGGTAGAGCGACTACGTAAAGAGCTTGAAGACTCACTATTTGAAGCGAGTCTTTGGAAACGCACATCTTTGGAACTTCATAACTCACATCGAGGAATTGCTTAGCCATCAATATATACGAGGGAGAACTACTTCCCGTTTCCGCCGTCTTTGAAGACGAAAAAGACTACGACTGTGGGAATCCGGGGGAACGGCCATGCAGTAGTGAAGGCAAGATGTCCGAAACTACAACAGTGTCATAGGGGGTCCCTAGAGGCTATCTGAACTGATCTTCGTAAACAAGCTACGGAGTTGACATGAGTTGGATCAAATGAATGACGATCGTATCGTAATCTCGTCAACGAAGCTGAGGTCGAATTTTTGAGAACAAACTTTGGGTACATATCGGATTCAGACTCTGTCCCGCATCAAAAGCGATGTAACCAATAAAATGATTTGCATTGTATATTTTTTAAGAACTATTTGGTTCGTGTATATAAAAAATGGGGTTTGTGGGTTTGGTGTCCTTGGTATTAGTTCTTTGCGATTTTGCAGGCTTTGGGGTATCATTTAACCTGTTTATTTTCTTGTTTTCCGAGGGACGAAGGAGACATCTTTAAATGGTCAACATGTTACAAGACGGGCCATATGCATACTAGTATTGTATAGGCATTTTTTAAGCCTGTATTAATATATTAACATAGCACTTGAAATACAACAGCTTCAACGCGACGTCCACGTGCACTGCTAGCATGCTCTCTCCAGGCAGGACAAAACTCCAAGAAATACTAGACTGAGGAGCAGCTCTACAGATCCTAATTTCGTTTGTGATTTCATTCATGAGAATATCGCTCTAATCTAAGTAAGCGAATATGATCCATACAGGCTTTTTAAAGGAGCACCTTGTTATAAAGCTCGATTAAGGGCCAAACTTCCTGGTCACCTAATTACCTATGCATCTACTTTCCTCCCATGATAAAAAAAACCATATAATTATATACCCTAGAGCCCGAAATTTCAATCTTGAGTCCACGCCCTTAGTGGAACTCACTCAACAGACTTTAATTTATCGACCCATACACCAGATTCATATCTATGCCGTGGAGGCTAACCCGTGAATACTACCTACCATTGTGATATAATATGAGTACAGATATATTTAACGGAGCTTGATTGCTTGTAAACCTATTACGCTGTGAAAAATAATTGAGGACTTAGCCTCCTGAGAATACGCTAAATTTAGATCTAGTCTAGAGGAGTTGGCGTTAACGTTGTAACCAATGCCCCGCCCTTTCAAACTTTTAGAAAGGAACACAGATTGCAAATAATAGAGATCGCGCAAGAATCGCATATTAAGAAAGAAGATAAAGATAGGACCGTGTATGCTACTTGTGATTGGAGCTGTGAATCATTTTATAGTAGCTTCTAGTGCAATTTTATTCTATAAAGTAAAATTACTATATTAGTTCTCAGTCTCAATCGCATGGGGTTAGGGTAACAGTGATAAGAAGTGTCGATTTGTACAAGCTATGCACTCACATCAGCTTCATATTTTTCAAAATCCAACTCTAACAACTGTAGCCGATTGTGTATAAAGTAGGCGAACGACGATTTCCACATCATTGTGCGAATCGATTTTAAATTATTTGACCCATAGTCTTTTTCCCTCGTGAACATCGGATAAATATCCTCTGGTAGCCATAAAACTTTGTCCTTTGTTTGTCTCCGAATTATCCACCCACCATCTAGATCTAGTTCGCATCGAGGGTCATCGGCACATACATCATAGCTATTTGCAGAGGTCAACATGTTGAAGGAGACCGGCCCCAATTCAGTTTGTATCGTGCGAGATGTTTTGCTTTCGGCATTTGAAGAATATGTTGTCTTAGGGATTAGCTGTGGGATAGGTTCGGGTTCGTCGATAACTTTAACTTCTTCCCAGCTACCAGTCTTCCATATGTGCGTACCAACTTTGATATCTGCATCGAGGCCAAAGTGAACTGCTAGTAGGTCTCCTTCACATGAGCAGGAAACCCCTCGGAGGGCCCCCACAATTTTCATATAGACTATAAATTCACGGACTGGTTCTCCGTTGGAATTTTCCGCGTCAAATATTGAGATTCGTTGGTTTCTGGTGTCCGAGCCCAAAAGTAAATATGGTTCCGCACTAACAAATATCTTGCCGTCAGGAGAAAAACACCCCCTGGGTAGCCCCACACTGTGTCCTACAAAATTGAAGACAAAGCTTTCGGGAAAATCTGGTCTAGGCCGCAGAACAGCTCTCCCGGACGCCAAATCGTAAAATATCATCCGAGAGTCTGACCATGGAGATCCTACCAATAAAATAACAGTAAGAGTATTCCGTCAGGTGAGCTATACATCGATTGCATGCGTGTTTCCTTCCCTTTGAAGGGACCCTGAAACATGCCGGAGTTTTGATCCAAATTTTGATCCAAAACAGAATCAAAGTTTCTATGTAAATCAGGATCAGAATCTTCAAATTGATCTGTACTAGAGGCGACTTTGACATCTGAGGCGCCGAGTTCCTGTGGCAAGATATTCCACAGCCGTACTCCGGTTTGGTCCCCAGACGTTGCCCATAGTCTGTAGTTTGGCGATGCTGCGATTAAGGAGATCTCCTCACCCCGATGAGCGAAAAGTCTATTGACCATTGCGCCGGTGTGAAGATCCCAGATCTCAATAGACCCGTTTTCCCAACCCGAGAGCGCAATTTTTTCATTTGATACGAACTCCAACGCCGCTGGGTCAAACTTTGTTTTGATAGTATATGCTCTCTGTTCCTGTAAGCCGAGCTTGCTATCAAGTCGATGAGAGACCACTAGGTAGGTGGTAGTGCTATCCTTAACCCTCTTTGTGACATAAACTAAATAACGGCTGTCGGGTGAGAATTTCATCCCTGGGCGTTCGACTATGAAAACTACTTGCCTGTTTTTAAAAAAAGAACCATATCGAGTGTTTTGCAGGTATAAGACGCTCGGATAACTCAAGACTGCTATATATTCCAGATTGGGTGAGATCTCTAAGCTTAAGCCTGCGACTCCGAAGACGGGAAACTCGAAGGACTGCACCACTTTCCGTGAGTCTATTGACCACATCTTGACCACACCACTGCCCTCTACCACTACTGCAAAACGGCCATCCAGCGATAATCGAAAAATGTGCTCTCTTCGAGAGCTTTGAGGCCAGGGTGCGTGAGGGTTTTGGCGCGACTGTAGGGTTTGGTTTTCTATTATATCGAACCCACCCAAAAATTTTCCTGAGGCAAGATCCAATATATCAACCCTTTGACCGATGATAAGAACTAAACTTCGGCCATCAGGCAAGAACTCCATTGCATGAACGCCCTCGCCCCAATACCTATCCAAGTTGATTTTCTGCCTCAACGCACCAGAGGTGCAATCCCGGATAGTGATGCATTTCGGCGAGTACGTATACGTCGCAATAGATTGACTATCATGAGAGAACTTGATGATGCTTGCATTCTTCCCATCCTCGAATATGTGCGTCCAAGACTCCCAGTTCTGACTGACATTCGGTGCGATTTTTACCCATCTCAAATGCGTTCCAAAGAACCGCTTCCTCATCAGGCTTTCGGCCGGTGACCATAATAATGCTGAATGGTAAACCTGCAACGGGGCCTTGGTAATTATATTAGTATTATATTGGATAAACCTCCCAAAGTCATACAAATAATCCCTCAACTGGATGGCTTCATTTATCTAGTCATGCACACCCATGCATTAGAATTTGTTTAAGATATGCTCGAAGCCGTGATACTATATGATTACACTGGTGGTATATCTTACCGACAAGATTGACTTGAGTGCCGCGATGGCGTATATATTGTTTGAGTATAAATCCATCAAAGCCGTTGCCTCAAGCCACTCTAAACAGTAATTTTGTAGAAATTGGTGAATCTCGTCTTCATCCTTCAGTTCGTCTCGGGCCTTTACGAGATGCGTCACCCAGTAGCGGCAGGCATACGCGATATCCGCCGTCAGAGTCTGACTAATGGAACTAGAAGAAATCTCATTACGAAAGATTCCTGGAGACCTGAGCCCGCAAATATTTTTTTTGAGACGATCTCTCATAAGCTTGATGCAGTATTGAGCGATGTTCCGGTGTATTTCACGTTCATCTAGCCAAAAAGGGTTATTTGCCTTCATATCCACATCAAGTAGAAACTCTCGGAATGACAAATGAAGTGTGCTTATTGGGCCATCTAGATCAGTTGGAATATTGAGGACGGAGTGAAACCCTTCTAATCTCGTTTCCACATCTTTTTCATCCATGGAAATAAGCCTCGAGAGGCATGGCAGTGAGAGTGGCTGCTCGAGAAGAACTATTATCCCGATAATTTCTTTGAATTCTCGGATGATTGTGGCTCTTTGAAATCTTGTTGTCCCCGCTAGAGACTGCGTTAGAATGTGGCGATATGTCCATTGAAGTGATTTATCGGCATTGGCTTCTATTATTATGGGCCCTGATTCGCATCCTAGAAGATTAGATAACTGGACATCGGGACGGAACCTCCGATCGTCGAGAAAGCGGCAGATATTTGCAGCGACAATAAACAACGGAGACGCAATTTTGACTAAACTTTCGATCCCCGTACTGGTTGGCCAATCTTCAGCAAGTCCTCCTTTTGCTCGTATCGTAGCTAGCTCATGTTGGAAGAAAACCCTTATGTCGCTTTCAATTTCTAGTTCCTCAATATCATGCAAGACTCGCTTTTGCACAACTTGCGGTAATGCTTTGAAGATGTCGTTTATAAACGTTTCTCCCCTGCTGGTAATGAAAACGGTTATACTGTTGTCTATATCTGTGAGTAAGGCGAGAAATCGTACTATAGCCAAAACGTGGTTTTCATTCTCGCATTCATCTAGTGCATCAATTACTAGAGTAGTGCGTCGAATAGGTTTCGCTTCCATTAATGGTTTCTGGATAAGCTCTTCAAATTGTTCGCCCAGATTTTTCTCAGTGATCCGAGGGTCTTTCCCGAGAGCTTTTGAAATCCCAGCATTAACACCACGGACATGAAATCTAAGATCAGCTGCTAGTGTTGTAATGAATCTTTCAGCTTTTGAACAGTCTTCGGTACCCCGTCTGAAGAAGAAGCTACCACCAAGTAAAGCTTCATCTTTGAGGAACTTCGCAACCGTTCTGGCAATTGTTGACTTTCCAGTTCCAGCTCCACCAGATAGCCAGAATATCTGTTTAGTAGTTTGGATATCAGAAGTAGTCGCCCAATCGGTTATTACTCGGAGAAGATTCTCTCTTGTGTGGTTCAAGCACATTGGCTCGCCTTCAGTTCCAAACGACCCAAAGGTAGCACCTCTAGCGACAGGCAGTGAGATTCGTATTTTCGAGGATCTACCACCTTCGTTCGAGTCTATTGAAGCGAATCGCGTTAGTTAATGGTTCCACAAGAGACTTCAGACCTCGTATACATTGGTAACTTCACCTCTTACTGGTAAACAAAGAATAAGGGCCTTCGCAAAGGCCGCAGCAACTAGAGCGGCATAAGGTTGCCAAATCTTATTCTTATGGCTATCAGAATAATCGCAGATGCCTCGGATCACTAAGAAAGGTAAGGTATTGACAATTCCTTCAGCCTCCATTTCGAAGCATAAAACATCTTGCTCTCGACTGAGCTTATCTCGGGTCTTTCCATGCCTCATAACCTGGTCGCCAGATGCAATAAGCCCATAGTGAATATAAAGCTGGTGCTCGCGTCCCTCTCGAACTGGCCTAGTGACTAACTTGCTGCTATCGCAATCAGAACAAGATTTAGTTTCATCCAGGTGGTCATAGTCCATCTCGTACAGATGGTCAACCCCAGGTCGAGCGAACTTTCCAGAGACGGATTCTTTCGATAGAGCATCGGCAAGAATAGTGTGGATCCCGCTGTCCTGTTCCGAACGTAGTTTAGATATCGCGTTGAGGAAAAGTGTCGGTGGGCCGTTCAGGTATCTTCCAGTTTGGACAAACTTGCTCTCTTGCATAGTTTTCCCAAAGAGATAAGGCAGTACCCCTCCATAGTTCCCCTTAGGGATACCCACCACGACGTCGCCCAACCTAATATCATTCTGTGGTAATAGTGGAGCACCACCTCCGATTCCAACCATTAAACAATTTTCCACAGATGGAAAACTGCGGTGCATGTTGGCTACGACAACAGCCGCGGATGTGGTTCCCATAGATCCAGATGGGAGGCATGCTAAAACGATATTATATGAACCGATTTGTCCGAATTTATAACTGTTGGTATCGTTTTTATCTGGGATCGGTAGTTCCGGATGGATTTTATCCAAGACTGCTGTTGCGGCTTCGAGTTCTAGAGGTAGAGCACATATCCAACCGATCGTGTAGTCCTCGGTATCGAGGTCCAGGTCCATATTGAGACTTGCGATTTCTCGCGAACGATGTTAATGCGAAATGGACTTTTCTTTCTTTCTTCCTTTTCCTGTTTCCCTTCAATGAGACCGTATATATTCCTAATATATATATATATAGATATATGAGAAAAGAAGGCTGCGTAGATGATAGCCGCGGGGCGTGGCGCATGCCATCGGAATATAGAACAAACCCAAGAATTTAAACCGTACCCCGCGCACAATATGCGATGTCCGTAGACAAGGCTGACAAGAAACGCTCGAAACATTGACAACTGTTCTGCATATGCCAGCACAGATGAAGTAGGATCCATAATTATCCCTTCATTTAACCTTTTTAATTTGCTTTTTGAATGCAACTTTCCTCCAGTTAATCCATACCATTGTCCCTGAAGGTCCTATTCATTTAGTGGACTTATCCTCGATGTTACACCCATTGTTGTTCTATCCTTTTTGCTCACACGCAGACGAACGATCAATATTAAAGTGGTAGCAAGATTTACATGCACATACGTACTCGAACAAGAGATCAAAATAAACTCTTTTTTTTTCTTCTGCAAAACTGAACGTATATACGTATAGAACTAAATCAGCCACACTTTCTAACAAATGAACTAGCGCCAGGAGACCTATATCACAAGTCAACATTAAGGCTAGTGTTCGCGCGTGAGAGTGAGAATCGAATCGTCTAATTAATTGTTTAGGCTTTTGATACCATTTTCGGCCTAGTTCGGCCTAGCCTTGTAGGACACTTCCTATTACAGTCGAGATTACCTAAATAGTTAATTTCCTGTTCCGGTTATCAGAACGTAAATCCAACAGTTACAACGCGCAATACCAGCCAAAGGCTAACATGCGTTAACACAGCACACGATATTGTCGCATGATCGGGGGAACTCGGAATTCATTTTAATGGCTTCTGACAAAATCCGTAATAGAAGCTGACCCGGAATTTTTTGGGCGGGGCTGGGCACGAGGCAAAGCTGATCTGTGTATAGATCTATTTTTTTTTACTGAAAAAGGCTTGGATAGATGAGAAGAAGAAGAAGAAGAAGAAGAAGAAGAATCACTGTTCTTACAGAGCGAAAACTATAGCAACCCCGTTGTTACGTACTAAACGCAAAGATTCTATAAACGGTTGGCATCAGAATCTCTTCTTCTTAAAAACAAAGTTACTATTCTTGGGCCCTGGACCCAAACCTGCCCAAATACGTACATTTATTTAGAGAAGAACATACATAAAAGCATAAGATTAATTCATTAAGATAACGAAGCGGTCATGACATAGTGAACATCTCAACTAGTATTAGTGCCAACCCCTGAAAGCATTTCCACAATCTCTTGGTGACCATTTCTTAACGCTGCTTTCAGCGCACGACCCTGATCAACAGGAACATTACTATCCAAGACCAGTCTCACAATTTTGCTGTAGCCTTTACTCGACGCTGCACAAAGAGCTGCACTCGCGTTACCTGTAAAGGTACCCGTATTCAAGAGCCCCTCTACAACATCATAATGGCCCCTATCTGCCGCCAAATAAATTGCATGACTCCGGTGTCTAGGAGAAACTCTATTCAAGAGTAGCTCCACGACATCACGATGGCCTCCAACTGATGCAGTATATAGTGCAAGGCTACCACGGCTGTCGTTATCATCAGTATTGCTACCCTGCGCAGCATCTAAAAGCATTCTCACAATATTTCGATCACCGTTGAATGATGCCGCAGAAAGTGCCTCAGTTGTATTCCAAGGGCCAGCGCCGCTATTTAAGAGCAGCTCTACGATATCTTGGTTGCCTTTTTCTGCAGCCGCATGAAGAGCTGCAGAATGGTTGATATAAGCGCCTCTATCTAGAAGCAGCTTAAATATGCTGTAGTTGCCCCCATTCAATGCTATTGTAAGTCCGCCACCGCCGTGCGCCTTTACGTCGAGCCCTCTGTCTACAAACAATCTAACAATATCCCAGAAATAGCGCCGGCACGCCATCATAAACGCATCGTGGAGTTGTGAACCTTGAAGCCCAATTTTAACCCTCTATCCAGGAGTAATTCAACGACATCATAATGTCCCTTAAATGAGGCCACACATAGCGGGTAGGCCCAAGGTCCACTAGGTACGTTCAAGTCGGCACCATAGTCCAAGAGCAATTTGACAATGCTCAAGTGACCTTGACTTGATGCTGCAGCAAGGGGGTTGCCGTAGAACCCCCCGGCCCTGCCGGCGTCGACACCTCGTTGTAGTAGAAACTTCACAGTCTGGTAACATCCATCCAAAGATTCCTGATAAAGAGCTAGAGCCATTTCTTTGGTGTCAGCTCTGACACCTTTATTCAGGAACAGCTCTACAATGCCCCAATGACTCTGACGCAATGCCTCGCTAGCTGCGATAACACAATCCGAGTCGACATCCACCTTTTGAGATAAGAAGCGCTCTACCTGCACCCTTAGACCTACAGCCGAGGCATACCGAAGTGCTGAGACCGTTTCATTCTCAGACAGGTAAAAGAATTGCTCTCCACAGCAGTATTTGTACAACCTTTCATTGTCGAAAAGCTGTAAGATGAGACACCGCACCCTTTCATCCACTTCTTCAGCCGTGCGAGCGAAAGTCGTCCAGTAGTTAGCACAGTACTGAAAAAACGGAAAAGGAGGAGACTCCACTTTTGCGGGACTATCGTAAAACGCGCTGCTCAGGCTCAATAAATACGCGCTTCTCAGGCTCAATAAATACGCGCTGCTCAGGCTCAATAAATACGCGATGCAAATCTTTGCCATAGATGTTTTAGCATCGACCTCCTGAAGACCCCGTGATATCTGCAAGTCGACGACACCGAGCCGGTCTGAAGTTAGATATTCTCTAACAGATAAATGCGCCAACTGAAGTACTGGGTTCGGCTTCTGGCTAGAAATAACCACCAGGCCAGAACAGTAATGGAGCACTTCATTTGGACAGGGCATCCTGCGACTAGAGTCAAAATAAGTTTTTTCGTCCGTATCAACAGCCAACGCATCCACGATCTCAACGACCTCCACTGGTCTTGGAGAGTACGTAAGGAACTGGAGGATCCTTATAGCCTTTTTTTTGTATATATTTGGCATATTGCGTATGATTCTTGCATAGGTTTCATCCAAAGTTTCAGGTAGAGATCCAAGGGCGTTATGAAGACTGTCGGGGTCCAAACAGTTTCCCAGAACATCAAGTTGGCATTTAGCCCACCGAAACCTATTAATCTTTAGAATCCCCTCGATAACCAGCTTGAATCCGTTCCAGAGTGAAGTAATTCAAACTTACATTCCATTTGCTTTCCTTGTAAGGACATCTTCAATTTCAGTTTGTTCAACCCGAGATTTCCATCTGCTAAATTCAGTATCTCCGGTGACTCGACATTTGATATATGCATTGATATCTTCGCTAATGAGTTCACTTCCAATGGAGATAATCCAAGATGCAGTGATGCACTTTCTGACTTCAGATTCGATGTCCGCTTCCGACCGGCTGGTAATAAGAAAGTGAATGTTCCTTTCTTCCGAACATGCATTGATTTCATTTATCCATAGCATTAATTCCTTTCTCTTTTCTCTGTTGCATTCGTCGAGTGCATCTAAAACCAACCAGATTTCGCCGGTCTTCTCTGCCATTGATAAAAAGGTCATCCGAAGCGACTGGCAAGTTGGTTGATCTTTCCCATCGTGGTAAGAGGCAAAAAAAGACTCCAATACTCCTGAGCTTCGTCTAGATCTGTAGTAGAGCTGGCTAATAAGACCTCGAAGCATCCCCTCTAGAGATTGTTTATCGACATCCTTGTAATCAAAGTAAAAATAAAGAAGTTGGTTGGAGTAAATATGTTTTAAATGTGTGATAATAATCGAGCTGAGAATGGTTTTTCCACATCCAGGAATACCATGCAGCCATAGTAGCGAATTACGTTGTCTCTTCCATTCGCTGAATTCGGAGCTTTCAATGAACCAAAGACCTGAGCCTTGCAGCTGTTCTTTGATAGCAGCATTATAGTTGGTTGAAGAGTCAGGTGGTGATAACCAACGGTAAATGTCTTGTTGCTTTTCTGTTGATATAGAATGAGAGATGTTGGCATGAAGTTCGTCTATCTTTTTCTCGACTTGAATCCAATTAACGTTAGTAGAACGAATTTAACGCAAAGCTTGACGAAGTAAGTCGGAATCATCAAACTCGATAAACTAATTTATAGAGAAAAGGAAATGGGGTCACGAACTCGAAGAGAGAATACCGGGAATCTCAATAGCCTTCTTCTCCGCTTCAACTTTGCGGGGGGATATCCGAGCGAGAAGATCCTTAGCATAAGCAGCTGCTGCCATAGCTGCGTAACCTTGCCATTTTTTGTTTTTATGAGAATCGGAGTAATCGCATATTCCTCTAATAACAAGACAAGGGAATTGATTCATGATTCCTGCTGCCTCCATTTCAAAACACAAAATCTTGTTTTTAACTGCGAGCTTATCCCGAAGCACAGCATTCTTCATTAATTGGTTTGCTGAAGCTATTAAACCGTAATGTATTATTGGGTTGTCGTTCTTAGACCGTTCAGGCCTTTTCGTTAAATTCGATAAATCGTCCCCGCAGAGAGTCGCACAGCTTGCTTCGGCCGTTGAATTATCCGGATGAACGATCTCGGACCGGTATAGTTTGTCGCTCGTTGAACCCGGCCGTTCATAGTTCGCCCTCAGAGTTGGATATTTCTCAAGGACACTGTTGATATGCCCCTTGATTCCATTTCCACCTTCAATCATTGCATATTCGGACGACAGCTCGGTTATAGCAGCGAGCAAGAGTAGTGGTGGTTGGTTTAAGAATCCCGTAAGCTTGAAGTCTTGACCTTGATTATTCTTTCCGAAGTCATACTGTATCACTCCGCCCCGTCCATCGAAAGGCTTGCTGACCACGACATCACCAAGACGTATGTCTCGCTCATCCGCTCCGGGCATATATAGTGGTGCTCCACCGCCGATGCCGACCATTAATCCAATCCTTATATTTTGAAAGGTGTTTAACATATCTTTAACAACTGCCGTTGCAGAAGATATGCCATACTGTCCACCGGGTAAGGTAACAATGACAACATTATGCTTGCTAATCTCGCCCACGGTATAAACATTATTATCCGTCAGAGGTATATCCTCGGGCGTGGGGTGTTTTTTGTCGAGAAATGTTTTCGCAGCAATGTATTCGCATTCTATGGCACAAATCCACCCGACGGTATAGTCCTTCCGGTCGACCATATCATAAGTATAATTATAAGGAGCCAACCAAAAGATCTTTATGTAAAGTTGCAATTACAAAATCAGTCTTGGGGCTTCGATAGCGAACGAGTTGTATACGGGACCGATGAAATACGAAAGAGGTCCTGGTATTTGTTTCGTAGCTAGACCTGGGAGTTAAGTGCTGGTAGATACCTACTTAAGTATATTGGAGAAGTCTTAAGTACATTTATTACCCCTCTTAATTATAGTCAATCCAAGCCAAGAGTTTCGATTCATTGTCAATTCGCTCAGCCGTGTGCGCATGCGCTTCGATTGTAGAAGTACTCACAACCTCGAGACTAGACGCAGATTTAGCCTGGAATCCAGCGCAGATGAGGGTATCGATACGTATCACACGTGCATACAAAGAGACGTATCTTACCTTGCTGTAGTGCTGTCCCTCTGCGCATGCAGTTGCTAGGATCCGGATCCTGCAGGTCTGCTGGCCATGGCGCAGTCTAGTGTAGCCTCGTCGATACATATGCATATCAACTCGTGCGTACAGCATTTGCATCTTGATACTGGCCTTGTATTTCAGGAAAGGCTAATTAGCTAAGTCCTTACAATAGTTTACAAAATTAAAATAAAGTACGTCACAATTCGTGAATTCGGTACCAGTGTATATCATGATACATCGATATCGATATCGAGATCGATAGCTATGCAATGATCATGAAGACACACCCAAGATATCATATCTCAACACACGTTATCAGGTGAGCAAAGTCAAGATGCATATGGCATCCAATACTCCACATATATCCAGATATCTGGCTTTTCTGTCAACCGAGCTTGTTTTTTCAATCCTCGATAATATCGATTATGAGCACAATCTATTAGCCCTACGAATGACGTACAAACGTCTTAAGCACTATTTAAAAAAAGAAGCCAATCTAACATTAATCTCAAATCAATATACGAAACCCGAACGGTATATATATATTTAGTACCCCTATAGTCTCGAAGGTCTCCTGAAGGTCGACCGCGAAGTCTGGTATGCATTGTATGAGCACAATTGAGAGCCCATTGTTTAAAGATATCGCCGGATTTACTTTATCCTCAGGTATACATTTGGGAATCCCACCCACTCCATGAAGATTTCGTTATAATCACCTCGAAAAGTCAGAAAGCACCCAATATAACCAATATAGAAGGTTGTCTATACGCAATAACTAATATTTAAATAGCTACACCTCCTCAAATTTCACTCTTACCATCTTGAATCTTCCTAATATTCGATCTATAACTCTCCTTCCTGACGACCATCGTGACCCAGAATTGACTCGCTCTCAATTCAATCTGATCAATTCCTCTGTCAGCATGTCTCCGGAACAATGATTCCCAATCAAATTTTAGATTCTCCGAGTGCTTTGTTTGGGTGTCGAATATAATTTTCTGGCGTGGCGTATTGCCAACTTATTCTGACATTAGTATTTGTATCAGATAAGAAATAGAGACCCAGTCTTTCAATTTTTCATCGCTCGGAATCTGCCTTTGACCAGAGTATTCATATTTTTTGTTAAAGGGGTAAACTGCATAAGGAATCGAGTAGTAGGAAAGTAATCTCAGCGATATCGATTCGTGCGACTATTGATCCAATCCTAATAATGACCGATCCATTGCCAGAACAAGTCTCGACAATCTGAACCTAGAAACTCAAGACAAGCAAGATGGGACTGAAATATCTCTTATTCCAATTCAATTCATATTTACAAATCTAAAATGCAAAAGACAGACAATTTCACATCAAGGCTGTTACCCGTTTATCCTCTGTCTGCAACCTGGGGCTCCCAAGTCTCAATCTTCGGTCTCACACTAGCACCCTGTTAGTCCGGCAGAGTCCCTCGATATCTCACATAAATTAGACGTCAAAGAAAAGGAAACATACGTATTATATGGCTTATAGGCACCACGGGTCTGTGTGGGGTTATATCCGAGGTTCTTCCCCCACTTATGATACCCAGTATTCGGGATAACCGACGAATTCGGGACGTTGTCGGACGCATAGGACATCCAATTGTGCCAGCCGGGTTCTATTTCCGCTCTAACCCACCCATAAAACTACCAGTTAGAATATCCCTCCCTATGTCGAGAAGAAGTGTAGTCCAAGGGTAACATACGCATCACCATAGAAGTTTTTATAGATGACCCATCGGTTTCGTACTATCCACCCACAGCCATACCACGAATTAGTATATCCCCAGTCCCAAATACATCTTTCATACTCTTTTCGTGTGATTCTGGCATTGCGAACGTACGTGGCAGTTCCTCGTCGTAGTTTTGGTAGTATTTATTGCCGTAGGAGTCGGTTCCGACGAGAATACCAACTTTAGTATCACCGAGAGTCTATCCACCATATCCACACAATCCATGTTAGCCATTGAAAACCGTAGTATCCCGTAAACGGTTTATCGCGCGCGGAGGAAGGCTAAAGGTCGTACAGCTAATTGATAAACGGAATCCTATCGTCAACATCTCGGAGGTTAGCCATCCATTCAGTTTCCCAATTCTTATACACCCAAACAGCCGCCATAGATGATCCCCATACCCGGATACCGAGCTTCCAAACATTGCGAATCGTTCTCGTGACCCAACTCATGGTTGCTGGCCGTCGCTGTGGTCGCTGCGATAGAAAGTAGACGTTTTTGACGTGGTTGAAGTTGCTATTGGTATTTGCCGAAACCTCATTGGGTGTTGTTGACATTGGAACCTTGAAACGGCAGATGGTTGCCGCACCTGCCGCATTGTTTTACACAAGTTGCCCCTGATATGAGATGACGTTGGATGATGAGGCTCACCGGCTTCAAAATGGCAGTTGGAGCTACATTCGTATTAAGTAAGTAGGTAATTAACAGGGTGTTCATTTCCGCCGGCAGAATTTCCTCCGTTCGCCTTCAATGTTCTATTTTCATTCTATACTTCGAGTCGCTCATTAAGTCTCTTCTCAACTACGAGATCTATTTTATCTTTTTTTTTTTCATTTCTATCCCCGTTCATAACTTTCTCACGACCTTGCGAACGAGCGCCGGATGCCCGTCCACCCCGTAAAACGATGACCCTCCTCCCGGCGACAAGGACCGACATCTCGACTAAAGAGTACCTCGCGCTATTCACACTCACGAGTGGTTGTACAGCTATCATAATCGCTGCATTCCGGTCGCGCGGCGAACCGATTGTTGCATCGTTGGGGTTCAGCGGATTCGCCTTCGCAGCAACGTATTGTCTGATACCATGGCTAGGCGATGCCTTCAAGAAGGTGGGGTTTAAGGGGAAGGATATGGCGAAAACACATAGGCCGGAGATGTATGCTGCCTCCCTACTTTTGTCAAGTTCTATGGGATATAACTTGCGGAATAGAAGCTAATTGGATGGGTGTTATGATAGTCCAGAGACGATGGGTGCTGTCTGCGCGGTCGTGTACATCATGTGCATGTTCCTGTTCATACCCTTCCCGTTCTACGAGTACCTTGTCCAAACTTCGGGTGGAGGAAACCGTGATGTTGAATTCGAGGTTCAGCAATCGTTCGTTGGGAGGACGTTACATCGATTTCCGCATAACAAGGTATGTTGAAGTTAACATCCTCGTCAGTTGGATATTTTAGATAAAAGTAAGGAATGTAAAGAAGCTAATTGGGCTTGGTGATATTATAGCTAGGAGAATATCTATCAGCTATCTTATCCCTGCAGAGCATGGTTTTCTTGGGCGTAGCAGACGATTTATTCGACATTCGGTGGCGACATAAGATCCTCTTACCCGCTATCGCTGCTATCCCCATGCTCGTGGTCTACTACGTCGATTTTGGAGTTACAGTAATCTCCATTCCGACGGTACTACAGCCATACCTTGGGCGTTTACTCAACTTGGGTATGCTTTTATATCATGAACATTCAGACCATTCGCAACCAAGAACCTATAACTAATGTAATATAACAGGCTGGCTCTACTACGCCTACATGGCCTTCGTCGCCATCCTCGGCCCAAACGCAATCAACATCCTCGCCGGCATAAACGGCATCGAAGTCGGCCAATCCATCGTCATAGCCCTAATGATAATCTTCAACGACATCCTCTACATCTCCCAACCGGGTCATCCAGCCATGAACTCCCATCTCTTCTCCCTCTACTTCCTCCTCCCGTTCCTCGGCGTCTCGCTGGCATTACTCCGTTACAATTGGTTCCCCGCAAAAGTATTCGTCGGGGATACCTACTGCTACTTCGCAGGGTTTTTGTTCAGCGTAGTCGGAATACTCGGACATTTTTCAAAGACTTTGATGTTACTTTTGCTCCCGCAGATATTTAATGGTTGTTATTCTACGCCACAGTTATTCGGCTTGATTCCCTGCCCGCGCCATCGATTACCGAAATTTAATGCGAGAACCCATCTCCTCGAACCATCCATGGCGCAGTTTGTACAACCGCCTAAGAACATTACCGTGGTATTATTAACCGCCATGGAGAAGTTTAAGGTCGTAAAGCTGGTTAAAGATGAAGAAGGGGTTATTAAGGAATGTAGTAATCTTACTATATTGAACCTTTGGTTGGTGTGGTTTGGAACTATGAGGGAAGATACTTTGGCAATTGGAGTAATGGGTTTCCAGTTGGCTATGGGATTGTTGGCTTTGGGGATACGGCATGGATTGGCGTTAATGGTTTATGAGTATGACAATTTGGTTAAGTGGGATCGGGCTTAGTTACAAGATTGTTAGAGAGATAATCTCGGAGGGAGTATAACCTATCTATTCGTTGTAATATAGTTCTTTGACGGTTGTGGTGTATATAAAATGCCTACCTAATCTATAATAAGAAGTTCAGAAGCAATTGCATTTCGGTTACTCGATTAATTTCTTGAGATTTTATATAGTAGGATCTTAGGATACATGCTGTTAGAGACTAGACTATGCTTTTGGCATAAGCTTATAATCAGATACATGCATGAGATACAATCTTGTCACACGGTAGACTGCTAGGTCGACTAGAATGATAAATGATATTTCATTATAAAATCATAATCGCATACGCTAAATTCCAGAAAAACTATCATTACGAAGGTCTTCATAATCGCCTAAAATCTATGATACATATCGAAATAAAATACCAAACCTCGTAGTCAATCCCCCCAATTGATTCAAGAAAAGAAAAACCTGAAATCAAAATCTGATTTCATATGACCCTGCCCTTGTCATATACCGCACCCACTTAACACTCGAGTAATTGCTCTTCTCGAAGACCTTGAGGTATCTCACTAACAACCCTGAGCTTGTGAACATGAGTAGCGAGAAGTTCAGCGATACTGGTGGACGAGACCAAGCTTTTTGGTTTGTCATTGCGGTGAGAATAGCGTCTGCTGACAGGACATATTCTGATTGTCCTGTGAATCGAGGGATTCTATGATAGAAGAGCCAATTAGCATTGTGACTCCAATCAAGAGAACTAATCAAGAATGAACTTACCTCCAAACAATATTATTTTCCGCCGGTTCATACTTCGCCTTCCCCTGACTGGTCCTAACGTGCGTAGTAGCCGTATTCAATGGCGTCGGCACCTTAACTATCACATTCGTAGCAAACAATTTACTTCCATAGTTCGCTCTAACCGCAATCTGGTACTCCACCTTCGTCTTCCCGACTTCATTCACAATAACATGAACCTTAAACGGTAAATTGATATTCTCCGTCGCTCGATACCTCATCAACTCAAACTCTCCATCAGGCGGTATAAAACTAATCGTCCTATCCGTATCAAACCTCCCAAGTTTCACACACTGATGAAACTGACAATCCTCAAGTGTAACGCTACCCGCAGCAGCTCGGGTAGCTTTGCTCCCATTCTTATTCCCATTGGGCCTAGACAACCCAGTATCATCGAGTAACAATCTATCGTTCAATCCGAATTTACATTCGGGTACACCGGATAAATAAGCTCGCATGATGATCTGTCCCGTTACATCTTCCTTTAGGACCGTTCCCGCGGCGGACATGAGGAGGTTGACATCTTCGATTACGTCGACGAAAGCTTCGTTTTTGCGATATTTTACGTCGGCTCGACGCCATGATAGGGCACCGGTCGCTTGCATTGTTATTCTAGAGGAGTCTTCCATCGCTCGTTCCGACTTGACGCCTTCGGTTGTGATGTACATCTTCAAAGTGTCGGTTTCGGTGTTTTGAGGGTATCCGAAGTCGAGGATTTCTGTGTCACCATATAATCATTTTAGCTAACTTGTGAAATGAACGAATGATACAATAATCGAGCAAATAACGAAAGAAAAGCGGGTGTATATACCATCCAGGAGCTCATATATCAGCACGAAATTATTCTTCACCGCCTCTTCATCGAATTTCCCAAAGTAACTCCTCCCTAACGCGATCAAGCGGTACAAAAACTCAAACACCAGCGCCGCATTCGCATTACTTTTTGTGATGGCAACGAGGTATATATTCTCATGCTTCACGTGGGAGAATGTGGTACTCCCCAACGTTAAGATCGGGGAGCGCACTTGAGCGTTCGAAATGACTTGAATGCGAAAGACGTCGGAGAGGCGAGGACGGCAGTCATTACGGAATTGCCGGAAGATCAGGTTTTCGCCCTTCTGATTGAAGAGAAGGATTCCGGATAACATCTTTTCCTTCTTCTGTTATTTGAAGGTTTTTTTTTATTGTTTGTAATGGAATGATGCAATGCAGTCGAAATGTTTGGCCGTTGGTGGCGTTTTGAGGTGTTTTAACAGCTGCCGATGGGACGCGGGTAGATGGAACGAATGGGAATATTAGATAAGCTAGATGAACGAGGGTCTAAGGTATCATAATGCGATTCGAGGAATTGCAGCGCTAGCAGAGCAGAATGGGAGGGGAAGTCGTGATATCGTGATGGTGGTTTGGTGGAGGAGGTCAAGTTGCTGCTAGTTGGCGGTGGCAGCTAATATGGGGAAAGGAGGTCTGGCCGTTTTTGGTAGTCGACACGAACGTGCTCAACCGCCGTGCGACTCCACGTTATTAATATGATATCAGGACAATTTCAGCTTCAGCTTCAGATTCTTCAAAAACAATGACGGTGAATCGACTATAATTCTAAGAGTATGCCTCGCCAGCTTCACTACCTACACAAGAAAGAAGGAAAGAAAGAAAGAAAAGAATCATGTTTACACAGTTGAAGTATGAGAAGGAATGGGAGGAAGCCTGAGCCAAGTAATTTGCATTTTTCGACAAGCTTCAGTCTATAGCTATACGGTTATACCACCTTTGTTTTCACTCGAGATTTTTTTCCATTTTTTTCTCTCCGTTATATTGCATTCTCGGAGATGGCAAAATATTATATCAAATCACGCTTGACGAACTCTGCGTGGAGAGCCTTGCCCAGGGAAGCCGGACTCCTCTCGACAATGACACCAGCGGCGCTCAAAGCAGCAATCTTGGAGTCAGCACCTCCCTTTCCTCCGCTGACAATAGCGCCTATTCACAAAAATTAGCTTTTAAGTCGCGCCTTAGTTGTATATTAGAGACTACATACCAGCGTGACCCATACGTCTGCCAGGTGGCGCCGAAATACCAGCAATGAAGGCAACGGTGGGCTTGTTCTTCACGTTGTGCGCCTTGAGGAACTCGGCAGCATCTTCCTCAGCAGAACCACCAATTTCACCGATCATAATAATACCATCAGTAGCGTCGTCCTCAAGGAATACCTTCAGAGCATCAATGAAGTTTGTGCCAGAGAATGGATCACCACCAATTCTATCCAATCATATACATCAGCAAATGCACGTGGGTTATAACTGCCCAAGATCCGAATAAACAGCACTTACCCAACGACGAGACTCTGACCGAGACCGTGTTTGGTAGTCTGGTTGACAGCCTCATATGTCAAGGTACCGGATCTCGAAACAATACCGACGCGGCCGGCGCTGTGGATGAAGCCAGGCATGATACCGATCTTGCACTTCTCGCGGGGCATGATGATACCCGGGCAGTTTCTATATGTCCTAGCTTTTAGTACTATTGCTCCAAGATCCTATCGTAACTTTGAAGGCGTGTAAAATAACATACGGTCCGACCAGTCGGGTCTTGTTCTGGGTTTTTAGCATGTCGACGACGCGGACCATATCTACATTTCGGATTAGCATCCCGATTAAAGATTTTGAGCAGAGGTTCAATGTACCATGCTGTGGAATTCCCTCCGTGATGCTATCCGACAGCATCAGCTCATGTCTCTCCTACCAGGTCCCGAAAACCTGACTGAAAACCTACCAAACAACCAACGGTAATTCCGCCTCAATAGCCTCCTCGATCGACTTAGCCGCAACAGGTGGTCTAAAGTTATCCCTTCATCAGCATACCTCCCAATATACCCCCAGGAGAACTTCACGTACGGAACAAAGACAGCGGAAGCATTAGCTATCGAGCTTCTATGTCAGCCAAAAAAAGATCCCCAGCCACTAGCCCCAATAAGAAAATCCCTCCAAATTGGTAAGAATCAGTACCTTGAACCTCCTTGATCGCGTCGGCAACGTTTCCGAAAACCGGTCGGTCAAGATGTGTCTGGCCAGCCTTCTTTGGGTTCTATTTCCCGATTCCATACTATTAGTCCTTCCATTCGTTCGCGATTTTTCCGAAGGTAAATGATATAAACTCGGGTATACGAACAATTCCGCCGACGACATTGGTGCCTATGATTCACAGCCTCAATCAGTAAACCCAATTCCAATTCCAAAGTATCGATGATAAAGCATAAATACCGTAATCAATAGCTTGTTGTGCATGGAAGCTACATCCCCGCTTCAATCAGCATTTTTCCCATTCTCATCCAATAACCTCAAATTTCCACCCAACAATCAAATATTCAATTCGGATTCCCACCAACCTTCCTTGTTTTCCCTGTTCACGCCCCACCACAGATAAATGATAATCAGCATCTCAAATCCCAATCCATCCTTCAAGAACCTTCTCAATTGATTTCCCAGCTTGCATCCCAAAGAGTGTCCATACCGTAAACCCCTGGTATATCAACCTCGTATCCTTTCCGATCTTCAAGTTGCTATAGGTCGAGGTATATGGCGTCTCAGTTGAGTATCCGCGACGACATATCGTCTTGCCAGCTGACGCGGCGGAACGGCGGAGTGCGAACATCTTTTTTAAAGAAAAGCGGTGATGTCGGTGAGAATCGGCGACGGTGGGGTGGTGGTGGTTAATCGGTGGTAAAGTGGGATGGGATGGGTTTCGGACCAGGTTGGGATACGGTATGTTAGAGAGGTCGGGATGTGTGGTTTTCGGAGTTATGGAAGGGGTTTCGGGATTTTGCGTGGGGCGTTGGATAAACCACGCTCACAACACGATGAGATGAGATAAACTACTTGGAAAACGATTTTATACGGAGACGACGATGATTTTTAGAGGCTCTTCTAATACAAGAACATATGCTAGTGTACATGTATCAAAAGGACTTTTTCCTCCTTTCTATCCGTTTTGTTGAAGCCGGAGTTTTCCTTTTTATCCTCTGCCCGTTCAAATGTTCATTTAACGCCCAATTGTTGAATATCTTCCCAAAAACAAATAAAAAGACAAAAAAAAACCAGGTACCCATAATGCCTGAAAACAATTACGCTGCCAGTGAAGAATTGAAAAAGGAGAAGAAGAGAGTATGAACAAGAAGTTTTTTGGTGATTGTGTGATTAGAATATTGTACGGATGGTGTGGGGCCTGTGATTAATCAATGGTACCATGGTCAGATCTCAGTCTATTCCAAACATTACCATCAAGAATGTCGAAACGGATGATTTAGAAAAGAACGCGAGTAAGAATGCAGGCTAAATGAAATTATTAGTACTTTCGATTTTGTCATTTGTTATAATGGTGCGTATGAACTTACCACCCAAGCTCTCCAACCCGTCGTTGATATCCTTTCTCTCTGACTCCTTGACATCGCTGATATCTGCCATAAGATATGCAACATCCCCGCGAGAATCAGAAATCTGCTTCTCAACGTTGTGGTCTGAGAGAATGGCATTAACTACGCAAATATTAGCGGATCCAACTAGGTTACTTCTACATCAAGAGTGAATATACGAACCTTGCCTCAGAACACCTGGCTTATTATGGTGGATGAAGATGACACGGATATGGCTTGCTTGCTCGAAATCAATCGAGCGAAGTGTGCATTCAGGCATGTTGACGGCACCAATGGTAACACCTTCGTTGACGTAGCGAACAATAGCGTCGCCGACTTCACCTCCGATTGCACTCTGGGCTTCCTCGGTGCTGCCACCGATGTGAGGGCTCAAGATGATATTCTTGAGACCTCGAAGATCCTCGGCCCAGGTGTTCAAATCGTTTGTGAAGAAGTCACCGTTAGCAGCTGGTTCGTTAGGATAAACGTCGAGTGCGGCACCAGCGACTCGGCCAGATCTCATGGCGTTACTATAGATGCGTTAGTGTTGATGTTTCGCTACGGAAAGGCGGGAATGAAAAACACTTACATCAAATCAGGGATGTTAACGACACTTCCACGGCTAGCATTGATCAGATATGAACCATTTTTCATCTGGTTGAACTGCTTTTCTCCAATCAAATTCTTGGTTTCCGGTAGTTCGGGGACGTGCAAAGTCACAAAGTCCGATTGCTGAAGCAACTCTTCGAGCGACCCAACTTGTCTGGCCGTTCCAAGGGCCATAATCGGAACAACATCATAATATCGTACCGCCATACCCATAGCTTCGGCCAGGACTGACAATTGGGCACCAATGTGGCCATAGCCAACGATGCCCAATGTCTTTCCACGGATCTCCCAGCATTTGGCGCTGACCTTATTCCATCTACCCTGGTGCAACTCCAAGCTACGGTCACCGAGTTGGCGAGCAAGAGAGATAACCTCTGCAATCACAAGCTCTGCAACACTGCGTGAGTTGCTGAATGGTGAGTTGAAAACGGCGATACCGTGCTTTGCCGCATATTCAAGATCGACTTGGTTAGTGCCGATGCAGAAGCAGCCGATGACGAGAAGGTTCTTAGCTTCGGCAAGGACTCGGGCTGTAAGCTTTGTTTTTGATCGGATGCCAATAACGTGGGCTTCTCTGTTTCAATCAATAACCAGGAAAAGAAAGGAATGGTTCGTCAGCGATCGCTACTCATGACGTAAACTCGAGGCTTGGTCTTCCCCACCTGATTTTCTCGATCAATTGATCCTCTGGCAATGAACTCTTGTGGAATTCCACCTGATAACCTTGTTTACTGAAGATATCCAATGCAGTCTGGTTGACATTCTCAAGGAGAAGGATTTTGATATCCTCGGTGTTGAACGGCTTGAGCTGTCTTGGAGCTCTCGTAGGGCGAGAACTACGACCAAAGCTAGATGGGAAGTGGCTTCCAGGGCTATGAAAGGTGCTGGTTGGCGAAGTCGAGATGCTCAAGGTGTTTGCGAGAGCATCAAGACCGTTAGCGGCCTTGTTGATGATGTCCTTTGGAGGCATCGTGATTGTACCGATGAAACGACTAAGATCCGGAGAAGATGAAAGAGGAAGGAAGCAATTGGAGCTCCGGTGGTTGTTATATACCCCAAGTTTCGATGGAGGTATAATCTACGAGGAATATTTAGGTAATGTAGCGTGATAATATGATGTAAGTTTGAAGCTGAAGCTGAAGCTGTGTGACGTTGTGATGAAGAAGAAGACGAAGTGTCGTCTGCACTACAAGCTCGGTGATACTTGAACTGAAGGTTGTTGACTGACTAACAGGAACAGGACGTTGATTATGTTGACTTCCAACCAGTACCACTATCATCCCATGGCTAAACCAGCCTTAATAATTTATAGTCTCCAAACCACCGCGATATCGGCCGTTTACTAATGCGATTGACTATGACTCTTTAGAATAAACACCCGAGGAATGGAATCATTTTTGAAACTGCAACTGTCCTGGTCTATTTTTTTCGTTCGAACTCGGCGCGACGGTTAAAGTCCGGTCGCTAAAGCTTCTTACATGCGCCAACATTACCTAACAGCCAAATGGTGGGGGCAAAGCGAGGGGTTCCGGGCTAGTCGGCCTAGTGCGGCAGAGCTCTTCCTCTGCTTTAAAAAAAAAAAAAAAAAAATTAAGAAAATTTCAGAGCACGTCATGCAGCCGGGACGCCTTATTGGACGTCAATAGCCGTTTAGATGTACTACATTGGCTGGAGAATTGTTGTCATCGGTGTTCTAGAATTCTGCGGATTATAAACGGCGCGGCATCGCATGGCATATTATTAAATCGAATCGACTACAAGCAGTCTGAACGGGGTACATGATTGTATAACTATAACTGATCGGAGGAAGGTACGAAGGCCAATTTGTGCATACGGGATGTTCAACATGTTAATTCAACGGCCGTCGCTTCGAATTCATCGGTGTATCGATAATTAAGGGAATAAGAAAAAAGAAAAATAAAAGAAATCGGTCTTTTTGGGTGCATCTGCGGCATATACAGCGTATCATCATCTTCTCTGCTTCCTCTAGAGCAACAAGGATATCCAGTTCACAAGTACTTTAAGTAGTTGTAACAGAAAGAAAAACTCGGGGAAAAAACGTGAGACGACATCGGGAGGGAGGTTTGAAGCTTTCTTTTCTCGTTGTCGTGGACTCTTTCAATACTACTGGTGCAGCTAATCTTTAGCACTGTAGTAAAGAAGAGCTATACGTACGGGAGGAAAATTATATTCAAGTGAAAAAAATGTAAGAGGGAGCAAAGGAAATCACATATCAAAGGAGAACAACCCGCGCCAGGCCCCAGAAAAGAATCGATGGTGCATGGAAAAAGGAAATAAGAGACAAGCCCGGAGATAGATGTAAAGAGAAGTTCAATGAAACGAGAGTTACAAATCGGAATAACAACCAGTTGTTTAACTCTGTTTGCACTCAGCAGCCTCCTGTTTAGGGTTCTTCCTGGACTCATCCTATAGCAAACCGTTAGTATTTTTGTCAAAAAAGTTTTTTTTACAAAAAAAATGGCGGGGTTGGAGTTCTTACATCTTCTTCGGAATCTTCCTCATCCTCATCTCGGTCATCGTCGCTAGCCTCTTCATCATCATCCTCCTCGTCATCCAAATCACCCTCATCGAACTCATCGAGTTCCTCGAACTGTAGAGCCTCCCCGGTGTACCAATCAACGGCGCGTGGGATAAGCTTCTCCTTGATGTCCTCGCCGAGGGTGTAGTCGAGTTCGAGGCGTTGTTCAATTTCTTCATCTTCCTCGGCGTTGGAGCCGTCCTCGCTGGTTGGTGGCTTTGGCGGGGTAAAGAAGTTGAAGAAACTCTCAACGGGAACGGTACGCTTAACAATGCGAGTTTGCTTGGTGTCTACGTATTTCAGTTAGTCTACGGGCTGTAAACATGGGCCGGTTTGATACATACTCTTGTTGCGTTGCTTCTTGCTCTCAATGCGAACGGTGAGGTCTTTGCCTTGCTTCCAATCGACCTTATCACCCTCGGCGTGATCGTAGATGAAATCACCACCGTAGCCATTCTCTTCCTGGTAATAGTAGGTCTTGCTGAGGGTCTTGTTGGTGAAGAATTCGTTATCCTCGAATTCGAAGATGAGGCGGAATCCAGGGCGCTCGAGGTACTCCATGCGGATATCGATCAAGTGCTTGAGAGCAGCTTCATCACGATCGGTAACAGTCTCGGCCAAAGATGTGCTGTTCTTCATGGCAGAGAGCCAGAACTCTGGGATACCCTTGGAAACAATGGCAGTGTCCTCTTCCATCTTGGTGTCGTCAACCTCTTCTCCCTCGGCGGTACCAGCAATGATATCCTCCTGGGTTGGCTCCTCATGGCCGTTGACGATCCTGGAACGCTTCTCGTATAATGGCTTGAACTTGGCGAAATACTTCTTCTCGAGTTGCAGAACCTCTTCTTGGAACTCGGCCTCGAGCTTGGAGTGTTCCTTCTGGACACCCTTGAGACCAGTTATACGTTGCCTGATGACCGGTGGGAGGGATTCAATGTAGCCAGACGAACGGCCGATGAGCTTTCCAAGTCTTCCCTGGATCATAGAGACCAACTGGGGGTTCTGGGCAAGCATGCCGGCAGCAAGAGCACGCTCCTCTGGAAGGTTGTTAGCAAATACGCCGATATAAATATATATTTAAAAAGAATTATTCTTATATAAGAAAGAAATTTTATAATATACCTTCTTCGATGGAAGCAACGCTAGGCTTGACAGCATGGGAAGAGATAGGAGCCTGGTTAAGAGGGGTGTTTTGCGGGGTACTAGAAGAGAAAAAAACATCGTAGGAAGCTTGTTAGCTACTAATATCAACTTGATAGACTGGCATCTGCAAGCTCCGTCTAGTCATCGACAAACGCCAAAACCTGATGATGGCGGTAATGATGACGAAGATGCCGGATTTGAAGCCAAACTCGAAGGTTTAGAAGGTAGCTTACGGGGCGGCCGCGAGGTCAAGCTTCTTATTGCGAATTGGTTCCGACATTGTTATTTTATCTGCTTCTACTGTCCTCTTTGGTTGAATCTAGCTATGGCGAGAGGTTAGCTACCATCGTTCAAACTCCACTTTTTTATGGAACAGCCCTCGACTAAGAAGGCCACTTGCTAACATACTGAAACGAATCGTAAAAAAGGTGGTGATGTCGAGGTCGGTGGAAGGGAACGGAAACTGGATGGAGAGGAGTGCGGTGGAGTGGAAGTGAGGAAGAGGGGGAGGAGCGTTGTTGAGTGTTGGGGAGAAACAGAAGTTCTGGTTGTCGGTGGAAGAAGTTTTTGGAGATTTCGGAAATTTTCTTGTTCGTTCTTTTTCTCTACTAAAAACTCGCTCGCTCGCTCATTCACAGTCCAGAAAATTTGTACTGGCAGAACTCTTAAATAATAATTTAAAAAAAGTTGAGCATCAAGAGGAAAAAAAAACTAGCGCCGGTTTTAGTGGCAAGGAACCGCTGGGGGAAGGTGTCTAGCTTATAAATTTTGCAAATTTGTTTCTCTTTTTATTCCAGTTCGACGAGTTCTTCTCTTTTTTTCCCTTGTCTCGTCTTTACCAATACCACCGCTGCAGTGCGACTGCTGCTCTGCTGCCACTAAGATTTAACTGCTAGCTACATGTATAGTGCTCCACGGAGGGGTGCGCTGATATGGAGGAAAGGGTCTGCTAGGTTGAGAAGGGAAAAAATTCGGAGCTAACCAGCTTGGCCGGTCAGCGAATGGCAGCGCTGCAATTCCAACGGAGGGGACCCAGTCATCCGAATAGCTTCCTCGAAAGTCTATAGGGATCTGGTCGGGTCTAAGGGGGGTCGACCAAGTCAATCGAGTTATTTTAGGGTCTACATTCAAAAAGCTTAAAGGTTTGTTATGGTCAGAGACACGCCGTTCGCGTATGCCTGGGTACACGTATACGTCGGTCCAATGTCAGATCGATTGTTATTTGTTTTGGTACTGATCGGGATATAATTCCAAGTCTGTATATATATACAACTGTTTGGTGTAATATAATATTGAATCCTGGGCTAGCATAGACCCAGGACGGGTGTGTAGGGCTACGGCCAGGTCAATTGAATCAATCCCGGCCGTGGTGTCGGAATATACCAGGACCGATTACATAGGAAGGATCTAGACACCGGTATACATACAACTATGATCCTGTAGAGTTCAGGGCTAGAGTTTTCCCCTAAAAGCATGGCCCTGAAGTTCCAACAATATAGACCAAATGCAATACCTAGATGCTTAGGTCGCTAGGTGTTTATCTCTAAAGAATATGAGAAGACGCTTGGTGATAAGTTGATGCACGCTATACGACCCTTTTCCGTATTTTCGATCTAGAAACCGATTCCTAATCTAATCAGCCCTGAACCAATCTTGTTGACTTAGTGCGGTCAATTTGACACTATACTGGGCCAATGTGCCTGCAGGTTGGGATGGCGGATGGGTATGGATTCACCATTGCGATTCCCAACAGTTATGGTCTGGGGTAAGCCAATTGTATGTAAGTATGTACGGGCGTTACAAAATGCATTCCAACAGTCGGGCTTTCGCATGATATGATACGAGGTCCTTTCGGCTTCTAGAAGCTGGCATCTGTGCCACCACCGGCGGTACGGAATTGACGAAAAGGAAACCCCTAACCCTGCGGCGATGCGGCAGTCTTCCTCTCCCAATTCTTCTTTTTTTTTTTTGATGTCATCCCTAGGAACACGCATTCCTTCTCGAAAATCGAGAGAGTTCGGACGATCCATTCAACATACAATACGAAACCTGTGTGCTGGATGTTTAAAAAAAAGCTTCTTTGCCTGAGCGCTGTGGAGTTGAATGTTTCATCATTTTCCTCTCTCCATCAGACGACTTGGCATTTTTAAACGAGCTGTCGAAACCTCCAAAATCCTTCCTTCCCTTCTTCCATGCGAAACCGCACAACAAACGAGGGAAGGAAAAAAAAAGGAGCTTGAGTTTGTCCGATTGGAAGCTTTCGTCAAAAGCAAGGATAGAGCTGGCATATCCAGCCAAACGTCTTCGGCTAAGGCTACTGATACGGGACCCCGCCCATTTTTGCCAGCTGTCGGTGACAAGGGAAACATGGAGAAACTAGCTTGGAGAACCCACTGGCAGGTCTGGCGGATAGGCCCTGAATAGGAAGGGCCAACATGATATTCTCACAGCCGTCGCAGAACCGCACCTATAGGATGCCATGGGTCCTGTGTTGGAAGGAGGGGGTGTTCTGTCGACCCTTCCTTTGGTATATATAAAAAGGATATAAGTAGTAATTATATCATGCCGTGCTCGTATATTAGTTAGTAACGATTGTGCGAGTAAGCAAGCAAGCAAGCAGTGGCTATACCCTTGAAGATACATGTAGGTGTAATCCGAAGATGCTAGTCAGCATATTAAGGGAAAAGGGGCTGCTGCTTGGGAGGGTCTATGCGATGTAGAGTGCCGTGTGAAAAAAGCAGTATCTGGATGCAGGTTCTGGCTGTTGGTGAACGCTCTCGATCACCACGATTGCGGAAAATTGGAGCTACTTTGTCACGGTGCAGCAAGCTAGCGGTACACTAGGACCCGCCATTCCCATCGATGAGGAATGTCCTAGATAGCCGTTCTCTTGCAAGGGACTTTATTGAGGTCAGTCCTGTAATAACCAAACAATAGAATCAAAGAAAAAAAAAGGGTGATACATTGGACCTGAAGTTGCATGGGTAGGTGTTTGATGTTCCCAGTGCGGTGAGGTGAAGTTGAGTTGTTAATGTTTGGGGAGCTGAGAGCAAAGCAAGCAAAGCAACGTGCTCTCCCCTTCTCCTTCTCCTCCTCCACGCAGTCCTTCCAATTCCTTACACCTCCTCAACCTCACCATTACCCGTCCCGACTCGCCTGCCATCGCTCTTCTCCCCTCGGCATCTCGGCTTCGTGGAAAGGGGGACTTCTTTCTTCTATTATACCGCCATCTATACATCTCTCTGTCTTTCTGTATACTCTCTTGGATATACCATCTTGGTTTGGTTTGGTTTTGGTTGGTGAATGTCAAAAGCTTCAGGGAAGCTAAGCTGTTCAAATCAAACAAGAGCTGATAGGAGGGCCTTTACTCCACCCTTCAGAGCTCCCCGTCATCCATCACCACTCCCATCGACACCACGACTACGAGATAATACGGGCTCATAGCATTCCCGTCAGTTGGAAGTGACTTATTGGATTAAACAGCGAACACTCCTTATTATAGAACATTTATGGTTGACGTGTTTACGAATCTTCTTCTTGGATAGCGGTTGTGTTTTCATACAGCAAGTCAAACCCCATCCGTCCATTCTCCCTATCGTCGTATCATTGTTACTATCATCATTATCTTTATCAATAATTGCTGTCGTCGTCATCGGGCGTTTTTATTCATCGGTTTTAGTCTAGGCATTTGCTAACTCGAGTCCACCCGTAGTTGGATACTACTAGTCTCTAGGAAGGACCTTTCCTTCCAGCTTTTGGAAGCTATAACTCTACTAAAATCCCACCCCTTTAATCTAATACTACTTCACAATGGATCTCTATCAGAAGGGAACGTAAGTGACTAGCTCGTACTTCCGTCGACTGAACCCGATAACAGGGCACGGCTAACGTCCCATTAGGCGGGTCTGGCATCCCGATGTTACCGAAGGATGGATGGCTGCAGAGGTTGAGGGCGTCTCACAGGCTGGGGATAAGGTCTCCATCGTGCTGAAGCTCGATAATGGCGAGGTATGCTGGGCATAAGACCTTGTTATCCGGTATCTCTAGCTCACCCTCCTCCGTTAGGAAAAAACCGTTACGACCAAGATGGCGGCGTTCAAGGACCCAAATGACTCGACGCTGCCACCACTTGCAAACCCTCCAATCATCGAAGCATCCGATGACTTGACAAGTCTTTCGCATCTCAACGAGCCGGCAGGTATGGGTTTAGCCTCATGCTATCTTTCATATGGAAGCTTACAAGTACCTTGCAAATAGTACTCCAAGCCATCAAGCTCCGTTACATGCGTCAGAGCATTTATACGTACAGCGGTATCGTGCTGATTGCTACTAACCCGTTTTACCGCTTGGATTATCTATATAATTCGTCGATGATTCAAGGCTATGCGGGGAAACGGAGAGAGGATCAGGAACCCCATCTTTTCGCAATCGCCGAGGAAGCTTATCGGTAAGGACCAGACTCATCTATTAACTATCGTGCTAGATACTGAGTATGAACTGCAGTCAAATGCTGCGCAATGGTAAAAATCAGACCGTGGTCGTATCAGGAGAGTCCGGTGCTGGCAAAACCGTGTCAGCTAAGCACATCATGCGGTATTTCGCCACTGTGGAAGATCCAGATAAGCCCGGGAAGAAGAAGGATACGAAAGGTGGGAAGATGAGCAAGACAGAAGAGGAGATTTTGGCCACCAATCCGATAATGGAAGCCTTTGGTAACGCTAAAACTACTCGTAACGATAACTCGTCGCGTTTCGGAAAGTACATCGAGATCATGTTCGACCAGCAAACGAACATTATTGGTGCAAAGACTCGTATTTATCTATTGGAACGATCTCGTTTGGTATATCAGCCACCCATGGAACGAAACTATCACATCTTTTACCAATTAATCGCCGGTTCAACTGAGGAAGAGAGAAAGGAGTTTGGCCTCGAACAGGTTGAAGATTATTTCTACCTGAACCAGGGTGGCGACCCCATCATCCCTAATGTCGATGATGCGGCGGAATTCACCCTCACTCGGAATGCCCTTACGGCTGTTAATGTCAGTGAACGGGCTCAGAGAGAAATCTGGAAAATGTTGGCGGCCTTGCTCCATCTCGGAAATGCGAAAATCGGTGGAACCGGTAGTGCGGCATTGCCAGTTTCTGAACCATCCTTTGCGAAGGCAGCCGAGCTTTTAGGTGTTGACACCGCAGCGTTCGCAAAATGGATGATCAAGAAGCAGCGTGTTACCGGTAACGACAAAATTATGTCTGATTTGACTCCCAAGCAGGGTGTGGTTGTCAAAGACTCTGTCGCGAAGTACATCTATGCTAGTTTATTCGATTGGCTCGTTGTTACTATCAACGCTCGTCTTTTGCCCACTGAAGTCTTGGATAAGATTAAGGGCTTCATTGGTGTTCTTGATATTTACGGTTTCGAGCATTTTAAGAAAAACTCGTTTGAACAGTTCTGTATCAACTTCGCCAACGAAAAGCTACAACAGTCTTTCAATCAACACGTTTTCAAGTTGGAACAAGAGGAATACGTTCGTGAAGAAATTAGTTGGAGCTTCATCGACTTTTCTGATAACCAGCCTTGTATCGAGCTGATTGAAGGCAAGCTTGGTATCCTCTCTCTTCTTGACGAGGAATCCAGGCTGCTAGGTGGTTCCGATGGCTCCTTTGTCATCAAGTTGGATCAAAACTTCGCTACACCCGGTGGCAAGTTTGAAAAGTTCTACAAGAAGGCGAGATTTGGAAAGTCTACATTTACCGTCTGTCACTATGCCGTCGACGTTACCTACGACGTGGAGGGTTTCATTGAGAAGAATCGTGATACTGTTCCGGATGAACATATGGAGGTTCTCAACTCAGCCAACAACGAATTCCTGACAGCTGTTCTCAAAACATCCGCTCAAGTCCGCGATAAGGTAGGTTTTTGAATACGATCGAACACGAGATTTTGGGGATGATACTAATTTAAAACAGTCCTCGGACTCTGCTAGCGCGACTCCCGCAAAACCAAGCACGCCTGCTCCTCTTGCCCCAGGTAGACCCGGCCGGAGACCTGCAGCTGGCGGCGCCAATCGTAAACCAACTCTCGGAGGTATATTCAAAGCCTCTTTGATTGATTTGGTCCAGACAATTGGTAATACTGAGGTCCATTACATTCGATGTATCAAACCCAATGAGGCCAAGGTTGCTTTCAAATGGGAGGGACCTATGGTTTTGAGTCAGTTGAGAGCCTGTGGTGTTTTGGAAACCGTCAGAATCAGTTGTGCTGGTTACCCTACCCGATGGACTTACGAGGAGTTTGCCTTCCGATATTACATGCTGTTACACTCCTCCCAATGGGGCGAGCCCCGCGATATGGGTTTGGAGATTTTGAAGAAGGCGATCGAGGAAGAAGATAAATATCAACTCGGAAAGACAAAGATATTTTTTAGGGCTGGCATGGTACGTTAATTTCCTAGGATATGACGAGTACCCGCTCAATCACTTACTTATGGATATTTAGCTTGCATATCTTGAAAATATCCGTACATCTCGACTGAACGAGGCTGCTGTCTTGATTCAGAAGAACCTAAGGATGAGATACTATAGGAGACGCTTCCTGGAAACTATGACATCTCTCCGCGCAGTTCAATCTCTCGCAAGAGGCTGGATGGCCAGGTCCGAAGCACAGGAATTGCGGAGAGTTCATGCTGCAACGACCATCCAAAGAGTCTGGCGAGGGCAAAGACAACGAAAGATGTTCCTTGCTACTCGCAAGAGCGTCGTTCGTTTACAAGCCCGTAAGTTACCGCGACCCCAAAAACCCCCCTTCAATCGGTTTGCCCGGCATTCACGATGACCGACTCACCTCCCATATCTTCAGTGTGCAAGGGCCGTCTTACGAGAGAGCACATCTTGCAAACCCGCCTCGAAAACGCGGCTAGGATTATACAACGTGTCTACCGGTCTAGACAAGGTATCATCAAATGGCGTCAATACCGACGCAAGGTCATTATTATCCAGAACTTATGGCGTAAGAAGGAAGCCAAGAAGGTCTTCAAATCGCTGCGTGAAGAAGCCCGTTCGCTCGACCACATCAAAGAGGTCTCATACAAATTGGAAAACAAGGTCGTCGAACTCACACAGACGCTGCAGAAACGGACGGAGGAAAAGAAGGCACTGGAGTCGCAAGTCGACAGCTTGGAAAGCCAGCTGAAAGTGTGGAGAAACAAGGCCACTGCTTCGGAGCAGAATCAAAGAGAGGCACAGGGCGAGGTCAACCAATACCACGCCTTATCGGCTCGCTTGCCAATATTAGAAGGAGAACTAAAGACTGCGCTGAAACAGTACGAAGAATCAGAAGCGAATAGTCGACGCCTTCAAGAGGATGCTAAGGCGCTCAGGGATAACCTTGCTAAGTCTAAGGCCGAACTTGAGCGCACTATTAGTCGCTTCAAAGAGCAAGAGAGTGAGAACGTAGGTCTTAAGCAGCAGATCACTTTGTTGGAAGATGAAATGAGCAGTAGACCACCACCTAGCTACGGAGGAGCTGAGCCAGCTCCGGTCAAGAATGGTGGCGGCGGCATGAACGAGATTTTCAAGATGGTGGCAGGTCGCAAACCTACAGAACGTCAAAGTGTGGCAGTCACAGGTCCTGCATCTCGAGAGATCTATGGTCAAGTTCGCAACTACGATCCTCGACCACAATCAATGGCAGCACCAAATCAAGGCCATCGCCGAAACGGCTCCGGTGGGTCGGACGGGTTCAACTTTACACCATTGCTCGAAAGCCCCGAGACAAGTGTCGCTCACATCCTCGAGGACGAGAACGCGCTCAATCATGAGGTCTCCTCCGGTCTCATCCAGAACCTCAAGATTCCTCAGCCAAACTCCCAGAATCCTCCTGAAGATAAAGAAGTTCTCTTCCCAGCCTACCTCATCAATCTTGTTACTTCCGAGATGTGGCACAACGGCTTCGTGAAGGAGTCGGAGCGATTCCTTGCTACTGTTATGCAAAACATTCAACAAGAGGTCATGGTACGTTTCCTAATAACGCCTTCAATGTGAAATAGACGGATACTAACGTTGAATAGCATCATGATGGAGAGGAGTTGATCAATCTCGGAGCTTTCTGGCTCTCTAACGTCCACGAAATGCTATCTTTTGTCTTCCTCGCTGAAGATTGGTATGAGGCTCAGAAGACTGACGATTTTGAGTATGATAGGCTCCTTGAAGTCGTCAAGCACGATCTAGAGAGTCTTGAGTTCAATATTTACCACACCTGGATGAAGGTACTGAAGAAGCGTCTCTACAAGATGATTGTTCCAGCTATAATAGAGTCACAATCTCTTCCTGGCTTCGTTACCAACGAGGGTAATCGGTTTTTGAACAAGCTCCTCCAAACATCGAGCGCTCCTGCCTTCAGTATGGATGATCTTCTTAGTTTGATGAACAAGGTTTACAAGGCAATGAAGACATACTACCTCGAGGATACCATCGTCGCACAGGCCATGACCGAATTATTAAAGCTTATCGGAGTCACCGCCTTTAACGACCTTCTCCTTCGTCGTAACTTCTTGTCCTGGAAACGTGGTCTTCAGATTAACTACAATATTACCCGTATAGAAGAATGGTGCAAGAGTCACGATATGCCAGAGGGAACCCTTCAGCTCGAGCACCTTATGGTAAGAGAATCCCTTGCCAAACTACAACAGCTACAACAGTAGAATGTGTTGCTAACGTTTACTGCACGCACAGCAAGCAACCAAGCTTCTACAGCTAAAGAAGGCTACCTTGAACGACATAGAAATTATTCAAGATATTTGTTGGATGTAAGTTGCAGCCGGACATTGACATCTAAGGTTTTTAAAAGCTAATCATAATCTAGGCTCTCACCCCAACAAATCCAGAAACTCTTGAATCAGTATCTTGTTGCGGACTACGAGCAGCCGATCAATGGAGAAATCATGAAAGCAGTCGAGAAGAGAGCCATTACGGACAAGAACGAAGTCCTCCTTCTCGCGCCGGTTGATATGGATGACAGCGGCCCATACGAAATTGCAGAACCACGTCAAATCACTGCCCTCGAGACATACCTACCATCTTGTGAGTATTATACCTCTTTGCGCCCTCTAGTACTACACGCATGCTAATTTTTTGTTGCGCTTTAGGGTTGCAATTGCCCAAGCTTCGCCGTTTGACGGAGATCGTTTCAGCCCAGGCTATTGCCCAACAAGAGCGTGACATTTCTACGAATGGTAGCCTGTCTGGCACAAAGCCAAGCGATCTAGGAGCACTACTTGACCCGGAGCTTATCGGCGGTATGTTGCAATAGAGTAAATAACTGCAGTAGTAGGAACATTCTGCTAACACAACGAATAGCCTAGTCGGACCCATAGAATATCTGGAAACCCCCAAGTAATGACGCCGACCGCTCTAGGGCCTTTCCTTTTGATACAAATATCATTTCTTTGGCATGGATGCTTTATTCCTGAAATTGGTTCCCAAAAACCAGTAGCTCACGTTTTTTCCTTTCTTAAGTTCTCTAAACGCACGTTTAATCAGACGTCACGGCCGTTGAACCAACTTTCCTTCTATGTTTCCCTTTCTTCTAGCTGCCTGGCGGGGAGTGCTACTGGCGTCTTCTAGCTTCTCCATTTCCACAAACTACATTCCCGAGAACTTCACTCGGTATGGTTCCTGTCTCTGTCTCTACTTTTGCCCGCGGTCCTTTTTTTATGCATTCAAGTTCTTATACCATTGAATATGCTGTTTCTACTCTACCATCACGATGCTACAGATAAACTATTGTCGACACCGTGCACGTGTTTAGCTAGCTTTTTGCTTCTCTTTCATTCCATTCTAGAGAGCCAACTCTAAGTTCTTTTGCTGGTCTTTTCTTCGCTCACTCCCTTGTTCCAGCCACTACTTACTTACTACTTAAGTTATGTGGTAGGATGTATGTATAAAAAAAACATATTTTTATGGTATCAAAAGCTATTCTTGATATTTCTAGCTAGGCGAATAGACCAAATTGGAGAATAATTTTACCTAGGATAGATAGCATTTCCTTCCAGTGAATTTGTAGATGCATGATAATCAACCGGAGAGCAGTTTAATTGGGACAGGGGTGGTAGCTGTTCTATTGGGGACCCTTGACATCGCGTGAAAGCTTAGCTTGAGTAACAAGCTAACCGAGCCTCATTCATTCACCTTTACTAAACATCCATTCACCCCATCATACTTATCAGCACATTGTCCACGGTCGTTCCGCGACAGCCACCGGTTTAGCTTAGAGGGAGATATTCGCGAATATTGGTTTATTTCGTCGAAGAATGTCGGCAACGATGGAAGACGTTATCGAAAACGGCTCTGCTACGGTTTCGCAGCTACAGCCGAATGCTAGTGATGAGATCTCAGCCGGTATGATAAAAGCTCGCACGCGCATGACCACGGCCATTGTGGAGGAACCGGTGCTAATAGTGGGATACAGAGGAGGTTGCGCTTTATGACCGACAGATTAGATTATGGGGGATGGATGCACAAGCTCGGTATGTTTCTTTCTAAGACCTCAATTGGCTCTTTTTTTTTTTTACAGATAGTTCTTTTTGCTAATTATGGGGTGGTGGGTTGTTTCGTTAGGATGCGCAACGCGCATATACTCCTCGTGACGATTAAAGCTCTAGGCAACGAAATTGCAAAGAATCTGGTATTGGCTGGTATCGGAGCGATTACGGTTCATGATGCGGAAACTACGACGGAGGAGGATCTCGGGGCGCAGTTTTTTGTGGATGATGAGATGGTTGGTTTGAATGTGAGTTTTTTATTTTATTTTGTCTTGCTTCTCAACTATATATTTTTGGCTAATGTTTATTATGGAATACAGAGAGCAGAAGCAGCGGCACCGGCGTTACAAAAGTTGAATCCGAGAGTGAAGGTTTCTACTGATACGACGGAGGGGATTGAGAGTAGAGGAGCGGATTATTTCAAGAAGTTTTCGGTGGTTATTGTTACCGAAGCTGATTTTTCGACTTTGGTAAGTTGAAAGCTTATGGACACACCCCCCAATTTTTTATATTTATAATTCTATTTTATTAGGGGAGAAGTATTTGACTAATATTCGAGGGGATTGTTTTTTGCATAGACATCGATCAATAATGCGTGTCGAGAAGCCGAGGTTGCCTTTTATGCGGGTTCTAGCTATGGACTTTATGGATTCGTGTTTGCGGATTTGATAAAGCATCAGTTTGTGATGTAAGATCCTTTTCTTTCTTTCTTTCTTTCTGATTTTTGGTCTTCACGAGATCGAGTTACAAGAGTATCTAACTAACATGTTGTCTTGGATTTATATTATAGTGAACGGGAGCGATCGAACGTCGAAACAAAGATCGGGAGCGAGACACGGACGAGAAGTCTAGTCAGTGCTACTACTAGGAAGGAACCAGGGGGGAAATTCACAGAATTTGTGACGAAGGAAGAAGTTTATTGTCCATTGGAGCAGGTTGTTGTTTCACAGATCGATAAGAAATGGAGGCCGAGGAAGAGAAAGGCCGTGTCTTCGGTTCTACCGGCCGTTTTTGGTGAGTTCCTCCTCCTTATACACGCATGTTGACATCTCTACATGTGTATTCAAAGTAAGAGGGTTTATTATTAATCTCAATCGTAAAAACAGGACTATGGAAATTCCAACAGACACACGGAAGACTACCAGATCCAGACGAGCATAAGGAAGACACGAAGTTATTCATGGCCAGCATGCATGATTCACGAAATAGTCTAGGCCTACCTCTCGACAATGTTGATCCTTCATTTGCAATCTCGTTTTTGGACAGCGTTGGGACGGAGTTATCACCTGTCGCAGCGATATTAGGAGGGATGCTAGCACAGGGGGTGATTAATTTCTTAGGCAAGAGGGAACAGCCGTTACAGAACATTTTGGTGTTCGATGGGGATGTTACCAGTGCGCCTATTTATTGTTTAAGGCCGCAGGGAGATGAGGAGTAGCGGTAGTAGTAGTAGTAGTAGTAGTAATGGTAGCAGCAGCAGGCCATTGATCTTAGAATTTAACTTATTGTTTCTACAGGGCGTACGGGGGGGGCCAAAGAGAGATCGAACTGGAGATAGATCTTGAGAGAGAGCAGTACGTGTGTGCATGTTATAATATTTCAAGGTATGCACAACAGGCGGCGTTAAAATGAGGGTTTTCTGCTGTAAAACAAAACAATTAAAAGGAGGGATGCTTATAGTTATAAACTTAGAGTCCAAGATATACAAAAATATCTGTATCCATTCTAGTATTCAACGCTGTAAGATATATAAACTTATCTTCTGATATCGATCTGACTAAGCTGGAAACATTTCAAGTGAATCGAAACCGTCTGTGGAGCGTTTCACGTTCATGCATAGTACTATCTATGCGCATGCGCATGTGCATGCAGAATAGAACGTTTTTAATTAAGTACTTGACCCACCTCGTTATATGGGGGATTCCTCAGAATTCTATATAAAGAAGAGAGAAAAAAAGATATTTATATATGATCTGACCGAAGTAGTTAGACATTCGCGTAGATATCACGTTTTTTTCTTCTCTTCTGGAAGCTGTCAACCTGTTCTGTTTCATGTGATATGGTCCGCAGTGGTCTCGACCGGTTACCGATAATATCATATGGGGGAGATATCAAGAGTATTTTCCGGACCGGGTTTAGCAGCATTCCATTCCGTCGGATCTGGCTTGCTGCGGCTGATGTTCATATGTAAGTACTTACTTATATAGCAATGTTAAGTAAGTACTTACAAGTACTGTCATATTCTGCATTCCCGCGCCACCGGTCTGTCTGCAGTCTGGAAGAGAAATCCGTCCTGACAGGTCGAATGAATTCAAATGATTCGAAGACGCGCTCAAACAACCTCAGCCCGATTCACCAACACAACGACAGTCGCAACACAACGAACACGGAACCGGCTAACTCAACCAAACCAAACCGCTTCCACCACTCACCATCACCACAACCACCACCAACCACCACCACCGAAGGATCCTCTCTTTTACTGACTTCATCGCCATCCCTTTACAACCTTTCCAACTGTTGTTCCAACATCCAAATCCAAATCCAAATCCAAATTCAAGTCTAGATCTACATTTGCATCTGTATCTGTATTTGTATCTGCATCTGCATCTGCATCTGCATCTGCATCTCCGGCTACGACTACGATTACGACGACGACGACTACGGCACGGCGACTACCATTAAAGGGAATCCCAAACTAGACTAGACCAGTCATGGACTACACTCCACCACGCCGACGGCCCTTCCGTCATCGTCCCCGACATTCCTTAGTCGACAATAATAACAATTACATCCCATCAACCGAAAGCCTTATTGCTTCTCTAGAAGGTCTTCCTCCTTCCATGGCGACCACTACAGTCCGCGCATACACTTCAACAACAACAACAGCCTCAACTTCAACTTCATCATCCCGTCGAAGGAATTTACATGCATCCTCCTTCGATCCGGACTGTCCGTTTTCATTTCAACCGCCTAAGAAGCGGAAGATTGAAGATTACTCGCGTCCTCAGGCCGGGAACAAACTTATGAAGTTGTCGTTGGCTTATTGCGATGGTGGGACTTATGAGGGTGAGAGGTATAGAGTTGGCAACATGTTGGCTGATGATGATAGTGGTATGTTCTTTTCTTCTTTTTCTTCTCCCTTTCTTTAATCTTTTAACTTATTACATCTATACATATCTGTCTATGTGGATATGAATATAAAGATGAATAACAAGGCTGGAGAGTCTTTTTGTTTTCTGGCTAATATCTTACGACTTGTGGTATAAATAGTCTACTGCACCGAACGCTACAGTTGCAACATCGTCCTACAGCACGAAACAGAACAGCCCTTTACGCTCGAATACCTGGAAATCAAAGCCCCACCGCATGGATTTACAAGTCCGGTATCCGAAGGAGTAATCGCCGTCACAAATGAAGATTTCAATCCCGTGGTAAAGAAAATCGCTTCTTACGGACGGATGGTACCCTTGAAAAAGAGCTCGAAAAGGAGATCTGAAGAGGACTACGATTCAGTAGAGTTGGCGTATCTCAACCTGCGGAATCGGTATACGGGACGGGAGGAGCTGGATGAAGAGGAAGAAGCAGACGACTACGCTGATGGGGAAAGGCTGACAGAGTTTGACATGGCCAGGTATAGAGCAGAAGAGGAAGAGGAAGATAAGGACGAGGAAGAGGAAGAGGGGGAAGGTGGCGATGAACTGGAAGCAGAGGAAGAAGGCGTTAATGTAGGAGATAGTGATGGGGAGGAAGTTTTGGAAGATACAGCTATCGAGGGGGAAAGCGATGGAGATGATGAGACCGTTACACCGGCGACTACTACAGGGTCAATTCCCTGGCCGCCGGCAGGAAGTCGGAGGCTCATCGGGGCAGCTGATCCGGAGGACGATAACGACGATGAATCCGGAAACCAACACGATTGCCCTTATGAGGTCGCTGGGGCTGAAGAAGAGGAAGAGGCTGAAGAAGATGGAGAACCGACAGACGGCGAAAGCTCGGATTACGAACTGAGAAGGTGGCTTCTAAGGAATAACACGGAAGAAAGGCGGAGGAGAAGACGCAGAAGAGAGGAAGAGGCAGCGGCAGAAGTGGGGTTTACGGAAAGCGATGGTGCTAGCCGCGGGGAGGCTTATATGCGCTTTCAACTACGGGATAACAAGGCTTTCATTGTTTTCAATCCTCCAAGGTACGGATTCTCCAGAATGATAGTTTCCTTTTAAACCGATTTATAAGATACCAATGCTAACTCATTCTCCCTCTATAGATACTGCAAGTATGCTGTTTTGAAGCTGTGGGGCTCCAAGATTGATAATGTGGACATTCAATCGATCCTAGGCTATGGATTCTATGGAAAGCGGGTATTTCCGGCAATTGAAATGCGATGAACATGGAATCCGACGTCGGACTCTTTTCGTCCTTCCTCCTTCCCTTCTCCTTCCTTCCTTCCTCACTTTTCTATTTTTTATTTTTTATTTTTATTTTATTTTTTTATTCTGCGGGCGCAATATGTGTGAACTATTTAGATTATAACGAATATGATATCCATTTGGGTTCCTTCCTTTTCATTCTTTCCTGTTCTTCCCTTACCCGCATTGAGGTCCTCCTGTTTGAAGTTAGTGCGACAACCTCCGCCGGCTGGAGCTCTCCACTTTGGGTTTGTTTGGCAGCGACGGCCCCTCTCTTCTTATACGCTACTTCTTTTCTCCCACCGAAATCGCAAAACTTCAACCTCGAACTCTCCAACATTCACATCCTCATCCTCTCCCAATCGTCACCAATTGCTCCGTTCCGTATCCCATAAACCAGTCAAAATGGTCAAGAACTTCACTCTTCTCTGCTTGGAGAATCCTCTCCTTGGTTCGTAACACATGCACGCAAAAACAAAAAAAAACTTTCTCAATTGGTATTCCTGTATTCGATCAGCTAACAAGAATTGTTGATAATATAGATATCCAAGCCACAGGGTAAAAAAAACCCCCGCCATCCCCACTTTCATGGGATGAAAGATGTGATATATTAAAAAAGTCCACCCGATTGACATGAAATCAAAAAAATAAATAGTACCCAAGAGCTCTTGGACAAGTACAACCTCAAGGCCAACGATGCCATTCTCGCCGACCCAAACACCAACCACCTCGAGCTCTATGATGAACTCGTCAACGATTACTCCGCTAAATTCGTCGCCGGAGGAGCTGCCCAAAACAGCGCTCGTGGTGCTCAAGTTAGTTTTATTCTTACTTTATCCTTATATTTCACTCTGATAGTAGCTTGAGATTAATCTTTTTTTTTGTTTTTAAATTACAGTACATCCTCCCCGCCGACTCAGTCCTCTACATCGGCTGCATCGGCAAAGACGAATACGGCAAGCGTCTCCAAGAAGTCTGCGCCACCGAAGGTCTCCGCGTCGAATACCGTATCGACGAAGAAGTCCCCACCGGCCGATGCGGTGTCATCATCACCGGCCACAACCGATCCATGTGTACCGACCTCGGCGCCGCCAACCACTACAAACTCGAACACTTGAAGTCCGAAAAGATCTGGAAATTGGTCGAAGAAGCCGAATACTACTATGTCGGTGGATACCATCTCACCGTCTGCGTCCCCGCCATCCTGGCCTTAGCCGAGGAAGCAGCGGCGAAGGATAAGCCGTTCGTTATGAACATCTCCGCACCATTTATCGCACAGTTCTTCAAGGATCAGTTGGCTTCGACCTCCAAGTATTGGGATTATTTGATCGGTAATGAGACTGAAGCTGAAGCTTATGCTGATGCTAATGAGTTGGGTACTAAGGATGTCAAGGAGATTGCTAAGCATCTTGCCAATCTTCCAAAGGAGAATACTAAGAGGAAGAGAGTGGTTATCATCACTCAGGGTACCCATCCAACCATTGTTGCTACTCAGGGTGAAGATTCAGTTCAGGAGTTTGAGGTCCATGCCGTTGAGGAGAAGGATATCATCGACACCAATGGTGCTGGGTAAATAACACCCCTTCCCTTATTCTTCTCCCGATGATCTTTTTATAACACACGCCTCAAAGAAGAAGTACTAATAGATGACTTTCAACGTAGTGACGCCTTCGCCGGTGGTTTCTTGGCCGGTCTCGTCTCCGGAAAGGACTTGAGGGAATCCATCGATATGGCTCAATGGTTGGCCAGCTGGAACGTTAGACAACTCGGACCAAGGTAATATCCTCTCCCGTATACCTAATATATTTGCCTGCTAACTGTCCATAACAGCTTCCCGCAACCAAAGCAGACCTACACCCGCACCTACTAATTTTTCTACCCACCATCTTGAAAGTCTAAAAAGATCATTTCACAACCCCGACATTTTGATATTTTCTTCAACAAAGTTAGCATAATGTCTACCGTGAAATATTTTTTTACTAGGCAATAAACCAAGTGGAACGGAGAACCAGAGTGTGGAAAGAGATGTGAAGAAGTGAATCAAAACAAAAAAACCATTTTACAAAATCACCAAAAAAAAAAAAATGATGCGGCAAAAACAATACCAAAAACCCGGCGTTATGATAGACACCAATCATGTCTTTTTTTTTCTTTTCTAAATTATTAAGGGCATTCAACTGGCTTTTCTGGATTATTGGGAGGATGGAAAGGAAGGGGAAAAAAGATGTAATACTATCATCACGGCCGGCGTTTTTTTTTCTTCTTTTTTATTTTTTCTCAATTACAATATTATAGTAGTCTGGGGGTCGCTCCACCGGATATTACAATTACGATCATTATACCATATCAGCTTAGCCTATGACCCAACTTAGCTACGGGTTTATGGTGCTGGGAATGGCCAATACACTTTAAAGGTACTTATTCTTCGTACCATTTATAAACATAAGACTTCTACGATGGGGGACCCTACGGAGATTGAAAAAAAAAAAAAGTGATTCCATCTTTAATTTACATCAGCAGTGTATAGGGTTGCCATCTGTTTAATTCACAGGAACGAGGAACGAAGGAAAGGAAGAAAAAAAATCAGTAAATAAGGATGGAGGGTGGGGTGGAGAGATAGGGTGAGGTAAGAGGCATCAGAAATAATAATAGTAATAATGAAAAGCCTCTACAGCATCCGGTGATGTTCCGAGGTGAAAAAAGAAAAGAAAAAAGAATGCTATATCTGCTGTGAAAGGGATGAGTATGGAGAACGCTCAGCAGGCAGGTTGATATAACAATTCAGCAGACTGTAATAGTGATAATAAGAAAGAAAAAGCCTTCGAACACTTGATGAAATTGTTAATGGAAATAGAGAGGGCTGATGCAATGTGAGAAGAAAACAAGAAATTTCATCTTAGGTGTGGTTTAGGGTGAGTATCGATGAGAGGAGTTTAGTATGGGGGTGGGGGAAGAGGATCGATAAGAAGGGAGAAGAGGATCGATAAGATGGAAGAGGATGAGAAAATAATGATAGAAGGATGAGAAGAGGATGGAAGAGGAGGGTGAAAGACAGGGATGAAGAATAAGCTATATATGAAGCGGGTCGTTCATATAGAAGACGAATGAAGAAAACACAAAGCAACATGCTTTTTGGAGTATAGAGAATAAAAAAACAGAGGAAAGGGAGCATGCTTTTGGAGTATAAAAAAAAACACCGGCTGCAATGCGACAGGGTATATAATAGTATAGTGAAAACGGGGAAAAAGGGCCATGAGTAAAGCATCTAGCAAAACAATATAATAGAAGCAGTCGAATCCATGAGAAAACTCAATGGTAATAATGATTGTATGGCCCGTGCCGAGGTGGCATACGAGCATTTTCACGGGCCATGGGATGTTGGTGGGCAGAATTTCTGAAATATGCGCCAGTTTCTTGGCTGGCATTCATGCTGGGTTGTGCCATGTTCTGAACAAAGTTTGAGTTCATAGAATTGAAGGGTACGGATGATGCACTGTGGCCATCATAGTAAGCAGGGTTGTGAGCCAATTGGGGCACCTGAGCTGGTCGCTCTAAAGATGCGGAAGATAATTTTGGAGTCACAGCATCAGGAGGGCCCGATTGAGGCAAAGACATATTGGAAGGTCCAGCCTGCCCAGTTGTCAAATTCGTTTGTGGAGATTGAGTAGGAGGGGCAATCGTCATCCTAGAGGCATAATTCTGGACATAAGTAACGAGATCACTTGCAGTGAGAAGGGAAGCCGGGGAGGTTGGCTGATTGGACGAAGGCTGAGCACTATCAGTGACAGTTTCCGTATATGGTGCCATATAATTAGACGGAATAGGAGCTTTCCCTTTGCTTGACGAAGGTCCAATCGTTCCACCGAGCCCCGGAGCCGATCCGCCCCCAATTGGCTGGGCAAAAGCTTGGGCAACCATCGGGGACTTAGCTGTGATTGTCGCATTGTTAATTGCGGGCGTCGACAGCGAAGCCTTTGGGTTGGACTGAAGTGGTGTGAAGAATGAACGACGTCCCTTGAAAACGATAACTTCCTCTTCATCATCGGAATCTTCGCGGGAGTGGGATGATCCAACAAGGTCATCAACCATGGCATTCATCTTATTAGTCAAAGTCGTAGAGGCAGGTTCTGAAATAACGGATCCCATGTGATTAGCTTGCCCGAGACGGCTCGCAGTAGACGTAGCTCTAATTCCGCCAGTGACCGGGATGTCTCGCAAAGTTATTGTGGGATATTCGGCGTTGCCCGTATTAGAATCCGTCGATATTATTCCATCTTGAAATGCAAAAGTGTTATTTTTAACGTCAATAGGAACATTCTATAGCAACAACAAATGTTAGTTTGAACTTATCAAGATATGTTTTCGGGAAGCGCGGGTACTGACTCCTGCGGTACATAGCTCTATTCCGTCCTCCAAGAGATAAAGAATCCGAGTGAGAGATTCTTTATTGGGGTGGTCCCTCCCTTGAACTCCCGCAACCCCTTTACCAAGTCGGCGAGACTCAGATGTATCCATAAGAGGCTTGAATCCGGCGATATCGTCATCTTCCTCAAGGAGGTAAGGAGATTGGGACAACGATCTCATGGGGAATGTTGATTGTAACAACGAGAGAGTTGTCGCATACGTCTGCCATAACTGCTTGACCTGGACGTTAAGAGACATATCATTTGTCTCATTGACAAGGATATGATGGCTAATCAATAGCCAGGCAGAATAAAGCCGAAGACTCGGGAGCATACGGCGAGTTACGGCTGATACCAAATCCGCAACATCCTCTCTAGAATCCTGAGATGTGCCATCTAGCTCTTGCTGTAGGACCATCAAGATCGAAGTGAAAGTCTCGACGTTGAACCGGAGGAATGTAACGACCTTTGGAGAGCTCAATGTTGCTGGGAGGTGAACTAATTAGAGCTTGTCTTTAGAATTTCTGGAAGAAATACATACCTCGATCTCTGCTCAAAGCCAGGTGCTCGGCAGCAATATTGATAAGAATCATGCGATTCAATATGACTGCTGGGACGGCACGTTCTTTGACTGCTAGTGTTATCTGATTGAGTAGGTCGCTCTTGAGGCTCTCATACTCGGAGGCGCTACAGTAACGTAGCGTCAGAACAATACCATTCAGTAATGCATCAGGGAGGAAGGGCTTACTCATTGCTTAAGAAACAATGCGCATGGTAGCGGCTAAACATCGATGTGATCTCATCGGAGGCGGCACCATCTGTCGAAGCGTTATCCTTCAGGATTTTGACGAAACAAATTTTCAAATTGCCGAGGGTGGTCTCATGGGTCGCCTCGTCGGGCTCCTCCGCAAGCAGCGAGCGATACAAGTAATAGATGGCCGTAAAGTGACTCTGTTCGTACTGAGCTAGAACGGCTAATTGGTTGAATGCCTTGGGATGGGCAGGAATCACTTTTCGAGCGAGGGTATAGTACCCTTTGGCAGGGCCCCAGTTCTTCGCATCTGGATTTCGAGGGTTAGGTTCCCCATAGTTTTCACGATACCTCGAAAGGTCACCCAGGTGCAAGAGACTTTCATAACAAACTAAAGTTGCGAAATTCTGGATTTGAGATGAGTAGTCCTTCTCACGGTCAGAGGTATCAACTAGAAAAACTTTAGTATTCTGAAATAGACTAAAGGCACAGGGACAACTCACTCTCGAATTTGAATTCGATGGCAACAAATTTCAAGTTTTGGACACCGAAGTGTGAAATTAGCCTCTGAATCAAAGCTCGATAGAACTTGCTAGATAGTTTGATGAACTTCGTAAAGTACGTATATACTTTACGAAGCTCGACTGGCCTTTTGCCATCCTTCTTCAACTAAACGACTTGTCAGCCCTTTGTTCATTCTCTTAAAAATTCCAAAGTAGGGGGGGGGGCTCATACAGATCCGATAGCTTTCGAATATCGGAGGATGATCTTATGATGGATCATCCAGCATTTTCCGGCGACTTCATTGTGGTGGCAATACTCGATATCGCCAAAAATCATCTCCTCTACTGCATGGCGCAGTCCAACTGTCCTTTCATCAAGTTCACGCTCAAGAGCACCATCGCCCGCATCTCGAAGTTCGAGAAGCCTGTTAATCTCCTGCTCGTATAAAGCTGCCTTGTTGCGCATTGTTTCCCATTCAACTACAATTGTTTGTGGCTCGTCTCCAATATTGCTCGCAGGATTGGCTGCTGCCTGATCGGTCCCGAGAAGGTTCCCCTCAAAAGAGCTCGTGGGTCTATTAACGTCCAGGCCTGCAAGCTCTTCTCCTCCTGGACCGTTCTGAAAATGGATCGGGGAGCCAAGTTGTGGTAGTTGCTCCGGGGCTTGGGGAGCTGTGGTAGGAGGTCTTCCCAGTCCTAGACCAAGAAGTAAACCTTGTTGGAAAAGCTCAGCGACTCTGGGTCCAGGTATTTGGGTCTGTCCGTTACGGCTGACTGATCCAGGGCTGACAATAACAGGATGAGTGCTTGACCTCCTGATTGGTGGTGTTTGTTGGCCAATGTTAAGTTGTCGACCTAATTGAGGTTGTGAGTGGCCAGCACGAGGAATGCCCTGATTGTTTGAAGTGAATGCAGCTCGAGCTAGAGGATGTTGCTGTTCAGGTCTCCTATGCCCTGGTACCCTTCTAGGTTCAAAGACAACACTGGCTTCGAGTTGCTCAAAGGTGAAGTAAGGAGGTACGCCTTGAAATTGTGGCTGGTTCTGGGCAGACTGACCAGCAGGCCCACGTCGAAAGCCGTTTGGGAATGGATTTGGATATCGCGGATGGTAAGGGAAAGGTCCCAATAATCCTGGAGGAAGTTGAACACCTAGTGTTTCTTGAATCTCAAGCTGGATTCTATCGTCGTTCCACTGTTCAAGAACTTCCGGTCTTGGCCACAAGGCTGTATCGTGAATGAATGGGTCGAAGAGTGGATGATTGATAGGAAGGACAATCGGGAAATATTGGAGCTGGTTGACGATCGTATCGTCACTGTTTGCCAAAGATGCAGCGTCCGATTGACCAAGTGTAACGGAACTATTGTCGGTGAACTGCGAGCCTTCCCAGTCACGATTCTCGTCGTTCTCGGGGTGGTTATTCTCGGCCTCGTGGTTGATATTGAGGTTTCCGAGATCAGGTAGGTGAGGATCTTGCGCAAACGGACCAAATCCTAAGGTAACCTCGGATTCTAGAGGAACGTTCTCGACAGATGTACGGATGGCAGGATGCTCTTCACCTGGTTCCGGATGGTCGCTGATGAGAGCAGATTGTAGTTCGTTATGAGTATATACTAACCCGGGGGGAAGGGTAGGTTGGTGGGGAGTAGAAGGAGGTTGAAGATTGATATCAGAAGCTTGAAAGTTTGCATTTGGATCCAGTCCTGGTGGAGCATTGCTTCGGTTAGAAGCCGCCGCCATAACTGAAACCTTGTGCCTTGCAGCTTTTCTGGATGAGGAAGTTTAACCGAGATGATGTGGTGATGGGTGATGAGTGGGGAAGGTGGAGGCGAGGTTGATGGTTTGGTGAAGTTTAGGCGAATGGAGAAGGTTTAGGCGAGAGCAAGCGACCTTAAATAGGCAGGGAGCAGGGACAACACGACGAATTCCAACAAAGGACGGCTCACTCTCTTTCACTTCATCTGATCACTTCATACTTCTACTTCACAATGAAAGTCTACAAAGAGAATGGCTTTGGTAAGAAAGAACTAAGCAAATCTTCATTATTGCTATTTCTATTACTCGCTGACTCAAAATGTATATTATATAAAACCCAGAAGAAGTATTGCATCACAAATTATATCCCAAAAGAAAAGAAAAGAAACAGTCTCAAGAACGATTTCAGCACCGGTCGTGCACTAGACCATATAACGACTTAATTAAAAAATATCAAATCAATATCTAGTAGTTGAAAATCTCATTAGGTGGTGCCTCGAAAGTCGGAACCTTCTTCCTTGTAGCAGAACCCTCCTGTGGAGATTCTGTGTAAATCGAGGTCTTGCCCTCCTTTCGGAACTGGTCGTTGTATGCAAAATCGCTGTCCTCGACAACAGTGGCGAATTTACCCCCGAGGATATCCGGGTTTGGCTGTGCGACAGGAACTTTGCCGTCGACAACGGTATAGCCTCCCTCATTGATATACGAGGTATCGATTTGATCTTGTGTCAGACCGTTTTGCGGTACCGGGGCGGCGTAAACAGGTACGCTAATTAGGCCGGTAGCGGCAGAGAGGACAAGGAGGGAAAGAAGTCTCTGGGCGAACATTTTTGGTTGTATGTTTATATTATATTGAAGATTCGATGGAGGAAGATTGAGGTCGACGAGAAGAATATAAATATATTGAAGAGGTTCGACTTAAATCAATGGTTGTAATAGGTATGAATCGTAGAAATTGAATTTTGTATGGATAGTAAATATTGAATGCAATGCTTACTAAGTAGTATATATAATGAAGGCTGGTTTGATTGTTGGATATCCGGATGCGTGAAGAGAATGGGTAGTTAAGTTGTAGCAGATACGATGCTTATATACTTATGCTTCCTCACATCTCTTCAAGTTATGATCAATATAACAACAGAAATCCCTCACTAGACACCCGAGGTCAAGAGGTTCAAGATTGTAGCAAAGGAAGCATCATGACATCAAATTCAATAGTATCAACCCAGCTCTATAGTATACCCATGCAGGCGGCGTACAAGAATTAAAGCCTGGGGCTAGAGGTGTTGTTTCCGCAGCCACAGCCTCCGTCTTGGCGGACTCGACTCTCTTCCCCAAAAGCCGTTTACCATACCGAAGACAGTTAGGTTGTAAAAATTTCTCGTTTACTTTGACCGCTGTGAAGATCATAAAACTAGTTGCGAGGGTACGAGGGTAGGAGATGTTCGGTGTCTCAAACGGCTAGCCAATCCAAGATTAGACGGTTTATTTCAAACCGTTTGAATGTACATCTCGAAACATCGGCTTTTCATTTTCGATGTTAGAAACCCATAGTTCCTATCCCGAGCCTACATCGAAGATTTTTTTAGATACCTTCTTTCAAGCGCTTGTGGCTTTCCGGTTATATCCTCATGCATCCCGACGTAGACCCCCATCAAGGTATATTGGAAAACTGAGCATAACTATAGGGTATGTATGGCTCCTGATGCCACAAAGGAGGAAGTTGCGCAAGCAAGGGGCTCCTCTCTCTATGAAATCTGAGTAAATTTATAAAAGAGAGTTAAAAATAGTAAATAGAACTGATCGAACGCCTCGCTATGCCAAAAATCCATAAACTGGCCAGAACTACCAATTCTTCACAATCTAGACACAACCACCGCGACCACCAGCCCTCAGACTCCCGTAAACAATCTCTATCAAACCCCAACACCCATTATCACGTACTACGTTCACTTCTCCAAGCTAGTCTGCAACCTCCTCGCAACATCCTCAATAGCCCAAATCGCCACCCTCGCCTCCGCCAACTCCCCAGCCGGCGCAATAACCGTACTAACCAGCATCTTCGACGTATCCGGACCGTTCTCCGCCGTCAAAACCGGACTAACAGGCGTAGACTGTCGCGTCGCCGTCGATAACTCTTGTCCGGTAACAGAGGATGATGTAGGCGCAGACTGCAACACCACCAACGAAGACTCCGTCGTCGACAGGGTAACTCTAACCGGCATGCCTAATCCCATTCTCGACCCGGTTTCGTAAGCATTCACAAAGGCCTCCGACAACGGCGCAAGGTACCCGGAAGTTGGTTCGGACGTCGATAATATTGGATTCGCTTGGCGATCCGTAAGATGTGCCTTTAGGTGAGGTGCGATGTGTGAAAAGTGTGATTGTAGGTGTTCGAGTTTTGGACGACCACTGCCGTGATGGTTGGCGCTAGAGCCAGCTTCGAGACCTTCATGTCCTGAAGGATTCATATTTATTTTTTTATTCCTGAAAGCTATTTGATCGCATTAGAAAGGTAATATAAAGTCAAGTTATTTTTTTTTGGTGAAGGGTACATACCTCAACTTGATGAAATTTGAAAGTTTGAAATCTTGTGATGTTTCCCGTGATGTTCCCCGTGATTGATGAAGCTAGCTGAGATGGAGTAAGCGCTGCCAAAACTCTTTGGCTTTGTTGTATTTTGTGCTCACAACGCAAATGTCTTGAACTCATATCATCCGTCTTGCCTGCTTGCGGTCCGGTCCTACGTACCAGTATATACTAGACTACTTTTACATTTGAAGGACCCTTTTTTGAAAGATTCGAAACCAGGCTCTACAACAATACTAAAAGTTTTCATTGTTTACTAAAGGCCAAGTTAGTAGACATTTTTATTTAAATTTAATATATATTGGACTCAAGATCTCAAATGCAGAAAGTGGGTCAATACTCACGTTTCTTCCAGACCAAAATCAATTTGAGACTAAGTAACCACGTATATACACTAATACTAATATTTAATATTCACACGAAAATCTTAAGTTGTTTTACGACGTATACGCATAGGCAGATCGAGAAAGCAGACGAAACTTGTGACATACCTTGGTATATATTTTACTACAAGACTAGGTATATATACTTATTTATGCCATCCTATGACGGCAGATCATCTCTATAATTATATAACAGAACTCAGAATAAATTGCTTCATATATCCTCAATCTCATCGTCTTCATATATATCCTCACTCTCGGCGTCCTCATATATATCCTCACTCTCGTCGTCCTCATATATATCCTCACTCTCGTCGGCCTCATCCAGACCCCCATTCTCGAGCCAATCATTTACATCCCAGATGCGGCTTTCTCTCCACCAGCTCCCCCATTCACACGGCAGACGGGAACTAAAGTCGAGAGGTTTAGTGAGGCAGGATCCATTTACAGAAAGGTTCCCCTCGACCCAATGACCTACTACCTGATACCAGCAATCGCGACCCCCCTCGGCCAGTTTAACCTTAAAACCCACGCGAGTTTGTACATATGTTTTATAATCAGCTATATAAAACCCCCTCGGAGCAATATACTTGTGCTCACGGTCCACTCCGCTGAAAACCACTGTCTCTAATCCCTTAACGTTAACTCCAAGCCAATCTTCCCAAAGATACGGTAGGCATTGCGGTTGTACAGTTTCACCGTAAATTTTTGGCCAGGGAAGAGTTACGTCTCTCAAGTATTTGAGTTGCCCAATCCCAAAGTAGATATACGAGCTAGAGGACGAGGGTAAGTTGTTGCAACTACCTATTTTAGAAGTCCCCAGCTCGAAGCTTCTTAGATTTGGAAATCTTTCCGCAACAATATCGAGTCGTTCATGGAAGTTAAGATACTCCCGGGACAAAGGATGAAATATCTTTAACCTTGTGATCTTCGAGAACCTTTTGAGAAGTTCTGGTGCAAAACTTGCAAAGCTTGCAAAGCTAATATGATGACTAACTAGGAAGCTTAATTCTGTGAAATCCTCCGAAAGGTGGTACTCCCGGTCTCCTTTGTGACGTTTGGAAATGCCATTATCGAGCCCGAGATCATGCCAATCCGTGTAAGTTTCCCAACTACTATCGAAAGGCCAGTCAGGTTCATAATCTACCCGAAGTTCAGGATTCCCAGATCCAATGTGCAGTTCGTCCAATCGAGGGGCCAGCATCAACAGCAGATAGAAAAACGCAGTTGTAAAAAAACGAACCGTTTCAAATTGATCCAAAGGACTAGCAATCGAGCTGTGGAAGATCTTTAGCACTTTCAAAGCCGGTAACTCCGGCATCACTGTCTTAATCCACAACCAAACCCTATCAAAGTATAGTTCTCTCGATATAAGCAACTCTTGATGCGATTCCGATAGCTTTTCATAAAATTCCGTATATGATAAGTCGGAAAACTCAAAAGCCAGCTTATCAAAAACCTGAATCTCCAGTTCTTCCAAGATATTGAGAAAACTGCTACCGGCAATCCCACGAAGTGCTGCGACAAAAACGTTATTCACAGCGCATTTGGGGAGAAAGTAGGAGATAGAAAGTTTTCGAACATTCGGGAAAAGATCGAGGTTTAGAGCTTCGATAGAGGCACAAATCGAAGCGAAGTATTCTTCCATGGGCTCCTTGCTATGTGGCTTCATCCAGATCGCGGACAAGGGTTTGATAGACTTCCAATCGGTATCCCAAGGTTTTTCGAACCGTAAAGCTCTTTTGATTAACCAAGGGTAATTAGTATCATCCCCCCCACAATAACCAATTTAGTATTCCTATTTGTCGGAATTATCACATATGCACTTACCGAACATATTTCCTCCCTTGCGCGCCGACCAATCCGCCCTCTTGAAACACCTTAATAGCCATGGGGCCCAATATAATACTCTCAAATCGTTCCTGAAAACAGAGGGTATAAAAGTGTTTTGAAGTGTGTGCAAGACTTCTCAAGGTTTCGCTATCTCCGTCCGGTATTTGTGAAATATAACCGATGATATCAAGATGCATTTCGGTCGGTAGTTTCAATAAACCACTCTCAAGACCAACGTCGATCCGGAGACCAGAAAGATTTAGATCCAAATTGCTGCTGTTCATATTCTCTATTTTTTGAATTTTCTTGCTATAAAACGCAATGCAAGTTCCGCGCGATAGACCCCTGTTGGTTATATAGACAGACACCCAGTTATCCATATGGCCATATCGATATATAGACGAGCAGACGTATTAGCTTTAAATTTATAAATTTCAAACGTGCGGGGTACGGCCTAACATTCGCAAAAGTTGCCTGATATGCTCATGTACTACATACTAGATATGTGCAATCTCGTACGGGTTCGAGGCTATAACCGGTCAAACTGTGCCTGATGTGCTCATTTGTGTGTATACGTACTATGTACGTATATTATGGGGAAAAAACAAAATGCGTTGTTTTCCTTAGGTAAATAGACCCGATCTTGGCCTTGGGAATAGCCCTCGATCATGTTCGATGTATCTAGGACCGAGGGCAACTAATATATTGTTTTCAAACTACTTTTATTACGATAAGGTCTACCATAATACCCCTGGTTTTTCCTCCTCCCTTTGCTCGTCTGCACTGAGGCTGCCAAGTTTGCTGTTACATCAAGAAATCGATATCCATGCACAACAACCACAGAGGTTCTCTTCTAACTAGATCTCATATACCTTATCTCCTAAACCGGAATTAATGCTACAGCGAAGTGTATACGTACCCAGAGCACAAACTGCATTCGAAAAACCTTTGTTGTAAGCTTCATATCTATGATATCGCTGGCCATAAACGAATATTATAATAAATATCCAATAAACCCCTTCCAGTTATATCATAAAAATAAGGTGATAAAGAGTTTTTGCGGTCACCCTGTACTATCATAAGATGAGAGAATGCCGCAAAATGGGAATTAAAATTGGAGGGATCGGTCATGTATTGCAATTGGGGTACTCAAAGATTACCCGATTTGGGAAACATATATACGTTTTCAAGAAAGCAAGTGAAGCCTAATCACCAGAGAAGACTTCGCATGAGGAATTTCCAGAGAACGTCGATATGATCAATTGATCCTGAATTTTCTTTCTCTTTTGAAGATAGATTAGATATATCATTTCAGTTCTCGGTATATCAAAGTGTAATCATGCCTCTAACTGGGCAATCCGACGTAATGTCTCCGTCTTCCATTCACCATACGCCTTCCTCCTCTTATCACTCAAGAAATCCAACCTATCCTGCATCTGTTCACACACATAAATTAGCCAAAGTCTCCTCATACATAATATATAAATCTCAAGACCTACCATAGACCCAACTCCGCTCTCCATTCCCGCATCCGCAGCCTTCCTCTTCCCTTTCCCCCTCCCACCACCCCCCTCCTCCTCCTCCTCACCCACTTCCTCAACATCTTCCTCCTCCTCTTCAACTCCACCCCCCTTCCCATCAACCATATCCAAAAACCACCTCGTCTCTCTCATATCCCCACCAGCAACCTCCGCCAAAACCCCATTAAACTCCTCCTTCCACGTCCCCTCTCTCCCTCTAACCACCCCTTTCCCCTTCAAACACCTATAAACCTCTCCAATCATCCCTTCATACCACCCCCTCCTCTCCTCCTCAACCTGTCCCTCAAACTCCTCTTCCCCCATCAATTCCTTAACCACAACCACATAAAGCACCCCAATAAGCGTATACGGCGTTTCCGTCAAATTCCTATACTTCACGGACGAGAATATATAACTCGCCCCCGCGGTTACATGACGTATTAATATTTCCGTTGCTGTTGGTGGTTGTGTTTTTCTATCGGAGTCGGAGTTACAGAGTTCGTTGATAAGTGGGATGTATGGTTCTATATTCTTGTCCTTCGAGGTTGTAGACGACGGTTTCGGCGCTGGTGTGTTTGTTATAAACGCTGATTTGGGTTTTGATACTGCCGTATTCCGCGTTCTACTCCTACCAGGAGTAGTAGTTGAAGAGGTAGCAGTAGTAGTAGGACCATGGGGTTCTAATGTTATAGAAGAACCCGCCGCAGCAGCAGCTCTAGCGGAAGAACCAATAACCAAAGTTTCCGAAAACTGCTTGTAAAGCGTTTTATACAACCTCGGAGGAACAGGCGCGGGTGGTTTATCCGGTAACACGGGGAGGTCGAGTTTGGTTCTTAATCTACAATGCTACCTCAAAACCAACATGTTAACCATATTATCAATATAACATATACCATTGAAGGTTAAAAAATTAAAAATAAAATAGATATTTATAAAAAAAAAAGTGATTGTAGAAAAAAGGGAGGGAAAAAGTACCTTTCGCAAGCTAAATGCGCACACAACATCTCACGCGCCGGTTCCTCGGCTTGCTTGAGATTCGATAGTTTATGTCGCGATTGTGCGATAAGTGAGGATGTGGTATCGATTAATTCGCGAGGAATGCCACCCGTAGCCGTGGGCAGGAGCATGGTCAGCGTCCTTTCGATCGTTCGACTCATTGTTTTTAAAAAAAACAAAGTATCCTCTCTTTGAGAATGTGCTTCTGACTTGATGTTGCGAGTAGATAGTGTGTGGTTTCGTTTAGTTAGTGAGGTTGAGCTAGGTTGGCAATTGGTAAACGCGAATGTGGTACGAAAACGTTAACGTTTAACGTACAGATAACCACCAACGTCCGAGCCTGATCCCGTGACCACTTTCACAACATTAACTCACCGGTTTTCGAAACAAAAAACAAAGTTGTAGAGAATTTCTCAAGCATTCGATTAAGCCTAAAATCAGCTCATTTAGATAAAAATTGAGTGCTGTGGATGAGGTTCTCGAAAAGTTGCGATGGTGGCTTGTGGAGGTTCAGTCAACACACTAACCGACCCACTGCCAACGACCTCATAACTATAACTGTAGTCAATCAACTCTAGCTGAAAGTCTAGAAGAAACTTAAGGAGCGAATTCGAAACAGACATCGAATAGAATTGTATATTCAAAATACCAACAGCTTTTCTTCTGATTGTATATTCAAATTATAAGCCGGCTTCGAAATAGCCAGCAGAAAAAACGCCTTGAAAGTATGCTTGCATGCATGTAACAACATCGAATGAAGACCAAAAAAACGAACAGGCCGAATATCAAACGAATTCAAAACTCCTCTTGATGCTGCTCAAAAGAAATAACAATACGAACAACCGCTTTAAAAAGAGAAAAGAAAAGCGAAGCACTAAGTGAGAGTGTATAAACGATAAATCAGACGAAAAGACGTAAGGGAAAAAAAGAGAAAAAGAAAAAAATACGCTAAACCCGCAATTTTCAAGTTCGTCAACAGTCGTATGTAATGCACTTTTGCTCTTCGCCTCTAGCTATGCACATTTTGTCACGCCGCAATCACAAAAAAAAGGATTCAACAGCCCCATCCGAGTCATTATTCTGACTCTCCAGATAAGGCTGCGAGGCTTCTCTATCACCCACCGGCGTGGCTCTATCTGTATCTGGGACTCGCTCCCCAGCTTCGCCATCTAAGCTTTCTTCCTCCGCTCCACTAACCTTCGACAACGGACTTGTCGGCCGCCATCTCTCTCTCATATCCGGTGTCATATACTCCCCGTCACTCGCCGAAGATCCCCACCCCCTCTCCTTCACAGCCCTCAACCCACTAGGCGTAGCCGGCGAACTCTGTGTCAGTTGCGGCAATAACGGTGGTGAAACTATACTTCCATCATCATCGAGTTGAATAACATCCGAAATACTATCAACAGACACATTCCTCGCGCCTCTGTAAAACTGTGCGGGTATGGGGTTCCGCTTCAGAGTCGCAACAGGCGGGATATCCAAATCGCTCGAATCCCGTCGTTGGTGAACGTACTCCCTCAGCCGTCGCTTGTGGCTCGCAGCCCTTCCGGATTTTGGCCTATTGCGCGGTGGAGAGGGTGATGTAGGCGGTGATTCCAGGCCGAGGTGGTCCTGACTTCTTCCTGAGAAAACCGTGCGTACGATTCCAGTTTCCAAATGTTGAGTTTTGCTAAAAACAATCAGACAAACGATAACGAGCATAAGGAAAGACTGTGCTATCGTCATTCGTTTTTGGAAAACGACTTCGTCAGCGAGCATCGTCAGTCGAGCGCTGATTGCTAGAATCTCTCTTTCGGAGACTTCTCGTTGGGTATCCAAAGCAATCACTGTAGACTGCCAAAGTTGATCGTATTGCGTACGCTAGATGTCAAATTAGTATCAAGTTCCTTCCGGCAGCAGGTGTTTGGGGCTACCTACGAATTCACGAAGCTCTTTAAAGACAGTCGTATTAAGTTGGTCGAGATAGGAAGCGGACTTGTTAAACTGTCGCTTCTCCATCTTGCTGAACGTATCACGCATGAGCTTGCTCTGCTCTTCTATATATTGCAGAGACAGAGTAGCATTAGCCTCGAGGAGTTGAAGCCGTTTGTGGATGGTTTTAAAGAAACTTTCTTGGGTCGTGGGAGTAGGTGCTGTTGAGGACACGGCAGACGGCTGGCGAGACGGATCAGAAACAGTAGAACTAGCGTTACGAGGTATGTTGTTTTCCTTTGAATTCGGGGCTTGATAACTATCATTGGAGTTTGGGCGAGAAGACCTAGAAGCAGCCTTTGGAGGTGCCTTTTCAGAAACTGGAACGCTGGTAATAGTTGGGTCCGTCTCAGGCGACGAGTGCCCACGGCGTTCTTTCTGCGCGGAGGGTGTAGGAGTCGAAGGTGGACTCTGGCTGATGGAAGAGCTGGACTTTACATCCTTCTCCTGATGCTCAGAGCCAACAGCAGGTGTATTACTAGCTTCTGAGATGGTGTGGTCCTGTTTTTCGGTTGGTTCCGCGAGCGCAGGACCTACAGAATCAGGCGGCACTGACGCGGTAGACTGAATAGGCGGAGCATAATCCCTCGTTGGTGCGCTGGACTCTTCGGCGATGATCCGAGACGATGATTCAGCTTCATGGGCCGCCTGTTCCTCCTTGGTCGCTTCTTGGATGGGTTCTGCGATAGCCTCGGCCTCCATCTCTTCGCTTTCGTCCGTGTACCCCCTCGACTGCTCCTCTTGATGTCGAAATTCCTCCATCATAGTTGTACCGTGCACTCTCAGCAAGCTGATCGGGCAGTAGAATTCCTTCCCAAAATGCGTCAAGAATTCAATTCGAATGTATCTCGCCCATATCAGGGGATTCTCAACCAGGAAAGCTTGTATTTCCCTCGAGTTTTTGGCTTCGAATAGTCCCAGTTCCTTCCACCCAGCGCTCTTGACAGGATACCTATCGCTCACGCTAACCTTGAATGTCCGGAACATACTCGAGAAGAACTCATAATTGGCAAGAACTACAGTGTCGACAAGAATGTCGTCACATAGCTCAACGATAATGAATTTGTTCTTCGCACCACATTTATTCAGCATATAGCTATCCTTATTCTCCACAAGGATGGAAGATGCTCCTTTGCTCTCCGGGTTCGTCTTATGGACTGTAGCAGCGCAGTCAAAAGAAGCATAATTGAACCGTTCCTTGCAAGTTTTCCCAGCATCCTTCGACTTGACATGCTTGGTAGGTTCGAGAGTCTCGCTCGGTTTGGCCTCATCTCTGACCCTAACCTCTCCTTGCTCCTCGGTTTCACCCTCAAAGTTCAATTCGATCTCATCATCAACGCCCAGAGCGTCCAAGGCGCTCGACAAAGGACCCGGTCTCCTCCTCGCTTCCTTCGGTGGTCGTTCTCCAAAGTTTTCGGTAGACTGTCCGGCTTTGGCCAAATTCTGTTCCTTCCATTCCTCGAAAGACAAGAAATTCGCAGTATCAATGGGCGTTTCTGCATCCTCCGTCGGCGGTGGAGTATCTTCGGAAGGTGAAGTAATAGGTCTTTCAAACTTCTGTCCAAGATCTATTGATGTCGTGGTGGCCAATCCAACTTCCTCCACGCTCGGTGACGCCGATGCCCTCGGATTGTCGTCAGAAACCTCCAACCTCCCCGTCGCATTCAAAGCATAAACAGCGCCGCCGCCGGCAGATACCACTCTCGAGGTTCTAAGACATTGTTGCGGTAGACCATGATTAATATAGTTGGCAGTCCGGAATGGGCAGGTTGTGACACCAAGACTACTGCCTATGGTAACGGTCGGCTGCTTCGGTTCGCTTGATGAACCAGTTATCAACGCAGCGGCCGTTGTAGTGGCAAGGCCAAGGAGGTGAAGCTGGAAAAGCCATGCGCGAGAGCATTTCCCCTTCATGATCCACAGAAGCGAGAAATGCAAGTCCGGAAGGATGAGAAGGGGGGTATTAGAATGGGGGGTTGTCGAACAACCCCTCAGATCCTAAGGCGGGGGGAACGGAGAAAATGAGGAAGAGATAGAAAATCGAAAAGTCCTGTTGTTTTGGTTTTTTTTCCTCCTTTCAGTCCTGATATGGAAGCGCTGCTAGAAATCTGCTAGCATTGCCTGAAAGAAGAAAAAATAGAACCGTATCTAGCTACGAAGGGATAGTATCTACAGGTCGAAAATAGAAGGTGTTAGTGGAGTAGCTAAGTAGTTAACTCTCAAACCAAAGCACTTCATACCAAAAAAAAATTAGACAAGATAGGATTGGGTAAGCAAGCAAGCACTTACAGCAGAAGTATGGAATCCACTAAATGATAAGAACTGAAAGAATGAACGAACGATGAGATATGTACGGTGATAGAATAAGAATAAGTTGGGTGGAGCTCAAGCTAAAAGCTGCAAGCAGGGTCCTTGCCAGAAGGACATGTGAGGAGGGACTGATTCTTCTTCTTCTTCTTCTTCCCTTGCTCTTCCTCCTCCTCTTCTTCCTCTTGCTTTCTTATTTTTTTTATGTTTCGGAGATCCCTTTCTCGACGGCCAAATTTTCATCGGGCGCAGGGCATTTCCCCCGTATTTCGCATGTGCTTCCTGCACTGGGAACAGTCTGCAGCAGCTACGTATGCAGTGTGATATCGTTCGAAACGTGCTGGAGTGGAGCCAGGCCTGTCAGAAATCAACCAGCTGAGCGAGCGAAAAGAGGGATACAATAAGTAGTAAGTAAACCTTACCTACGAAGTATGTATCGAGAGTATGTAACTGTAACTGTAACCGCCTGTTACTGTACCGTTAAAATTCCCTTTTTCTTTTACTTCCTTGAAGCCACATGTTCAACTTGCCTCCGGATCCCTCGCTTCCAACAAGATTCAACAAGGACAGTAACAAAACAAAACAAGGAAAAGGGAAAAAAAAAAAAAAAACACCCTCGTTGAAGCGCTGAACTGATTGGTTTCGGAAACCTGTTGATTCTGGAACAAGCCTCCACCGTTAGTAGACGGTTCGGTAGACGGTACGGTAGACTACAAGTAGCCCTAAAAATAATTAAGGTATGGTGGTTATGTCATCGTTGGAGACTAAGAAGGTAGTTGAGTAGCAAGTTCAACAACAATCGACTCGATTCAAGCGACGGTTTAATCCGGTCGGAAGTAATTAATTCTTTTTTTTTCTTTCTTCCTGCTGTGGGTATCCGTGGATGCAGTGCGGTACGGCGCAACAAGCCCAACCGGCCCATTGCATGATAATATTGGTTTTTCTGAGAAAATTCCAACCAGACGGGAAACAGGCCGGAATCGTAGAGATACATATGCATACTTATACTTGCATACTTGCATACAGATATACCTACTCGATTATAAAATATCTGATTGGAAGACCTGTTTCCCCCTTCGCGAATAGTATAATTAGCTACGGTGAGGGATTTGGGAAACGTTGGGCTGATAAGGTTTACTTGGAAGAAAAAACCACACACCAACACTAAGCTATGATCAATGGACTACAAGGTAATATATCAAGTATGCATATGCCATTGCTATTGACAGAAGAAACAGGCAACAAACTTCTCATATCTCCTGGATCTTAGTCCAGTGTAATTGATGTATTATATATTAATATTAAGAATTACGGTAAATAGTGTCGAATATCTGACTGTCACCCAGTCTCAATTGATCATGATCAAGGCCGGTGTCACGTCCAACGTGGCGGACTCTAATTGTTCGCATATAATCTCTAAACTTAGTTGATCAAGGTATACGGTAGTAGTACTATTTGAATCTCGTATTCTCGTAGTCTCATTCGAATATTCGAATATTAATCTGTAATATCCATTTAGTTTCACGAATCCATAAGTGCCGATCAATCAAAACTGTAAGTAAACGGTGTATTTCCTTAATATTAATGCTGTTACCGATGTCTAGTCTAGTTGTTATTAGGTATATAGTGTATACCTAGGTGCTTAAGTCGTAGAATCTTATTTTATGGTACTGGCATGCATCTCTTACGGTGAGGTAACTGGCACCGTGATATCTTTAAAGTCTCGTGCATGATGTCGAATCCATGTCAACCATGAAATATTGTTTCTCAATAAGTATCCGATAACTTAATATAACAGTACCATTTCCAGTGTATACACGTCCTAGTATTCTAATATTCCATGTTCTCACACGAGAAAGTCACATGATTATCGCGTGGGTACAAGCAACCAACGTCAAAATATGACGATATATCCAATCACGTGACGATTTTAGACTTCAAAACGTGAGCAGAACCGACCGACATGGAGATTTTAATTTTCAAATCTTCACCAAAATCCGATGATTTCAACCGTCGTTTGTGAGACCATACGAAGGAATAACAGCTCTCCGACAACGACATCGGAAAGGAGACATCAAGGCGGTCATGATGATCTATTTTCAATACTAACCAGGTAATTCGTTATCGAGATAACCTTGGTGATGGTTATTGATAGATTCTTTTACTCTGTTGATGTTGATGAATTATAGATTGATATCAACGCAACGACCCCCCCAAAATCCAACAGCCACCCCTGTACGTCCGTCCGTCTGGTTCATCGACCTGCACCGCATATGTTCTGTTCTGTGCTGCACCTCCAACCCGACATCCGCACAATTCTGAGCTGGCTAGCTCCAAAAATCCCCCAGTCCAGTCCACCGCTCCCTCCAAAAGCTCCCAAAGCTCCACAGCTCCAAAGCTCAATCCAACATCCCCAAACCAAAAAAAAAAAGATGTCCAAACGTCCTCACCGCTCACCGTCCCCCTCTTCCCCACCTCCACCTTCCCAACCCTCGAAATACACCCGCTCGGTCTCTCCATCAGATACACTTGTCCCATCATCATCATCGAATATGACTCCATCAATCCCTCCTCCAACAACAATAACCTGCACCCTCCCAACATGTCCCCAAAGAACCCACCAAACAACCGAAAGCTTCGAAAACCACTATACTAAATTCCACATAAACCGATGTCACGATTGTCTCAAAAACTTCCCGACTTCTAGAATATTGGAATGTCATATTCGGGAGAATCATGATATGTTCGCTGTCGTGAAGAGGGAGAGAGGGGAGAAGATTGTACGTATATACTATCCTTCTTATATATATACCTATACCTATTTAAAAATTCTTTATTACTTTCTTTCTTTCTTCAATACTATTTTAAATACTTATAAGGTACTAAGATTAATTTTCTGGTTTAAATTGTAGTATGCATGCTTCGTCGAAGATTGCGATAAAGTATGTATCTCCTTCGGAAAGCGAAGGGCGCATTTAATCGATAAACACTACTATCACAAGGTACTATTCATACCCCCTCCTCTAACTATAAAAACAAATACTAAACCCATTTACTATCACAGAACTTCAACTTCTCAATAGTAGACTCCGGCATCGACCGTGCAATATCCCTACTCACCACCTCCCCTCCTCGAAAAAGTCGAACAAGAGTCCGAAGGGTCAGCGAAGCTTCAAACAATCCGACTTCTACCTCCAATATCCCTACTCCTACTTCTATTACTACTACTAGTAGTAGTACAAACGACAACATCACAAAACCAACAGGGAAAAACGATAACATCAGTGAAGAAAATAAAATGGATATCGACAGTGAGAGTATACCACTAGAAAACTCGAATATCATACATCATCAACAACAGCAACAACAACAACAACAACAACAAAAACAGTCAAGAAAGCATACAAGGTCTATATCTGAACCTTCAACAGCAACAGTAAAGGAGGAGGCAAAATATGATGATGATAGTAGTAAAAATAATACGGGAACGGAAGAGAAAGTGAACGGTGGGAAGGTAGATGAAGATATAGATATGGCGGATTTAGCATCGAAAATGAGTGCCATTAGATTCGTGCCGCCCAGTGTGGTACGCTTTGGAAGAAGAGGGGGTGGGAGTGGATTTTCGAGGAAATAATTCCATCTTCCCTCTTTAAGACATAATTATAACGATACAAACGACCATTATGAAAGTTCACGAATATTGCTATGATCACTTCAATTTTAAGCCTTCGATTTCAAGGGTTTTTACACTTTTTTTGTTATCGATACCCACCTCGAGAGATATATATATATAAATATATATCCATATTTCTACAAATCTATCAACTACGAATAAAGCTTTTATTTGAAGAAACTTTTTCCCTTTCTTTTATATGTATGTGTGTGTGTGTGTGTGTTATGTGTGAATCCTGGCAAATCTAACGCCTTCCATTGATATGACAGTTCGTTAAAACGTAGTATATAGGACGTGGTGGAAAAGGCTATGAATTTCCCCGCCGTACTATGACCTGTACGGAAAACCCCGGAACTCTTTCGTTCGAAGTCAAGAAGAAGGAAGAATGTGGTATATGACACAATTGAGGTGATAGGAAAGAGAATGAGGAGGAGGCAAAATGTGATTATGCGTCTGAGGGCGTAATAAAAGGTAGAGGAGGAAAAAAGGAAAAATAATACGTCGGAAAAGGTACAGCTGGCAAAAGTAAAATATGAACACCTGAGAAGAACAATATAACGGAAATCTGGGTTACGTTTACGAGTCCTTGACCTTCTGGGTACCACGTAACAGACCTATTTTCATTTTTCGTTAATAAAAATTCCATTTTTTTTTAAAAAAAAAGAAGGTGGAATGTTTGTATTTACCTGTTCTTCTGGCGGCAATAAGACCGGCCTTTTGTCCACGAGCTGCAAACCTCGAGATGGTCGAGGCCTTACCGATATGCTGATGGTTACCACCACCGTGAGGATGGTCGACGGGGTTCATGGCAACACCACGAGTTCTGGGCCAGTTGTTCCTCTTGGTCCTAGCCTTCCACATAGCTCTGCTAGCCTTCAACATTGGCTTGTCGGTACGACCACCACCGGCAACGAGACCGATCATACCACGGGAAGTGGATGGAACGACCTTCTTGGCACCAGATGGGAGCTTGACACGGGTCTTTCCCTCATCGGGGTTGTGGCCGATGATGGTGACATAGGTACCGGAGGCACGGCCGAGAGTACCACGATCACCGGCGCGTTCTTCAACGTTGGTGACGATGGTACCTTCGGGGCAGGAGGAGAGTGGGAGGATGTTGCCGATGTTGAGGGAGGCCTTCTTTCCGGCGTAGACGAATTGGCCGGAGTACATGCCTTCATTGGCGATGAAACTATTTTCGTTCAAAAAAAACCTCAAAGTCAGAATCTTCCCGTTTCCACTTTTTGTTTCTCGTCTCTCTTTTGCTATAAGACGTCGGAGAGGGGGGGGTGGATATAGGACGTACGTCTCCTTGTGGGTCTTGAATCTGTATGGGTCCCTGAATTCGACAGTGGCCAGAGGAGCACCACGGCCGGAGTCGTGGATTATATCCTTAACGATACCCCGGATGTATCCATGACGCTCAGCATAATCGAGGGTTCTGAATTGAGCTGGGTTCTATTTTGTCGGAGTTTTCCAGTCAGCCACCATATTCCCTTTCGTATCTTTTCGATTCTCCACAAATAAATTCTCGTTGATTGATGTCTCTTTTGTTCATTTTTCATTGTCGGTCGATTTCAACAGCAAATGTCGATTCCCATCTTTTGTGTGTGTGTATATATAAAAGTGTCCTCGAAATAACAATCGTCGGAGAAGCTTCAGAGAGAAAAAGAAGATACATACTTTTCGCAATCTGGTGTGCGCGGTGACTATAAAATTCCACGATAGTTAGCCAATTTTTCCCATGCCTTCAATTTTTTCCCTATCCACTATTTTGAAAGAGAATCCTCTTCTTCTATTATCGTCGATAGAGAGGAGAGGAAAAAAGTCGGAGATATATAGAACATACAAATGCTACCGGCACCCTTCCTCTGAGATCTGATGACTCTACCCATGGCGTCGGCTGTATGGCGATGGTATGGTTGTCGATGGAGTTCGTGATGGTTAGTATCGTATACGGTATTTTTGGGGGGCCTGGGTGTTGTTGGAGGTAGAATTGATACCTCTAACCAATTGTTCAATTTGTTAGCCCTATCGAACGGGACTGCGTTTGACACTCAACAAAGTGCGCTATTCCTGTTTGGGAACACACAGTCCCATCGACAACAACGAACAAACAGTGTTGTGGTCACATGTGTTGTGCAACTTGGATGGTCATGTGATGATTTTGAAGGTCGGAACTAAGGGGAGGTGATTCGCTGGGGGGATATTTGGCAATAAGTGGGTGGTTTTAAGTTTTCATTACAACATAGCCAGACTTCGAAATGATGTATAGACGGCGGCATTGAATAGATTGGATATCGGGGAGTGTTCTGATATCATTTTCATGGTGTTTATCATTACATGAATGGGGATGGTCATGATAATAAGACTCCTAAGTTGGGCTTCAATATAGTTCTTTTTGGATGGACATCTCGGCTTATAAGGACCCTTTTGTGTTGCATGTCAGGTACCGTCATATGAGGGATTGATCCTAAAATTTGCTATGTAATGGATTGGGAGGGCTCTTTGGCTCGTCGCCAGGCTCCTCAACTGTGAGTACATTACAGATACACAATTGGTATGTACATACCTACTTACTTTCTTGGTACTCAATTGAGTGCTTGTCGCATGTTGACATGTATCGTTCTTCTGGTCAGCTGAGTTAAGATGCTTACATTGTGGATTGTGATTCCATGGCGGGGGCCTGATTGCTAGACAACCCGTCTTAGACACCGCCCGTTCTATGGAACCGCCACTTACGTAATTCGAAGACTTTAACATATCGTTTACAACCCTCTTAATCAGCTACCCCGGCAACAATATATGGCTACTAACTACCTACCTCTTCGCTGAGTTCTCCACATACTCGTAATGCTCTACTAACAGTAGAGAAGCTAAAAGTTAAAAGACTGTACGAGTAGTATGGTGTATCAATGCAATTGGTAGTGTGGACATGAAGACACGAAGACATGAATTGAGGCTGTTTGATATCAATTCCAAAGATATTAAGGTCGATCAGCCTCTACTACCTCTACTACTCTACTCTACTACTGAAGAGTCAAGTCAAGGTGATCAAGTCGGGTGGCTAGACTGATGGAATGATTGAGAGAATGATTGAGAAACTGAGCCACGATAACATGGTCTTGATGGGAGGTTGGAAATACCCAGATTGAGCCATAAATTGTGTGGCTGAACCGACAAGTGACAAGGAATAGCCAAGACCCAACGTTACACGGCTGGCTGGGGGGAGGGTCCTGCTGGCAATCGCCATCGTTACACAAGAAACCGAGCCTAGATGGTTCTTCCTGATCGTGCATGGATGGAGTCCGCTTCTTGACCTTCTTGACCTTTCTTGTGTTGACGTGTCTTGATATGTGTTGATGATTGTGATGTGTTTGACCGTTTGTCCGTCGAAAGGATTACCAAATCTGGCTCAGGGGCTTTTTTTTCCATCGGAGGAAACCTCCTCTCTCTCTCTTCTCCTTTTCTCAGTGGGCATCGCCAACCTGTTTAACCGCTCCGGTTTCTCACACACCTTCCTCTCCGCCCAAAAACGACCGCTGTGGATTTTGGCACCGAATTCCTGTCGGGATTTTTACTCCCACACCTTTCCCTTCATCACTACTTACTTACTTTAACTATAAGTTTTGAGTGACTTAGTTCTTCTCATATAAATTCTAAAATTTTATATTTTATATAAGAGAAGTACTAAGGCGGGTGGCTAGGATCAGGATCTGAATCTGGATCTTGTCGGAGACGGACCGTTCCCATCCCACATCCACGTCAGCTTACTTTACATTACATACTACTACTACTACTACTACTACTACTACTACTACTACACAGTACTTCCGTTTTGTTCTGTTCCGTTCCGTCCGTTCTGTTCTGGTATTCCCATCGAGGCATTTTTAGCTCCTAGCGGTGTGTGCACCTGGTGATCCCACATCCCACATCCCATCCTATCCAAGGCAGGCATAGACGAGGAAGCTTTTGAGGTTTCTACAGTATTACCATCTCGGTGAGTTACTTTTTTTTCTTTTTCTTTTTTCCGTTCTTCTTAATCTTCTTCGGAATATTTTTTCCCCAGTAGAGAGAGAGTTCCAATGTCTTTCGTATATCAATCAGTATCAGATTCATGATGTTCCTTCTTTACTCATATATACACTACACCCCCACCATTGCCACTGCCACTGCAACTCCCATTACCCAACTTCGGTTCTCGTGTTTTCCCTTTTGGGAATGTGTGTTCGAGATTTGTTTGGATGTTTGTTTGAATTGAATATGTCTGTATCCATACATTTATAATTTCTATAGTGTATGTGTGTGCTATATCGGATTGCATGACTGGGAAGCCGGATGGAATGACGGATGGCGCGTGTCGCGAGCGCTCGTCTGTTTTTGTGCACACACGATGATGCAGGCCCATCCCACCCTACCATCTAAGTCTAAACTATCTCTCCCTAACTATCTGGCTATCTCCATTGTCTCTGCGACTGTCCCCCTTACCGCCCTATCTTCTACCATAAGATAGCCGAGCAGTACGGTAGAAGTAGTAGTTGATAATAAGTGATAATGTGATAGTGATACCTTACCTTCTATAAGGTCGCAAGTGTTGGGGAAGAGGTGTACGCGGATGTGTTGTGGTCCGAGGCGTACGTCTGAGCCCGATTCCTCTCAGAGTGTCAGTCCCTGTTGCCCCGTCCGGTCTGTCTCTCCTTTTTTTATTTTATTTTATTTTATTTTTTTATTTCATTTCATCCAACAACACAAAGGCGAATGGGCTGAGAATACGCGGATAATTTCTCAACCAAACCAAAACCAAACCAAACCAAACAACCCATCCGGCCATCCATCAGCCTGTCCTGTTCAGCTCCTGTTCAGTCCTTTGCTTGTCTGCTCTGCTCTGTTCCTCCCGCCGCTTATTTTGTATCAAATCAAATCAAATCAAACCGAGCAGGGAAAGGGAAAAA